ACAGATACATTGTAGGTGTTAAGTTTCTCGATAGTCACCGTAATACACGAAGATAACTACCGTATTATGAAAGGGTTTGCTCCCCACACCGGAGCTCGCGCTATTCCGCCGACTTTACTTGACACTTGACTGACTCACGACTGCCATCCAGAGCACACGAGAAGGCCATCGAACCTTCGACTCGGCAAACCTGCAAGAACGCACCACTCCCTGCTCAATACACAGTGTTTCGGGGAATTCACCCCTCATCAGTTGAGCTTGAGTAGGCTGAGGAAGATTGTGCCTGAGTCGTGAGTCAGTCAAGTGTCAAGTAAAGTCGGCGGAATAGCGCGAGCTCCGGTGTGGGGAGCAAACCCTTTATTAATATTTATTTATTTATTTATTACAGCATCTCATAGCACAGTGAGAACACCGGCCAATACAAAGAGAGAGGGTGTTAGCCAACCACGGCAAGGAAGGGAGAAGGGGAGCCTGGGAGGAGAAGAAAAAAGGAACCGGCATGGATAAGCAGTGATTGCAACAAAATGAGAAACACAAAATCAAAGTCAAGGTGCGACAAGGCTCTTAAAAGGGCGGAGGGAAGAAAGGTCCTTAGCTTCTTGGGGAAGTGCCAGCCACGCAGAGTACGCAGTGAAAAGGGGAGAGTGAAGTAGAAAGGAGGACTTAGGTTTCGGAAGGGAAAGGGAGTTTCTCGTGCTACGGGAAGAGAACCGTTGAAACAGTGGAGGTGAGGTGGACACAGATTGAGTTTGAGAGAATGGATAAGGGTGACAAGATGTGAATTACGTCTCTTAGACAAAGGGGTAGTGTCAGCAAGGGCATAAAGGGTGGAAGATGGGAGCATGCGGGGTTTTCGGAGGAGGATTTTGAGAACTTTTTTTGTGGTGAATTTCGAGCTTGGCAGCACGGGTTGTGGAAATTCCAGCCCAAGCAGTATCTGCATAATCAAACATGGGGCGTAGGTAAGCTGAGTAAAAGAGGAGTTTACAAGAGATTGGGTGATGGTAACAGTGAGAAGAGAGGATTCCTAAAGATGAACCCCACATCCGGTTTACATAGGTAATCGATGTGGGGTTCCCATGAAAGGTAAGAGTCAATGAAAATGCCAAGATGCTTATGGCTGGAGACTATGTCTATAGGCTGGGGGAAAGTGGGATATTATGAACACCTTACTCAATGAACACCAAGCAGTGGCATATAACTGCTCCTTTGCTGACTTGCACACCATATTGCAACCTGATGATGGCAATTTGCTGAAACGTCGTTGAAATTGATACTGAGTGACACTGAGCTGTGAATTTGCAGTGCTGAGGAAAAGAGCATGTGTGCCCAACATTTCTCATTGAGTAATGATTCTTATGAAGCTGCAGGATGCCTCTCCCCTATTACGTAAGTCTTCTTCCTTTCTGTTTATTTCGACGTTTGCTTCCATCACTATCAAAACTACCAACTACTTACTAGTACCTGGTTTGCGCTAAACCCAAACCTACAACAAGAAGATTGTTCGTGGACCGTTGAAGCTTCTAACGTTATAGACAGAATGATAGTCAACTTCTGTAGATCTACCTGAAAGTTGAGGCTGAAACACGTGTGCGTTTAGGACGTATGATGTCAATACGTGTGTTATCTGCCGGGAACCTAACAAGATCCAACACGTGGTTTTGGATAGTAATATTAACTTTGAAATATCCTACACGCTGGATCATAGATCGGAGGTGTGGTGTGCAGTAAATACACGTGCGTAGTCTGGTGCATTCTGCGTTTTGACATGGTCGCTGGCGGCATTGGTTCGTGTTAGAAAACGTGTGCTTTTGCCAGAGTGACATCACGGCAGGGAGTTGTAGCCAAGCAACTCTGCACAGGACGGATTTAGATGAGCCTCTTAGCCGTGATGCAGAAAGCACTAAGGACTTGCATGATTCGTCCTCTTAGCAGTCGTGTTCGCTGCTCCAGGAAAACTGCGCCAGGGTTTGCTGCATGGCAGGCTCGCGTGGTTCCAGGGCGAAAGAGTTTATCTTGACTGAACCGTTTGGTCCTCGTTTCCACAATCCAACCATGATCTCCAAGGTGACAACAGCATCTCGGTGCAGTCTACCCTCTACGCGGGACCTATGGGAGTATGGGAGGCTACGGGACCTCTTGGCGTACCAATCGTGTAGTCTTACATTCTACACGGAAAGACGGCGGTCACGCGGAATTGCTAACAGCATAACAATGAATATACCAAGAGTGGGGCTTATGTAATCTCTTGAGTCTTATTTTATACACACTACACTCTTCAAGTGAGCCGTGGCGTGGAAATAGTTCACACAATGGTCATGGTCACATAGCTGATGCATGTCAGCGGTAACCAGTGGGAACCATCACCCAGCGTATACTTGCACGTAAGGTCTACAAAGGGCCATTGTCCAAATCAGCTAAACCAGTCTTCGTAGATCTACAGGCTATTCGGAGCTATGTCGTCTGACAGGTCGAGCTTCTAATCAGTGATTACAGTGTATTTCTTGCGACTACTGCACTGGAATATGTCTTGCATGAGCAGTCATTGCAACGTGCAATACTGTGTCTGGTACGAAGATATTGTAGAATGTTCTTGTCTATAACAGTGAGCGTCTAGAACCAGTGCAAGATGCACGGGCTCTGCGCTGATACTTAGTAGACGAGATAACCTAGGCCCCCCGGATACACACCTCATGGACGACTGATCAAAACCTCGCCTTCTCTCGCCGACTGAAAATGTGCTGCGCATATTCAGCACCAGCGGTACCCACATCCGCTAGGCTTGTGTTGAAACCCGTGTCAGAGCCCATGCTGAGCGCGCACATGCAGTTTTATCATGGTATACAATCTGCAATAATCTTATGCTTAGGCCACCATATCGCCACCGGCACTGCCCTGTGCCGGCTCCCTCTCCACTCGCATTGTCTGAGCTGGCGATTGTGCCCGAGCACATGACACCGCCGCCGTTTCCCGTCCATTGCTCCGCCGCCGGACACTGCCATTAGCAGTGGAGAGAGGCGCAGCACAGGGATCTAGGGGAACGCCTTTTGCGGCAGAACAGGAACTAACGCTTTGTTCACGCCAGGGTCTTATTATGTTCACGAAGTATTGCAACACTCACTCCGTAGATCTACCAGTCTTTACTGTCAGTGGTAAGTACTAACACTGAGTGATACACTGATACAGTGACACCGTCATGCAGTCACTGAGTGATACAACAATTTAAAAGTGAATGATCATGAAGGTGGTCGAGGCTGAGAAGAACAAATCATTGCCGAAAACTACTACACGATTGTACATGTATTACCAAGACTTGAGTAAAATTTACTCAATAATAATGATAAGCTCCCTTACATGTATGTAGCCTTGCTATCACATGCTCTGCATGTCCTAACGTCTCACTCAAGTATTTTGCAGATTAGAAGACAACCTTTGGGAACCCACTATGATTGTGCGATACAATCAAAACACTGTGTATCTGTGAAGTTCGTCAATCACATGGGTAGCTACGGACCAGAGAGGCAGGTTTGCCGTTCATTGTGCAATACATTGCAATGCGCCTCCGAGAACCGGCGATGCCATGGCTGTAGCTACATTAATTTGCTCCTTCGATCGAATCTTGTACGCGTACACGTGTGTTATTGCAGCAATTATTGGATTTCGACACGAATGAAGGTTTTAGCCCTCACAAATGGAGGTGCCTAACTGCCAGATGCCATCCTACTACATGTCTGTGTGCACATGCACACTAGATCCAGCAAAGCGGCCACAGGCAAGGTTGGGTTGGGGGAAGTAGCCCCGGAGGGAGTCCACACTAATAGCATGGTAAATGCCTACTCATCACGCCTACAAGATCACATACATGTAGTCTTTTTGTAGATCTACCTACTGTAGAAGTTACCGCAGGATATAATAGCAGTGATTCAAGGAGGGATCGATCGTGATTCGTGATGCCTGTGTCGACTGTTTTTCAAACGCGCACGTGACGTTGTTGTCGATGATATTCCATGATCGTGGGCACAGAAGGTTTACCATCACAGGCATCAGTATTCCCGGCTTTCACAATGTTCCTACCAGTCGACATTTATCGCCGATCTATTTGGTAATCCATGCAAATGCACTGTACTACAGATTACGAATAACGCCAAGAATAGATGTATGTTTTGTCAGCTATGCCTGGACCCTTGAACACTCCGTGTCCTGGCAGAAACTTCCAGGGAAACGCACAGACATGATGCGCGCGGAAAATGTAGAGCTCACGGGTCGCATAGAAAAGTGCTCAGAATGCCACAAGCTCAGAACGCCTTGACGATGAACCAATTGCTTGACCAACTGTTACTGATGCAGCAGACGATGGCAGTGAGTCAACCTTGGCATCTAGGAAAACCCCATCACAACAGAACGGTGCAGAGGGCACCAGGACACGGGGTGGTGCTCGAGCGTTCGTCTACATTCACCATCGCCAACTACAGGTCCTCTCTGCTTCTGCGCTGATTTACTGTGAATGGTTGCTGGTGGTGCTGGGGCTACATGATACCAGCAGGATGCCGGGATCTGCTTTAGGAAACTGAAGCGGAGAAGAAGCCGATGGCGAAAGCAGCTCAGGCGTGTGAACAGCATTTTGCGTGGGATCTTGACCACTCCAGTGTAGTCTGTACCCAGTGTGTGCTATTCTCTGACATTGCACTCACGCGCTACAGTCACGGGGAGCTGCCCACATGCAGTCTCTAGTGGATGGACGCGCGCGCCATAAGGGCGATGGGGAGGTGAAGGTGAGAACTGGGGTGCTGCTGCTTCTTCTTCTCCTCCAGTGTCTCCTACTGCTGAACGTTGGCTGGCAGACGCGTGAGTGGCGATGATAGGGCCCCGTGTAGCGCGGCGTAGTCACCACCGTGCGTACCTTGTTAGAGTCGAAATCGACTGGCCGACCGACCGGGTGAGAATGGTGTGCAGCAGGATATAATTGACGGATTCCGAGGGTAGAATCATTAGATGAGCATCCGTGGCGTGAAGACAAGAGTGTTAGCAGCACCTTCTGTCACCTGCAGGAGCAAACATCCCGCGCCAAAGGAGCTTCAGGCGTGTCGAGTTCTATATAATTTCTTGTATCGCGTTTCCCCCCGTCATTTCCCCGTCAGCGAGTCGAGAGCGAGAGAGTCCACTAATTAGTTTGGCAGCCGAATCCTTCCCTTGACTGCTTTCTTTACCAACGTCACCCTGCGTGATCCTGAACTCTCCTCCTTTCGCAACTTTGAACTTTCAGGAACTTATGCGCTGTTGCCGCTGTCGTCACATCGTGTGCGTAATCTCGCCACCAAAGTGTGTTGGTTATTTGCAATTGACTGTACACCCATCCTAGTTGAAGAGGTGGACGTGAAGGGAGTGTCTGTCCTGTCACAGCGCGTACCGGTGGCCCCAGCCAGGTCGTGTTGCCCCCGAGGCCTGGATACTTGCGTTACCGAGCCGAGCCGAGTAAGGCGAGAGACGAGTAAAGAAGAAACCTGAAGCCAGTGAACGAAGTCCTCTAGCAATCAACATGCTGCACAACTCTGGAGCAGGTGGCACATTGTGTTCTGCAATGGCTGCCACCTGGACACCGAAGCATGCTGACGTGGCCACCGTCCAGCAACCCGTACACGCCACCTATCAACAGGTAAACATCGCTTCATCGCATCATCATCATTCGGCCAGTACCAACGCCGCTGCTGCGGCCAGTTTCCACCATGTTCATAGGCAAGCAGCAGCAGCTCCGACAGGCGCGGACTTCACAGCGATCCAGTTCGCCAAGCAACCGTGCAGCAACGGACATCAAGTCCACCACCCACAACAACAGCAGCAACACTCTTCGTTGGAGCATTCCTTTGCCAACGCCTCTAGCTCTTGGTTGCCACCACCGGCTTCAAACAACCACGTGTCTCCACCTCCGCCTCGCGGACCTTGCCTAAATGTGAGTTTGAGCACCTGTACATGTAAAGCGATTTGTGTGTTCTGTGGGCTCTGCGGTTTATCCTTTTGTACTTTCCGTTGGAAAGCGCTTTAGCCTTGGTGTCACATTGTTCTCTCTTTTTTTGTTCTCTCTTCCGAAAGGCTTAGATACAGAATATCCTTTGCTCGTTGGCTTGTTCAGCTAATGTATTCCTTCGAAGTACCGGTACATCATAAACAACAAATCAGTGCTTCTACGAGCAGCAGTTCTGAGGATGATAATTATTTGTCAGAGCATACTTATCATAATTCTAGTAGTCTGTTAGACGGGGGAATACCTGTTGCACCTCTTGCCACACCAGGGTATGGGTCAAGTACATGTCATGTAGATACCGGTAGGTTGAAGTGACATGGTCTACTTTCTCTTTCTCCTATTGTCCGAACCTGTACAACAGGTGCCTATTTACCCGCTATCCACCTCGGCACCAGTCACGCAGGCCATATGCCCACAACAACAGCAGCAACAGCCGGTGACGACCATGCCAATACCGACCCAGCCATCAGCACAGACAGGCAGTGGAGAGCGACTACAAGGAGCTGGTAGTCACAGCAATCTGTCGAGCACAATGCATTCCCAGTCCCCACCGACTGCTGGCCCCGTACCCATCCAGGTGATGATGCCTGTGTCTATTTCAGCACCTAGCCAAACCAGCCAACTCGCTTACCAACACCAGCAGCAAGCTGTGCACCACCAGCACCATCAGCAGACCAACAGGTTCACGCAGCAGCCCGCACCATGCCTGTCCCACTCATCACCAGAAAGGTAAACATAAGCCACCCACTGTGCTATAAAGAGTAATGTGCATTGTGGTGGTAGAGTTGTATCACTTGTACTAACAGTTATGCCAGGTACACACATTTCAGTTTTAATAATTATAATTATGGAATATAAGACAGTTGATTCAGCGTGCAGTGCATAGTACGTGTGTTGAGGGGACGCATGGATAAGTTAATCAACCTAAATAATATTATACGGTTAACTGTGTGCACTTCATTTTCTGCAGGCCAGCGTTCTTTCACAATGTCCCGGCCGTCAGCATTCATCAGACACCGTCCAACTCGCTGCTGTTCCACGAGCCTATCACACAGAAGCAGCGCACACGGCCATTGCGGGACTGGATACTGTCCAATCGCAGTCACCCCTACCCGAGCCGAGACGAGAAGCTGGCACTGGCCATGCTAACTCATATGCGCGTGGACCAGGTGACGATGTGGTTTGCCAACACACGCCGACAGATCCGGCGCATCGGTATGAAGGCCTGGTCTGGCGGCATGTTCGACACCGCCCTGCCGTACAGAATTGGCAACGGAGGTAAGCTGTTCGCGTTGGATCATGTTTGCTGCGCGCCAACTTAGTTCTACATTTCAGTTTAAATGAAAATAACTGACTGCGTTCAAGATATACACCAGTACGTTCCACCATGATAATATCATGGTACAACGTACTGGTCATAATAATAATTATTATTATTATGACATTGTGCTCTGACTAGGCCTAGTATTGACCGTGGGTTTGAGCGAGGCCTGCATACCTTCTGCTACACAACTTGACTAAAGAAGTAATGAAATCTAATAATATGGTTCCCTGTGGTCTCTCCCCTTGTTCACACAGCTATCATTCCAGCTGCCAGTGACGACGGAGTGAGCGGTGACGAGGAGTCTAGTGGATCGCTTGCTGACAGCTCGTCGCATGTACCTACAGATAGTAGTGGTTCGTTGGACTAAGACTTGAAGAAGACGAACACGTTCGACCCAGGATCTGAAACCACGTGGTGTCATCGGTGGCGAACAGTTTTCATACAGTACATTTTAATCAAATTTTATTTATATGCGTGTGTGGACTTCCGAAAATATAAAAATTTGCTTGTGGTGATCGAAACAACCGCAGCAGGGAAGACTCATTTATCATAAAGCTATTGAAAATTTGAAATATCGCAGCAGAATATAGAAATTCTCGAAGCTACACATAAAAGTTGATATCCAAATCCTAAATATATTTTGAAAAAATTCTATTACTTATTTATATGCTCAATGCCAAACTAATTTTATACTTCGTGTGAAAATACGGATGGAAATGAATCAAGAATCTTCACGAGTTTCTCTCTAACAAGCTCATCATCCAGTAATGCATTCTTCAGGACACTATGCTTCATGATGTCTCGAGCATTCGGACGGAGCAGTTGATCTGTTGATAACATCTGTGATGCAAGAGATGCCTGCAAGAAAAAAAGTACAGTTATACTCTTACAAATAAGGGAATGTCATCATGCAGTTAGGTGGAACCTGTCAAATTTCCTCCCCAGTGAGTGGTGAAATGCACACCAGTATAGCGCTCGTGTACGCACGGCGCTATTTTTATTAATGAGGCTGGATTCTATGGGTACACTGCACAATTTTACGTGGATATACTAGAATCCAACCCCTCCATAAAGAAGGGGCCGTGCAGCCTGCTTATCTCCCTCAATCCACACATTCACACATGTACCCATTATGTAGAGACCCTACAGTACTCCCTCCTTAAAAGAAGGGTAGCAGTGTAGCTGCAACCCATCTCCATTACACTCTCCTTGCATTTGGCATGGCATTACTATGATCCAGGGCCATAACACCTCCAGGATTTCAGGTGATCCGGCCAAATGGGGTACTTGACCGGATATGAATACTATTTCAATCAGGGACTGCCTGGTTTTCAACCTAGATGTGCATGCACCACAGTGCGCACGGATTGGGTGAGGCAACTTTTTTTCCGAAATATGTCCGGCCATGGCTGAACTGCCATGGCTGAACTGCCATGGCTGAACTGCCATGGCTGAACTGCCATGGCTGAACTGGCCGGGCCTGGTGCTATGGGGCTGCTATCACCCCTACCCCCCCCCCCCCCCACACACACACACATAGAGCACACCTCAGCCGCACTCCTCTAATACCGCCAGCATCTGAAACACTGGCAACATTGCAATGGCACTAAACATACATGTATCATGCTTCAAGTATGCAGCTGTGCATAAGGAAGGTCCAAAGACACACACACACACACGCACCTCCTGAGGATAGTTGCTCGTAAAATCCTGCGGCAGATCACCAGCGCGAACAAGACGCAAGATCTGAAAACAAAAATGAAAGAGAAAAACAGGTTTTGCACATTACAAACCCTCTGCTGCATACAGTTTGTATTGGTAAGAGAGAGAGAGAGAGAGAGAGAGAGAGAGAGAGAGAGAGAGAGAGAGAGAGAGAGAGAGAGAGAGAGAGAAAGAGAGAGAGAGAGAGAGAGAGAGATAGAGAGAGCGAGAGAGCGAGAGCGAGAGAGAGAGAGAGAGAGAGAGAGCGAGAGCGAGAGAGAAAGAGTGAAAGAATCAGAAAGAGAGAGAGAGGGGGGGGGGGGGTAATCTTGTCCGGTGATGAAACACTAGTTTACCAACAGCAAAATGTCATTGATATCTAAGGTCTGTTAGAACTGCGAGTACCATATGATTGCTACACTGGGCTGTCATTCATTAACAGCACAGAAGGGTGCGCTCAGTACTCCTTGGGCCACTCATAGCAGGTACATGTACTTGGTCCGCCAAGCTAAAATTGGCGCTTATCTTCTCACTTGGTTTTTCGGTGTTCTGCCTATGTCACACGGCATGGAACCACCGATCCACCATCCGAACATAACCATTGACCAATACATCCGACGACATGGCAGCACAAACCATCACAGAAGTTGCGATCGGTTCGTTTCAGTCTTTTTGACGGAGCTGCCGCCGACGAACACTTCCGTCAGCGCAAGAAAACACTGCAACCTCCGCTCGAGTCCGTAAAGTAGGTCAGGGTGTTCGCATTTCAGAGCAATGGAGAATACAGTTTCTGTCTACTTCCAGCTGTCTGATGGCAAGGATTGTGTACCCCGGGGAGGTATAGAAAAGCTGAAAAAAGCGCTTCGCAAGCTTGAATTTCAGTGCTTGCACAGTACAGCGCCTAGTGAAGGGTTATCACCAGCAAATCGCTGACGAAGAAACGGCAGCTCATGTCGACATCTCCAGAGAGTGAGACCGATCCGGCGGACACACTTTGAAGCTCACAGAGGACAGGGCAAAGGAGCTAATCAAAATAGACACAAAGTCCTGAGTGAGGGAAACACTCGTGCAAAGGACTTTCAAGAAACTAGCCGAAAAGCCTGGTGCACGGCGTTAGGACTTAGGTGCAGTACGTACAGGTGCTACATCAAGCGGAAGCTATCACTGCGCTGCATGTAGATCTACAAGCACCACCACTGCACCCGAGGCTTGCATGGGTGCTGATCTATATCAGCAAGTACGACAAGCGCAAGAGGCGATTTGAAAAAAAGGACACTGATATGGCGTTGCCTTTTTGTCTGAAACAAAGTCGCATTATTGCGACGAACGGGGATAACACTTACAGCCAACATGCGGGCAGTCTCACTCAGCTACTCATCGGCAAGGTGACAGGCATGCACTGCCTTGAGCGTGATTCGAGACGAGGAGAAGTGGAACAAGCTATGAAACGTGCAGCAGCTGTCCGGATCGAACGTTTTGAGCTCTTCCTCCAGCGACGATAGTGGCGAGGAGGATGTGTAACTTGCTTGAATTTTCGACTGACTTGCTTACTGACATGTAAATAATCATGTACATAGTGCTTTGTGATCGTGGCTTGCTTCTAATATTCGTATTTCCTTCCTGAGACAAGTGTGAAGATAAGCGCCAATTGTAGCTGGGCGGACCAAGTACCTCTGATCAAAGAACAGCATTTCAGGAACAGTCCAAAAAAACTCATCTGCTAGTCAGTCTTCTCTGTATCCATGTGTATACTTACTCATTTCATGGAGGAGATGGAACTAAACAAATAACGTTGAACTTTGAAACAGTCAAGCAGTACATGCACGCTTGTTAAGCACTAGCACTAAACACACCACTGTATGGGAGGTGATCGTTGCATGACTGACCTTGAAGCGCTCCATGGCAGTGGTGAGTGGGTAGAGTAGCTCAAAGAAGATCACACCCAGGGAGAAGATGTCTACTTTCTGACTGTAATCACTGCCACTTGCCTGAGAGAAAGAAAGAGAGAGAGAGAGAGTGAGGGGGGGGGGAGGAGGGAGAGAGGGGGAGGAGGGAGAGAGAGCAAGGGGAGAGGGGGAAGAGAGAGAGAGAGAGAGAGAGAGAGAGAGAGAGAGAGATAGGGATAGGGAGAGAGAGGCAGAAAGGGAGCACAACCATGCCATTTGCACGCTGGTTCGTCAGTATGTGACATAAACATGTACCTTCGCACCTGGCAAACTAAGATTACCATGAACCGCGTCGCATTCAGCTTCCGTTTTAAAAACTGGTCACCGGGCATGTCTCCCCTGCGGTTCCTGACCGACAAACAGCGCCAGTACGGAAATGGTTATTGCAAAAGTAGAGGGAGTACAACGTTTAACAGCGCCAGTACGGAAATGGTTATTGCAAGTAGAGTACAACGTTTTGGCCGCAATCTTGGTACACGTTCCACAACAAGTAAGAGCAGCAGCCGTGTGCGTATAGGTGAGTTTGTAAGGAACAAGATATTGGTGGTACCCCTTGCGGCTTTGGTAGTATGCTTTTTTTCTGGGCATACCACCTGGGCTCCACAGTCAGCTTCAGATCGTTTGCAAAATGATCCATTCCAATTTTCAAACAGTTCTCAGTGAAGGGCTTCTATTTTCTGTATGTCAGAAATACAGTCAAACCTCTTTAGGACGAACACCAAGGGACCGATGGTATTTGTTCGTAATAACGGGAGTTCTTCTTATCCGTATTGTACACCCAGTGAATACACAGTGATTTATTCAACAGAGTTATGAACACTAGTTCTTCTAAACCGAAAGTTCGTCTTATCAGTGTTCTTCTTAACGAGGTTTCAATGTGGTGGTGCTGGTTTCCAAAGCAAATCAAGAGCAGCAGGAGCAACAGGAGCAGCACTATGTGCAATATGGTACACAGAAATAATTCATGGCCAGCAATCAAGGACATCTGAGAGTTGTAATTTTTGTACTCCTCCGAGGTGTGATTTTTGGCGTGCTGGGCCAAGCACAAGGAAGCCAACTGCAAAAAAACTGCAGAAAATCGTTGTTGTTTGATCCTTTGGTGTAATCTTTGTTTCTAGTCGAAGCTGGTTGCTGTTTGGAGCAGAAACGCTGAAATTTACTATTTTCTGCATGTACTCATACATGTACTCATGTACTCAGGCATGCAGTCTCACTCGTATTTTAGCTATTTTTCTGGAATGGATGCTGCTCTGCGCCCCTTGGTGAACATTTCCTGCGCTCGTGGAGCAGCTGAAAAGGACCACTGGTATGTCTGGTTCCTGGTTTGAAAGTGGAGAGTCGACTTTTGTGCCTTGAAAAAGGAGTAGAGAGCGATAAAGGTACGTCTGTGGCTGATTTTTGAGTGCTCCTCGTACATTTTTGATCGTGATAGAAATTCTCAGACCAAAGTCAGACCAAAGTCAGCGATGATGGTCGTACAGTTTTCTTGTGAATTTTTTAGTTGTTTCATCTCGTATCTATGTCAGTATCGTGATGGTGAAGTGGAGAGGGTGATTTTCTTCCTCTAGGCTTCGTTCGGCCGACTTTGCTTCGTCCTCGTTGAAAAGTGATCCTGAAAAAAAGGTCGATTCGCAAAATTATGTTGATTTTCAATGTACGAGATGACATGCGATTGCTGGCTATGTGAAGTACGTACGAGTTCCGGGCTTTGGTAGACTTCAGTTCCAACACCTCCAGTGTGACGGTCATCAGTGAGTATCCAACCTACATGTACAGTGCAGAACACCAGCCATTACCATACCAGCAATGCACAACAGTCAAAGTCAAAATGTATTCCCGGCATCCATCTACCCTATCTGCACAGTCCCAAGCAAACTAAAAAACACATGCAGACTGACTTGTGCAACTTCACAGCAGCGAGAAGAGAGCATGCCGCAGCTCATGTACTCACTTCAGAGCACACTTCAAACAAGTTTCAAGTCACTTCAATCTTCATCAGCCTTCATTACCCACAATATCCTGTGATCAAATGTTTGTGGTAATCACGAGATGGAACATGCTTCTGGAATACAGCACACTTTGGCTTCATCCCTTATTCCCTACTCCTGCAGTATCCAGTGAGCAGGGTACACAAGCATGTGCTTGCAGTTTGTCCCAATCCCGCAATACATATATAGACACATACACCTAACCCAGTTAACTCTATAGACCCATTGCGCAATGACGTAATTTGTACCATAAACACCCTTCACAGCCAGGGGGGGGGGGGGTCGTCTGGGGTGTTGAACAGTGCACTCCTGATCCCAGCATACTCACAAGCATTACTCATGCATTCCATATTTGGCTGTGAAGGATGTTTTTACGTCATTGCGCAATGGGTCCATTGGAAACAGGCTAGACGGCACAAGCAAGTGTTAACTTACGACTGAATGGCTCCAAATGCACAGCACCCAGTTCTATTACCTGCACTTCAGTGGTGGTGTGGGGGGAGGGGGCAAGTTGTATATTTAATATTGAGATTGAATGGCTTCAAAAGCACCACTAAGGAGACTACTAACGTTGACAAGAACTCTCACCATTATCATCGGTAACAGAACCACTGACAACACTGCCATCATGTTCACTCCTGGCATTGGCTGGTAGTTCAAATGCAGTGGCAAGACCAAAGTCGCCAACTTTCACGTTACCATCCACAGCAAAGAAGACATTTGAGGGCTGGGGCAGAGGGAGGGAAGAAGACACACACACACAAGGGAAGCACAAAGGCACTGCTGTTTCGTTTGGGTAGCATACACCAGAGGTGAAATGAACACACAGAATAATCATGTTCATCATAAGTTGCTGTGTCATACATGAATGTACAGATGCTAGTAACGTTTTAAAAGTATTTGCACGATGCCGGTGGATCTAGCCCGAGCACCTAAGAAGTGTCGCAAACCGTTTCGTGTTGCATGGAAGGGGGGGGGGGGGACTAAGCCAAAATTGCAAGTAATAGTTGACACTGTACATGTACATGCATAGGATTTGAATCGTCCAGATTAGCAAATGGTGTTCATTATGGTGGTGGTGGTGGTGGGGGTGTAGGGTCAGGGCACGAAATGAGCGATGTTCGTTTCAGGAACGACAAAAGCGTCTGTGACTACCCTTAGGTACAGCAAGGGCTAAGTAAACAGCCGCATTGTTTGAGTTTGAGTTCCACAAAGCAGGAACCAAAACCATTGGACACTGAGCCGGCAAAAGGAAAAAAAACTTTAGCCATAAGCCATGTTGACAAGGGCTGGGGAATCATTTCAGCGTGTAGCCATTTGCGACTGAACTTTTGCAATCTGGTACATTTCTACTATACATGTGCTATACAGGTCCTGGCTAAAAGGGGAAGTACAGGTCGTCCCCCGTTAATACGAGTCCGGTTAGTACATAAACCCCGTTAGTACATAAACCCCGTTAGTACATAAGAAATCTCAAGTCCCGGACGAAACGTGGTCACTTCCATACAAATTTTGTCGGTTAGTACATAAACCCCGTTAGTACATAACATTTCTCCGTACCCGCATGCCACCTACCTCAATAGTACATAATTTGTTGGTCTTTCGGCCTTCCAGTGGAGGCACATTGTGTTCTAGTTTCTACTTGTGGACGCAATTAGCTCAGAAATCAGAGCGCACATCACAAGCCGACAAAGCCTTGTTTTTTCCAAGTGAAAATTTCTGGTACACAAGCAAGTTATGTACACTTTCGTTTAGTACATAAACCCCGTTCATACATAACATTTATCAAGTCCCAGAGATTATGTATTAACGAGGGACGACCTGTATACCCTAAAATCAAATTTTCACCAGTTGTAGTCTTCGGGGTGCTGAGTCGAATGGTCTTGGTCCGAGGACGCTGAGACGCTCCCTTCCTCCTTTATTCCCAATCGAACTCGCGCACTTCCAACGAAACTGGGTGACTGCGCCCTACTAGATAGGGATTTGTATGGAAAAAGTCACTAAAAACGCCGTTTCGTTCTTATAAAAGTGCGAATGACTGCGATTGGTCCATATGTTGTAGTCATTTGGCCGCTGTGTCGACTGGTTTTGGTCCGAAAAGGCTGCAATGCAGCGTTCGGCCCGTTTTCCCAATCGAACACGGTTGAGTAAGCGGTCACGTGCTCATGCGTACACCAGTCGCCGAATCACCGTGCCTGCAGGCTACAATTTTCACATCAATGTTCAACTCAAAGGTTCAAAGCAGGGAGTCGTAAGAGGCTTTTACGACTCCCTGGTTCGAAGGTTCAACTCGAGTGACATAAATGGGCCCAAACAGGCTGTAAATGAACACGTGACCGCTTACTCAACCGTGTTCGATTGGGAATAAGGGCCGAACGCTGCATCGCAGCCTTTTCGGACCAAAATCAGTCGACTCAGCGGCCAAATGACTACAACATATGGACCAATCGCAGTCATTCGCACTTTTATAAGAACGAAACGGCGTTTTTAGTGACTTTTTCCATACAAATCCCTATCTAGTAGGGCGCAGTCACCCAGTTTCGTTGGAAGTGCGCGAGTTCGATTGGGAATAAAGGAGGAAGGGAGCGTCTCAGCGTCCTCGGACCAAGACCATTCGACTCAGCACCCCGAAGACTACAACTGGTGAAAATTTAATTTTAGGGTATACTTCCCCTTGAACCATGAGCTGTAGTACAGTGGACAATGACACACTGAAGGACCTTCCATAGGTGACACACACACGCACGCACGCACACACACACACACAAACACCCTTCCCGGCAGAGCTGCATTGGCTAGACCTCTGCTGCGCACTGCAAGATGCAGTAAATACCTTGAGATCACGGTGCATAAGACCCCGTGAGTGGACATAGCTGACAGCTGACACAACCTACAAGTGAAACACACACACACACACATGTGCGCGCATGCGCACGCACACACGTACATAAACACATATGCTCATGGTTAAATATTGCACTACCGTAGAATCCCGCGGATAAGCCCACCCGCATATAAGCCCATGCCCGCGCATAAGCCCAGGTTTAGCTCGAACATCACATAGCTTCATCGTACAAGCCCATGGGCCTAGGTCATACCAAGAGTCCATAAATTATGGACTCTTGGTCATACCATGTAAAGTTTTTTTTGTACATAACAAGTCATTTCAATACAATCATCGGTTGTTTTTGTTTGCACAGTGGTTTTCAACAATAGAGAGGTTAAGATGCACGTTATTACTGACGTGACGCGAAAGTTCAGCTCACGTTATTTGCTCACACGTCGAAAAATCAACGCGAGTGACCTGCTGCTCACGTCGAAATTTGGAGTTTTACGCCAAATTTGACGTGAAATTGCGCGTCACGTCGGAAATAACGTGCATCTTAACCTCTCTAATGTAATTCTCACTTCCTTGATACTTTTCAATAGCACATTTTCGGTGTCGGCGTATAAGCCCATGCCCGCGTATAAGCCCAGCGAAATGTCCTTGTGAAACATATAAGCCCATGGGCTTATCCGCGGGATTCTGCGGTAGTACGCGCTTGCACTCCTCGCTATAGCTGTGAGTCTACCCTTGTACACTGACGTCTGCATGTGTTATTTCTCGTTACATGTCCATTCGTAACATGGAAATTGTGGGCACAAGCTCCTTGGCTCACCATCTGAGTTCTTAATACATGTACATTCTATGTCTAGCCAGTCTAATATAATATTATCTTGTTCCATTTCCAGTTCTGTTCATTCTATACTTATTGCCATGATTTGTGTCCAGCGTATAGAGTCTTCACCATTCCCCCAGTTCAGTGCTTTCCATTGCGGGAGACCTATGCAGTACACATCTTCTTAGGTCTCTATTTGTCCCCATGACGTACGCGGTATTTCCTTTCTGTATCCTCTTCCATTTTATCTGACACCAGCACTATTTCTGCATCGCGTATGGCTAGCAGATATGCATATAATCAAGAGTACATAAACTAGAGTGTGCAACTCGGGATGGTTCCTGTGGGAGCGTAATTCGTGCACTACGTCATTTCTGACGGCATGGTAAGCCACAGGTACGGTGAAAAGTTGCGTAACCAGTCGCGGTGGTGCAGTTCACTGAGTTTGTCCTGATTTCGGTTTTTTGAGACGGATAGCCTGGTGACTTTACTTGTCGGTGGATGTACGCAGTCACACAAAACACCGAAATCTTGAAACAGGACGTCTAAAATCAAGCAAACTTGGCTGATTTCCGGGCTATGAAACATGAAAATTTGAGCTCTACGCAAGTCGCGGCTTGGCTGATCTCATCAGGGTGACGTAGTGCACGAACTGCGCTGTTTCAGATCTGATATGCACAGTTGCACACTCTGGTTTATGTACTCTTGATATAATGCAAGTATGGTGTCATTCGACTGCTTTTCATGTACTTGGTCCGGCTCATCGCAATTGTCGCTTATCTATCGCCACTAAGAACAGGAGTTTTTATTACCGCTCTGTGAAATTTTCAATAGGCATAGTGAGGAAGCATGATACATGAATACTCTCCGCCACAAGAAAAAAGTTTCAGCGATTGAATCTGGTGAAGCGAGTCGAAGAAAGGAAGCAAGGTAAGCAAAATGCACGAAATAAATCAGCGAAGGAGCGCGTTCTTGCACTCACACTCTTACAGGTCCAGAGTTCATTCACCTCTGCATCACTCGAGCTGCCGTGCTGTTACATGAGCTGACATTTGCTGGTGTCTAGCTGCTGGCGTAGACTGGTACAGTGGTAGAGTATCTCTTGCTTTCTCAGCCTGTCGTATGGCAGCAATGGGAAAGGAACAGTTGTGGCTGTCACTTCGGTGCTTGAAGGAACCGTGGGCAGTGTGACCTGTGTGTCGCCACAGTGTGTTTCAACAAAGCCTTAGAATGAGGAATCCTCTCCAGACAGCTGTCATACGCTCCACTGGATACGCTGACCACGACTCTCGTAATGCTGCTGCTACTAGTGCTAGGTCCACAAAGCGCATCAAAAACACCTTTCTTCTTCAGCATGACGCTCATACTCCTCTGCCGTGCACGCGTGCCTGTCACGCTCTCCAGGATGTCAGTTGCCCCTACCACAGTTCCGGTCTTCGGGTCGCTGCGTTTGGATTTTTTTGGCAACACAGACAGATTCCCACTTCCCAAAAAGGTCGAACACATCGCGATTCAAAGCGCTAGTCGCGATCATTTTTTCTTTGGTGCCCCCTTTGATCTTGCCATCACAACCTCCCAAGCAAAAGTAAGTTATTGGACTGGGTTTTACCTGTTAAAAGGTGCGTGGGAGATAAGCGACAATTGCGATGAGCCGGACCAAGTAGTGCAATCCATCATTGCACTGGCATCAAGCTTCTACATGTTGCCGTTCAAAGTGAAGGACCAACTACTTTGAAGTAGGAAACTTTTGCTAGAACTTCCGTTGTGCTTCTAAAACCTTAAAACCATTGTTAATGTCATGTATGTACCGGTACCCATTATTGGGTTGCGAAAAAATTCAAAGTCTGACATGCGGCTTATCCTCTGAATGCCAACAGAAATACGAGTTTTGGGCCCGAAATGGGAGGGTGTGCGGCTTAGACCCCGGTGCGGCTAACACCCTGAAAAATACGGTACCTACTACATACCCATCCACACCAGCGATGACTCACACGCACACACAAGTACACGTACACAGGCATACCTGATAGAAGATTCTCATGCAGACGGCGATGTCGCGGTCGTTGTCACACAGGCACAGCCACTGCTTCAGGTCATGCTCTCGACACAGCTGCATCTGGATGAAGAGGTACATGCGGGACTGCTGCTGCTGACGCTGCTCAGTATGCTGGTGATGCCGGTCATGATTCGGTTTTAGAGGAGCAAGTCCAGCATCACTTGCCGAGCTGCAGCCAGGCATGAACAAGTCTCCATCTCCATCGTCTACAAAGTGGAAGAACATGAAGGCAGAACGGCAACTTACTAGTACCGTAAAATCCCGCCAGAGCGCCCCTACCTCCTCGACACTTCAGGTGGGGAGGGGCGGATGGGCGAGTCCTACTTGCCGCATTCAGTGCTACATGAAAAAGTACTCACCCTACGAAAACTGCTCGTGCATCTCGTACACCGACCAAAGGTCAAGAGCCAGGAGTCGTACAGACCCGACAAAACGCAGGGTTTGTGCGATCCCTGGTCAAGAGGGTGGGCACTGTTGCGTACATTTCCAACGGGGTTGAGCACGTGTCTGCAGTACAGTACGGCATCACAGACTGCGACAGAGTCATACGAGGATACAATCAATCACGTCCCTGACAAGAAGTCAGGGAGGGGCGGATGGGAGAGACGGGGCGCTCTGGCGGGATTTTACGGTAAGTGTGACTACGTTAGCAACCGGCAGTATTTCAGAGTCATGGAAGACTGAACACATCCTCCCGTGCACAGCACACATCTTTCAATCTGAAAGCAGTTTAGCAACTAGTAAACACGTCTTTGACTTTCAATTGTTATCATCGTGTGGAAGTGATGCGGTAGAAGGGAAAGACATTTGTGTTACGAACCCCAGCATGACCCCCCCCCCCCCCCCCTCCTCCTCTCAGCTACATTTTCCTGGTACGATCCACTGCATTGTCCGAAATGTCAACTGCTCTTCTGTTTATAGACTTACCAGATGCAGAGCTTGCGCCATACATAGAGCTATCTTGTTGTTCATCTTCAGAGCTGGATGCTATTGTTGCAAGCTGGCTGCAGTGCATGCCCCTTGATGAATTCAGCGAGTTCCGAGAGCGAGCGGACGTGCTGCTGCAAAACACAATTCCGGTGGAGTCATCGGTGAAGTGATCCAAAGATGGCTTTCTTGGCATGTGTTTACGACAATGATGGCGTCCTATGTTGTGTAGGGGGGTTGATGAGTGACTACCAGTAAATGAATCGGCCGTTGAAGACTGAGCGGAGGCCTGCAAGATACATGACAGCAGATGAAACGGTGTACTTCAGTCAATTACTCCCACAATGGGGCAAGTCCAGTTCTGCTTGAATACCATATGTGTTGACTAGATCTACTGCTCACATAAATATGAAAGTACTCAAATCTGTGGACAGCAACTGTTTCGCTCTGTTAGAGCTCCTCAACACAGCTCAGAGGACCGAAGCGCAGCTCTTCGCAATGAAATACGTTTCCGTGAAGCAAAGCATTTTTATAAAGAGCTGCAAACCCCGCCAAGAGTGCTCGAAACGCTCCAAGAGCAGTGAGCGTTTCACAAGGCGAGCGGCAAGGGTTCGCGCTAAGGCAAGAGTGCTCAACCTAACAACATTGCTGACGCTAGGGAGCATAATACTCAAATCTGTGGACAGCAAATGAAAGTAGATGACAGTTCAGTTAGGCGCACAAGGACAACCAACCAAAAGGACACTGACAGCAACATAGACAACAATGCCACGCCAGTTGTCCTCACCTTATCGGCCGGGCCAAAACGTTCGTCAGCTGAACCCGAGGATACACTGAAGAACACATGCGTACGCATATGTGCACACGCGGGTGCACACACACACACACACACGAGTGCACGCACGCACACACGCACACACACACACACACACGCACACACACACAAGTGCGAGCATGCCCACACAGTGCACACAGAGTCATTAGAGTACTGCAACTTCAAGTCAGGTAGGCAGCAGTTCTCCCTACTTTCTAACTTACTAACAAACTGTGAGTGTCATGCACTTGGCAATCATCAGGTGACCGATGACAAACTGCTCTGCTCATTTATGTGCATAAACCCTGCCATTTAGGCAAGGATTATCTTGCCTTCCTTCACAACTACTGTACTTCAAAGCATCTCAGTGCATACGAGTACAATGACATAAGGATGACGTGAACATGGGAACGGGGCACACAATCATGATGGAAACCTTACCCGTAGATTGAGAAGTCGCTTTGCTCTGCCGCACAGTCCGGTGAAGCTATGGCGACAGGGTAATCGAAAGGTAGGTCCTCCATCCAAGCATTGTAGTAGCGCACGATGTTCTGATGGTCCAGAGCGGCCAGTGCTTTCACCTCACGCATCACTTTACGTTGGTCCTCAGAGCTACGCCAAAGGATACCCAGAGAACAGAAAACATGAGAAGATAATGAGGACGATGTGCACAGATAAGGGCGCACACAGATACATGTACACACACACACACACAACATACATACACACGCAAACACGCGTGCCCCCAACTCACTTGGTAGGCAATCGAATTCTCTTGACAGCGTACGGCTGACCATCAAAGGCATTGCGTACGTGGAACACTTTGCCAAATCCACCACGGCCCAAATAGCGGATAGTCTCAAAGTCGTTGTCAAATCTAAGCACAGAGAGAAACAACAGTGAATTAGAAAATGCTCCCATGAATTGATGAAGACCTAACATTACCATGAGCTGACTACAGTCACATTGCATGGCAACGCAGCTGAGAGCCGGAATCCAGGCACAGCAAGAAGGCAGCAATACCTGTGCCTGTGGTGAAGTAAAATAAAGACAACATAACATTCTTGCCTGTTCGATAGCTACACAACAACAGTGCTGTAACCATACAAGTACTGGTCAACACATACAAGTACTGGTCAAAACATACGTGTACACGTACATGTATATGTAGTTGCTAAATTCCCATTCGACATCCTGGCCATGTAAATGTTACAAATGCCATCAGGGAAACTGCTTTGCCAGTAATTTTCTTCAAACCTTCAGCTGAAGGGTACTCTGAAGACTGCTACAACATGGTAGTGAATACAGTCAATGTATTGTAAGAAAGAGAATGGTGGGAACGGCGTGAGCATTATTGGGAGCACCTGCCTTCTTACGCCCTTGCAACAGGTTATACCTCAGGCGGGGAGGCATGAATATGCAACATGCACTCAGAAAGGACTAGAGCCATGTGTGAAGATCAGCTAACAGCTAGAAGCTTCAGGTAACAACATAGAAATGCCCTATCTAACAGTTAGGTGCCATGATGGAGTATCACCGTAGGACCTAGCCAGCACTAAATCATGCCAGGGCTGCCTCATGGCTGTCGTTCATGATTTCAGCTGGGGCCGGGCATGGTGTCATACAAGTGAAATATTGCCGTCTTTCATGAAGAGGGCTGCTAGATTCAGGAGAAAGGCTTACCTTGACGGGGTGTGCCCTTGGTCTGAGTTGGTGCTGGACTGATGCTGCAAGGACTGCAATTCACACAGAGGGTAGGGCGTGCAAAGGGACACACACATGATAGGAATGACAGTGACATGAAATGTAAGAGGCGATGAAGTTGCAAGTTTACTCAACACCTAGTAGGCTACATGTACACTCCACGCATAGCAGAGCAGATTGTTATGCCTGGTGACTGCTTGCATTCACAATACCATACAGGGCCAAAAGATTAAACACACCGCAGAGTTTGGACCACACATGGTGCCATGGACCATGTATGGTGTTTGAACTGTGTAGTTAGTCTGGACCAGATACACGTACAGTGTTTGGACAGCAAACAACAAGGACAGTCAAGGCTTGTTTGCTGCTACTTCAAGTTTCATACTCTCGCAATCATCAGGCAAGAACAGACCAACAAAAACAAAACAAAAGGATTGTCCTTGTTGCTCTGTATTACGCTCTGCCTCTGCGGTGTTGAGCACTGTCAGCACACTGGGTACATCCTCCAATAAGTGCAACCTACAAAAAACTCTGGATACCATACTAACGAGATGTAACCCTTGTCCACCATGAAGTGCTGGATTAGTTCAGGTTATAACAGCCATCGTGACTACCTTCATGGACGGAGACGAAATTCACTTCAAAAATGATATGCGTAGCAAAGCCATTGTGGCTGCATGTACAAGAGACAACTTACAATGCGTCGCTGCAGCAGTTAGTCTGGGGGCCAGGGGGATTATTTTTGAAGTTTCGTTCCGGGTAAGAGGGCACCAAGTTTTGTCGATTTGAGTGTCAAGTATCTTCAAAATGCTGGAAGATGGTATGCCATTCAATCAAAATTTCCATCGGGAAGGTCATACAATGAAGGTGGAAAGAATTGATGATGGTTGCCATGGCTACACATCAGTTAATTCAAATATACAGGAGAACTATGCGATATTTTGACAAAATTCCTGCTGGATATAAACATATCCAATACGTATGACTGGTTGGCCAAGTTTGACTGAAAACAAATAAACTTCAGGGCCTCAAAGGTGAATTATAAAATCGGATCTACTGGAACTATACATTACTGTACATACGTAATTAAATATGCATGCATACACCGACAACTGTACAAATATATTGGTGACCAGGGTACATGTGACATCTATAAAGCCTTTTAGAAAAGAGATAGAAATGAATAGAGTAGTCTGTGACCAATGGTGATCTAAATAAATGGATATACATGTACATGTACATGCCTGAGATGGCATGAAACTTTGTTGTGACTGATCAAGCCATCTGTTGTTCTGACAAGTGTGTACATGTACATGTACATGTATGTATGTATGGCGAAGAGGAAAATGTAGAGGGAAATAGAGCACGCCAAAGCAGTTCTCTAAGTACCTATCAGTTGGTAGCAACAAAGAAGAGCTCGTGGCATTCTTTGGTGGTGAAGTGGCAGCTCCCGGACAACCTGACAAGGTGCCCCCAGGCAAGGAACTGGTTGTCACTGCGGGCCAAGAGTCACAATTGTCAAGTCGGCTGGTGCAAGCATGGCGTTTACTGCTGTGGAGGAGTTGCTGTTAACCCAGGAACTCTCTTCCACTGCCTCACATCAAGAGCTGACATTGATTGTGGCTACGAGCTCCTCCAGCAGGGCATTGATGCGTTTTCCCGTTGGGGACATAAGTGGAGGATCAAATTTGAGCTCTCCAAGACGCAGGCTATGTCTATAGGCCACCATCGCCAGCCCTGGGAGCTCCCTCGAGCAACATTTGACGGCACACCGGTCAGTGAAGAGAGTCGGCTGAAACTCCTGGGAGTCACCTTTGACGACACCCTGAGCTACTCCTTCCACCTCCGCTCCCTAGCTTCCCGTGCTAACCAGCGGATTGGCTTCCTGAAGCGAGCGTCTCCCATTCTGGTCGCCGAGAGCCGCCAACGCGTCTACAACGGCTTTGTGCGACCCACACTCGAGCATTGCCCCTTAGTGTGGATGGGCTCACCCTCGTCCCATCTTAAGAAGCTGGACCAGATCCAGCGAAGGGCCCTCTACATCATCGGAGCAGGTACTTGGCTCCCTAGCCTGGCACTCCGTCGCCTGGTAGCTGCACTTGCCTATACCTACAAGCTCTGCTATCTAGATGCATCCAGCCCTCTGAAGCAGATGCTGCCCAAACCAGCCACTCACCGTGCCCCCAAGACAAGACCTACCCGTCAGTCTCTCCAGCTGCAGGATTCCCATCCATACCAGATGACAACTGGCCTGCCTGCCAACACCCGGAATAGCTGTCTCCAAGGATTCCCTGCTTGCACCGTTGCAACATGGAATGCCCTGCCACCAGACCTGTTCCACCACCCACCCGCCCAGCCCCTAATGCAAAACTTTAAGAAAAAGGTGTACCGTCACCTTCTTGCTCAGGACTGGCTCTCTGCTACTGATGCACTTTGAATCGGTTCACCAACGCTTTCCCTGTTCTTATTAGTGTTCAGCTGCTTACCTTATAACCCTGCTGCCATCATCACCAATATTCTGATTCCCATGCACATGTCCCAGAACCTGCTATCCTTCGCAGTCCCCATCACCAAGAGCACTGTGCTCTTCTATCTCCCAGCTCTCTCTCTCTCTCTCTCTCTCTCTCTCTCTCTCTCTCTCTCTCTCTATCTCTCTCTCTCTCTCTCTCTCTCTCTCTCTCTCTCGCTCTCTCGCTCTCTCTCGCTCTCTCTCTCTCTCTGTCTCTCTCTGTCTCTCTCTGTCTCTCTCTCTCTCTCTCTCTCTCTCTCTCTCTCTCTCTCTCTCTCTCTCTCTCTCTCTCTCTCTCTCTCTCTCTCTCTCTCTCTCTCTCTCTTCTTCTTCTCTTCTTCTCCCCCCCCCCCATCTCCCGATAATTATTAGCCCCCGTTTTCTTTCGACACGTTTGCTGTGCAGTGAAGCCGAGACCCTAGGTCGGTGGAGCACATCAGATCCCGTCACCACGTCCACGATTCATACCTGCGATGCTGCACCGCTGCTTTGCATGTCATGATTGGAAGCTGTGGCCTTAGTAAAAAAAGGGGGGGGGCACCAACCTGCACCCACCTCCACCAGCAACGTACGCGGGATAACATGGCTAACAGAACAAGCAATGATGGCAACATCGGTATCTCGTGTTCTTATCAGAACGGTCTCATACCCACTGACAGCTGCATGCCTTGCATGAAGGAGCAGTCTGGTGTCAGCCTCTTCCTGGGTTAACAGCAACTCCTCCACAGCAGTAGACGCCATGCTTGCACCAGCCGACTTGACTATAATTATTATGCACTCTTGGCCCGCAGTGACAACCAGTTCCTTGCCTGGGGGCACCTTGTTCAGGTTGTCCGGGAGCTGCCACTTCACCACCAAAGAATGCCACAAGATCCTCTTTGTTGCTACCAACTGATAGGTACTTAGAGAGAACTGCTTTGGCATGCTCTGTTTCCCTCTACATTTTCCTCTTCGCCATATATACATGTATTAGTGTCTATCCATTAGATCACCATTGGTCACAGATTGCTCTATTCATTTCTAACTCTTTTCTAAAAGGCTTTATAGATGTCACATGTACACTGGTCACCAATATATTTGTACATTTGTCGGTGTATGCATGCATATTTAATTACGTATGTACAATAATGTATAGTTGCAGTAGATCCGATTATATAATTCACCTTTGAGGCCCTGAAGTTTATTTGTTTTCAGTCAAACTTGGCCAACCAGTCATACGTATTGGATATGTTTATATCCAGCAGGAATGTTGTCAAAATATTGCATAGTTCTCCTGTAAATTTGAATTAACTGATTTGTTGCCATGGCAACCATCATCAATTCTTTCCACCTTCATTGTATGACCTTCCCGATGGAAATTTTGATTGAATGGCATACCATCTTGTAGCATTTTGAAGATACTTGACACTCAAATCGCAAAAACTTGGTGCCCTCTCACTCGGAACGAAATCTATTAGACGTGACTTTTTCCTAACTTGGCCCCCGGACTAAGTGGTGTTGGGAGTGGAGGGAGGCTCAGAGTAGTTGTCAGACTTGAAGATAGCAGGCTCTGAACTGCAGGCCGCTTGACCATTTCATCATTGGGACGCTGCAAAGAGAAGGAACATGAAAACCATCACTGGAGGTTACTGTAGAAATGAACTGTTGATCTAGCAGACTAGCTAGCACATCCAAATACATGTGCCTTTCATCATCCCTCACAAATTCCTAGGCTCAGACAGAAAAGAGTTCTCGTAGGGTAAAACTGTCCCCTATGCTGTCCCTGAGCCCGTAGGCTCTTTGTTCAGTGAGCAAGAAGTATATTAGGCCTTGGCGGATAATGCTCGAAAAGGTGGCAGATTCTGCTTTTTTTGCACCGAAATTGGCAGAACCATACAAACCTTATGGCGGGCAATTTCTCGAATTCTGCTCCATTTCTTTATCCACATACCAAACATGCATAAAATTACCAGAAAATGTACTTAATTCTGCCAATTTTTCTGCCGGCATTATCCGCCAAGCCCTAAAGTATATTAGCAGGTATCTGTCAGAGACTGGTGATGTACATTCAAACAGTGACTGCAGGAAGGCAGACTAATAACAGGACTTCTCTTGTTTGTGCCGGGGGAGTGCTTCAAAGCTCAAACTACGATAACACCATGAGCCATAAAAATACTTACGTCTGTTTGATGAGGACGAGTGAAGGCCTTGTAAGCCAGCACGCTCACAAAACTTGACGTCAGCATAAGCCAAATAGCCTCCATCCTGCAACAGAAAGAATATCGGAGTTGAAACAGAGTATGACTGTACTGAACCACCAATACTGAGTACGCATTGGTGTGCGCACTATAGGCACCAATACAAACTAACGTACTCAGCCAATGCACTTGTGGCAATGTTTTTTTCGGTTCTCCCCATTAGCCGCCGCAAGAACAGCAGCAGGGGTACTTGTAAGATTAAACAAGCGTGACAAAGCAGCAAATGTGTGACCCTTACCAGCAAAGACGAAGAGTTACAACGTCAGGTGTCTTGTCGTTTTCATGCTGATACTGAAGGTGGTTGGCCTCAATATCTAAGTGTGGTGAGGAGAAGGCATGTAGAGGTGGCATCCAACGACCACTAGTAGGGCTAATGGATGAGCCTGTGTTTGGAAGAGCATAGAAAGATAACAAAGAACACATAAAGAGCAAGATTGATGGCACCGCACAAGAATGACTTGTCCGCGAATGTGGCGCCAATATTCACAACAAGAAATGCACTTGGCTCAGTGCCAATGCATACAGTACACATACTGGTAATATCAGGAGCCCATCACCCGAAGAGTTTGCAACTGCCTGTATTATCTCCACCTAGTGCTGTGCTGGCAGAGTCTTTCCAGTAGACTACACTCGTGTGGGTTATGTACTCTTGGTAGTATCAGTGTGACCTGTTTCCCCAGCTGATGGTCAAAAATGAAGTACAGCAAAATGAGTTTGTACCTATTTGCAACCAGTACAAGAAAGAAATAATTGTAGACATATACTTGTACTGAGAGTAACTTCCGGTTTAGTGTAGGAGGGCGGAAAGGGGGGCCTAACCAGGGACTCAAGCCCTGCCAAGGCATGGAGCTGGTAGTGTTTCCACATCCCTCGGAAGCACCAACCTCAGGCGCAGCAAGACACGTTGCAAACTATTTTCACTTCATAGGCACCAAAGAGCGTAATTTAAAGGGGAAGTATACCCTAAAATCAAATTTTCACCAGTTGTAGTCTTCGGGGTGCTGAGTCGAATGGTCTTGGTCCGAAGAAGCTGAGACGCTCCCTTCCTGCTTTATTCCCAATCGAACTCGCGCACTTCCACCGAAACTGGGTGACTGCGCCCTACTAGATAGGGATTTGTATGGAAAAAGTCACTAAAAACGCCGTTTCGTTCTTATAAAAGCACGGATGACCACGATTGGTCCATATGTTGTAGTCCTTTGCCCGCTGAGTCGACTGGTTTTGGTCCGAAAACGCTGCGATGCAGAGTTCGGCCCTTATTCCCAATCGAACACGGTTGAGTAAGCGGTCACGTGCTCATTTACAGCCTGTTTGGGCCCGTTTATGTAACTCAAAGTTGAACCTTTGAACCAGGGAGTCGTAAAAGCCTCTTACGACTCCCTGCTTTGAACCTTTGAGTTGAACCTTTATGTGAGAAATGTAGCCTGCAGGCACGGTGACCAGGCGACTGGTGTACGCATGAGCATGTGACCGCTTACTCAACCGTGTTCGATTGGGAATAAGGGCCGAACGCTGCATCGCAGCCTTTGCGGACCAAAACCAGTCGACTCAGCGGCCAAAGAACTACAACATATGGACCAATCGCGGTCATCCGTTCTTTTATAAGAACGAAACGGCGTTTTTAGTGACTTTTTCCATGCAAATCCCGATCTAGTAGGGTGCAGTCACCCAGTTTCGGTGGAAGTGTGCGAGTTCGATTGGGAATAAAGGAGGAAGGGAGCGTCTCAGCTTCCTCCGACCAAGACCATTCGACTCAGCACCCCGAAGACTACAACTGGTGAAAATTTGATTTTTAGGGTATACTTCCCCTTTAAGGTGGCTGGGGCGGTACAGTTTTTTTGGGAAAATTTTGACTGCATTTTTGAGTTTATCGGCAAGGCAGAGATGAAATTTGAAAATGTTTTCTGGTGAATCTCTGGAGAATAGCCTTCTCTAGCTTGCTATAGTTTTATTTTTACTTTTGGACAAAATTTGAAAACGTTTTATGAAAGGTTCGTGTTATTTTTTCGTGCCAAAATCACCTGGTCACCACGCCAGCAGGCGACAACTTTCACACCAAGGTTCAACTTGAGTTCAACTCGAGTGACAGGACTGCACCCAAAAAAGGTCAAACAGGCCAGTAAGTTGTACCCTGCAGGCACGGTGACCAGGTGACTGGTGTACGCAGGAGCACGTGACCGCTTCTTCAACCATGTTCGATTGGGAATAAAGGAGGAACGCTGCATCGCAGCCTTTTCGGACCAAAACCAATCGACTCAGCGTCGAAAAGACTACAACATATGGGCCAATCGCGGTCATCCGTGCTTTTATAAGAACGAAATGGCGCTTTTAGTGACATTTTGCATACAAATCCCCATCTAGTAGGGCGCAGTCACCCAGTTTCGGTGGAAGTGCGCGAGTTCGATTGGGATTCAAGTAGGAAGGGAGCGTCTCAGCTTTCTCGGACCAAGACCATTCGACTCAGCACCCCGAAGAGTAAAACTGGTGAAATATTTCCCGTAGCTATGCAGAAGACGTTACTTCAGTAACGTCTGGCGCTAGCCAGGGTCCACACAGCTTTAATTTGGTATTTGTTTGTTTGTGTGTTTGTTTGTTTGTGTCACGCCTGGCGCTATCCGTATCTGACGGCAAAAAAGCATAGGATGTTATAAATTTTTCAATTCTCCTATTTTTTTTCAGGCATATCCTAGGATTCGAACCCGCACTATCGCCCTACATGCATTCCCCCATACACTTCGCATTCACACCCATTCTTCCAAGTTGCTTCACGTTATTATCTTGCGTTTGAAAGCCCTATTTGAATATTGCGGCAGCTAGACGGTGTTGTATTACCCTCGATCGTACCTGTCCCGTACCTATCCCCTGCCGTACCGTGCCATCAAAGACGGCTGGCCACAATGCATATTCAAATAGGGCTTTCAAATGCAAGATCACAATGTGAAACAACTTGGAAGAATTAGTATGTATGCGAAGTGTATCGGGGGATGCATGCAGGGCGCACCATAGTGCGGGTTCGAATCCCAGGTTTTAAAAAAAGGATTTTTTTTAAAGAATTTATAACATCCCTATGCTTTTTTTTGTCTAGGGCTGCGTTCGTTTTTAGCTACCTGGTAGAGTAGAGTAGAGTCACTCTACCGATAGAGGTAGATGGTAGAGGCAAGTGTACGAACGCTGTTCTACCGGATCTAGTAGTTTACACGATGTGTACGTGAAATGTTTCTTTTTTTTATGGAGTTGTGTACAAATCCTTGATCTTGCTGGAAATCCCGTAGCTCTACCAACTTCTACCGGATTCTACCAACTTTTTCCCGGTAGAGCCGGTAGAGGAAAGTAGAATCTACCCTTTTGAGTAGAATTTTTTTTCAAAAAACGAACACCTCTACCAAAAGAAGTAGTTTCTACCCAAACCTGTAGATTAAAAACGAACGCCCCCTAGGTCATCAAGGCAAAAAAGCATAGCGTAGGGCCCTAGGCCCTGAGCTTCCTAGCTTTCTCGTAATTTTTGCCTTAACTTCCCCTTTAAGTTTTTTTTTCTCCAGAAAACAGCTGTAATGACCCGAATTCGACTCATCGTGAAAGCAACCACGCAATGAGATTCAGCAGCCAAAGATGGGCTCCGAATTATTCTAGAGTTCTGTAAGAACCATGATTTGTCCTGCGAAGGATTTGGCACTTTCGTTAGTTGAGCAATCATGGCTTACAACTCGTGGCCTAGAGTCACAAGTGTTGTCGTACGTCGGCAACACCAAGTACAAGTCGTCAACATTGTACTCACTACACTGTTGAGCTTGAGGGGACCCTGCTTAGGCTGCGTTTACACGACAACGCTGGGGGCGAGAACGCAACGAAATCCTTTCGGATCCAGGGTTCATTTACACGGTACGCGGAGCAAAACGTAAAAGTTGTACACCAAAACGGAAGAAAACCAAAACGCTGGCCAAGGTGGAAGAATTTGAAAACGGAAATGTTGTGCCGGATAAATTTGGGTGTGTAAACAGTCGAAACGGTGTGCTGGCCTCGTTTTCCGTCACGTTTGTTTCGTTTTCGGCCGTTTGCACGGATCCGACAATCCAAAAAAATGTTTTTACAATTTTCGTCATGTGACGTGTGTTGTCGTGTGCCTGTTTTCAAACATTACTTGAGTGTGTAGCAAGAAGGACCCATGAGTGTGTGTGATCCCCGGTAGCCTAATCGGTAGGGCACTGTCCCGGAAAGACAGGGGTGCTGGGTTCGAATCCCGCTCGTGGATCCTTCTTTTGCAACATTGGCGCCTGGCAATGGCTCGAACCCACGACCCATCGTACCCCCCGCGAGCTAGGTACGGCGTGAGGACACAGCCTGTTGGGGCGGGGGAGCAGTGTAGCAAGAAGGACCCATGAGTGTGTGTGATCCCCGGTAGCCTAATCGGTAGGGCACTGTCCCGGAAAGACAGGGGTGCTGGGTTCGAATCCCGCTCGTGGATCCTTCTTTTGCAACAAGTGTGATTGGTGCTTCCACGGCAACACTTGGCACATGACAAACTTTGGCGGATTCTTTGCTCTCGTGTAGACGCTTGAAAACGATACAAACGGAGACCACCTCGGATCGGCTTTGATCGTGTAAACGTACGAAAACGAAAAAAGAAATGCGGGACTGAAAACGGAAAACTGGCCGTGCGTTGTCGTGTAAACGCAGCCCTAGTCCTGCAAAGGAGCTGATACCTTTGTTAGTCGAGCAAGCAAGGCCCCTCTTCTCGCGTCGTAAGACGTAAAGGGTCCTGCAAGTGCTTCGCGCACTGCGGACTCCGTTATCCCTTTTTGGGAGAGGTCACGGCTTGACCGTGAAGCACCCTACGGGGCAATGAGAGGGAAGAGCCTACGGGCAGGAGATGAAGGGTGACCATCAATCAAGGCAGCGCACGAAGGCGGCAAGCTCTGGCTGCAGCAACTTCCGACAGCGTACTCCAGGCCCGTCGTACGAAGAGCCTCGGAGATAAATAATATTAGCAATACTATCCTGTAATGTGGGTGAGCGAGCTCCCCGGAACTATACTAAATATTTACTACTAATTATTGTATCACAATTATACTTTAACAAAATCACATAAAAGCAGCCTTCTCCAACGAATAAAGTATCTTTGATCGCTCCCCTTCAACCTTCGACTACCTTGTGTGAGCCGGAAAACAGGTGAGCTACTTATCTGCTTGAGTCAACTATATTGGTTGACGACCTGGTGCCACTAGATGGACCACCAGCCATGACATTGGGTGCTGTGACCAGGATCAAGCGATAATGCTAAAACATTGTTATGTGTGTCTCCTTCTTGAACAGAGTCGAGAATGGCTGACAAACAGCAAAAGCGTGGCCCACCCGAGGCGCGACTCCCACGACATGCCGCGCATCAGCAAGACCTGATCGTTGCCTTGCAGGCAGGTGCCTCAGCATTGGAGGCCTTGCATCGGCATTCACAGGCTCAGAAGCTCCGGGCTATTGCAGGCGGGCTAACGTCCATCTTGATGGCATTGAAGAAATTCTCTGCAGCAATCGAAGAGGGGCCTCCCCCGCAACGGCGACAACGCCTCGCAATCGTGCACATGCAGATGCAGTCACTGCAGCCCGAGACGCCGCAAAGGCCGAACGCGAACGCCTGACGGCAACAACCGACGCGGCCGTCGACGACGCCGCCAGCTTGGCCTCGGCCGAAGCCGAGATGTTATCGTAATTAACTTGAAAGATGGCCCTTGAGGCGAACTTGAACAAACTTGTGTTTTTGTGTGTCAAAGCATGAGGGTTGATATTGGACTAGTGGTATAAACTAGCTCCAAGGACTGCATGTACAAGGTAGTCAAACGAGGACGCACCCCAGCATGCTGCGTAGATCCACACTCCTGTGCTTTCGAGTCAGGAATGGGAGAAATCAGACTAGAAGTAAGTTGTACTCATAGTCTGACTAAAAAACAGCGTAGCCTGGCCAGATGGGGTCAGCAGGAACGTCGATTCAGGAAACTTCTCAACGGGAAGTGAATAAGGGGTGACTCGTCACACCTGAGCGGTACTCGAGGACCAGTAGACCCTCTACGGTCACTTGGGATCGCAACATTGCACAGTGTACTACTGATACAGTGACTGGCGACAGTCCGCATTTAGATTGTGTGCGCAGACGCTGCGCAGGCCGCGCCACGGCGCCGAATGCAAACTGGCGCTGACACGTCAGCAGCCCAGGGATAAAAGAGACCGATGTGGGGTTAGGAAATCATTCCACCTTCGGGTCTGCCTAAGAAGCTTAAACAGCCTCTCCTTCAAGCTTTGCTTGCCTCTCGTGCTTATTACTAATTATTAGATCACAATTATACTATAACAAAATCACATAAAAGCCGCCTTCTCCAACGAATAAAGTATCTTTGATCGCTCCCCTTCAACCTTCGACTACCTTGTGTGAGCCGGAAAACAGGTGAGCTACTTATCTGCTTGAGTCAACTATATTGGTTGACGACCTGGTGCCACTAGATGGACCACCAGCCATGACACAGCAATTCGAGTAGTATTTAGGTTGTACGTCATTGAGTACTACTTTTTGACTCTGCAAGTCAAAGTGGCTGGCACATGCCTGTCCCTCCAGGAACTTGCGATTCCGCGGCCGCGTTGTTTTCCGCGATTCGAACAAAAGCCCGCGAAATCATCCGCGTTATTGTAGAAAACTGTCCTTGATACTTCGAAAAGCACTGGCGTTGTTCGAGTCTTTCTTCTATGTTGTTTAGTTCTTCGAGCTCGTCAGTAGTTTACTTGTGAGATCGACACCAAAATGGAGAAGTTTCTGGGCAAATCAGCGGCTGACAAGTCAAAAAATAAAGCTTGCGTCGAGTGTTGTCCGGCGATGGAAGAAAGCTGTCTTGCAAGCTCCTGTCAAGCAGTTGAACACAGTCGCAATCGAGTACAGCGCAGCGCTGCAGCACACGTTCTGTTTTGCCATGCATGATTTATGCTACCGTATGCTGTACCGCACTACAGTACAAGTACCAAAATCGCAATTTCCGCAATTTTACCACAATAATCCCGCAATTGTTGACAAAATCCGCAATATTCCTCGCAATTTGTGGCATTTTACCTCGCAACGTTTTCCGCGGTATTTCCGAAATTTCTCCGCAAGTTTCTGGAGGTACAGATATGCGCCTGTACGCAACTGAAGCATGCTGAAAAAGATATGTTGGAACATCCATTTGAACCATTTCAGTGTGCTTCCATGCGCATGATGGCCCAAAAGCCAGCAAAGTACACACACACACACACACACACACGTGGTTTCATGTGTACAGGCGCCAGTTATGAACACCATTCCAGGGCCATCATTGGTGCAATCCCTGACAACGAATAGATCGTGATAGTAAATCTAAACACGATATGTTACATATGTATAACATGTCTGAAGTCTGCTGAGGGATGTTTCTATTCAGGTCATAACATACCTTGTGTCTTACCTTGAGTGGGATTGGGGCCAGCACTCTCCATTGCACTCGCCATTGCACTCTCCATTGGTCTTGTTGTCATGCTGGCGCTAGCTCGTGCAGTGCCAACATTCAAATATTGCTGCTGGTCCTTGACAGGAGTCGGAGATTGGCACCGTCCCGGGTCATCATGCACGACTGGTATAGAGCTGTGCGTCACGTCATGTTGGTGCAGCTGGGAAAGGTACGAGTGAGTGAGTCGAGTGGAGATTACTGATGTGGTAGGAAAGCAAGGCAACTCTTTGGATCGGAGTCGTATGGTCGAATCCATGCGAAGTCCTTGTATGCTGTCATGTGTCGGCAACTGCCTCCCATAGACGGGTTGATGTAGCGATTCTCCTGCCGTGCTCAGAAAACGAGCATTTCTGGGCAAATGAAACAGTAGAAACGTGAAGATTAATAATTATGATATGCATGCCCTACTGGTGCCATTGTATAAATATTACGGCAGTGATAGTGTGGAGGTGCCATGTACCATCATACCCCTAGTACTTGAAGAACTCTTTTCCAGTGAGCTCCTATCAAGACTGTCATGCACTCTGCGTATCCAAATGGTGAAAAGGAACAATGTACAGTAACCTTGAAAAGTATAGCATACTCAACCATCGGTACTTATGCTCTACAATGATTACAAAAGACGATATGCATTCCTAGAAGCGAACCGTATGTAGCCAAGAAGAGATTTTGGGTGGTCTTCAACTGTAAGGTGCAAGGCAAAGGCAAACATGCAAACAAGTTTGGAAGTCTGAAGAAAATGTTGAACGGTCTCTTCTGGGATGACAGCTATACCATAAGTACATGTAGTCAGCTCAGTGGTTAGAGCATCGCTGGCCTTAATCAAAGGTCCCTGGTTTGAGTCCTGGTGGTGACAGCCAATTTTTCTTCAGACTTTTCCCTTTTCCATTCCCTCAACTAGTGAACATGCAAGAAAAGCCAAATTTGCAGAAACTAGGAATAAACGTAGCATCAGAAACCAACAGGTACACAGACAACTGGATACACACACACACGCATGTGAACCCGCACACAAACATGCCCCTTCACACGCACACACACACACGCGCGCGCGCACACACACACATTATACCGGTACATGTACCTCTTCATTTTCGCATGATGTCCGCTGGCTTGAATTATTGTCTTCCTAATGACGACAGGATGCATGTTGCTATAACAAGGAGGATGTTGCTGGGCATTGGATGACACCTGCATCATCACCATCATCAGAACGATTATGCTTGAGACATACAACGTCATGTATAATATATTCCCTCCTCGCACCATATCATTCGCCATGAATGCACATGATGAGCAAACGCTCTGTTCTGTGTGAACTAGCTTGACTTGACGACTACATGTGCATGTACACTCAGACGTCTCTTATCCGGGCACTTTGGGACCGGGCACTGCCCGTATCTCAGATTTGCCCGTATCTCAGGATAACTCATCTACCATGTATCATTATCATTTTTGAAGAAGTTTTTTTTGGCGCATATTGCACCTGTTCAGGTTACAAAATAATCCATGGATAAAAATGTGTGGATTACACAGGTTGGGAGTGACAAATAAGCACTTGTGCATTCGGAAGAAAAGTTCACCCCCCCCCCCCCCAAATTCGAAGCATTTTGCCATAGGAACTCAAGCTGAGGGTGGTCGGTAGAGAGACGTGCCCGTATCTGAGGCGTCCGGATAAGAGGCGTTTGAGTGTATAGTGATTGACTACCTGGTTGGTAGCAACGGACCTGCAGCCACGGCATCTGGTGCCGTGAGCAGGACCAAGCTGATGAACGAATTATTTTTGTGCTCCTTTCTACATAGAACGGCAGAGATCTCGTCAAACAACATAAAACGTCCACAAGGACATCTGCCACAGCATGGGCCAGTGTGTGCTGGCTGTACTGCATGGGACGACCCATATACATGTACATGAATGCATGATTTCACACATCTTGATGTGCCATATGCGTATAAGCACATACATGTACATGTATGTGTGGTCCTAGTCCAGTTCTCTCATCTATCCGGATATTTTTTTGTGGAAAACGGGCGTATGCAGCTAAGAGCGAGGATGAACTGTAGTGTAGCACGCAAGCGTGATACAGCCACACCTGCTCATGCCCAATGTGACCCATACCGGGAATGGTATGCATAACCGTCACGTGCATAAACCAGTCTTGCCCCAAGAATGACTCTTATGAGCAGCCGGGGGGAACAAGGCCCCTGTCGTTTCATTTCCCCCCGTCGTGTCGCCTCCCTAGATACTACAAATCCCTGGTCTGTATCTGGGCTGAGGGCAAGTCGACGTTGCCTCACGTGGTGACATGTTATGTGTGCACGGTCTCCGGAGCTGTGGATTCTAGTACAGTATACATGTGCTATTGCAGTGAGAGATTTGAGAAAGATTGTGTTTTGTACGTACAGTCGCGTAGTAAAAAAGAAATCAGGATGGCAAGGACATTAGGTCACCGTACAGCGTGCGTACGCGTACCTGACCGTATCGGGCCGATTTGCCTTCCGATGGTTTTCCAGAAGCGCACAAGGGATCGAGAGAAGAGTTTCCGGCCTTGCTATCATTGCAGGCCAATACAGTGACGTCTAGTTGGTGTCTGCGGCAGTAAACAAGTCAAGAAAATGGGGCAAAGTGATCGCCGAAGACAAACGATAACATATGCAAAGTTGCAAACCCAAAGGACGCGGACAACTGGACTAGAGTGTTTCTTCAAACTTACCTTGATGTTCGAAGCTCACAGGCCATCACCATGGGCGTTTCGATCTCTTTCCCACACGTAGCGCCCAAGAATGACCCGATGACAAGGAGTTCCATGATCCGCATTGTCCTAATTCTCTCATGCCTCTCCGCGGTTCGTTTTCCTTTTTTTCCTTTCTTATTCCTCTTCTTCCCCTACACAAACTCTCCTCTGCATGCTGATCTGAACTGACTGAAGTCACTTGTCGGACTGCGTGGCCTTTCTATTCGAGTTTCGCGGTACGAGCAGTGGCATGGCAGTGAGGTGTGCGCAAGGTCGGGTCGGCCGGGTCGCGTCGGGTCTCTCACTCTCAGGCCGCGGGAGCTCCGAAGAGGGGTTGGCGCCTTGGCGGGGTACCGGTACTCGTAGATCTACCATGTAAATAATTGTTCACGGGTCGCGCGACCGCGACCTCCGCTATCCGGAGGTATATTATGCTCCGCAGGCCGCGAAAGAGAGCCCGTTACCTGGACCCCTACTCGCGCGGGTAGAGCGAAACTGAGCACCCTGGGATGCGAGCAGCTTTTTAGTACTCCCGGGTCCAAAATCTCACCACCAGGCCGGGATGATCAAAACGTCTGCCGGGTCTGCAGCCTACAAACGTGGATCTGCCGACACTGTGCTGTCGACGACATGTCCGGCAAGGCACCTCCTTGCGTGAATGAAAGCAAGGAACGCTTTTTTTTTTAGAAAGGAAGCTTCTTCTCCAAAATTTAAAATTTTTGAAAATTATTCCTTCTGAAAATATCATCGCGTTCTTGACCTCGAAGCTGACTGCTGAATGCGATTAGGAAAGAAGATTCCTGAAGATACACCAGACGGATTCTGGCAAGCCGTCTGTCGTCTAGATATGCAGTTGTTCGTCATGCATGGTCAGCAATCTTCCTCGTTCGTCCTTTCGTTTTCCTGACCACGATGATGACAAGCAGCTCTCATGCTCAGGTTAGTGCTGTACTTGTATGTCTGGGCACACAACACATCTGAGATTCACCCACTGACGTTATCGAACTGAAGAATGCAGCAAGGGTTCCTCGGATTCTCTTGATTTCGGAACAAATTTCCTTCACTTTCACCCTCTCAGTCTCTTCCCCATGCCCTCCATGCATGCACAATGCAGCTTGCATTTCAATTGCTGTTTTTTATACTTTGGCAGTGCCTCTGCTACACTTTCATATAGAGTGAGGTCCTGTAAATAGGATCGAACATTGTTGGTGGTGGTGTGTGTGTGTGGGTGGGGGGGGGGGGGTACGTTTGCAGCCAGGATGTAGGAATGACACTTCTGCACAGCAGGTGGCAATAGTCAAAACTGGTCACTCTACAAATCCCATACCTGCCAACCTTTGCAAACCTGAGATCCAATGACATACCTAGGCATGAAAATGTATACAAAAGAAGCTCGCGGTGAGGCATGGAACTAGTGCACTTTTGGGTGCCTATTACCGCCCTCGATATCGGGACGGTCCCGGCCAAATCGGGATGGTTGTCAGGTATGAAATCCCAACCGAGAAAACCATTTAATTAAAAGATAAACTCGGCCAGGACATAGCGACTTTCTGTTTGCCGGGGGGGGGGGGGAGGGTCATCGTCCGCAATATTGGTAGAGTTACGGTTACATTGTATATGTAGATACATGTGCATCAGGGATTCATAGCACCTGGGGAGACGACATGAGACCTAAGTACCCAAAACGTTGTGAGTTGTGACCCCGGATGGGGTAGTTCTACGTGATCTGTGTTTCTATAGACCTTATTCGATAACGTGATTTTTGGACTCGCCTCTAGGGATTTGTTGTAAGCTGGGGCACACGTACGTGAAACGAGTGGCAAGAAAGGCCCAGTTCGTACAAGGGAGTAGTAAAATACCGGTATTTTTCTACTCCTATGTTCCCACGCCGAGTCCACTGTGCACTGAGTGCAGGTCTCTTGCCGCTCCCTGGTTCCCGGGACCCTGGTTCACGTGATTGTGACGTTTATTGAATAAGGTCTACATGTATATGCGGGCATGCATAAATCAACCCTTCCACAAGGACGGCTCAAACAGGCAGCCAAGGAGTGAAAATTTCGCTCCTGGGGCTAGGAGTGAAACGAAGGCCTCAATTTGCCAGATGAACCTTCTCCATCGAAACGAACGAAGGTGTCGAATAATTCTTTTACCAGTTCACAGTTGCCGTTCACGCGCACTCCCCGGGGTGGGGGGGGGGGGGCTACTATGCACTTGTAGTGATACTTACCGTAAGCCAAGTGGAACACGACTAGTTGACTGCACAGACTACAGTACAGTATACATGCACATGTATACAGTGAAGATCAGTGCGTGCATGCCTGCCACGTATGTTGACCTTCGTTCGAATTGAAAAGAGAGGGTCGTTTCGAAAAAGAAAAAAAGCTCGATGGAAGTATGATGCTGCTGACAATTCAAGACTCACTGAAGTCGCCTTTCTGGAATGGATCATGCACTCTAGGTTCATCCAATTGGATATGGACTCAAATCATTGTTACACCATTATTGTTTGGTTAGTTATTGTACATCCCATAGCATGTACAATCAACCTTGTGAATAATCTACCTCGGGTTTACAAAACAACTCGCAAATAACGACACAATCTTCAGATCTAGTGAACATTTGATTGCATACTTCCAACCTCACGAGTAACAACAATGCGAATAGCGACACTTTTCTCATTCACAATCGAGGGTCAGTATTCCCCAGGTTGACTGCAATTGCCAATCAAACAGGAGGGGCGAAAGTCGACCACGGCTGAAAAGGCATAAAGAAAAATTAATGTATATCATGAGCTAGATGGCTGAAGGAGGAAGTAGGTTTTCTGAGAAAGCAAGAAACAGAGGTGAATGAAGCACCAGGTCTGTCCATGCAGTGGATAGAATTATTGCATTGAAAGACAGGCTCTTTACATCAGCTTGCTACTATTATACCTACATTTGCTTTCTGCCTTTTTCATGCAGGATTCTGAAAGCTGGAGCAGCTCTGCTTACCTCGACCACTGAACTTACAACTAACTTCCAACCAAGTACAAGGCAATATTATGATGAATCAAGCACGCTTGCCATCATGTCATATTTGCAAAGTACATCGACAACATAGATTTGGTGCCGACTATGTATGATGTAGAGTGTGCTCTATGTATCTATACTACTGATTGGCCTACATTGTACTTATGTGGGCTGAGAGTAATCGATTGTGCTATATGGCAGTTTACTTGTATGTCATAGATGTTAACATTGCACACAGCTTCTGAAATGCTTTCTGTTGCACTGGCCTACTGCGGCCCACTGCAAATAGATTGTAGTGGCATGGGCCATGCCATAATTATAGTAGTATACCGGTACTACACCAACAATTTCACTGGTGCACTGTACTTACTGGTACGAGTAGATCTACATCATGCACAGCCTTGTCACTGCTTTTCTCATTTTTTATTAATTTACTGTACTGTACACATTTTGGCACAGCTCTTCCACAAAGAGTTACTAGAATTTTCTTCTGCATACCTACTGTATACAGTGACCTGACTGGTAACATCTATGGCTGTGAAATCACAAATTTCTGGGTTGACAGCCTCGAACCTATACGATTTGTTTCTAAGAACGTGCTATAAGAAATTTTCTATTGAAGTATTCTACTGTAGCTCGCAGGACATGGAGTGCAATTACGTAAAGTTTGGAACACCACTCTTCTGTGATTTGGATGTCAAATTATGAAATTCAGTGTGTGAGGTAAACCCATGCATGGCATACACTGCTATAGTATGACTCGGGGTAAAGTGTTCCAACGCATACTCATTATAGTGAATAGTTGTGTGACCAACGTTGTTGCTGCTGGATAAATAGTACATATTCTGAGATAACTGAAGCTACACAGCCATCTAATGTTCAGACATGCATCGAAGGGGCCGTAACAAGATCTGCAAGGCATGATTCTATACCTGTATTTGATGCTCTCTAGCCTAGGACATTCACCTGCCTCATTTTCTCTGTGCTGCATTGATGAGTCCATTAGTAACTAAAGGACGAAACAGCATGCTGTCTGCAGATTGGTAATTGTGTAAAGACAGACGTGTATGTAGTGGTAAAGCTCAGATACATGTGCAACATAACAATCCCGGTGTTTGACAACAGCACAAACCTACACCGCAATTCTTAATTTTGGGCTGTGGTGTTCTTAGTATTCCAGGTTGGATATTCTGTAGGCTTCCACGTTCTTGGGCGCACGACTTTAGTGTGCCGAAGAATATTTTCAGCCAATGAACCCAGAGCTTGGTGGCAGATGAGTGCCATGGAACAGCCTTTTGCATGTGGCTTTCACTACATGCACATGTATAACGTTCAATTGATGCGGAAAAATCAGACGAGGACTTTTGCAATTATGAGCAAGGTCCCCACGAATGGTCATGTCACTTCACAGAATACATGAACTGATAGAGTAGACCTCGGTCCCCTCAGAGAACGCTTGGGGAAGTCGGGTTCAACCATAGATTTATACTTAACAGAGAACGCTTGGGGAAGTAGGTTTCAACCATAGATTTATACTTAATATTCTTTACAACAAGGATCGATGTGTTCCTTCGGATGCCCTTTATCGACTTTCACACACTTCTCCTCTCTCCTTTCGTCATAAGCACCATCTCTGTACACTGGTTCATAAAATATTTCTTCATAAAACCCCTTCACACATAATGAAGTACAATTGGTTTTCGACAAGCTCAACCCGTAACGCGCTTATCCTGCCTCTTGTTAAGTCAGCACGGTATCTAAAGCCCCCCTTGTTTTCCGGTTATTCTCATTGGTTAACTGGGGACATGTCCAAAACCATACTAAGTACTTGAGCTGCTCATGAGCCCCACAATTATCAGGCCCGCCGGTCTGGTTGGTCAGGTTATCACCAGACCAACTTGTTGGCCACCAACAAACGTTTCCTACCGTGGAGGACGTGTGTACCCGCCATGAAACTACCGGACCAATCAAAAACTGCTTCCGGCGGTACTGATTATAGTACAGGTTTAAGTTAAAAAGCGGCTCCATTTTGTCATACATTAAACCAACTCTGTCATTGCTATGCTACTCAAAAAGAGTAGTGATGTTTATTCACAAATGAATCACAATGCTATCAGAGAAATTCGATATTCTCCAATTTTAGGGGCACTGCAATACTATCCAAAATTAATGCTGCATGGTCATTGTTATGAAGCAGTCACCTCAGTACAGCAATTAAACAGGCTGATTATGTGAACGAGATTCACGGCAAATCTTCTTCCATCAGTGCTGTTCAGTCTTGAGTGGTCCACTGAGACAGGAAAACAACCTGTTCGGTCCTTCCATACGAGAAACAGAAATTGAACATGTTCCAGGGTGGAGGTGGCGAGTATCGGCAATGTAATGCACCTTTAGGCCAACATGACCATCATTCCGACATGGATTTTCAAACACCTTCGCTCGTGAGAGTGCCTCAGAGTGGTATTCATCAACAGATGGCAATCCTGTAAAACACATGAAAAGACATAGCAGCAACAGAAAGAAACCTAATGTTATAGAAACGAATTCGAAAAACAAAGTCTACTATTATTCTAATACAGTGAACCAAGGTACAACCACACTCCAGGAGGCAAGCAAAAGAGCATATAATCCGAAGGTTGCGATGCCTGTATGTATTGTATTTATGTATTTACGGATTCTCCACAGGCTAAATCGAGGGAGTCTTTGTCATGCCACACTGGATACAACATGCTACCAGAATCACTTTCCCCAGAATTGATGATCTTTTCTTAGGGTGTTATATAAGACACATCTGTAGCCACTTCATCTTGCTCACGAAATCATACACCACCACACAAACGGGTCCTTCGGCTATTATACTTTGGGTGGTACATGGTGATGTATGATATTGATAATCTATTGATACCATATTCAAGTCTGACTCTCACCGTGAGATCCTGGCAACAATATTACCTGGTACACGACATATTCAGACACTGACATAAGCATCTTTTTGGAACAACAGGTGTGCCTATCTGCTAGTGTAATGTGACACACATGCAGAACACATGCAGAATCAGTCATAGCTAATTTTACCCCCTCACTGTTGTATGCGCAGACTCCACTTCGCGGTGTCAAGTACTCTTCTTTCGGTGGGCTACTCCACTAAGGCACTTGTCTAAAAGGACTCACATTCATCCTGCAAACCAACACGACTTGCATAGTTTTCACTGTCGGCCAAAGTGCGTGCATTGCACACATTGAGATTCACTCCCTCCGTACAGGCCAGTACAGAGCTGCCCACCAATTGAGTCTGTTTTGCGTACTCAGACTTCTGATTTTCCGTATCTTGCAGTGTTTTGCGTACTGCCGTGTACATTGCATGCATACTTGCACTGTAATGTTTTTTGACACGCACATGCATGTCGGTGGCTGCATTTGGTAGTGTAAAACATGTGTGACTTGCACTCACGACATTATTATTTTTGTGCTACATGTACATGTTGTTGTGGTACGGCATGCACTCACTTTGGTACAAGACTATTCATCACTCAGCTTACACTTGCAATGCTTCTACACAGCTGATTGATCCTCTCCGATTTTCTATACCATTTGCTCAATTTCTGTAGTGCGCACAAGGAGTGATTTTCCGTACAAATACAGAAAATATGGAGGGCTGGTACTTGGTAGCACTGCTAGTATGGTAGTACCAGGCTAAGCTGGCTGGAAGATCAAATACTTCTTTGGTTCTTTCAGTCATTTTCACGACATATGTTTTCTTTATCATGATCCCCGGGGTGTGACATTCTTATGAATGCAGAAACTCAGTCTTTCTAACCGAGTCTCACGTGCAATGTGAATTTGTTCTTCTTTTCTTCACAATGCCATGTATCGATTCATCGCTTCTTCCCACCCGAGATCCTATGCAACAGCGATTTAAAGATTGGCTTTATCAAATAGTTAATTCAGAGAGAGAGGATCAGTTGTGGATGCTGTGACAGCATAGAGTGTAGATTGGTGTAAACATCATTGCCCAGCAGAACCGTATTCACAGGGATCTGCGTTTAGCATATGGAAGCTATTTTTTAGAATTTTTACACGTCCAATAAGCCTGAAGAGAAGAACACCTAACTTAGACTGTCCTAACGTTATCGAACGCACTGCCAAAGTAAAAACAACATTTGAAATGCAAACTCGATTGTGCATGCATGGAGGGCATGGGGAAGAGACTGAGAGGGTGAAAGTGAAGGAAATTTGTTCCGAAATCAAGAGAATCCGAGGAACCCTTGCTGCATTCTTCAGTTCGATAACGTCAGTGGGTGAATCTCAGATGTGTTGTGTGCCCAGACATACAAGTACAGCACTAACCTGAGCATGAGAGCTGCTTGTCATCATCGTGGTCAGGAAAACGAAAGGACGAACGAGGAAGATTGCTGACCATGCATGACGAACAACTGCATATCTAGACGACAGACGGCTTGCCAGAATCCGTCTGGTGTATCTTCAGGAATCTTCTTTCCTAATCGCATTCAGCAGTCAGCTTCGAGGTCAAGAACGCGATGATATTTTCAGAAGGAATAATTTTCAAAAATTTTAAATTTTGGAGAAGAAGCTTCCTTTCTAAAAAAAAAAGCGTTCCTTGCTTTCATTCACGCAAGGAGGTGCCTTGCCGGACATGTCGTCGACAGCACAGTGTCGGCAGATCCACGTTTGTAGGCTGCAGACCCGGCAGACGTTTTGATCATCCCGGCCTGGTGGTGAGATTTTGGACCCGGGAGTACTAAAAAGCTGCTCGCATCCCAGGGTGCTCAGTTTCGCTCTAGCTCTACCCGCGCGAGTAGGGGTCCAGGTAACCATGGTAACGGGCTCTCTTTCGCGGCCTGCGGAGCATATTAATATACCTCCTATCCGGCCCCCCCATCCATGCATGGTTGGTGACGTAATACCAAGAGTGCATAAACAAGAGTATGCAACTGTGGTTATGGGTCAGTGCGCGGCGCGCTGCCTTCATTACGTAACTTGCCTTCATCACGCTTTTAAAGCATGCATCCAAACTCTCAATTTCTCGCACGAGCCCATCCGTTTTTGCTCGATTCGTTCCAGTACCTACAAAATCTCTGAATTCTGGCGCGTGAACTCCAGTTCCGTACGAAAGTTCATTTCAAACTGGAGGGAAAGTGCGGTGTTTGATTTTCCGCAGTGCGCGGACTGCAGCTGAATGATGTAATGAAGGCAGCGCGCCGCGCATCTGGCCCATAGAAAAGAGATCACAGTTGCATACTCTTGTTTATGGACTCTTGGTAATACTAATGCACTGTAGTTTGCCAACACCAACGAAAAAATCACCCCTACAAAAAAAGTGTGAAATAGAATTTCGCGCGAGCGACAAAATTTCGCATTTCCTTGAAAGCAGTTGAGGAGGCTTTGCAGCTTGGCAATGGCGAGGTTCTAAGCGTTGCAGTCGGGGGAGGACTATTTCCAGTCTGGTATCTGCTGCCGCTGCCTCTATCGGGACCTAGCGGTTTAGAGCAATGGTGGTGGGAACAGTCGTCCGGGTGACGAATTTGTCAGCGAGCGTCACAGACAAGCAACTGAGAGATTTATTTGGAATATTTGGAGATGTTCTGGAATTGAGATTGTATCCAACGTTAGTTACAGAGGATCGTGCATTTTCAGAAAGTGAAGGGCAGAGTGAAATACCATTTTCCGTGTGTTTCTCCCTGTTGTAGGACGCCAGCCGGGGTAAAACCTAGGATTGGCTTCGTGAAATACGAGGAGCATGAAACATGTCTCGTTGCTCAGCATTTGACCAATACTCTCTTACTGGATCGTCCACTGTCCGTAGTACCAGTTCCTGCCGGTATGTTACTGTCTTTTTAATAATAGCTGGGAAGAGTACGGGGGTGGGGGTGGGGTTGACACAGTCCATTCCACTTCCTGATATGGTAGACACTTGCACAGACTGCAGACGTTGGGGATAGCTGCAGATGTCCGGCAACGAACTGCCCTTCAACATACTAGTAGAGTGTGCTGAAATTGATGTGTTGCATTTCCTCCCGATTTCGCCTGAATGAGTCGCGTGTTTGTATAAAGTCCTATGTTAAAGCCATGCTTTATTTCGTTTGGTTATGCTCTTCATCTGTGACTTGTTTTTGTTTTGTGGTATGCTGTGTTGCATCTTCAGATGAGGTTCCTGATGAGAAAACCGCACTGGCTGCGGCAGAACCCAGTGAAGCGTCAGCGCCGGTTTTGGCCACTTCGGCGCTGGCTGCCACTGCCCAAAGCTTGCTTCCGCACCCAACGCCTCCTGCTCATATTGGTGCAATGGGTGCCGTGGGCACTATGGGCGGTATGAGCGCTATGGGTGGTATGAGCGCTATGGGTGGTATGGGCGCCATGGGTGGCATGGGCGCTATGAGTGCTATGGGCGCGATGGCCGCCGCTGCTCCTGCTGCCTCCGCTGCGATGCCAGGAGTTCACGGTGGTGTGAGTTGGCTGGACTGTATGTGTGTGACGGTGTTCCACGCGGGCGCATGCATTTCAATGTCTCGTCCGTGTGTGTGTGATTTCATTGATTTTGACGTGTTCAAGAGTACATACAACCCAGTGTGGGCAGCTCGAATGGATTGCTGTTGCGGCAGAATTCCTGCACTGCACCATTTTTAGTGATGCAACCTGAAAAGGGTCTACAGTCAACTTCGCGAATAACGACAGCATTCCCATGCCCAGAGCAAAGTCTCTTCCAACTGTAATACATATAATGAGACTTCGGGTATAACGACACTTCGCGAAATAACGACACTTTTTTGATGCCCCGCCGGGTGTCGTTATAGGCGAAGTTGACTGTATGTGGGAAAAAGAAGGAGAGAGAAGGAAAGGCGAGCAGGAAATCCATGGGAGAGGCTTAACAGAAGGGGGGGGGGGGGAGAGAAAGATCAGCAGGGCAAACAACAGTAGTTTAGTGTTAATGCGTGCATGCGTATGTGAAACGGTGAAAGATATCTGCACAGAAATGACAGTTTTCTCTGATCCTGCTGCAGTGACATACCCTAATGCTGTTCTCTGCTTGCCTATGCCGTATGTGTGCGCGGGCACGTGTGTGCGTGCATGCTTGCTTATATTCGTGGGTGGTGACTTCTGTATGCTAGCAGATGTCCTCGCTGAATTTGGCCACCATTCAACCAATTCCTGGTCTGAACCCAATCATGCAGTGCTTATCACCTACGCCAGTGCCTTGTCAGCTGGTAAGGCATTACTGCTTTCTACTATACCATGTTAACCCTTTGTGACCCCACTGAAAGTCTGACAATTTACTCACCTTCAAATAACATGCACTTTTGCTTGTACCTCTGCCAAACATTCACTGATTTTTACAAACTTGCCACCGCTGGAAAGGTATTTTCCAAGACGAAGCGACTAATACCACACTCAAGCCAGCTACCTGCACGGCCTCTGCTCTGCGTGGCCTAGAATGCCGCTCAAAACAGCAGCCGTGCGCGAACAGCTCCAGCAAAGTTCAAACAGCCGCCATTCCATTCTCCTTCATCAGATCGACTTCAAACAAACTACAGCGGAAAGCTCGCTTCAAGCACAAACTTTTGGTGTGCTGCATGCTTGAGTAAGTCATGACGTAGCACGCCGGGGAAAACCCCTGCCAAGTGCAGTGTGAAAATTTGAATTTTTCAGGTTTCCTCTGACCTCGAGTCTCACCACGGCGGCATCGTACCTCGTAGAGACTTCGGATAACTTCGACGTGATAGCCAAGGTTCCTCTCGAAACGTAGATGCTTTGTTTATGAAAATCGGTGAAGGAACACCAGAGATATAATTTTTTTAGTGCCACTGTATACCAATCGATCGATATCGATCGATGGGGTCACAAAGGGTTAATGTACTTTTAGCGCTGGAGTCAATTCTGGGCCAAATGGTCATGTATTACCGTCAATTTCTGTGGATGGGTAGACATGGTCTTCAGGCATCCTGTAGGGGTCACCAGGGTTTTCACTATTATTCCAGTGGTCCAATGACCGCACATGTTGTTAATTTGCCGAAACTCAAATACTTGAACCTCAATGTCACATAGTTTTGATCCATAGTTCTGGAACTGAACTTACACAATTAGTGTTAGGCGTACCAAATAAATCTTTGGTTTTAGGTAACATGGCCAGAAAAATACCGGTCGGTCGGCGCTCAAAACATGGGTAGGTCGGGTTACCCGGAACCAAGGATTTATTCTGTGCGGCCTAACAAAGTATTTATGCAGAGCATCTTAAAGTCTTCCGTAGATTATGGTCCACCTATGGATATGTACCACTTACTTGCAAGTAGTACTGCTACTCATGTGGTACTCAATTACTGGTATGCTGCTCATTATCTTGTCTGCAATGTCTTACTACATGACAGGTGACTGGCATGCAAGCCAAGGCTGCCATGAGTCGTGCGTTGTGGGATGGTATTTCTGGCCTCGCACCTCAAGTGTCAAACCCGCCTCTTCCTGGGATGGTTCCTGCTGCTCCGGTGTTGGGAGGTAATGTGGACCCGTCCAAAATTGAAGAAATCCGCCGCACGGTTTACGTGGGCAACTTGAACACTCAGGTAAGGGATGGTTCTACATTCTAGTCAATTATTCCTTGTAAGATTTGTAATCTTTTGCTTCGCAGATTGAGTATTCTTTTGCTTCTGAATTTAGCAGCGGTTGAAATCCAATCTTGTTGCCGTTGTTCCAAGTTTGAGCTTCCGTAGAGTTTGAATCCTGGTCACAATTTCTTCGTACGGTACAGTCATGTACTTTGATAGGAGGAGAAGATGGCTGGGATAGATACCGCTGTGCCGGTACTACTGTTTCTCACTGTGTGCGTGATGTCTGCTTTGTATGTTGCTTGGGCCTGTGTAGCTTCTCGGTGAGGCGCTGGTTCCGTTCTTTGCAGCACGCTGTGGCGAGGTGCTGTACGTGCGCATGGCTGGAGATGAAACACAACCAACTAGGTAAGAAGTGATGGTACAAGTAAATGGTGAGTTTACCTCTTGCACTGGGCTGTATTGTGTGCCTTTGCCTGGTAAAGCAGTGTGGGCACATCTACTGGGTGATGTACTTGGCATGGTGTGTGTTGTCTGACTTTCTACTTGTGTCGGTTTTTCTTCATAGGTTTGTCTTCATTGAATTTGGAGAGACAAACGCTGTGAGCCTTGCCCTTCAATACAACGGTGCCATGTTTGGTGACCGGCCACTCAAGTGAGTATTTCTACGTATTCCTTAGGCATGCCAAGGAGAAGCGGTTACCTAAAATTGACTGCGAGAGTTTTTTTGGGGGGTTGTGCTGGTATGGAGTTGAAAGAGTCAGTAGAGCAGTTCTGTATGTGTGTTATCATTGGGCCACATTGAGGTGGTGAATATTTTCCATGTGTGTGCTGGTATGGATAGGGTGAACCACTCCAAGAATGCTGTTGTGAAGCCACAAGTGAAACCAGTGGAGGTCGGACAGCGCGAGGTCATGGAAGCTGTCCGCAAGGCGCAGGCGGCCATTTCTCAGCAAATTGAGCCAGGTGAGTGTTAGTCCTGCACCCGGATGGAATGGCGGTGTTGATACTCTGCCTTTGCGAACAGGGGCGCGCGGCGACTCGAGGGGAAGACTACATGGAGGCGCCGTGCTTGGCTTTCATTGCTGCATGCTCCTCCTGTTTTTCCAGCCAGGCAGCGCAGGCAACCTATCGTTGGTTGATGTTGATGTTTTTCAACCAGAACAGTACAAAATAAATCTACGTAACTGTGGTCTGTTGAGATATGAATACAGTACATGTTACGAGAATTGTCTCGTTGGTAAAGTGGCAGATGACATTTGTATCACTGTGCCTGTACTGCTGGGCCTGTCGAAGTCTTGAATGTGTAGGTATGGACAATTATATGCATCTGATTTTCTGCACGTGTCCTGTTTTGTGCACGTGATTTTGTGCGTGTGTGCAATGTCTCAGTGGAAGAGAAGAAGCCAAAGAAGTAAGCTCTCGTGTTCGCTTGTTTAAAATTTCTGCAAAGGTGTCACATTTTGATTGCATTCTATTTTCTACTGTCTAAGGGGCCGTCCATAATTATCAATCTTTTACACAAAACGAAAAAGTTTCGTTTATGGGTAGGTGGGTGGGTCGAGGAGAGTTCCGTTATGAAAAATATTGATACTTGACAAGTACTTCAGTAGCTGAAACATCAATCCATTCTAGCGGTCGAGTCAATCTCTTTTTCGTTCAGGGTGCGTGGGTGGGGGAGGGTCATAACTAAACTTTTTCGTTTCGTGAAAATAAATCGATAATGCTGGATGGTCCCTAAGCAAGTGTATGTAGGCATGGTGAGATGGTGTGTGTGGTCACATGACCAGTATACCCTACCTCTCCATTCTGCAGTGCATGTGTAGGTGGAATCCTGATAATTCAAACCCCAAAATGCCACGGAAAAACTTCTAATTACCTGGAGAATCTAATTATCCGAACATGTACCCACAACGCATTATGTACTTAAGGGGGCACTCCGGGAATTTTTTCGGTGGTGTGTTCTCTTCATGGGGGCCTTATATGGCCCCCAAGGAATGGGGAATCGCGAAAACTAGACCCAAAAAGTCGATATATGGAGCCGGGGGGGGGGGGGGCAAGTTTGTCTCCTCTTTTGATGGTTTTGATGACGTCACGTGTGCTTAGTATTCAAATTCTCAGCATTAGAAGATCTTAGTTGTTTGAATTTTCTGGTAATGAACAACGATGTTTGGTCGACATTCCCAAGCTTCACAACTGCGGACATACTCTAAGGAACCTGAAGGACCCCCTGAGGTGCCCCTGGTAGAAGCGCAGCCTGATGAGGGCCAGGAGATTGGAGCGGACGACTTCACTGGTCCGAGTACGAGGATCCCGAAATTCTCTGTACGCCGTGAGGCATTATGGTCAGAACAGTTTTGTTTAGACAAGCTGACGCGAAGCCGGGGTGATGTGTAACGCTGCTACGCCTGTCAAAAGGCTGTTAATGCTAACAGCTGCAGCGCTCTCTCGACAGCAAAGGTAATCGACTGCCCTCTGCATCACCCCACATTTCTGGCAGGAACACCAATCGTTATTTCCTTGTCGACCAGTGAAGTCGTCCGCTCCAATTTCCTGGCCCTCATCAGGCTGCGCTTCTACCAGGGGCACCTCAGGAGGTCCTTCAGGTTCCTTAGAGTATGGTCGCAGTTGTGAAGCTTGGGAATGTTGACCAAAGTTTGAAACATCGTTCTTCATCACCAGAAAATTCAAACAACTAAGATCTTCAAATGCAGAGAATTTGAATACTAAGCACACGTGACGTCATCAAAACCATCAAAAGAGGAGACAAACTTGGCCCTCCCTGGCTTCATATATCGACTTTTTGGGTCTAGTTTCGCGATTCCCCATTCCTTGGGGGCCATATAAGGCCTCATGAAGAGAACACACCACCGAAAAAATTCCCGGAGTGCCCCTTTAAAATGCTCACACTGTCACGCAGAGTTGCGCTACGCACCTTTAATAGACACAGATTTAGTGGACGGTGAACTGCCTGTGCATGGAAACTAAACTGATTTGTAGAAATACAGTACACTTCGAATTATGCTTTGCGAACTTCTAATTGTCAACCCAAATCCTACACATTTTCAATGTAAGTGGATTCCGTGGGACTTCTAATTAACCGGACACAGGGAATAATTTACTTTCATTTTTCGCGTAGCAATCTTGCTACGCAAAATCAAACTTGAATAGCAATTAGAAAATGTTGCATAGCAATTTTCTTCCACTTGACAAAATTGTCCTGCAAAGCTGATCAGAGTGCAAGCTCAGACCACAAGTACACTGTACACCTTAGCTTTGAACCTAGCCTGGTGCCGGGATGCATTTCTCAGCACTTTCGAAGTTTCGTGCATCTATTTCGTCCCTAAGAGACATCCCTGGCATGCACACTGCGCATCATAGGGTACAGTGAAAAATCAATATTCATCGCAGTTTTCTGTGACACATTTCTGAAGTTGCTTCGCACCTCAGAAGAATTGCGTAGCAAACTGCGATGCGATACTGGTTAAAGGGGAAGTTAAGGCAAAAATTAAAATTTCACCAGTTGTAGTCTTCGGGGTGCTGAGTCGAATGGTCTTGGTCCGAGAAAGCTGAGACGCTCCCTTCCTACTTGAATCCCAATCGAACTCTCGCACTTCCACCGAAACTGGGTGACTGCGCCCTACTAGATGGGGATTTGTATGCAAAATGTCACTAAAAGCGCCATTTCGTTCTTATAAAAGCACGGATGACCGCGATTGGCCCATATGTTGTAGTCTTTTGGACGCTGAGTCGACTGGTTTTGGTCCGAAAAGGCTGCGATGCAGCGTTCCTCCTTTATTCCCAATCGAACATGGTTGAACAAGCGGTCACGTGCTCCTGGGTGCCCAAATCACCTGGTCACCACGCCAGCAGGCGACAACTTTCACACCAAGGCTCAACTCGAGTGACAGGACTGCACCCAAAAAAGGTCAAACAGGCTAGTAAGTTGTACCCTGCAGGCACGGTGACCAGGTGACTGGTGTACGCAGGAGCACGTGACCGCTTGTTCAACCATGTTCGATTGGGAATAAAGGAGGAACGCTGCATCGCAGCCTTTTCGGACCAAAACCAGTCTACTCAGCGTCCAAAAGACTACAACATATGGGCCAATCGCGGTCATCCGTGCTTATATAAGAACGAAATGGCGCTTTTAGTGACATTTTGCATACAAATCCCCATCTAGCAGGGCGCAGTCACCCAGTTTCGGTGGAAGTGCGAGAGTTCGATTGGGATTCAAGTAGGAAGGAAGCGTCTCAGCTTTCTCGGACCAAGACCATTCGACTCAGCACCCCGAAGACTACAACTGGTGAAATTTTAATATTTGCCTTAACTTCCCCTTTAAATTATTCACTGGGACATACCGTATTGTCTTGTATTAAAGCATGTCTCGTATAGAAACCTGATTTTCAAGGTACACTTTCGGCACATCAGCCTCGTTTTAGTCTTATAGAAATACCTGTCTTGTATAGAAGCCTGCAAAATTTTCCCGAAAAGGTCATATAAGCTGCGGCTTTTATACAAGACTTTACAGTACCCAATTCGAGGTTCAAATTATCAGATATTCTTATGTGGAAATCGCATTGATAGAAATCGGTCCAGGAAGAAACTTCTAATTAGGTGGTATCAAGAGTACATAAACCAGAGTGTGCAACTCGGGATGGTTCCTGTGGGAGCGTAATTCGTGCAGTACGTCATTTCTGACGGCATGGTAAGCCACAGGTACGGTGAAAAGTTGCGTAACCAGTCGCGGTGGTGCAGGTCACTGAGTTTGGCCTGATTTCGGTTTTTTGATACGGATAGCCTGGTGACTTTACTTGTCGGTGGATATACGCAGCGTACCCAGTCACACAAAACACCGAAATCCTGAAATAGGACATCTAAAATCAAGCAAACTTGGCTGATTTCCGGGCTATGAAACATGAAAATTTGAGCTGTACGCAAGTCGCGGCTTGGCTGACCTCATCAGGGTGACGTTGTGCACGAACTGCGCTGTTTCAGATCTGATATGCACAGTTGCACACTTTGGTTTATGTACTCTTGGTGGTATGTTCTAATTAAGCCATGCTCGAATTATCAGGATTCCACCTGTACATAAAAAACTCAACTAATGCTGTGGCAGGTTAGTGTTGCCCTGCCAGAAGTGAGCGTGGTGCTCTTGCAAATCATAGGCGCTAACTAAATCCTGATTGTGTAGAAGAACGAAAAGCAGTGCATATGTGACTTTACCTTCTCTTAAGGCGACGTCCTAATATTCTTTACTCCTTGTCTCTGTACAGATCCCCATCGAAATCTCCTTCACCCGCACGCCGACGGACATCCCATTCTCGCTCTAATCGTCGCTCGGGCTCCAGAGAGCGTCGGCGCTCAGGTTCCCGTGAGAGGCGGCGGTCTGGGTCAAGAGAGAGGAAGCGCTCTCGGTCACGCGAGAGAAGGCGCTCCACGTCCCGTGATCGCCGAGACAGGCGCCGCTCCGGCTCTCGTGAGCGTAGGAGGTACGTGAAATTGGCATTCTCTTGTTTGGCCGAGTAGTGATTGTCTTGCTCTCTTTGCGAAGAAAAAAAAACAGCTGCCTAGCACACACACACATACTCTCTCTCTCTCTCTCTCTCTCTCTCTCTCTCTCTCTCTCTCTCTCTCTCTCTGCAGTTCTGAAACATATCTCTTCTCTTAGCACGAGACTAATTTGACTGAGAAAGACCACACAAGAGTAGTTGCAACTGCATTACCGCCTTTCGTTCTATCTTCCGTTATCCTCCCATGCAGAGACCGCCATACCAGTAGTCGCTATGGGGAGAGGCGTGATCGCGACCGCGATGACTACCGTCGACGGGAGCGCTCGCCTGCATCCTTCCGTACAAGCCGCCGACATGCTTCCCGCAGTCCAGATACTAGGTGAGCACTGAGCAGAGCCTCTTAATCTGATACCCCCGTACATGCTCGGCCGTAACATGGGGTATCACTGATGATACCCCATGTTATTGCTACGGCTTTTCCTCTGCACCTAATTTTATAGAGTCAAATAGCATTATTATGCTGATGTATCATTTAAATAACATAATATGTTTTTACTTTTGAGGATGGAAAAGGGAGAAGGTGTGAAGAAGAAAATTTGTCTATCTCCACCAGGATTTAAACCAGGGACCTTCTAGAAACAGATGTACCTCCTATCAGGAGTGGTTTGAAGGTCGCTGTTGTTGGGAACTTGTTGCCCATCGGATTGGAGTACTGCAGCATTCCGAATTGACTTTCATGATCTTCAAGCATGCACATTTCACCGATCAGAAACATGCGCCAAAATCATGTGGAGGATGATGTGCAACTCGATTTTCTGGCATGATCAACAGGAATCCCATATATTTTCTATGTAAGCAGATATCGTGGGATTTCTATTTAGGTTTACATGTTCAGTTGGAGGTTTGAGTTATCAGACATTGTTTACACGTGGGAGGAATCATGTTGACTGATCAGTTCTGTAGGAAAGTTCTCAACAAGCGGTATCTTTCAATTCATCCATATTCGAATTATCAGTATTCCTCTGTATATTGATGTCGGTTGTTCCTGCGTGATACACACACTTCCGGCCAAACTTACACTTGACTGACTCGCAACTGCCATCCGGACTGCCGCCTGCTCCTCGTGTGCTGCGGGTGGCAGTCGGGAGTCAATCAAGTGTCAAGTTTGGCAGGAAGCGTGTGTTCCACGTAGGAACAACCAACTTCATTAAGAGAGGTTGCGCATAACGTAATTACGTTAGTAAAAAACGTAATCGAAAAAATCGTAAACTGCATGCGCATCTGTGTTCCGCCATACGGAGTTTTCAAATCACGTAGCTGCCCTTGGCAACTCTGAACGCGGCAGTGTACGACCGGATCGACCTGGGGAGAGAGTCATAAATTTGTACCCCAGTCCACTTACGGACCACCTACGTTATCAGAGCCCTATCTACGTACTCTACGTAGACAACTTTCCGTAAGTGGAGTGCAAACTCGCGAATTCACGGGTTTCCCCCGCCCACTAACATAAAGTTGGTCAACTTTACGTTGTGCGGAACCTCTAATACCGCCGAAGTTGCTACTTCTAAGTTCCTCTGTATATTGCTTCCTTTCTTGTGTAGAACGGAGAGACGCCGAAGCAGGAGCAAAGATCGCACAGAGCGCAAGCGTCGACGCTCTAAGTCGCCGGAGACACGCCGCACCAAACATCGCTCTCCATCGAGTTCACCCTCCCCAGACCGCCACAGCAGGTATGTCTCTGTGCCCTTGTTCTTGTTCAGATTGTTGTTGCTTGTTCGAAAATGCAATCTGCTCCAGCCCTGCGGGCAAGGTTTTTCCTTGATATACACTATACATGTATGAGTCCTGTATGCATTTTGCTCCAGCCATGACCAGGGGCAGGCTCATAGAACTTCAGTTGCTCCTTATTTGGATGTAATGTGCATGTGCCTGCTCCATCCTGATCCACCTTCTGGCTTCGGGTGTCCCTTGCAAAGTGCATAGAATGTGTCTTGGAAATGGTGTGATTTTTTTAAGAAAGCTAGAACGAAGCTCGCCGTGCTTGTAGCAGTCGCATACCCTTCGCATGGCACTGATTTATCTGGTGGCCTGTTGTCCACTCTGGGGCTGCATGTGGTGTTCAAGACTTCTTGCTTTGCTGAGCTCAACACAGTGCGCGTCTCTCCCTCCTCATCTTTGCTTCCCTGGCCGTGATGGATCTCCTGACCTGGAGAAGCTGGGAATCGAACCAGCAGGCTCACGTTTAAAGGCCTAAAGAAGTGATCGTTGTTTCCTTGTAGGGAACTCGCCGGGTTTGTTCTCACCCTGTCTGTCAATGTTGTCTGCTGCTTGGACATTCTATTGGTGGCTACCAGCTGATACCGGCTCCATTGCTGTTTCTTTCTTCCTTTGCCGCCACAGCCGAAAGCATAAGCGCCGTGATCGCAGCAAGGAGCGTAAGCGTCGTAGGGCCAGTTCATCACCTCCACCTCGCCCTCCTCCGCCGACTGCAGCCGCTGCAGATGAGGATGAGGACGACGATGAGGAGATGTCTATGTCAGAGAGCGACTAGGCTAAAAGGGATACGTTGCACTTGTATTACTGTCCTTGCGTCTTCTACGTCTTCCTTGCTGTGTATTCTGTACGGTTTTCTGTACGGTTTTTGTTCTCGTTTTATGCGGATGGTTCTAGGCTAGACATGCTTTCCGAATGGTCTCAACTTTGTTTGCAGATGTGCATGAGGACAGTAGCAGGCGACGGTGTGTTTGTTTATGAGAGGTGTGTGTATGTGTGTGTGTGTGTGTGTGTGTGTGTGTGTGTGTGTGTGTGTGTGTGTGTGTGTGTGTGTGTGTTCGGGTGTTCGGGGTGTCGCATATGCCATGGGTTGCTTGTATTCAGTGTGATGAACCACGGTCTTGACAACTGCAGGCACCCCCAAGTGCCATAGCACCTGTATTGTACGAGCTTGTGTAGCTGAGGGTCTCCGAACGAAGGGGTTCCCTTTCGTGAGTGGAGACATCTTAACCTCCTTTAATAAACACACCAAATGCTTTGGTGTTCGCAAAAAAAGGAGGATCCATGGACGGGATTCGAACCGTGGCCAACACTGCTGTCTTCTCGGGGAGAGTGCCCAACCGATTACCTGTAGGCTACCGAAACCATGAATAATGCATGTTTACTGCTCAGGAGGTTTTGTTGACATACCATGCACCAAGAATGAAAGGCTGCAATTAGGCCCCGTCATGCTACACTGTTCACCGTGATAGGCCCCATCATGCTACACTGTTCGCCCTCCCCAACAGCATTCTTGCCAACCATCCCGATTTGGGCCCGATATCGAGGGTGGTAATAGGCACCCTAAAGTGCATTTGTCGCATGCCTCACAGCTACATTTGTATACATTTCCATACCTAGGTATCTCATTGTCCCCATCTCAGGTTTGCAACGGTTGGCAGGTATGTAATAGGCTGTGTCCTCATGCCATACCTACTTTTCGGGGGGGGGGGGGGAGCCATGGGTTGCCTGAAGAGAAGGATCCATGGGCGGAATTCGAACTCAGCACCTGTCACACTAACTTTTTAAAGAAAGGGGTCATGTGTTAAAACACGCATGACCCCTTTCTTGCTGCAGATTATCGTAAACAAGAGCATTGCCTGCAACGATGACTTGTCAGTATTACAGTAATAGTTGTATGATTGTACTGTTGCCGGACGAGTCAGGTCGATCGACCCCATCGCGTGCAGGGAGCCCTGCACATTCATTATGCATAGTACATGTACTCTTGATAGTCTAGTCTACGTAGATCTACTACTACTAGTACTAGACTTATACTGTCTTTATAGTGCACTGACTGTCCTGATTCGTTGCCACACACCGGGCCCAGGCCTGTACGTGACATGTATCAAGACAAGATCAAGTCGAGAGGCATGAGCATGATCGCGCCATTCGTTCACGGGGAGTGAGTGGATGGCCCCATGACAAAATGTCAGTACTGGACTGTTTTACTTGAAAGCGCTGCATGTTGATAATGAGCTGGTAAATGGGCAAGACTTGCCTTCCTTGTATTTGCCAACACTACAGTAGTAGTAGTACAACAGTCGACAACACTAGCGACGTTGTGCAGCCAGTAGCACCCTTACTATAGTAGGGCCATACCATCATACTAGCGAGAACGCCATAACACGGATGAAAGAGTAGTGCCAAGAGTCCATACAAAGCTAGCTATGCGCTAGCGCTACCCCTTCGATCTTCGCCTTCAGTTGTGCACGTGTTCTGATCGTTCTGCGGTCCAAGCAAACGCCAACATGCTAACAACATCGCAGTGCATTCCGAGCGGCAAGGTCCAATCGACTTCTCACCTTTCTCATGCCCCGTCATCATAATAATAGAACGTCTCTGTTTTAATTATAGACTATTAAATTTTATTAATTATTTGTATGCCTCTTAGTCTTACGGACTACCGGCTACCGCCTATCGACTGGTACTAAAGCCGACACGGACAAACACTACTTTTTTATCACACCATGTACCAGTGCAGTGGCCTGGCAATGAGCGAAAAGAAAAGGAACAAGTAAAAAGTAAACGGTAGCTGCTAGCTGCTCGTTCTTTATCAGCCCAGCGGGGATACAGGCTCCGAGAGTCCCCACGGTAACGGTGGGGAAAGCGAGCAATCAGCATGGTATATGGTGCATTCTTGGCACACCGACCGTGCCAAGTCAGCGCAAGTGATGCAAAAAGATCAGCTGTCGATTCAGCACAGGCTAGGCTAGTGCTGGACCACTCGATCGCCTAGCTCCGCGACCCTCGATTTTGAGTGCACAGCACCGAAAAAGTCTTCCACAAGCAGCTGCACGGTTCCCATGCAAAGGTCATTTTTGTCTGTACATGCTGAATCTTCCTGATCTAGCGACTGCGTAGATCTACGTGCACATAACCTTGTCAAGCCTTGATACACAACAAGCCACAGCTCGTAGCAGCTCACGAAAGCAAACAAAAGTGTTCGTACAGGATCATTAGTAAACCGTCCAAAGCTTTCGAGTTTCGTTTTGTTCGAGGGAACACAGCAAGGTCGAGAATCTCCTGACTCCTGTGTCAGTGATCGTGACTGATCAGATTGGCGGAGCTCCGGAGACGGAGGAAGCGCTGACCGCAAAATCGTGCGACATTGTGTAAGTGTGACCAAGTGTCTGTACTGTAGACGTAAGTGTACTGTGTAGGAAGACCTCGCAGACCAACGACGTTTCTGACAGCAGCTAGCAGATGGTTCTGTCTGCTAGTGCAGTAGATCTACGCCTAGCCTGTACACCCAGTCGCTACAACAGGAGCCTGTACGGTCTGCAGGGTCTGTGCACTGCACTGGTGAGTGAGACCGGGACTGCTCACGCCGCGACTTCGCCCTCGATAGCCGCGAAGAGCTTGCCTTCGACTTTTGAGTTTGAGTTTGAAAACTCTGTTATTTTCCACTCTGGAGAAGTGAACTTCTTGGTTGCTTGTTGGCGAAGTTTTCACCACCATCGCGTGGAGGGAGATCAACCATGTGTCCACGATCGCCACCTCAAGACTTCGTCTGGGCATACGACGATGAGCCCCACGCCAGCCGCCGCAAGGAAATCTTAGGTAAGCACGATTTATACCCTGTGCATGCAGCTTGGTAGCCTGATTTGAGAAAGTAAAATTTGTTCTGTGAGAGGGCAAGGAGAGACAGGCTCCATGCCGCTAACCAGCACAGTCTCAGTGTGTGCAGGTGCCTACTAAATGTATGTGGCCCGTACTGTCTAGTAAAGGCTTGCATTGCGAGACAGCCGTGATGTGGAGGCGACCTCGTCCACTCGCAGAAAAGTGTTTGAATCTGTTCTGGCGTCTTCACACTAATACACTATCATTATCAATGATTTATCTCGGTCTCGCTGTGCTAGTGATAGTGTCTCCGTGTTGTCGCTGGTGTGGGTGTTTCTATGGGACAAGTAACCTTTTCTGCAGGCCAGAATCTGCAGATTCAGCGCCGCACCAGTCGGCATGTTCAGTTCGAAAATTATTAGAGTGTTGTTTGGCCTGGTTGGCACAGAAGTGTCAGTGACTGTGTGTAGATCTACTGCACTTGCGCTGTCTGGACTGTAGAGTGTAGTGTAGAGTTGGTGGTGCAGGTGCTCCACAGCCGCATGCGTGCATGCATCCACGTGAGGTGCAGAATGCAGTGAAGTGCTCCCTACCGCTGAGGCACCGGAACAGTTGAGTGTGATCTGATCTGTGTCAGTGATTTTCTGTGCATTTCTTATGACTACCCAAGGCTTAGCAGACTACGTATATAAGACAAAGTATTAGTTATACTGGGAAAGTATCTTGACATACAGGAACAAAATCCATGGCATTATGTTGTTGGCAACTCTGGGCTCTGTGAGCCTCAGGAGCTTTAAATTCAAGTGCTGAGTCTCTCCTCTTCACATCTTCAAGTGTCCATGTTGTCTGCCCAGGAGGCATTGCGTCGTTGCACAGTCAGACTACAGTATTCCTAGGCTTTGAACCTTGGAGAGATCATTTACTCTCTGGGACTAGGAGTTCAGTATGGCTGTGCTGGCTCTCAACTACAGCAGCATGCAGCACACCTAGCAAGGATACTGCCATCAGGCTTTCTATGTCACCTCAAATGGCTCAATCATGGATGATTGCACTGCCAGATCAGAGGAGCTGAGATCAGACTGCCAATGCGCGCCTACTCTCCACTGACAGTGACAGCTAGCTACACTGTAGCTAGTTTGTCAGTACATAATTATACTTGCAGTAGTATCACTGTGTTAGAGTTGAAGCTAGTCAGTGTATGGCTGGGATACTTGTAGTATAGCATTCTGCAGGCAGCATGAGAATATCCCGGCAGTAATACTGTATAAGCAGAAATATATTTAATTTCGTCTTTTTCGTCCAAGGAGCTTTTGGACTAAATTAAATGTAGGACGAATATCGATTTGTCCAGCGTTTCTATACACTCTTATGATCCATGGACGAAATTTTCAACCGGACGAACTCCTTTTCTTTGGAGTTGGACGAAATTATTGACCGACGAAATTTTCTGCCTCTACAGTAAGTCAACTGACCAACCTCCTAGATGAACCGTGACCAGACCTGGCAGCACCACTGCTGGTCCATATACATGTACATGCTTACAGAAAGAATCAATGTGTAGTATTCAGTAAATACATGTATCAATTGGCCCACAGGCTGAGAGCCTGAGTGAAAGCATCTCAATGGAAGTGCACACGATGGGGTTGTGTGTCCCCCAGGGACCCGCTTGCCTCCGCTTCGTTAATGCCTTGAGTATAATGCTGAGCACTGGATGATAATGAAACCATTCCCAAGAAACTTAGCAAAGTTTTAAACTGACTGGGCCCTACACTATGTAGGCTACAGGTTTGAAGAACTTGCTTCCACAATTAGCAACCGGCCAGGAAAACCAGCAGCAGCATTCAGCACTATGCCATTTTGATAGTGAATTGTTACAAGTGCTGTCCCCAGACGTTGCACGTTGACTTCCTGAGATCTGCACGGCACAACTGGAGTGCTCCAGTCAGGGTAGGACCAGCGGCGGAGGCAGTTATTGATTGGTCCGGTCATACCGCAGTCCTGCATACAGTTCATGTAAGACAGGGCGGGTACACCCGGTCTTGGCAGTAAACTTGGGTTGGCGGCCAAACAGTTGGTCCGGCCATGGTCTGACCAACGGGACGGGTTCCACCGCCTCTGCAGTGTGCTCCCTCCAATGCGGCGGCAATGGCAGACCTATCCACACACTAAGGCCAGTGTAGTGCAGTGAAGCAGCAGCAGCATGCACCTGAGTCGTCCAACTACTAGCTGCCTGTGCTACTAACGACGGGGTTACGTGTGCTTCAGTGATGCACTGTGCCTGTGCTATTTCTCTGCCACAGCTCATGTATGTAGTACAGTGTGTGTGTGTGTGTGGGGGGGGGGGGGGGTAGGTGCTGTCATGGCAAATGGATTGATACACACATGTACGTACAGATACTAGTACACAAAAGTATGTGTGTGTGCGTGTGTCCAGTATCCTGTCATGGGCATGCAACAGCGTGGCTCCTATCACACAATAACAGAGTGCCAGTGTCAGCCCTGCACAGTACTACTACGTCATGTACTAGTCACCCTCAATACTACTTGTACAATAGTGTGTCATTTGACTCATTGTGTAACTGGGACAGCACCTGGTTAGGTTAAGTTCACGCCAGGGACTAGCCAGGGATGTCTGAAGAATGTGGTAATGTAGGTTCAACTGTCTCCCCATGTCTGAAGGGATATCCATCTGCTGTTGATTTCATTGTACTTGCATCCTATCCATGATCAAGGCCAAGACTTTGCTCTTTAGTCTGATTCATGAGGTCAAAAGCTGTTCTCACCCTTGAACAAGACTGTGTATTATGTTCTACACTGTATTAGGGGTAGTGTCCCAAGTGGGTCAAGTGAATGTGTCAATCATCTTGAAAGGCTGTTTACATCACGTGGCCAGCCATGTTCCTGCCCTTACTTACTACCTTTTCTCTAGCTCGCTAGCTCTCTAGAGCTCTCTCCACCTCCTTGTAACAATCCTAAAATGTCAAGTGCAAAATGTCAAACTGGGTTACTAGTAGGTTCATTTGTCTCCCCACGTGTTCTAATGAGCCGGCACTTGCTGGACGGAGTGCTGCCACGTGTGTGTGTGGTGTGCGTGCGTGCACGTGTGCATGTGTGTGCATGTGTTTGTGTAGTATCGTGTAGTATAGTGTAGTGTAGCTTGTGTACTGTGTGATGTGTGTAGACTGTAGTGTGTATGGTACCATCTATCTTTGGCAGGCCCAAGGGCGCATGCACTGGATACCAAAACCACTCCATAATCCGAACCATTAGTCATTACCCTTGTATGACTGTGCTCCTTGTACATGTAGTTTTCAGGAGTTTTATTTAGGGCTGAAACGATCGTGGATTTTCACCTATCGATTACTCTTTAGCTTAACGATCGAGTAATCGATTATAACCGTTACCAAATAGTGTCTGAATTCTGTGCAAAATTACTGTGTTTCCACAAGCTATGCCTTCATAGTACCAAAAAATCTGCATTAGTGAAAGGGTAGCTCCAAAACATGGCAGTTTGAAGTCAATTGAACCTCAGAACATGCACCATACCCCTGGCAACTGCACACTCACAGCGGAAATTGATTCAAACTTCACAAAAACGGGGTTTTCAGTACTTTTTGGACTCAAAATCCCTCAACGAGTAATCTATAACGTAACGATTACTTGATTGATAAGGAATGATCGATCGATTACCGAGTAATTGGTACAATCGTTTCAGCCCTAGTTTTATTCATTTTTTATTGAACACACTCATGTGGCCGAAGGCAAAACCAGTACGGAGATGAAGTGGGCGTTTATAGCCAGCTGTGGTTGAGGATATGAATCACCCTCACTCATGCGACTACCAAGAGGTTACGTTCTCTTGCCTTTAACCCGAAGCCCCAAACCCTAGGTTTTCAAGATTGTTCCTTGTTTTATGCTACTCTGCACAATTCTACGGGCACATCTGCCTTCTCGCCAAAGAAAATCTTTCTCTCACTACGGCAGAAGAAGTTTTTTTCTTCTTCTTTAACCATAACGTCTACGACAGGATGGGTGAATGAGGTACAGGACGAGTTGCCCTTTCTTAGCTTAACACAGTACATACACACGCAGGAGATGTGTGTATCTGCAGATGCCGGTGACCCAGTGTACATGTACTGATCGGACCTATCTTGTGTAGCTCATTGCTGTTGTCCCTGTTGGCTGCGCTTGTTGGTGCTTGCAGCGAAATACCCGGAGATCAAGAAGCTATATGGACCGGATCCGATGATGAAGTACACCGTTGCAATTGTCGTCGTTGTCCAGATCGTAGCCTGCTTCCTACTGCGCTCCTCACCGTGGTGGTTGGTCATGGCGGCGGCGTATCTCTTTGGCGGAACTCTCAACCACGCCATGGAGCTTGCAGTCCACGAGATCTCGCACGCACTGGCGTTCGGTGCAGCCAAGCCGGTTGCAAACCGAGTGCTGGCGTTCATCGCCAACTTGCCGATTGGCCTACCCATGGCCGTGTCGTTCCGCAAATATCATCTCGATCACCACCGCTACCAGGGTGATGAGAAAATCGACGTAGATTTGCCTACGCGTACTGAGGGACTGTTGTTCTTCAACACCTATACTAAGCTAATCTGGCTCTTCTTCCAGTCGCTGGCCTACGCACTGCGTCCGTTCTTCGTCAACCCGAAGCCGGTCACGCGCCTGGAGATTCTCAACACCACCGTGGAGATCGCGTTCATGGCGTTCATCTGGTACTTCACCGGCGCGCGTGGCTGCGTGTACCTGATCTGCGGCTCTCTGTTGGCGATGGGCATTCACCCGGTGGCCGGTCATTTCATTTCTGAGCACTACATGTTCTCCAAAGTGCAGGAGACATACTCCTACTATGGCCCACTCAACATGCTGGCGTTCAATGTTGGCTTCCACATGGAGCACCACGACTTCCCGTACATTCCTGGCTCACGCCTGCCGCAGGTCACTGCCATTGCACCCGAATACTATCTTGAACAGAACTACCACTGGAGCTGGCCCAGGGTGCTGTACAATTTTGTCACCGACCCGGATGTGGGCTGCTTCTCGCGGACCAAGCGTCCCACCCTGCTCAACAAACCCGGTGCAGAGGTCAAGACCCACTGAACACCTACACGTATATGCTACTACTAGACCAGGAGGCTGCGCTGGCTTTTAGAACGTCAGGCAAGTCTCCTGCTTGTGATTGTATCATTGTTTTTACGTATCGACATACTTTGTCTTTTGTTTTGTTTTAGCCAGTGGAGTACACATATGGCCCACTTTACTTGTTTCTCTTGGGTTCAGATTATTTCATGGACTTGCTTACAACGGACAGACAAATTGTTCACGTTGAACGCCCCAGGCCCAGGCCCAGGCCCGTCTTTCACTAGTCACGACTAATTTCTACTAATTTCTACTCCGCAGCCCTGACAGTTCTTAGCACTATTTATCCTTATTATTTATCCAAGCTTCCTCCTTCGGATACAATTTATTTAAGTTTAAAAAATGTCAGCATCACATTCATAATATAAATAATCCTTTTGCTCATGGCTCATTCACTTCAATAGGCAAGTTTATTATTTGAGGAATTTCAAAATTATATAAATGGGAAAGATTAGGCCTCGCATTTAATTAGATTAAATTCTGCCCTCAACTCATTCAAGTGTAGTAATGGTTTGACAGAAGTCAAAGAAGACATTGGTCTAGTTCATGTACACAGCTTCGGTCCTGCTCATGCACTCGCATTCTTGTGCCATTGCCTTGCCTGTTTGCTGGTAGATCATGGCAGTGGCTTGACATGATATTCATCAGCTTGTTTATACTGGTGCATCCAGGAAAGCAGTCCGCGGCTGCAGCTCGTCCACGACTTGCACTCAGCCTTTCCGTCTATGGTGACAACTCTGCCACGAAGCAAGTATATTTGTGGGCAGACTGGCATCACAGGATTTGGCGCCTTGTCATCTCTGGAGCATCTTCGAGTGGCCGAGCGCTTGTACCGTAAAGTACCGTTGATCCGCCCCCTCTCTAATTCCCGCCCCCTGTCAATTTTCTACCTGTGAAGCGACTTCGGCGTATACAACGAAAATTCGATGTTGAACCGACCCATGCACTGCTGTACACAATATTTGCTAATCCAGGATGAAAATGTGCACAATCCAGCACATCGAGTCTGAACTTCTACGTTGTTGTACATCGTACTGTACTTGACAGCCTTGATCTAATTCCCGCCCCCTGCTGGGAAGCGACATGGCGGGGGGGGGGGGGGGGGATCAACGGTACTTTACGGTACTCTTACTGTTGTATGTAGTGCACGCAATGGCACTGGAATCTTGGTGTCATACATGTACCTGTATACATCGTATGTCTTGACTCCTGACGGATTTAAAGCACTGCAATGTTCTGTCCTTGCAGCGGTTGAGGCGATAGTGGCCGTCTAACTCTTCTACGACATTCTACCTCTCTTGTTGTTTTCACTTTGCATCCTGGCATGGGCTTCGGCCCAGCTTCTTCAGGCGTGCCTTGAACAGGATCTTCGCCTCGCGATACAGGCGGGCATCGTAGGAATTGATGCGCTCCAAGTCCATGACCATTGACGATTTCAATTGCCCACGCCATGCAGCCTCGCCTCGCACTGCCGTTGCAACTTGCTGTAGGATAAACTTGGTGGAGCCAATCTCGGGCAGTATGCCTGTGCCCGCATTGTATAAAGCAGAAAGATCCACACACAGCATGACTAACTCGGCTCTGTATGCATCATACAAATATCATGCACTCAAACTCCCCTTACCCATTCTACCTGGGACCGAACCCTGTTTGCAACTAAGGACTGCGACTCAGAACTGCAATTTCAGTTGTGTACAGTGCGTACATGCACACAGGGGCGTAGCAGCCGGACCACTTTTTCGCCCAGAAGTTCCCAGAATGCAGGATTTTGCCCCCTGATTTCAAATTTTCCCGAGGGGGACCACCTCCAACGGCGGTGCTACACTCCTGACACAGTGCACACAGTGCATACAGTCAAGCCCAACACAAAACACGGCCCGAGTGTAGCAAACTGTTGCGATACCAGTAGTAGTAGTTTTTTTTTAAAGATTTGTATAGTGCTCCCAAGCAGTTTTTTGTACTATTTTCCACAACGAACTTGTGCCGATTCCAACAGTTCGCGACACCGACAGATCTTTATCCCCTTGGTGGAGCAATCCTGACCAAGGAAGTCAGGCTGATGAGAGTACGCTATTTTCCCTCAGTTATACCACATGTTTTTGTGTTTGAGTCACATCAAGGTAAGATAATGACTGTGTACCTCCTCCCCCCCCCCCCCCCCTGGCCACGAAATGTCACGTTCTACATCTAGCACTACCTGTTAAGTTGGTAAGTATTATTATATTCAAAGATTCAATAAGAGACACGTTCGACGTTCCCGCATAAGCCAGTCTTGTATAGAAGGCTGTCGCAAAAAGGAAACTGTAAAATTTCCCACAAGCAGACACACTACGAGAGATCTGACTCACCGGCAGAGACGAGGGTATGCCTGAGCAGCATTAGCGAGTCCTCCAGACACTCGGCTAAGCCAAAGAACTCCATGGACTGCAGGTTAGCAAGGGCTTCCTTGTACATCATGTCCGTGATATTGACCCTGGCATCTGATGGCAGGTGACCAGCTAGCATCCTTGTCATAGCATTGGGTACGCCGGGAACGGCAGAGAACTGCAGCAAGTCCACCTTACCGGCCTTGAATACACTCACGATGGATTGTGGCAGCCCGCAGCAGCCGTACTTCGGGTGCTAACAGAGATAGATGACATAACAAGCATAGCTGTGCATGTTGTATCGAATTTTCAATACCAAAATGTGGTGGGTGGACAGAACACAAAAATTAATAATAGGTGGCTTATGCCAACTCAACTCATGCAAGCAACACTGTGACTTTATACTAGTAGTTTATTTGAGCTAGCTATTGGTGACTTTGGACATGATTGTCTCCTACCGCCCTGGGCAACTTGCTAAGCCCATTGTGCCAATTTGAGTGAGGCAGGCGGCCCAGCGGTTCAAAGTGATATCTTACCATGTGCTTGCTGGCCTTTGCAAACGTTTTGGCAAGGCGTAGCGCTGGGGACCGCAACATTGTCATGGCAACAGGCGGGGTCTGCATGAGCAGAGTCCTCATCGATGCCAGTGGTCCGTGGCCACACTGGTTGATTAGCCGTGGACATTCACGTAAGCACTTGTGGTGGTCCCTGTAGTACCAGTGCACAAGCAGTGATATCAACTTACTTCATATTATTACGTGTATAGTCCTAACACAGGTGTCTGGATCAATTTGACCAGAGTCTGTCAAGGGGTACAGCTGCCATGCCTGCTGACTGGCTAAGCCAGTTTATCCGGTTGGTATTATCCCAGTTCACACGACCTTAGGAACCGGTTGGTCGACTTGCCACCGAGCAGTCTTATGCGTATGGTCACAGGTGCACCTATTAAACAAGCTCTATGCATGAACTACATGTATTATTGCCTGCTGCTAGTTTGGCTAGCCGTTTGAACGCACATTCACGGTGCAATTTGGCCCATGGCCAACCAGCCTCAAACAGTCCCTGTGGTGCCTCAAGCTCTCTATAGTGTCTGCATATGTACGTATGTAGGTGAGTTGTGCAATGAAATCCGATCAAGCGAGCAAATGCCGCGCGGTCGGGCACTGTTCAGCCCAGGATCTACGCACACACTGGGATGTGAGCTGGTGCCGGGTGCAAACTTGATTCACTTCATCTGATGTCATTGAGCGGCATTGTGTACTGAAATTAGTAGTGCACGCTGTCACATAACTGCCTGTTCTGGCACCACTGGCTAGCTGAGCATGATGTATATAGGTGAGTGATGTGCTTACCTACACGTGCATGGCTTGCAGCCCAGTAGCAGTCTCAGATATGTTAGTAAAGCGTCTCCGGCTGTGTCCGGGATGTTCAGAATGGCCAACGGTCGCTGCGCCCCGTTCTGCGTTGGAACAGCGGCAATGCTGGCTCTGGCTGGGACTGGTTTGACTTTCGGTAGTGCATTGTTTGCGGCTTGTGCTTGCTGGATGGCAACGGGAGGTCTAGTTATTGTTTTCAAATCAGTTTTGGTGACTGCAAGAACAGGCTTGTCATGTTGATGCTTTGCCGCTTCCTTCTTGATAATACGGTTAACATCCTCCTTCGTGAATCGAAATTTCTCTTCATGGGGCTTCTCCAGGTAGGAGAGGTGCTTAGCAAACCATTCTCTAGACTTATTGGACCGCTCCACTTCCTTCTGATCGACTTTCTTGTACTGAGCGGACACGAATGGAACGTGGGGTGGCAGCGGGTGTGATGCAGGGATGTCTTTGCCTGATGGATGGTGACGGACACTTGCCAGCTTCAGCTGTTGCCATACTCCTAAGCACAGAACATGATCAGGCCACACTTTATCTTTAAAAAATGTTGAAAGACACAAACACACAACACGGTCACAAATAAAAAAATGCACATCCACTACTCCAACTACAAGTTCATGTATATCCTGAGGGACTGCACAACGACTGCTGAACTGGACATGGCATGCAGATAGTACACTCGGACGTCTCTTATCCGGGCACCTTGGGACCGGGCACTGCCCGTATCTCAGATTTGCCCGTATCTCAGGATAACTCACCTACCATATACCATATTATCATTCTTGAAGAAGATTATTTGGAACATATTGCACATGTTCAGGATACAAAAGGAACTCATTCGTAAAAAATGTGTGGATTACATAGGTTGGCAGTGAAAAATAAGCACTTCCACATATGGAAAAAAGTTCAAAAAACCCAAATTCGAAGCATTTGTGCTACAGGTGGAATCCTGATAATTCGAATATGGCTTAATTCGAACATACCGCTTTAAAATTAGAAGTTTTTCCAGGACCGATTTCTATCAATACGATTCCCACATAACAATTTCTGATGATTCGAACCTCGAACTGGACATGCCCGGTTAATTAGATGTCCCACAGATTCCACTTACATAGAAAATGTGTGGGATTTGTGCTGATAATTCGAAGTTAGCAAAGTGTAATTCGAAGTTCACTGTACACTGTACTGGTCAGTTCAGTTTGCATGAGCAGGCTGTGCCGGTCAGTTCAGTGTCCGTAAAATTTGTGTCTAAGGTCCATAGCGCAACTCTGCGTGACCATGAGAGCATTTTGACATACATATTGAGTTGTGGGTTCATGTTTGGATAATTAGATTGTCCGGATAATCAGAAGTTTTTTCCTGGCATTTTGAGGTTCGAATTATTAGGATTTCACCTGTATATGAACTCAAGCTGAAGGTGCCCGGTAGAGAGACATGCCCGTATCTGAGGCGTCCGGATAAGAGGCGTTTGAGTGTAGTTGCAAACAAGCACCCAGTCAGCGGCATGCCTGTAACAGCAGGGTTCTAGCCAAAGGGGGAGGGGAGGGGGCTCCCCCTACTCTGATTGAGTGCCCTCCTGTGAAAAATTGGCTCCCCCTACTCATTTATGGATTGTTGTGTTTTTCATGCCATACAACGAAAATGCAGTCGACAGTCAGAAACAGAGCGTTCATAAAGGCACGCTTGTCTGGGGTGAAGTCAGGGGTTCGCCCCTTAAGGTTGCATTTTGCATGGCAAGACGTTGGAAAAAGGAGAAAATGGGTTACGAGGTAACTGTTTCCCCTGCCCCCTGCCCCCCCCCCCCCATTTTGACCTGGCTAGAAAATGAAGAAACACGGTTCATGTTAGACTCAGCTGGAGGCCGAGTTTTCTGAACCCATAGGGACGCCAGCACCCTCTGTGGATCGAGGTGCAGATGCAGCTCCTAAAGCGGTGGGAGGTGAGTAGATCAGACCCAACACAAAGTGGTCAAAGACCAAGAATCCATTACTGGCTAGAACCCTGTACAGTATCGGGCGGTTGCTTTAAAAAGCTAATAGAAAGGTGCTGCTTGTGCTGCTTGATGATTGCTTTGCGTGAAACTCTGATTCACCACTAACGTGTTATAGTAAAACTCGTGTTGACTTCATGTTGGAAAGCTCTGCCCCCGGGCATTGAGCACTGTTCTGTCACTGTTCAAGCAGTGGAAGTTGCCTACTGTGTAATGAAGGTTGGATACATTACGGAGAAAGAGAGAGAGAGAGAGAGAGAGAGAGAGAGAGAGAGAGAGAGAGAGAGAGAGAGAGAGAGAGAGAGAGAGAGGGAGAGAGAGAGAGAGAGAGAGAGAGAGAGAGAGAGAGAGAGAGAGAGAGAGAGAGAGAGAGAGAGAGAGAGAGAGAGAGAGAGAGAGAGAGAGAGAGAGAGAGAGAGAGAGAGAGAGAGAGAGAGAGAGAGAGAGAGAGAGAGAGAGAGAGAGAGAGAGAGAGAGAGAGAGAGAGAGAGAGAGAGAGAGAGAGAGAGAGAGAGAGGGAGAGAGGGAGAGAGAGAGAGAGAGAGAGAGAGAGGGAGAGAGAGAGAGAGAGAGAGAGAGAGAGAGAGAGAGAGAGAGAGAGAGAGAGAGAGAGAGAGAGAGAGAGAGAGAGAGAGAGAGAGTACATACAAGCTGCCAGCTTGCAATTTCCATGGTAACCCATAGATTGATTGATTGATTTTTATTTACGTAGTCAAGTGCCATTAGTGGTGTGCTTCACTGTCTGAAGAGTGCTCAATACCCATGTAGGGCAGAGCCTTGTACACAAGAGAGATTGGAAGCTTTGTCACAACTCTGAGTACTACGATCATCAGGCAACCTTGATTTTTATTTTTTTTAAGATTAGAGGGCAGCGACAGAACTTAGGAGGTATATTCGGGAACGGCACGCGTATTCACAGTGTTCTGTAGTACCAGTACCCAAACAGCCAAACTTCATCTTATTGGGGGCGAGTTTCCGTAGTGGATGGCACAGTTCCCATGCCTGCGTTTCAATCATGACATGAATTTCAGTGCCGAGCGTCGCAGACAAATGTCAGCCGCAAACCCCTTGGGCCAGCAGCTCCTCATGACTTGCTTACCATATAAGTAGGTGGATAATCGTACAGTATGGACAACAGTGAATGCAGCAAACATCACCACGAAAACCAGTGTGGCGGTCCTGCTGCGGACCAAATGTCCAAACACCCGCTTTATCGACACCATTGGTAGCCGGCCTGGTGAGGAACAAGCAAGGACACACATATGGCATAGCAAAGACACACACACGCATGCGCACGGCATTCATAATTATCATGATTATGGTATCGGTCGACATTGGTATGCATGGTACTCTTGATGGTACAGTGGCATTGTTGCTATGCCAACCTACGATGTAAGTTCTCCATCGGGGGAGAGGGGGGATAGGTGCTCACGCACCCCTGAGGTTTCGTCACGATGGTATGTGATGGTGGAGCTATGATCAATTACTAGCATGTTGAAAAGAAAAGTTGCCATTGTATTTTTGGCACCCTTCTGTTTACAGCCCTGGATCCACCCCTGCAGTTATTTGGGGAGTCTCTTTTCTTTCAAACTGGAGTGATCACCGCGGATCCTGCATCTTCCGAGCTCAGAGTTAACACATTGATCAAGGCTACTGTCTAATATTCCGGCAAGGGCCGTACGCACCAGAACATTGGCACCAGCAATTGCGAATTGCACTCGTGAGGTGCTGCTCAGCACAAGATTTATGCACAGGCAGTGTTAGTGCCACACTAAACCGCACCTCTGTGCTGTAGGCGTTTTTTTCTTCTGAGTGAGAACTGGTCTCCGCCAGCAGTACTGCGTGAAGGATCTTGTTGGTGGATTCACGGTTCGCCGAAGAAATGGCAACGGTCTTTGGCTCCATTGGAGAACGTGTGTCTCTCCTATTAGTAGTAGGCTACAGACCACCTTTTTACACTTCTATGAGGCTCATAATCCCGCGGCTAAAGCTGCGCCCCTTCCCCACACGGCAAGCCACACGGCAAGCCACACGGCAAGCCACACAGTGGGTGTCTGTCCAACATGCCATTGCCTTGGCATTGGCATTGTGTAATGAAGTGCAGCTTACCGTGCTTCTGGTGCCCCCGGCAACTTCTTCAGACTGCTCAGCTCAGGTCTCGCTTCAGGATGGATGTCGTTATACCGAACTTGCTCCGCGCTCCTAACGTTCAATGCAATACGGACACTTTGACTTGTGACCCGGGGAGGAGTTGTTGACTGGCCGATACAGGCTAAGTAGTTGGGGCTTATTGAATGACGGCGATGGTAATTTTCTGACTTCTATAACTTGTGAAGCGAACAGCCAATCGCAAGACTCGTCCCACGCAGCATTTAGCCCTTGTCGGAGCTGTGCGGAGAAGCAACACGGCCCAGGTTCTGTTCTCGTTTCAACGCCATACAACGGCTGTAAAGATTCTCACATAAAGCGTATTTCATGCTGCCAACTCCCAACCGTGAACCAGGACGAAATATCGTCGGCCGAGTTTGTTACGCAAGCTGCGAATACCGACTGAGTCGAGAAGACTCAATGGACTCTGGAGCAGTGGAGTTCGAAAACTCCTTGTGTATGTCACCATGGTCACGTGAACTGGCAACCACGAAGTGTCTGTCAGCAAGAGTAGATCTACAAACCCGTTCATGAATGATGTAGATCTACTCTTGCCCTTCTTGGTGTCAGTGATACGGCAGTGGACCAGAGACAGGTAGGTAGAAGGAGAGGGCACAGATCAGCAGGACACATCGCCCGGGCGAGTCTCTGTTACTGTTAGCCCTTGGCGGATTATGCTCGGCAAGTCGCTAAATCATGCTTTCCAGTATGCCCAAATAACTATAGGATGCCAGTCATTAAGCTACATTATGCTGGAACTGATTATGCCAATGATGGTGCTATACTATGCTGCGGTCCAATCTAATGCTATGGTGAACTCAGTACACACAGCCCTTGGCCGATTATGCTCGGTAAATAATGATTGCTGAATTATGCTTTCCACTATGCCCAAATTATATCAGGATTATGCACAAGAGGGATTGGAAGCTTTGTCACAACTCTGAGTTTCACGATCATCAGGCAACTGATGGCTCCAAAACGGGCAGCCTGAACATAAGGGGGAGCAAGGTGGGACATTCTGACATAGGCGGCGCGTTAGCCTGGTTGTGTACTGGGCTGGCGACGGAAGGGGGATGTTCTTCATCGAGTAATTCAAGTCAGGGGATATTGATATCAAACTTGATGCTGTCCAAATCCTGGGTAGAAACCAGTTACAGTCTAATGCACTGGTACTGTCATCTCCTTAAGATCAAGGTCTCGTTATCTACGACTACAAACCCGGCATTGGTTGCCATAATCTGACGCTTTTCGGAAGCGGTCTCTTAGTCGAGGGTGGCCAGCTTATTGGCTGCGCATACAACTGCAGCGTCATAATATTCAGTCTGGCCAAGTACGGCTCTGACCAAGGCGTATCTGAAGCATTGTGTTCAGCAGCGTCACTTGCTGCTTTGAGCCGTCGCTGCATCAGTGCAAAGACGGTGTGCGTCACCAGGTCATATACCGCCGTGCCTGCACTGCACAGCATTGCATTGCCAGGGAACACGAAGAGAAGCGTCGGCGGCGGATCGTTCCTCCTCTCCGGGCCGGCGTGCTCTGCCGGTGTGATCTCGACCAGCTGTGATGTTGCGTTATCCGGGCTCAGCTGTATTGCAAAAGATCTGTTTAAGGTGGCATCATGGAAATAAGAGTCATGGCCCTGCAGTGAGCCGTTGATGGCGCCAATCCACGTAGTACTGTCTGCACTGGTATTCGCTGCAGTGGACTGGCCCACAAAGTACCAGTTCACCTCTTGCTGCCGGTACATGAAGGTTGGAAACCACACGGTAGAGCCGGACTCGGAGTCGATGTGCGTAACGCAAGCCGATCGCACCTGCCCGAGCAGAGAGTCGTCGATGCGATGGATGAGCCGCGGGTCGCCCTCATCACCCAAGTAGCACCAGCTTGTCTGAGTGAAGTTCTGCATGGGCACCTGCACCTGGCATACACCCTCGATGTGTCTACTTGACGGGTTGAACCCTATCGTGTACAGTGGATATCCAGTCGACTCAAACTTTGCTGATTCCTTACCGCTGGTCAGGTTCCAGATCTCCACGCTACGCTCTACTCCGTAGAACACCACCAAGTCAGGCTCCACGAGAGCATATCCGCACGCAACAAACGATTGCTCGTCGCGTTTCACCGTTAGAACATGCCTGCCCGCTGCGTGGCTCCATAGGTCAACGGCTATGAAATGCCAGCTGGAATTGTCCTCGCTGTCCTGCGCGAACACCAAGATCGTCTTAGGTAGGTAGGCTTGTCGCGCATCCGCCCCATGAATGTTTTCATCGAGGAGTGCCGTGACTAGTTTCTGCGAAGCTCCGGACCATACTGACAAAAGGAGCGTGAGTACGGACAAGCGACGGATAGTCCAGCGAGGCCTCGCCATTGTAATAGTGTCCGGGCTCGATCAATACGAGCAAAGTTTCCTGTAGTGACTTGGCTTGTCGTGTAGCGCTGTGACAAAGTCCACAACAATAGTAACACCCCTGAGTCGACCGCGTATCAGAGAATCACCACGAGACGACCGCACAGGTCACTACACAGCAGGGAGTAGTACAATACCGGGAGGTGACACGGCCACACATTCAGGCGGGCGAGCTTTGCCTCAGGTCACTTTTCTGTGGAGCGCTGTGTCCCGGGAAACGTCACGAAATATCGTACTTCGCGCGCTGTGTCCCGGGAAACGTCACGAAATATCGTACTTCGCGTACCATTTATCGTAGCATTTCGTAGCATTTTTCAAAAAAATTCATAGAACGACTTGAAGAGAGTGGCAGAATGCTGTCAAGAAGTTTTCGAGCAGTACTTTTTGAAGTTTGTTTTGACGATGTAGGGAACGAATCCATCAGTCTTTGCTGAGTGATGAGGATGAATCCTACGAAGGATATCAAGTAGCAGCTGGCCTTCGCACGGGTACCTTCAGTGTGTCCAGTATTTACGTGGGCGGCTTGTAAGAGTGAAATTTTCTTCCTAATTTAATTTGTATTACATTTAGTTATTCACGTCGTTTCTAGGGGAATAGATAATGTTGACTCAAGTTTTAGTCACAATGAACAACATGTTTCAGGTATGGCTGACCCGTCTCAAGATAGTAAGGCTATTCCGAATCCAGATGCTATAGTCGTCAGAGAGAAACACAAAATAAAATAAATTTTATACTGCAGGGGCAGCTATTCGCAAATGTCACTATGACGCAAGTCTGTGTCAAGGGTGTGAACGTGATAGTATCGTTCTTCTCTGCTGTTGAGAAATCATTTCCAGCTTGCGGCTGTCCATGTTCTTCATGTGACGATGGACAAGAGGCTGTATGAATCAGAACAAACATAAAACCACACAGGCTTCATCGATATGTCTGTGTTGTGCTTTTGTTTTGCTGCAGGTTTTATCAAACAAGTCAGATGCGATCTGCGGATAAGATATTTCATTTACGTACACTGTGCAGATTTATAAGCCTAGTTGGTGTGCATGAAGAGCATTGAAATTGTTCTGGTGTGTGCATGTTTGGCCGTTGCTTTTTTGGGCGTTCTTTTATGTAATTGGATCTGTTTTTCCTCCATCAGCTTATTGTCATATAAGCATATAAAGCATGGGCTTACTTGGCTATTATTGAATGACTGTACTCTGCTGTCTGACTTACGGGTAGCACTTGTTGGTGAAGAGATTGTCATACACGATGCGCTGTTATTCGCAGCAGGCAGTGACTTCTGATGACGTGTTCTGTGCAGTAGATGGCATACCAAAAAGAGATAAGCCATGTTATATCCGACGTCCACCTTACACATATGGTAGAACTGTGCAACTAACCTTGTCAGATGAGAGTATTTATCATCGTCTATACAAGAATGATCTTCGTCAATGGGGTGCGCTGTAGAACACGCATGAAAACAAATACAACCCCAAAACGTAGTTTCAGTATTGCTTCAGTGTCATATTTATAATCAACAATGTTGTATTGCAGAATTATACCCTTCTCATGATTGCTATTGCTCAACACGCTAGGACTGCATAAGTACACACCAACATCCCCAAAACAAAATGCATTGAAACCACTTGAAACCACTCCTGCTATATAATTTGTTTACTTTTTGGGTGAGGAGCAATTGGCGTTGGGCAGGCAGACTTCGCAGCCGCACCCAAGTCGTCGCTCTTCCTCTTCTGTCCACGGGTTCTGGGGGTTAAAAAAGCAACAAAGCAAGCAGGCCTGGCCTCATTCAGTGCTGAAAACAAGTGATCTTGAACATTATGTTCAAGTCTATACAAATTAATAAGTTTCAAAATTTTCAGAATGAGTTTTACAAAGAGTTACATAAGCTAACACGTTGAGATGAAGTAGAATGGTAGACAAATAGGTATACTTTCGAAATATCCCAACTTGGTGAGGTGTCCGAGTGGGTCCAAATGAGAAATTCAGGTTCGTGTTACACCATGTCAAGATGAGAAAATTCCATCACGTTACTTACCTAGGATAGCGTCCTCCATATTCGTCACTTCCATCCATTTTGGGAAGTCGAGACTTGGCAGCAGTGTGGACGATGTACCAGAGTAGCTCCCAAAAAAGGCTCGAGCTGAAAAGAACAAGTGGCAGCTTGTCACGAAGGGATACGTCTGGTCTTCTCGTCACTATTTGAAGGTTTCTCATCGCTGTCAAAAGAGCAAAAATTTGAATTTTCGCGCGGTTTGTATTTTTTTTGTGAGGCAAAGCTCGTAATCCCGGATGTGTGGCCGTGTCACCTCCCGGTATTGTACTACTCCCTGCTACACAGTACACTGGATCCGCTTCACTATGTGAACTAACTAACTGTTACTTTATGACGGCAGCGCACCGAAGACAAACTTGAACGCTGGCATCTTTTGACTGTCCTTGATGGAGGACACGGGAATCTACCTTCTGTGAGTGTGATAAACAAATGTGTTTATCGCGCTCACAGTTTACTGGCTCAGGGGTTGTTTACGGCGGCTGCACTGATTATCTACAGTCAGTCTGCCATTCATCATTGATCACGTGAGGTATAGCAGTAGATCTGGACCTACTAATGGTTGATCTACGTCAGTGTGCAGGCCAAGGCTCGTCATCAGTCGTCACGCCACAAGGTTACTTGCCGTACTTGGCTACAGGGGGTAACAGGGCCCAGGGGAGTCGTACCCAAACCTGGTTTGGGTACGACTCCCTGGCCACTATGTACAGTGAAACCGAGGTACTGGGAGGATGGGGTTAGGTCACTGTTGAAGGACTGCACTGGAAATGGATAATAATTATGCCCCCCCCCCCCCCAACACACACACAACGTACTGAATATCCAACGCAAAGATAAAAACAATAATGTATGTTACATCCAGGGGGTACTTTGTGCAGCATCAGTACAGAAAAGACAAGATTATGCTGCTTCTGAACGTGTTACTGTATCTCAGAGCAAAGAGAAGCGGAGCCAAAGCTCGTGCCAGCTGTGCAAAATTCCTTATTTCCACTTGTGCACGTGAAGGTCAAACCCTCCACTCAGTGACATACACTCGGAACTAACTGTTAGTTGAGTTTCCCTGGGGGAGTGTCCTTTCAAGACCTAAATGATTTGTACAGTGCCACATTGATCAAGTCCATCTCAGCCCCGGCCTGGCCTGCCCGCAAGGCAGCATGCAAGAACACAGCTCTTTGGTCTTCTTAGTGCTATGGTCGCAAATAGCAATGCCAATGGGATCATTCACTTCATAATTATGAGCAGTGAATTACACTGGCAAGCACTGGTCAGCTCCATTTGCCGTGGCTCTGCCCTGCAATCATTGGCCTGGCGTTCATCAAAAGAACCGTGAATCCATCAAGTGAACGTACATTTCCATTTCGAACGGACGTGGGGCTTGCTCAGACGTCAGATAAAAGGCCATTCAGGCAACTCAACAGTTGCATGTTCAAGTGAAAAGAGAGTTCAACTGGACTACACTTGTAAACTATAATGAACAAGTCCAAGGAAATATCGACACACCAGGGAACATGATGCTATGGCCTGTCGGAGAACCAGTGAAATTAACTACCATATTAATTTTTTGTTATCATCTCAGCTGAAGTCCAGCACTTCATGTGTGCTTTGCAATATGGCGCATGATTGGAAAGCGAAGCCTCTGCAAGAAATGGACAAAGCAAGAAATGGACGATGCTGACTGAAGTAACGTTGTGGAACACCATTTGCAGGATTTGTGTTTACTGCTGGATGAGGAGCTGATGATGCTCGAACTCAAATTGTTGACTCTAGGTTCTACACAAGTCCACTGCTAAGCCAAGCCGTTGAAATGTGCAGTTTGTGATGCCGCATGAAGATGCCAGCTGCATGAAGATGCCAGCTGCATGCTGGCCTACACACTGTGTGCAGTATACCTTATCTTCCTGAATATACGTCGCACCTTTTCCCACTAAACTTTAAGGGCAAAGAAAGGAATGCGACTTCCAATCGAGTCTGACATCCTACTTATGTGAATATATTGCCACAATATGGCTGAAACATGACAAACGACTTGCAATCAAGTGCGACTGAAAATCGGGAAAACACGGTACCAGTAATAATAGCGCTTTACCTCCTGTCATCAATCATTTCGTGGATCTACATTGCTCTGAGTCCTGAGTCGCACGCTGGCCACGCTGAATCCGTGCGCAGACTGCGGCCACGTGATCTCCTGCAGTGTTACCTTCAGTGTGACCACATCGATCTTAACCAGATACTGGGCTGAGAAGCGCACATGATTGTGATTACCAGCCCGGTCATTGACTGCCGCATCACTCATTGCTCCCGTGTGTCGTTCCATTATGGCATACATTGTATGGAGCGACTGATCATAGGCTGCTGAACCTGCCGCAGACAATCCAAAGTTGTCGGGAAACACGTGCAGCACCTTCGGTTGGGGGTTGTCCTTAGCGTAGGGCTCGATTCCGTGGAAGACTTCAACCAGCTGCGAAGTGGTGTTCTCCGGCGAGATCTGGATGGAAAACGAACGATTCAGGTTGTCGTCGTAGGCATACACATCGTATGCAGTTGTTCCATTGATTGCTCCAAACCATTTCCAGTCATACACACTAGATTGGGACGACGTCCCCAAGCCGGCAAAAAACTTGTTGACGTTGTTGTACGCAGCACCAGGGTACCACAGTAGTGATGTGGACTGGTCGATGTAGTTGACACACGCCGACCTCGATTCGCCAAAATAGTCCACCGGCATTTGGTATACGGCAGAAATGTTACTCTCGTGGACGGCACACCAGCACGTTGCGCTCATGTTCTGCTCTGGTAGCCACATCTGACACACACCCTCTATCTGCTGACTGCCTGGATTGAAGTCAACCGTTTGCAATGCAGACTCCTCTATCTTGACACTGCCAGTTATCTTGCCCGTCTTCAAACTCCAGGTTTCCAGAACCATACCGTTGTAGAAGACCACCGTCGATTCATTCGTCAAGGCAAAGCCGCACTGAGCGATGGACTCGTCTCTCTGGGTCTTCAACAGTGAATGGCTTTTGCCCGTGTTCAAATTGACCTCGATCATCAGCCACTCGGAGCTGTTCGTCTCCTGGGCGAACACCAGCAGTCTGGTCTTATCAGAGCTAGGGCCCGGCTGTGTTCGATCAAAGACTAGCGATGATTGCTCTTCCTGTCCATCACCGGGCTTAGTGGCTTGCGCCTCCGCTCGGGGAGCTAGCGATGCCATCAAATCGCTGGCACTGAGAATGAGGAACAGGAAGGCCGCCGCACAGCCAGCCATTCTCTGTGGTCAAGCTTCAAAGGAAGAATTATGAAAGGAATACAAATCAATTACTTTGATGTATCGTTTCCATCGAGCAAGGACTTACGTACAACCATTCTTGTAATGTGGGGAATGAGATTTTCGACTTGTTTCGGAATGAATAACGTTTGGACTTCGGAAATGCGACTGCTGACAAGTGCTGAGCTGCATGCAGCGAATCGGGTGGCTTGATCATGCGATGATTTCGGCGAAGACTGCAGTGCTGGGCACACACAAGGTCTGCACGGGGCATGCATTGCAGAGCTACGCATAGATCTACGCGGGAGCATGACAAACTCCATCCTTGCGCTACATCATAGATATAGTCATGTTCATTGCTGATAATATCAACATAATCAAGACTCCGAGTCGATCGGCCGGGCAAGAGTCCATGGGGTTATGGACTCTTGCTGATACATGCACAGTGTATCTACCAGGAGTAGTAGACTCTACGTACCCAGCCCCAGAGGGGGGTTATGTACCCTTGCTGATATACATGCGAGCAAAACGACAAAAACATGGTCATTGTTACTTTCAATGGTGTTGTCTGACTGATATACAGACATTGAGAAGAAGTAGCGATGACCCAGCCATTATGGAATCCAATACACCACACCACCACATAATTGCGCTCTTGGCCGAAGTGTGGTGTATGTACAGACCAGGGAGTCGTATAGACCCTACCAGGGAGTCTATACGACTCCCTGGTACAGACAGTAATTATAAGGGAGTAGTAAAATGCTACTCCCTGGTGACCATTTTTTTTATACGCAGGGTCTTTATCTGGTCTGGCTCTGGACACATAAAACTTGTACGCCTTCAGACTTCCTGATGTGAGCAATGATAGACTTATAGTAGATCAATTTGCATGACTGTGTTCACGGTCCTGGTCTGTAGTCCGCCAAATAGACCTCAGGATAGACCCTGGTTGTGATCACAACTCAGTGCTACCAACCCAGTCCCGGTGACCCCCCCCCCCACACACACACACGCAGATCACGCGGCACACACAGGCAGTTGTCGAATAGGGAATTATAATAATTGTAAGCAAAACCTGCCATGAAAAGAATCTCACAAGCCTAAACAGCTGGCAGCGCATGCAGAAGCACTACCAAAATACCTAAAGCAACGTTTGGACCCACGTCTCGTAAAAACTAAAAAAAAGCAAGGAAAGCCCGCAAGGCATCGACCAGCAACCCTCAACTAACTAAAGGAAACAAGAGCAAAACAGAATGACTACAACATGAGAGAAAGCGCAGTACACAAAAAGAGTAAGCGTACTGGTGTTGTGGAGAGACCGTAGGCGAGACTGAACGGCAAACTCATCGTGACAAAGCACCCGCGTATTGCATAGATAAACACGAGCAGGATATCAATGTTACGAGAGCAAGGCGGAGAGAAGGATCAACATTTCATGACCACCCCGGGGGAAGTAAAAAATTCCATTTAGAAATAACTTTCATGGTTTGAATAATACGGCACGTTAATTTTGATCTGCTAGATATTAATCAGGAGCATGCTAATGCAAACTGCTACATGCTTGTCAAATTGACAAGCAAGTCGTAAAAAGCGGCAGGGTAGTGTTAAAAAAAGGCGCAGCTGTAGTTACGGCAACGCCAGTCACATGATAAGCATGCCACTCCAAGTCACATCATGCATAATAGACGCCCCTTCTCATCATGCATAATACATGTCCCTTCTCATCATGCGGTGCATAGATATGCAAGCACACCGGGCAGCGGATGTGCGGCAGTGTTCGATTTATTATTGTTCCACTTTCATCTCCTTGGCTTTCTTCTTACGTGGAGAAGTTGGTGTTGGGCCATGCAACACCTGTAGGCCCTGGACATAGAGCATGCAGTGAAGAGACAGGTTTGTTTCAAGATGCAAGGAGGTGACCCAACAGCAAACGTACAGTATAAGTAATTTGCAAGGATCAAGATCATTATAGAGAGCATCACACATAAACCCTTGCAAATTGTACCTTACTTTGGTATCTGCCTGCAGCAACCAAAAACATCATAGTTATGCTTTACATAGCACCATGCTTAAATCCAGGCTCCATAAGGACACCATTCAAGTACAGGTGGAACCCTGATAATTCGAGTATGGAACATGTTGCTTACTTGTAACTTTCTTCCAGGACCAGTTTCACTCAATACGATTCCCAAAAAACAATGTCTAAAACTTCAAACCTGGAACTAGGTATGTACGCCTAATTAGAAGTGGCACAAAATCTGCTTACACAGAAAATGTGTGGAATTCATTACATCCCTGGAAATGGCTTGTTTTGAAAAAGAAATGTCGCTACAATGAAACTTGAGTACAAAGTACCCAGGATATAACATACGTTTTCTCTGCATGGGATATAAAGTACTTTTCGTAAAACCCTGCATATCCTTTTCCAGCCTCTTGACCTTGGAAAAATAGTTAAGTATGTACTTCGGCTATAAACTTACAGGTTTTTATGTCCCCTGGAGGTACGTTATACTGAGGGTTCACTGTATTTATGGACTGCATCTACTACAGACACACCAACTGCTACCTTCACCCAAATTACTTTGAGCATTCATTGCACAATATTCTAATTTCAGAAATTTTAGGTGCTCAATTTATTTCGGTACAAGGGCAAAAGGCCAGGTTAGGTGAACAGAAATTTTAGGCACAAGGACGCAATTCCCCACTGGATGCTGTGTATTAGTGTTTGTTCGGTTTATTGTATGAAACAGATGCACCAAAAGCCGGTACCGAAAATAAAAGTACACCGAAAATTTGTGAAATTACAGCATACTGGTTTATGCGGCAGTGGAACAAACTCAACGAAGAACTCACCCGCTTCAGACAACCGATGAACATCAAAGACCTCTTCTTGTTTTTGTCCGCATTGTCAACATGCAGTTCCAGGCTAGCTTCCACACCAGCTGCGCCTGCGGAACGACAAGCAAGGCGCACCCCGGTGACGTTGCCTGCATCTAAAACAGCAGCAGAACACACAACAAATGCAGTACCGGAGGGAATAAAACAGACACAATAAGGGGCTGTACAAGCTCACTGATTGATTTAGCTCAGTTCATTGTGGGTGGGCTTTTAGGAGTTCCGTTGTGAAAATAATTACTGAATGCACATGAAGAATGCACAGGTGCCACTGGGTGCCGAAGATTGAAATCATAAGTTCGTTGAATATCGGTTATATCGCTGAAAACTTGGGGCTGTCTGGCAACACCAGGGTCAGTGGGACAATTGAAGTCCACAGTGCAATACCTCCCACCAACACGGGCACCCTGAGTGCAGAAGCGCAAACGCAGCGCGAGGAAGCATTAAAGCGAAACAGTGGGCAGAAATGGCTGCAGCCAATACCTTATAGGGGATTCACACGATGCGCAAACTCACGTGTGTTGTACTCTTTTTACTCGTGTGACCCTAGCGCGTGCAAAATCTTGATAAACTTGATCGGGGGTCCTAGGCACATTACCACGTTTGTGCTTTGCGCGCGTGCAAAAACAGCAAGAGTACTTGAGTATGGTACTCAAGACAGACGCATGTGAGATTTGTACGGGTCTGTTGTCTGTGTGACAGCTTGTCCATTTTTATACAAACGTGTTTTCGTTCATTTTCACGTCGTGTGAATACTCTATTAGAGCCAAGGAAACTACCGACTTGAAGCCGGGGTGTGGAAACTGCCATTATGAGTCTTTTATGACATGATATTTATTCATCCAAGGAACTGATAGGTCCCCAGCTACGAAACAAAAACTGTGTCAGCAGCTTAGGGATCATAAGGAACTGACATGCACCAGTTGCTTCGACTTGGGCAAGGACTCTCGTGCTGTCTGGCACCAAGGGCTTTTGGGCAAGCTTCCACACATCATCGGGTTTAGATTGACAGCCGCTCGTAAAGCATGCAACCGGATTTGGTACATCCCCTGCATTACACACATATTCTTGGAGTTCCCCAAGGCACGTAATGTGAACCGCTTAGAACTTGTAGTCAAAGCACACAAGATACCATGGAGGTTTGGGCATGCATCAGTGATAGCACACTAATGGACAGCACTCTCTCTCTTTCTCTCTCGCTCTCTCTCTCTCTCTCTCTCTCTCTCTCTCTCTCTCTCTCTCTCTCTCTCTCTCTCTCTCTCTCTCTCTCTCTCTCTCTCTCTCTCTCTCTCTCTCTCTCTCTCTCTCTCTCTCTCTCTCTTACCATTTTGAATATCTTCCACCTTGTGAATGGACTGTAGGGTAACAGGATCATGCTCCTCTCCAAACGTCAAATCTCTGAAAAAACCACACGCACGTCAACAAGGATTCTTCTATAGGTGTACAGTACAGTCACCAATCAGAAAGTAGCAATGAGATCACAAAATAACACAGTGCACTACACAAGAAGCATCTACAACATCACAATAGTTGACAATATGCTACATGCATTGCTGAACAGCAGTTGGTGCGGAACTGGCGCACCGGCATGGCAGGGCTGCAAGTATGTTACACATTTCAATGGGTAGGGCACCTCGGTGAAGGGTAAACTTAGGAAGTTGCTTCGCATGGAGTAGAACCTGCATTTCAAGGGCATGTTTCCCTGCTAAAATGCCTTTTTTGATGATGTCAGGAGTGAAGAATTTACACAGAATCAAAGGCCACAAAATAATGTGCTTTGAGGAAGGAGGGAATTATTCTACTCTCTGGACTAACTTGACCAGAATGGCATTCTAATGGCTGAAAGATGCTACATCCATTGCAACTTGGGAAGAAAAAAGTGCTGTAATGCCAACAGCTGGATTCTTTATTCATACTTGCACTCTACATGAAAAAGCTGTGCAAAGGTACAGCACTAGTAATATCATCGACACAGAGTCCAGTTCAGGAGGAAGTACACGCCCTGAACATGCAGGTTCCACACGATGCAGACCAGAATCCATTTTGGATTCTGGGTCAAGGCGATCTTGACCATCGATGGGCCCCTGATCCAATCATTTTATGGATTATCTGTGCAAGCCTCTATAACAGTGTTTTGGCCCGGGGTTCTCATACCCGTTACATACCTGTGGGCTGATGAGATGCAGCATAGAGTCGGTGTTTCATTCACAATAAACATAGCACCTGAAAGTATAGACACACCAGCAAAGCAAAATAGCCATGAAGATGAGGGACAAGTCCCCCTAAAAATGAAATAGGGTTCCACCAGTAGCCAATGCATCCAATACGGTTGCACCCCCCCCCCCCCACACACACACGCCTTTTGATTAAAGAGTAGATCAATGCATACATGGTTTCTAGAGATGCAAGTGTGCTATATTCGAAAAATTGGAGGGCCCACTAGGAGGCCAGTGCAATATAAAAAGCTGCAATTAGTATATGAGCAATACGTTGAGCCCAGTATGGGAGTGACATAGAAAAAGAGAGCGAGGCAAGCTACATGCATACCATGTACTGCCCGGTAAGAAGGGGAGCCCTCGTCGTCTCCACTCTGCATGTGGGGACTGTATGGCGGAGAGAACTACGTAGTGTAGCCAGATTACCGGGACACCCATCGTGCACACGGATTGTCGGATCGAGGTATGGCAGCAGCAGCAATATCAACATGTGCTTCATCAGTGTGTTGATGCGGCCATAGGGCATAAGCAAGAGGGTACTATGCAAATGGCAGTCACGTTTTTCTCTTTTTTTTTGTCGCCTCTCACAGAGGAGCATGCACCTCTTTTACCATGATTGCGCTTGCAAAACCATTTATCTACATACTTGCAAAGCAATAAAAATGCAACCGACTTCCGCGTGTCTTGATGTGGGTGCCTCGGGATGGGCGATAATCACTCACTGTCCACACCAGTAGGAATGGGCAATAGGCAATGAAACAAGACGGCAGTCCACACTAACGCAGCTCCATAGTGTACACAGCTCACCCGTAACAAGAACTGGCAGGTGCTTCTGAATGAACTCGTTGTCCTTGGCCACAACCGTCCTGCAATCTTCGCACAACCGTACCGGATCAATGTAACCCTGGCGCAGTGATGGTACTGCTGACGGGCTACACTTGCTGCAGTACAGGTCACCGCAGAATCTGCAATGGTGCTGTGCGCCAGATAGGCACAAACATGAAACACACACAAAAGAAATGAGAGACAGACAGACACAACGGCCAGAAAAATACATGCAGTCGCACACCCGTGCGCATGAAGGTGAGGTCGAGGTCCCAGTGATCCCGGCTGCCCAGCAACCGTTAGTGATCACGGCAGCGCACAATACCACCAGTCACTCTTTTTGGCAAGCTATGTACGAGCAGCTTCGTACATGCTGCTATTTCCCCGATATGGCGGACCAGTGCAGGCGCTACGTGTAACAATGCCAGAAGCGTCGAGCAGCCACCTCCGCAAGAGGGCCGGCTGCTCCGACTGCACGCAGTGTGTTGCCCTCCCGGCCATGTGAGATAGTTCAGCTGGATATGCTGGAACTAAGGTCGAACCAAAGCGGGCGATATCACTGTGTGCTGGCGTGCGTAGACATGCTGACCAAGTGGGCTGAAATAGTGCCTCTCCCTTCGCCATGATGGTCAGAGCGTGGCAGCAGCGTTTGTCGATCTGTGCTGCAAATGGGGCCCTCTTGCAATAGTTTGAGTGGACAACGGAACCAAGTTTCAGAATTCAATCACGCAAGCTGTATTTGAGGTGTTTGGTGTTCGCATGGAAACTGGCGCGGTTCGCCATCCACAGTCCCAAGGAGCAGCTGAGTGGCTGAATCGCACACTGACAATGATGATGCGTAAGGCGCTATCGGAGACGTCAGGCTGGCATGCCGATCTGCATATGCTGCTGCACTACTACCGCCGACGCCACCATGGCTTGATTGGCATGTCACCGATGCTAGCCATGGTCGGCTGGGAGTCTGCAACTCTAGTGGCCAGTGATCTTTATAGTGTATCACCAAAAGACTGGCGCGATGAATTTGTTGCAAGGTCAGTAAGGATTCGAGACCTCATCGACAGAGAGATGTCCCAGCATGACTTGCAAGCCAATGCATCGACTCAATGCCAGTACAAGACTGGCTAGGATGTGCTGCTGAGGCAGCCGGACAGACGCCAGAAAAGTCTCCCTCCGTTCCAGCCAGGGTGGACAGTATGAACGGTAGTGAGCCTCAGCGCGGTTGTGATTGCCAAAGGTCACCAGGAGAAGGTAGTTAGCGTAGATCTGTTGAAAGCGGCTCCTGTGGTCGACGAGTCAGCAACACCCACGGAAGTGGCACGCAGCCGGCTGATATAGGTAGAGATGATGTATCTGAGCCAGTTCTTCGACTGTTGCTTGACGAACTAGATGCCCCGGTCCCAGCGATGCAGGGCAATGCAGGTCCACCATTGCCCTGCATCGCTGAGACCGTTCTGCCATTCAACTGCCGGCTCGTTATCGTACTGGCTGATGTTATGTCACCAGGCGGAGGAGGTGAAACAGAATGGCACTGTGTGTGTGTGTGTGTGTGTGTGTGTGTGTGTGTGTGTGTGTGTGAATGTGTATGTGTGTGTGTGTGTGTGCAGGGGCGTAGCACCCGCTACGACTGGTACGACCATGGCCGTACCACTTTTCGAAAAGTGTGGTCCGTCCGAAACGTGCAAAACCGTAATAAAAAATCAGGATCCATCGTTGCATACATGTATGCGAATCAGACCTTTTTCTACTGTACTGTCTGTAGTATAGACTCGTAGACCTACTCGTAGATCGATCTGCCATGCATCTGCAGTCGTACTGAGTACTGTACCCTATACTATAGCCTAGTGTACTCGACTCGACTGCACACTGAACAGTCCCAGAACGCAGGATTTTGTGTCTTTTTTACACAATTTTCCCGGGGGACATCCCCCGGACCCCCCTCCGAAACGGCCTTCGGCCGCGCCAACCTTCGGTCGTACCACTTCAAAAAACCCTCCTACGCCCCTGGTGTGTGTGTGTGTGTGTGTGTGTGTGTGTGTGTGTGTGTGTGTGTGTGTGTGTGTGTGTGTGTCCCATATGGTGCAGTGGTATGTGCAGTCGATTTCCAATCGAGAGGTTGCGGGTTCAATTCCCGACGATTATAGTCGCACACGTCTTTCTTCTCTTTCTCGGTCTCTTCCTGACTTTTCTTTCATTCTCCTGGGTGGTTACCAACAGCCAGTGTATGCCGGAGTATGTGGTGTGGTGTGTGTGTGTAGAAAAAAAGAAAAAAGAAAAAATGGAAAAATGAAAAATAGGGATTCACTGGCCAGAAAAAGTCACTTCAATCAGCTGTGTGGTGGATACCAGGCTAAAAATAGTGGCGGTCAATTCATCAGCCTTGCAAGCTGTTGAATGGTGTAATCCCAGCACAAGTTGCTATGTCTAACATAGCTGTTCGCTATCATCGCTTCCGCGATGGGCAAGTCCGAGGTCCGAGGTGTGTGTGTGTGTGTGGTGACAGTTATCTGGCGCAAGTCTTGATCTGTCTCATTCAGATCTTGTTCGCTATCGTTGCTATAAGAGAACACATCCAGTGCATTTGCAGATTTGCGTGCTTCTCTTGCGACGGGCGTATACATGGTACATGGTGCGTGTATGTGTATGTGTGTGTGTGTGTGTATGTGTGTGTGTGTATGTGTATGTGTGTGTGTACATGTATGTGTGTGTGTGTATGTGTATGTGTATGTGTGTGTGTACATGTATGTGTGTGTGTGTGTGTGTATGTGTGTATGTGCATGTGTGTATGTGTGTGTGTGTGTGTGTGTGTATGTGTGTATGTGTGGGTATGTGGTGACATATCCTGGGGGTAGTAGTGTTCTGGTAGGCGTTTGCATCTTGTGCATGTGGAGCGTTGTGTCTGTCAGGCTAGTGTAGTTTGCTCAATGTCCTTTCTGCTAGTGTTTTGCTATGACTATTAAAGCTGCCCGATTGGCGTTAGAGCCATGTAAGCTTGTAATGTGAGCTCTGTTTATGTGGTTTCCATGGAATGCACTCTCCCCCCCCCCCCCCGATCTTCTAGAAGCTTTCTAGACATTTAGCTTAGCCCTCGTTGGTGTGTAAAGTTGTAAACCCATTCATAGAATGGTAATCTGCTGCTTCATCCTTTGTCATGACTTCCACTGTTGTTCGTCAGCGGTCGTCAGCGTTTTGCTTCCATAATTTTATATTTATTTGCATTTTATACCCATCAGGCAGAGCACACCTCCTACCTGCAATCTTCCGTACCCCTGACCAGTGAAATAATCAGCAAAACAAACAACAGTCACCGACAAGTATTATACCGATATATAATACTAATGCGTGGATTCACAGGAAGTGTGAGTTACGAAGTCTGATGAAAATGTTGAACGCCCTCTGCTGGGATGACGACTACACCATAGCTCAGTGGTTAGAGCATCGCTGGATACAAGCGAAGGTCCCTGGTTCGAGTCCTGGTGGTGACAGTCAAGTTTTTTCTTCAGACTTTTCCCCGTTTGTCTCTTTCCCTCAAACCAGTTGAAATAATAATAATAATAATAATCTCGGATGGAGAGCCAATGATATAATAATAATTAAAATATTTTAAATATTTGGCTCACCTTCCGGACGAAGAACGTGAACGCGGTTTGACAATTTGAGCACCTCGCCGCCTATGCAAGTCAGAAACACGACAACATGTACCCAATCGCAATGGGTTAGAATTGATGGTCTTAGAATAATACTATTTGACTTGAAAAACAGGAGTATCAGGATGCATTGCTGCACTGCCAACCTCATTTTAGTATTGATCTGTCTGGTACCATGCAGTAATACGTCAGCTGTAAATCCAAAAAAATCGACACTGAAAATTCTCGTCACAGCGCTTTTCTAGCCATACTGATAGCAGGATTTCATCAATTGGGGGGGGGGGGGGGGGGTGCGGCAAGCCCCAAGAGAGTGCAATTGCCTGCACGCATCCTATCCAGAGCTGCAGAGCTTCACATCACGTGGCATGCTTTAGCAGGTTACACTAGCAAATAGTGCAGAGCTGCCACCACTGGGGCACGATCTCTGGTGAGGCGGGTGGTCACTCCAAAACGGGAGACGTACTATAAGTCAACGATTCCACTTCGACCAAGAAGAGACATTAGTACCATAATCGCAAACTGAACTATAGACCTGGTCCATTGATGGTCTTGTTAATATTTCGTACTATTCTCTCCCTGCACGACTTCTCCCCCCCCCCCTCTCTCTCTCTCACTCACTATTGCTTTAATATCCAAGTGGGTCCAGTGTCACTAGGCTTTTGCCTGTTTAGGATTTACCGCTATAAATTATATAAAGAATACAATAACTTGCGACCCTGCGCTGTGATGTGAGACTCTGCTATTACAGCAGTGAATAGAGAAAGTGCATGCAATAGCATAACATTGGGGTGCCGTACTGTTGACAGCATCTAACATGTTCACAGCCATGCTACACAGACTAGTAGTGTAATTATTGTTAAGCGCCGAGGGCTTGTTTATGCGTCATCCCGGGATGAGAATTTCATGCGCTTACAAGATACAGTAAAACCTGGTGTAAGCGACCTCTGTGTTTAGGGCCGGGTTCCACTGCGGCTCCGCTGCTCGTCTTTCGCGGCTTGAAACGTCACCATTACCATAGTGACCGCGGCTCGAGCTGGAGCAGCGAGGCCGCGGCTCACCGCGAGCTTTCGCTACGATTCTTGACCAAAAGCTGCGAGCCGCGGTCGCGGCTCGACCTGTTTCCCGTACTTTGCATTGTTTTGTACGCCAGAATTTAAAAATTTTAATTTTAATTCGTTGCGCAGGCCAGAACACGAGGATTTTTTTGATTTCGTGCGCGCAGGCAGGTGAAACGTCATCAAAAAGTGTGGACCACGACCGCGATACCGCGAATGGCGAGTGTCAGTGGAACCGCGCTGCTCCGCTGCATGCAACCAAGTGCCGCGGAGCCACAGTGGAACCCGGCCATTAGCGACCACCTGCTCTTAACGACCGTTTTCCATGCACCGACAGTTCTAACTTCTAAACAGACACTGTGGGACCTGGTTCATCCTGTGTTCCCATAGTTACCGGTACATGTATATGAATCCTCCCATAGAGTTTGGATGGCATGCAGTCAACTCGCTTCTGCCAAGTATGGGTATTTGTACGCATTCTCGTACTGGTACAAGTTTCAGTCCAGCCCAGCAGAAGTAGGCCGAGTTGAAACTCATTCCGCCTCCGTGGGTACCGGGTACGAGTTTCGTCTGTGTGCTTGCATTCTCCTGGGCCATGGCGGCGAGTTTCATTTAAAAATAGTGACTTATGATGTACACAGTATTGTGAGGCACAATGACTATGTAGCAAAGCTACGGTATTCATGGTAATGTACATATTCATGCAAATCTTGTGATTTCACCTCTTCGTCCTTCACCCACGGTGGCTCTCCAAGGTCGAACAAGCTTCTCGAAGCTTCATCAGTTGCCACTGCCTTCGTGCCGCCTTTCGTAAGGACAAGATTGCGGTGAACTTCCTGCGCCATTATTGTAGATCTACCTGACCTGGACGCCGGCACTCAGCTGGGTGGCTCGCGTTACTACAGTCTGTGCTCAGTGTGCTGACAACCAGCCACCTGCACAAGAATATCGGGTCTAGTCTGCTTCTAGCTCGAAGCTTGGTAACCAGCAATGTTGTGTAACAGTTTAGGAACGTTGGTACTGATTTGAAAGATTTGAATGGTACAATCTTGAACAATACCAGATACAAACGCTGCAGTGTAGTATACTAGTACACTGTACTACGACATGACTTTATCAATTTTCTTATAAACTGTCAGTCCATCCCATCCATGCTGGTCCTGAGATCCGCTGCGCTATGCTACTTTCGAAATGATCTCTGATTTTGCACCGCATGGAACAAGCCAAGGAACGCTGCACTGACCACTGCTGACTGACTGAGTGAAGTGCTGCACCTGTCAAGCGGCACAGGGCACAGCAACTCTTCATATTCAGTCAGCAAGCTCAGGGCAGGCACTTGCACAGGCTGATACCTTTCCGTGATCGTGATGGGGAAAATGACTGTACAGAGGAGGGCATACTTTTGCCTTGGACTAGTGACTGTGTAAGTCGCGCAGGTAGTAGATCAGGTTTTGCCAGAGTAAACTCTGGCCGGGCTGGCCCACACCGATCTCTGACTGATGCATGCTGCATGCAGATCTACCGGTATGTAGCAACGCCGTGCACACCATCACTGCATCAGGCATCACTACTACTACTAGCTCGGTCCATCCCTGCAGCCTAGCCTGTGTAGACCTTGGTAGACATGCCACCAACATAATCATTACCATGATTACCAGATTACTGGTCACAATGCCAGGCAACAAAAAAAACGAGCAGACCCTCTTCGTCTACACAGACTACAGTACTCAGTAGTTCGAGATCGGAGACGTCGACGCTCGATGTATCAAGCCGTAGTTCCATCCGGACTCTTGCTGGTACTAGATTATAGATACCAACCGAACAACATCGATACAATAGCTTTTCTTCCCTGAATAAATAGACATTTACGATCACGATCTAGCTTGGGGTGTCATCAACAAGAGTACATAAGTAAAATTAATAGTTGTCATAACCCCCCAAGACTGCAAGAGTACATAACCCCCCAAGAGTACATAACCCCCCAAGAAAGAGTGTGCAACTCCCAGACAGAGAGGGCCAGAGTCCCACAAACACCCTCATTAGTGAGGTTCTGCCACACGGTATAACGTGCCAAAGTACGTATGGAAACTTCGCAGCGACAGAATTTCAAGTTGACGTCATTATTATGATGCTTGACCATTATTATTTTTATTTATGACCATGACCATGTACCATGTAGCTCCCAGTGATTTACATGTGTACGGGTGTAGTAGTACATGTAGTAGCAAGAGTACATAAACCTTTATGTACTCTTGGTAGTAGTAGTACTAGTAGTAGTAGAATTTATTATTTTGATAGGGAAGGCCCTACAGACGTTGCCGTCTTGTTACAGGGAACCCAAGTGCTCTTTACAGAGCGAAACAAAAACGGATAGATGCTCAACCTGACGACACGAGACAGGCAGAGAATTCCACCTATCAGCGCCAAGGAAAGAAATGGAGAACATGCCATATCGAGTGGTAGCAGCGGGCAAAGAAAGTGAAGAGAATGATTGCCCTCTAGTGCGCCTCTCGGTGCAAGTAGCAGCTGACTGGAGGGTGAACATTGAGGAAAGAAGAGGACTTGTAAGCTGATGAATACAGCGGAAAACAAAAATAAAAAGCCTCAAGTTGAGACGAGATTCGAGGGAGTATAACTTAGCGTGCCGCAAAACAAAGACAGTCGGGGTACGGCGAGGGAGACCAAAAACCTGTTTCATGCTGATATGACTTAAAGTAACAAGGCGAGAGTATAAAGATGGTGTAAGACAGTGAGCATACGAGTTGCTGGCGTATTCAATAGTGGATTGGATGAGTGTCAACGCATCACACGTTTTTCTCTGCAATTATTTGTACATGATCAGATCGGCTTTGGAGTTTGGTCCACCACACGTTCCGGATTCGTCTGATAATCCGTGCACCAGGGAGTCGTCAAATACCGACTCCCTGCCGTGCACAGTGCGCATATTGCATCATAAAAATGACGTCAACTTGGTATATACATGTACAGCATGCGATGCATGCGATGATGTAGGGAGGGCCCAAATATGCTCAAAATATTCGCATATTATGCTTTTCGCATATTGGGCACTTGCTTCACAATATGCTTCGAAATCACACAAAAGCAGAAAAATATGCTCGAAATATGCTCGAAATATGAACTGATATCAGTGATAATTTTGCGAATTCTTTGTTCCTTGTAGCAAAATATGCTACATTTTTGGTACAATATGCTAGATTTGCTACTTTATGCGACCTTGAGTCGCCGACACTCTCTTCTCGAGTCAAATTTTCGCCATGTGTTTGGATGAGCATTTTTCCTTCCGGGCTAAGTAACTTAGTTTGTAAGTGTTCCCTGACCGAGCGTGCCGTGGTAAGTTTCCTTGGCCATTCTGCAATCTGCCTTATTCTTTGCTCCTTGTAATAAAATATGCTACATTTGGTACAATATGCTAGATTTGCTACTCTTTATGCGACCTTGTGTCAAAAGGACAAAATATGCGAAAATATGCGCAAGCATATTCGGGCCCTCCCTATGCCATACTATTCTAGTCTATAGTCGAGTAACAGTTGCACACTCTGGGGGGGGGGTTATGTCATCGATTGGCGAATCTGGATTGAGTGCGCGACTTTGCGGCGCTGCGACGCCGCGCAGCGGCCTATGCTATAGGCCTAGCGGTGTAGTCCGAGCAACTCTGACCCGAACAAAACAAGGGTGTAGTACGCACAATTGTACGCATATCGTACAAAAATTCTGTGAAAGCTGTCCAAAAACGGCAGTCCATCAGCTCCAGCCACTGCACTCCGGGTGTGCATGTGGGCCGGTGTGGTGGTCGGATTCCACTCCAACTAATAATTACTTCCAAGTACGCCTCGTAGACTCCGGATTCGACGAAACGATTACCATGATCACGCTCACTCGGAGCGCACTTGCTCGGGATTCGCCCAATCGATCATGCCCGTTCTCTTATCTTGACAAACCAGATCTGATGAACTGCACTGACGTCGATGACAGCTTTCCAAATCGAAGCTTTCGAATGATCGTGCGGGGGGCCGGGGGAGCTCGAACTGCGAAAAGACGAGTTCGAGACTTCGAGACGTTCGAGTCGAACTCGTGTCTCGAATGCTAGTGTACTATGACGTCACATCGTGAGTCATAGTTATAACTATGCGCATGCGCTAGTGTAGAATCTTGTGCGCGATGCTTGCTCAAAATTCAGGCTGAGGAAGAAAGACCCCCGAGACATCGAACTGATTTCAGTGGCAGACTTTGTCTTCTGTCGTGAATGCAGAATCAAAGTTTATAGTTTACCTATCTACCGAGCATGGGTTCGTTTCTGGATAAACCCAAGACCGAGAAAGAGACGAACAAAGGAGAGGGAAAGGACCTTCGGTATGGAGTTGCTGGTATGCAAGGCTGGAGAGGCACTATGGAAGATGCATATGCTGCAGAACCAGAAATCAAAAACTTTCCAGGATGGGCATTCTTTGGTGTGTTTGACGGTCATGCTGGAGCTAAAGTAGCGGACTATGTTTCCAAACATCTGCTTGATGAAATTCTAAAAACAGATGAGTTCTCGAAGCCTGATGCTGACGCTGACACGTACGCTGCCGGCATTCGGCAGGGATTTCTAAATCTTGACGAAAGTATAAAGCAGCAGCCTTTCGTAAGTGAAGATTTCGATCCTAGTGGCTCAACAGTAATAGTTGCAATGGTTTCTCCTACTCATGTATACTTCGCCAACTGTGGAGACTCTCGTGGCATGCTGTGTAAAAAGGGAGATGTGGCTTTCGCCACTGAGGACCATAAACCTAGTTGTGCTGGTGAACAAGCTCGTGTGCAGGCGGCTGGTGGTAATGTCCTCTGCTCCCGAATTAATGGATCCCTGGCTGTATCGAGAGCGCTTGGAGACTTCGCATTCAAGAGGAGAACAGATAAGCCGGCGATAGAACAAATGGTTTCACCAGAACCAGAGGTTACAACACTGGAGCGTACTGGAGATGACGAGTTCATCTTGCTTGCTTGTGATGGTGTTTGGGATGTTATGGCGAATGAGGATGCAGCGCAGTATATCACAGAGAGACTGCGGGTAAACGCTGACCTGGTGGATGCGATCAGTCAGTTGGTTGACTATTCATTACACAAGGTGAGCTTGGAGAGAATTGTGTATTTCAAATGTGGTCATCGTTCAAGTGAGCAATTTACATTTCCTTCTTGGTACATTTCATGTGTTTGGTCGAGTGTTACACAACGAACCGTTATTCCGCTCAAGCAATGGTTGTAATATCCAGTTCTCCTCATGTGTGCCTGGTCTATAGTACCAGTGCTTAGTTGTTCCCGCCCGCATGTTGAATTTTCTGTGTTCGAAATATGTCTTACGTTGGCAGGCTAGAAGTAGAAGTTCACAGAAAACGATTATTTATATTTCAAGTGTATGCTCACTCATTAGTGCAAAGGTGTAAAGCCTGTACATGTACATCCTTGCGCGCCCCCTGCTGGTAGTAGTGACGAGGAATGACCTTCCAACAGTGCCTAGTGGATTGTTGTCCACGTTTGTGTCGTTTGAAAATTGATGTAGACTTTTGGCCTTTTCAAAGCATATGAATGGCTTCATTGCAAAACGCGCTAAACGCCAATCTCATGCATATGGCGTTTTCGGTGTCAATCGAATCAGTAGGGATCACTGCATCTGGTGGCCAAAAAGAATTCTCCAAAACGAGACATATCCCACTGAAAATCAACGTTGAAGTTGACGTTCTACTGCAAAACGCGATAAACACCACCGATGTTTTCGAGCAAAGTGCGATATATCCTGTCGCGCAGGCCAGCGTGACCTGGGACAAGCCAGCGAGTACGAGTGCATGCTGGCGCAGCACGTGGCAAACATCGCGACTAGACTGAGTCTGTGCAAAATGTCGATGTCAGAGTTCAAAGTACAGTGTTTTCGTGTTGTTGCTTTGTAGCAGCTACATCTACGTTGTCATTTCGTTCTTTTCGTGTCATCTTCTTCGTAGCTGTTGTTTTTTCGCTTTCGAAACTGCAAAGGGCAGTCACTCAGTATGCTAGAGGCGTCAGGGATGGACAATGCTGCTGCTGCTGCTGCTGAGCTCCTTCAGAGTTTGGAACTCAGTGAAGTCGTTGCACTTGTATTTTCTAATCTCATAATACTGATTAGTCCGGCGAACTGGTCTGGTTTTGCCCGAAAATAATGAAGAATCACCTTGCTTGAGAAAATGGATGGCTCCTGATTTTTGAGAAAGCCCGTATTTGCATACATCACCCTACTCTTCTCATCTGCTCAGTTAGATTTGACCCAACCCCACCCAGTTGTTGATCACAGAAAATCGCTCCTCCTGAAAATTGATCAAAATGGATTTATCTCGTTTTGCAATGAAGCCCTTCATATGCAAAACATGCCCTACTTTCGTAGAGTGAGAACATTTCCTTTCGTATGGGCAATGTGCTGATAATGTGAAAAATAAAACACCAGAAACAGTGCATCCACGACACAATGGAACACTAGGCCGTGAATTGATGAAGAGGAGCTCGCCACAAATGGATGTTCGTATTTCATTGAGCAGAACCTACGCTTGTCTTGGTCGGAGGACAATTTACTAAAAAAAATTCCACTTACCCGACCGGCATGGGACCGAATCATGTCCATAAACTAGCAGCTGTTCGTAACTTTTAACACACAATGAAGTTATGGAGATAATTGTTCACGAGCACGGTCCAGTCGAATCGAGCATCATAGTATATGACCCGGAGACCGTCTGCTTGGTGCTTCAATCTGCATCGGGAGATGGTATGTTGATTGTATATGTCGGCCTCCTGGCCATGGTTATCTTATAAGCTTGTTCAGTTATGGGCCGGAACGATTTTGTGTAGGTGTTCTTTTCTATAGTTCAGAGATCAGTGTGTTCTTCTTGACATGACACTGTACCTGTTTCCGTGGGTTGTAACTTCTTTAGCGCGAATGCCATACCTCTTATTGTGTGGCTTTGACACGTCGACATCCGCCACTGTTTATGTAGTATAGCGCAAATTTCCCCTGGCAGACCCTGGCGTTTGGATGTCCATGCGTCCAGTTTCCCTCAGGCGATTTCTTACTCCAACCCTCTCTGAAAAGACCTTGTGTGCATGTGCTCCGAAGTAGTATTACTCAAAACAACTTTAAACCCCTGTAAGCTGAGCAAAAGTCACTTCCAACGGTGTATCTATTGCTGCTGAGCAGTATTCGATCAGATTGTCACTTTTTGAAATGTGGAAGCTAAAGTGAGTAGGGGCATGATGGAACCCAGCAGTTCAGTGTCTTGTTGTACAAAATTGTTCAGAACCCTTTCAGTGCAAAGACCAGACAACGAAAACAAGCATACGTAAATGTTGTACAGTCATGTAGCTGTTGTCGTTTCTCCATGCAAGGCATCACAGAGTTGTTGTGCTGCTGGTACTTCTGAAGTAGTTGTTGTTATTGTTGATTGTTGGCTTTGCATGCTCCCTGAGTATGCTGCTTCAATGTGCTAGATTCTATTGTGATCACCAGTTTTTGGTATACCGGTTTTTCTGCGAGAATAGCGTTTCTTAGCTGTCCAGTTTGAATTTCTTTTCCTTTTTCTTATGTGTAGGAGAGCAAGGACAACATGACTGCTGTTCTAGTTGCATTTCCAGCTGCACCGAAAGTCGACAATGAGGAAGTAGAGAAGGTAAGCGATCACCGTGTTTGCTGCAGTTTAGAGATGCACCGTTTCGGGTTAGGTAGCAGGTGTGCATCTGGATGTGAAATGCATCATAATATATTATATTCCCGTCCAGTGATCCAGATGTTGGTCCAAGGGAAGTACAGTTGACCCCTGATATAACAAACACCAATGTGCAAGAGAATTTGTTCTGTAAATGCACTCAAACCATATAAGCAACACTTCATGCCTGGTATGCGGCTCGTGACAGCATGAGTGCACCTGGTATATTCTCCATCATAAGATATGGTTAATCATTATAAACGAAAATACACATCCTTTTTGTAATGCAATGTGCGGTGTGCACAATATTACTAGACAATCCTGAACCTAATGTGTGCTCATCGCCCTTTGGTCTTGTACAATGGTTTGTCAGCAAACACGTGTAGCGGGTTAATACCTGTTGAAAGATGGAAAGCACAGGTGCAAGGAGTGTTAAAAAGGACATCAACTTGAAATTTTGCTGAGACAGAACTGCAAGTAGGTGTTAAAAACTCAGGTGTGCGTACTCTTAGCAGTTCTCATGATGGATTCCTGCCAAAATGGTTGAGTCTCTCTGCAGTGTCTTCCATATGGGTGGAATTTGTACGTCTTGTTACTATCAAGTACGGTCTCTGCATCAGCGTGGAGTTTGTATTCTTGCTAGCACTTCTCACATGAATTGCTGCCCAAAATGGATGAATCTCTAGTGATATGTCTTCCATATATGCATATTGGTGGAATTTGTACTTGAAGTACACATTTGTACGTCTTGTGACTATCAAATATGGTCTGTGCCCTAGCGTACACATATAGTATTCACTCCATTTTCTCCAAAGCATAAATAACGAGATGTTCTGCTTCACATGAAACGTAGAGAAATCATGTAATACACAGTGGTCTGGGTTGGAGTCTACGGCTTTGCTTGTTTCATGTACAGAGTTCTATGCGGAGATGTGGTTCGTTGTGGCACGCACAGAGAAAATGCATCCAGATCTGCTGCGTATCATTCCAATTAGAAAAACTGAAAACTGCCAAATTCGGAATGGGAAATTCCCAGTATACATTCTATGTGGTTTCTTTGCGTCAGCGTAGAGTGAAATAATTTCTCATACATTACGGGAACGCGAAGAGTGCTCATATGATTCTTGCCATTCCTGAACGTAACGCACTCTACATGTACATGTGTATGTAGTCAACTACTGTAAAGTGAGAAACTTTCGCTAGAGATTACATTTTTGCTATTTTCGCGACCATCACTTATTTGCGAATATAAATCGCCGCAAACCTCTCTGTACATTGATTGCAGACAGTACAAGATCCGGCTGAGGAGATAGAATCGCAAACGTTTCTCATCGTGAACCAGCTCAATTTATGAAAACGCTAAATTTGCGCGCCGCGAAAGTTTGTCGCTTTACAGTAACCCGTACACTCAGTACCTTGCATGCGGAGAAACATATACTGCGTACCCAGCAGAATCCATCCACTTCCTCTGCGTCAACTCATTTCTGGGGTTTCACACACACACACATATGCGGGGGGGGGGGGGGGGGGGGAGGGCACTGGCCGAAATTTGCATGAGATATGAGGGCTTCGTAACTAATGTTTTGTTGCTGTTCTGTTTTTTGTTGTAGGCTAAAGTTCGTGATGCCGAGGTAGAGGCTGCCCTTGAAGCTAAAATCAGAGGTACGTCATTTTCTACATACTTCCTCCGCGTCATCGAAATTGTCGCAGTTTGACTAGTGACTTGCCTCTTGTTACTGACAACTCCATAAGCTAAACCATTCAAAACTTTTTACACAGTATGATAGTCTGAAGACTAGAGTAACGTTCCAGGACAGTTGGGCTGAGAGTTTTCATGCAGATCGCTGATGTCAATGGACGCAAAAATATCGTTCCGAAATATTTCAAGGAAGGTTGAAAGTTGGTCGCGCCTCATCTCAGACGCTTTGACTTTCTCTACAGGACAAGAGCTGCTATGCTTGTCGTCTGCTAGCTCTGGATGATTTCTACTTCACCCCCAACGAAGCCTAGTAAGAATAAACGATCGTTGCGAGGTCGGTTGATTACCGTCGGCGGAACCACCTCGATCTTGACAATGAACTTTTTTTAGCCGTGGCATGCCCATGTATTTTACCTGTGTGGTCACAGCTCATGCAGGTAAGTGTACTTTCATCCAGCGCGCCCTCTTTTTCAGCATCACTGGTACGGCACCTGCGCGTGCATCACTAGCACTTCGTGTAGAGTCTACACCGTAGTACACGGCTCTTGCAGGTAAAATCATGTACTGAGTGTCTCAGCCAGAGCAACAAATTTTATCGCCGTTGCATGCATTTAGTTTGCTGACCCCTCGATGTTTCTCCGAGCGCTGCTACTTGTTCCACGAAGTCATTCTCACCCCAGCTAAGGTAAAACAGTGATGAGGCTCGAGTGAATGGCCATAAGCACGAGAAATGTGCAGCCTGCAACGCCTGAGTGATCTCAGCGAGTTGAAATTACCGTCGCAGCGACATCAGCAAAGAAATTGCGTCTAGATCAAAAATTTCAGATTCCAATAACAGAAAATAGAACTTTGCCGTCACCCTATACTGATGACTATCGCCTATGTCCGATTCCTTGCCTCTGATACGAGTGCTGGTGAGTAAATACCCCGTTTTATGTCAAAAGTCAAACTGCGACAATTTCGATGACGCGGAGGAAGTAATTTGTTTACGTACTTCAAGAAGTAGTAACTACTATGTGTTTGAAATCGCCAGCATGTTACAAGGCGAAGATGCACTGTAAATATACCATAGAACCGACTAGTAGCCAAGGAATGAAGCGCTTCTTGATGTACCACCCTGCTATGTCAGATACGGTGACGGGATACCACCAGCCATGCATCACCTAGGCGCCAGGCGCGAACTGATAGTAGTGGTGGTGAGAAGGAGAACTCTGTGCCAGAACTTTGCAGCCTAGAGAGTATGTGTGGGCAGGCGTGTGTTTACCGCCATATTGCCAGGTGTGTCTTTACCACCATATTTATCAACCATATCAACCAAGGAGTCTGTTTGCCTTCTGCCCCATTTCCTGTTGTCATTGGAGATAGACCGGGTTTGGAAGTGCCAATTCTCCTGAAACCTGGCAAGCCTGTAGTTGTGAAGACTATGCCCGTCCCAGCAAGATCTTAATGGGCGTTTTTATTTATACTTTGATAGCTGTGCACAGTAGGTCACGAGACTAAGCATCCATAGCCGCTTAGCTATGTCAGTGTCATAGACTAAATCAGAACAGTAGTACTGGTGCAGTTTCTTGTTCGTTATGTTGTTCTGAAGCCGGTTGCCAATCACATTTCATAGCTGGTGTTTGTGCGGAGTGTCCAACCCATTCATGACAGACTTCGACTGACCCTGCCATGTCACAGGCACACTAATTATTGCATTATTATTAAGTGTTGACAGAGCCATGCTGTATCGACCAGTGTGTTTTCTATGGCGGATCTTTTTGCTGTACAACAGAGAAATGCACAGTAGTTGCTTTGCCGATGTGGCTTTGAATGTAATTATTCCATGCACAGTGCTGTCCAGTAAATCCCACCACTCGCTTGAGAACTGCGTCTAAAGTTGCATGATGGTCGCGCGCCGTGAGCTGGGTTGCACCGCTGCATGCCGGCATGGCTTGCTTGGCTCTGGGCACGGATGTTGTGCCAGTGGGTGCTTCACAGCCCTCACTGTTACTCTCGGGAACAAGATTCTGTTGTGCTTCATCATACATATGTTGTTTTGCTCGATGCGTACCTTCCAGGGTGTTTCCTTCTTATTTCAGAACTTATTGTAACACGTGCACTGTGGTGATGATTCTTGTCCATTGCAGAAATGGTCCGCACAAGTGACATGCTTGATGACCTTGATGAGCTTTCCGTAATCAACGATCTGGGCCGAGTACTTCCCGATGAGTACTTTACAGTTTCACGGTTAGTGTTGACTTGTAATCTCGTCTGGCATTATAAGGAACATGTTCTAATAATGGTGCAGCTTCCGATATGGAAAACAACTTCATGGGGGGGGGGGGGGGGGTACGTCCGTGGATTTTATTTAACGCTCACCGTGCATCCTCTCTACTTGCATAATGACGATATCTAACCCAAGACCTTCACATGCCAAAATCCCCCCCCCCCCCCACACACACACACACGCACACAAATGCCTGTTTGCTCCGCAGTGACACTATCGCGCGCGCTTCTCTTTGTAGCGAAACGGAGCCACTGGTGTGTGTGTGATCCTCGGTAGCCTTGTCGGTAGGGCACTGGCCCCGAAAGACAGGGGTGGTGTGTGTGATTCCCGGTGGCCTAATCGGTAGGGCACTGTTCAGGAAAGAGTGGGGTGCTGGGTTCGAATACCGCTCGTGGATGCTTCTTTTGCAACATCTTGGTGCTATCCATCTCACTATACCATGAAACAAGGCCCTGTATTATTTCGAAGTTTCCCATTGTAAGAACGTTAGAGAGGTTCTGCAAAACGAAAATGCTTACAAACTTTCGCTCTACGCCATGAAGTGAGAAACTTCGCACGAACTTTCGCAACTTTAGACGCGAAACTTGCAGGGAACTCGAAACCAGTATTGGCTTTGAACCACTAGTGTTCGAAAAAAGGTTGTTTTGTTGTGTGACAAGGGCACGTGCGGCCTTGCATTTCACAGAACCAAACATGTAGGGGTGATCTGACAATAAAGAAACTCAGGTTTTGCTCTCCCAATGAGCAATGCATTTTATAATGGGTTAGAAATGAATAAAAAAGAAAAATTGCGGAAAAATACGCCAACATAATCGAAAATTGCCCAAAAGAGAGAAAATGGCCGAAATTGGCGAAACCAGGAGAATAAGGGAAATGAGAGAAAATTAAGGGAAACTGGGTGTGTGACTAAGGGATTTGCTTTGGCTGGGTTGGCAAGTATGAAACGACCCTGGTGTAGACAGTTAACCCTTCATCACTTCAGCATGGTATAAGACTGACCATTGACCGACCCTCCTAAAATCCCCTTTCTCCAGCCCCTGTCACCATCTATGTTGCTGCTGGAAGCAAATGGTTGGCCTTTATGCGAGACGAAAGGGCATGGGTGCTGTTTGGAGCTAGTTTATTCTTTTGGAACTGGTTGTACTGACTAGATTTTCTTGGCCACCATTGGAGGAAATCCATAGATTGTAAATCTATGTTGTATTGCATGTGTCTTGTTTGATTTTCCTCTATGCAGGCGAGAATTTATCTGCAAGGTGTTAGAGAAGACACTCGCAGACCAAGATGAGGGCAAGTTGGAGGCAAAAAAGCCCGAGGCTGATACTCAAGCTCCTACTGTAAGTGCTCGCTGACACATACAAGTGTACTCTCACAGTACTAGTTCAATTATTTACCTGAGGAGACCAAGGCATCTTTCATTGTATATTTTAACAGGACAGTGTTGCCAGTATTCAGTAGAAGTATAGTTCACCATTGGGGAAATAAATTCCGACTCATCCTCTTTTGCTGCTCCCGGCACACTGCAGCCAAATGTACATATGGGATAGTTGCACGAAAATGAGAGCCGCGTTTTTGTGTACATGTAAAAGATACATGTAGCCCATAGCACTTCTGACCATGGGGGCAGGAGGTTCAATGAGCTCGACACTGTGAGAGCAGTGCCCATATCCTCCTGGTCCCCGGTGTCTTTGCAACAAGTCAACCCTTGATGAATCTCCTGGAGGTGGAAATAATCTTCCCTCAAACAGGGGTCGAACCCATAACCAGAGTGTGCCACGATGGAAGCAAAGATTTAGGAACACCGGTGTGTCCTTTCATGTAGAACTGCATGCATATTGTGCTTCTTTTATGTGAATGTAAAAGTCAGAATAAGAATGAATATGCTGGAATAAGAACAGCACTGGCCTGAATTGGACACACGCACACCATTCTTCAATCATGTACTGCATTGCCTAATTTTGTGGTAGAGAGTTCAAAGTTGTAGCTTTTCTTACAGGTATATTGTAACGGATGTGTGTGTGAAATTCTTGAAAGCATAGAAAGAAATCAGTAAAAGTGCTTCAAAAAGTGTTCACTGGTGAGCTCTTGCCAGCTATTATCGCCATTGATCTCACCCACCTTTCAGCAAAAGCATAAGAACCCATGGGTGCCTTTTTTTGGAAATTAGCACCGGTCTTTTATTACCACCAGCAGGGGCGTCGGAAGGTATTTTAGTGTGGTACGGTAAGCCATCTGAAGTACAATTTACTCGTGGGGAGTGGTGGCTGAGCCGAAAATTTTGGAAATTTAGATCCCAGATCGGTTTATTTTATTGATCCACGGGGTACCTGGGCAAAAAGTGGTACGGTCAATACCGTAGTGACCGTACCGTGTTCGACGCCCCTGACCAGTCTGAAATCAGTGCCACGTCATTTCAGGGCCGTTGTGTGGATATTCAAATTACGTGAAATTTTAGGGCTAGCAAACTACTATAGATAGAGGTGCCAGAACTAAGCTGCACCTCTGAGGAGCTCCTGAGGGCTTTCATTTTCGCCGGAGAAATCATCTCCTTTTCCTTCTTCTTTTGCTTCAAATGGGTACATCCACAACACCAGATACTGAATGGCATAAGCATGTCACGTGCATGCAAAGCCAAAGGCGCGTGCACTGGCATATTGGTACATGTACATACTTGAAGTGATGTATGACTGGTGGTATATAGCTGGCTGCAGAAAACTTAGTTTCAGTTCATTTCTCTTGGATATTGATTTTATTGTTTCTTTCCATTGCAATATGAAATAGGGCATGAAAAGAGCTTCATTTTGATATTTTTAAATTTTACAATATTCTCCCAAGAGTGTGCAACTCATGGTACCTTTCTATGGGGTCTGCCAACGGCGATCTCTCAGATCACGCGTTGTAGTGTTCAGGGTGTATGTTCCCAGCCTGTTTTTAGTGAGTGCTAGAGTAGAAAAACAGCATTCCCTGACAGCAACCCACTCAGCTTATGTGAGTCATCGACATCATTATTGCAGATATTTAGATTGCGAGCCCGCACACGCTGGCCTTCGTTGTACGTAGTATAAAACACACTTGGAACATGTGATGTGAAAGTTGACTGTACTTGTCGATCACCTTGCCGTGTGCTCGCAGGCTGCTTCAGTTGAAGACGATGCAGCACCCAAAACAAGTGACGACTCCGAAAACTGAATGGAGTGAAGTGGCTGGCCCTCTCACAATTTCCGAGTGAGTCGTACTCTACCCTGTACAATGTATGCTTTGTCTGGATTGTGTATTTGCTAACTTACCAAGAAATAGCTACATATACCTTTGTATGCATGAAGAAACACTTAGAGACACAATTTTTTAAATGAGCCTTGTATAGCACATGTAATGAGTTCTGTATGGTATGCGAGCCCGCGTACTTGTTGATTCTCATGAGTGACCGTCCCGCTTTGTTTTGCTTCATATTATTGTCTGTTTCCATGCGGACGCCATTCACATTTTTCCCGACATCGCCCGCATTATTCCCTCTGGCTTTGTCAACTCGTGCCTTTTTGGTTTATTACCCGCCCTGATCCAAGTTTCCCTTATTGTGTGTATACAGCTTCGTTTTCTCCTGTATTAGTCGCTGTAGGTATAACGTGTGTGAAGTGCAAAATAAATTTAGTCCTTCAGTCCGGTGACTGGGCACTGTATTTTTTCGTTCTCTTGTGTTATCTCTTTCTTTTCCGCTGGTCCTGACTCTTCGTTTTTTACCTTCGCGTTCTTTTCACATCGTCTTGTGCGTCTCTTTTCATTTCTTTTGTCTGCAGTCCTATGTGTGCGTGTATGTTAGTGTAGTAGCGGTCACTTTGTACGTACTCAGACGTGTTCTCCAAAATGACTTGTCTTTAGATATATGCTTTTTCCATCATGATCGCCGAGACATAAAACATCTGTAATCTCGGTTTTGGCTGCGAGTAGTGACTATACTGCTTGCCAAACTATTTCTTTCTCTGAAGTTATTCTGGGTTGTGGTTCGAATTCTGGATTTTTCTTTCTCTTTTTTATCAAACTGAAAGGAATTTGGTTGGCAGCGTTGATGGTGGGTGTAAGCGGAATTTTGTGCCCGGACGTGACTGATTGTATGCTGGTTGGGCCCGCCTGGGGGTCGTACGTGCCACCTTTGCTGCTCTTTGAGTGTACCTCCCATAGTTAATACAATTGCGCTCACTGAAATCCAATCCAAAGTGCAAATCTGGCGCCCTGGACCGCTTCCGATTACTAGTACATGTACATCACCGTACTTGTGCATGTGTACTCCAGCCGCATTTGTACCACTTCCAGGGCGTCGGAGGCCATGGGAAATTAAAATTGAGGGCGCCAAATATGCACCGAGTCGGATTTCACCGAGCACAGCTGTCTGCTACCCTGGTATCACAGGCATGGTGGTGGCCTGGCACATGCGAAACTTCCTAAGCTGGTTGTGTTTCTCAACGCAATTGGATAGCCGGTGGTAACGCGGACATGCAAACTTTACTCTCTTTTTTTTTTACAGCTGTAGTTTCATGCACTTTGATGTGCCACAAATGGGCTAATTCCATGCAGCACAATCCTCTTTGTAGCTGACATGATGCACTCGAAGTAGTTGAGCCTGCATGCATGTGTGCTTCTCCATACTATTATTAATTTTTATGATGAATTTGGAATTGTAGCCTGTAAGATGGAGTAGCAGGGATGAATTTATCCGGTATCGCATCGCAGTTTGCTACGCAAAATCGATCTACTGCTACTCAAAAATCACAGTGACACGCAGAAAACTGTGATACATACATGTACATGCTATCCATGCTTGTTGTAGCTTACGCACAATTGAGATTTTGCATAGCAAAAACTGCTATGCAAAAACCTGACAGTAAATTCATCCCTGAGTAGTGAAGTAAAATGGATCATGTCATTTTTATTGGTGCCAGATTGTAAGCTTTATGAACTTCCCAAACTCCAATTGTCATTGATCAATTGCACAACGGTATAATTATTCAACATTGCTGGACCACACGGACATCAATCGTTGAAGAAGCAGTGTTCTCAACTTATTCCGTCCCTTCATGTAGATGGCCCTTAGCTTGAGACGGTAGACTCGCTGGGCATGCCTTCCCAGCTGATGTCCTAACAATGAACCTGCACCAAACAGTTAACACACAGGGTATCCGTTGTGACACAGAGCAGAAAATGGTAAGATTTTACACTGCATGTTCTGTAGAGAAGACTAGTGAAAATAACGTTACTGCCCTCTGTTCCCTTCGCAATCCCTTCTCGACCAATGTACTCCTGCTCAAACTCATCTGTTGCTGTTGGTCGTCGAAGTTTGTCATCTTCAAGTTTGTTCTGTGGCTGACACTGCACTGTAGTCCATTGCGAAGTATTGCAGTTTCTGCACACTACACAATAGCCCAGATTTCCCCTATTTTCTACCGCTACTTCTTGAGAAGATAAAATGACGTCAACTTGAAATTGCTTCTCCTGGATTTGCACACTCTGGGCCGGGGGTGTGACGTGTGTGTGTGTCATACCTCTTGGAGAATAAAACAACCACAGGCCCAATATGTGTCCAGGTTTTGGATGACGCAATACCGTAAAAGTCCGTAAATAAGAACGTATTTACTTTCGGATTTAGTGACCACACCCGTACTAACTTTCGGGCGGGTACTGACTTTCAGGCGCGAACTAACTTTCGGATCCGACTTGTGTGTAGTGGAGAAGTCATTTTCATGTCGATGTACATGCTACGTGCTGCATGTATGCACCGTACTTATTTCGGGCGTATGATTATCGGGCTTGACTTGACTTCAACAGACAGAGCCAAAAGAATGAAGGGGGTATTTCTTTCGGGCAGGTACTTATTTACGGACTTTTACGGTAGGGGGTGGTAAATGGTCAGAGTTGGGATTATGGACTGTGAGCAGGGAGTCGTCAAATACCAGTATTTGACGACTCACTGGCTGTGAGTAAGTATTTCATCCATCAGCTTGATTCTAGCCGCGTGAAGGTTGGAGGGTGCATAGCTAGCACAGCAGCATTGCAGCGCAACATATCTCCATCAATAGCTATACAGAAGCATGAGTGCTTCAGCGTATTTAGGCATTGTACTCCCTGCAGTGATCTCTGCTGTACAGCCCAGGTCAAACGACCTGGATACTGAAAAATGGGAAATTTTTGGGACGTCCAACTTTTTGGGTTTTCAAAGATGATTCTATATTTCTCTGAGCCCGGCGATTATTTGTGTACTGTTCGTCTTTTGCCTTGTAGCACAATCACGCACCTGTAGGATAATTTCTCTCTCTGTAACTGTGTACGCTATACACAGTTACAGAGTTACAGAGAGAGAAATTATTTTGGCATACTGTCACCTGATTGCTGTCTCGTCTCTCATCCAAGTCATTCAGTCCCGACTTCTTACTATGCATCTGTTGCCAGTGTGCAAATACACCAGTATTCTCTGTCCTCAAGTACAGACCCAAAACCGGGGAGGTTCGCATAGGAATTCATTCTTCGCGTAGCACTGTAGGCTACTTTTTTTACGGAAGCGAAACACTTTGCTCTTATCTTTGCTTCTCTTAGTACACCAAGTCAGTACGCAAAGCTGTGACATTAGTATCATTACTACACCGGGCTTGTCCCATTCACGCACATGGACAGCCTGGTCGCCGCAGGCTAGCTTCACTGAGAGATATGGTCCCTTGCCCGGCCTTGGTAAATAGACCGTGTGCACCGTGTGCCTATAGCTCTTCTAATCGTAGGTAAAACTGCATGGGTAAGCCGGCAGAGAAGAAAACAGGTGTTAGGGATGCACACTATAGGGAATTTTACCACCTAGTTCGGCCTTGAGTTTGAAACCACAGTCCGATCAATTTGCTGTTCTACCTCAGTTAGGTTACTGCTAGGCCGGCTGCACGCTGTGAGGCTTGCAGGCAACCGCCATAGTAGAACGGTGAGCCTAGTACACGCTTTGTCTGGTAGCGCCCACATACCATGTGGCCCGCACTGATGCCCATGACATGCGTGTATAAGTACGCTTTGAACTTATGATGATCACGCGTGATGTTACACTTCTGATCATTCACATGCCTTTGACAGTGATTGTGTTCCAAACACAACTATCATCTGGCAGTTTATGGGCATGAGGGTGCGGCTGCCCTGTGATCTAGAACTACTGAGAGTGAGAAAGGGGATTGCCGACTGCACTGGGAAAGGTGTGGGAGGTGAAGTCTCCATCATACTCCAGACAGACCGACACTTCCCTCCCATACTACTGTGACTGCTGCTTGACCTGTCCAGCATGCAGTGCATGCATGCTCAGCTGCTGTCAAGAAAACGGCAACTAATGATTGTGAGTGGCATTATGTCAACGGTACGTTATTCAGGTGGCTAGTGACCTTTCACAAGCCAGGAACGATGTCAATCTACTATCTCAGTCTGTACCCTTGCATCGCTATATTTTGACTCAGCACCTGGCCGACCTACACCTACTCTTCAAATGCAGTGCCAGTCATGACTCATGATTGGTAAAAATGACATCACTCACAGTTCAGGGTGATGTCACTCACTGTCCAGAATGGTGTCACTCTCTCCCCGGATTCAATTGCTGGAGTGGAGGGTCGTAAAATTGCATTCACTTACATCTGATGCATCGATGGCTCCTGCACAATATCAGTCACACAAAGACTTTTTAAATTAAGTCGATGTACAAAACATAACCCAGTAAGTAAATTGACATTGTACAGAATACAGCAGGGAGTAGTAAAATATTACTCCCTGGTATACAGTGTACCTTTTTTTTCTCTTCATTGCATGCATGTACTGAAGGATGCATATATGTATCAGGCACAATTCTGAGAGCAGTTCAAGAGGCAGAAACCAGCAAAATACAGTGTTTTATTAGCTCAGTCTCATGTGCGAAGGCCATTTGCAAACTTGAGCAGCCAGGGATTCAAATTCAGCACCGTGAAACGTCAAATCCGGATGGGACGAGCTGGAACAACGGAAACTGGAGTTGGATATGTTGTTTCTGCGGCTGATGAACCGATAAGAAAAAGCACCTAAAACACTGGAGTGGAGAGGAGACAAATCACACTCGGAGGGAGTCACTCGTGGTGTCGGAAGACGGTTCAAGTACCCCAGTTCAGCAAGCGGGCAATGTTAGCATCTTAGGCATGTATCAGGGTGTAGACAGTGAGAAGGACAGGTCCTATGTCACAAGCCCTCCACCACATTCAAACATCCTCTTTTCTGTGTGTCGATCTCAGTGTCTGGGTGCCGAAAATTGAGAAAAGGACGTATCTAGGCAACGTCAGGGTCAGACCATATTATACGAACTTCACTCTACTCCAGCTAGTGCTACACCCGGCCTAGCTGTGAGCATTTTGACCACCGTGATTGTGTACAGGGTCATGAACCGAAAATCAGACTGTGATCAGTTACCCTGGTTGGGGGGGGGGGGGCATTAAACTAACCATACCGGCAGTAGCAGGCACATGTAGCATACACGTACATCGCACTAGACATCTCTTACATGCCCCTACAATTATTGCATTCATCTACAGAACCCCACAGCCAATCGGTGTTTGCATTGAATTTTACTTACAGATTTTCTGACGGTAGCTTGTACCCGCCGCGCCCCGTCGACTGGGAATTTCTGTACACGAATCGGCACAGCCTAGTGGAATCGTTCATTGTCATGGATCATTGGCCTACTACATACGGTCCCATCGCGATGTGCTTCGCACGGACACACTTGGACCAGACTACATTGCAATCATAGTTGCATTCTTAGCGCTGTGACATATCCAGCGTTGCACATCATGTGTTGTTGTTCGTATACATGGTTTACTGGTACCGATCACTATAATAATCAAGAATCAGGAGCACTAGGGCCGTAGGGGCTACTACTAGTACTAGTACTAGTAGGTGGCCCGCATGGGCTCTTTCTATCATTCAGTGATAATTTGGCACCTTTTGCAGTGCACATCTCCAGGCGCACGGAGCATGCAATGCTGACGATCACATGATACAATTCTTCACATGATTCTGTCACTTCTGCCATCTATTCTTCGTCTTGTCTCAATCCAGTGCTGCGTGTCACTGAGTGGTGCTGAAAGACAGAAATCCGAATGGTACCGCGCGACCGGTCGACCGTTCCTGTTGTAGTGTGGGAGCGTACTCCGTCAGCGTCCCCACTTGTGCCGTTGTGGCTCAGCTGCCAAGCGGTCCTGCCTGGCCTTGAAAGGAAACTTGTTGACACAGAAGTTGTGAGCGTTTTGGCAGATCACGAGATTTCCACCCGCGGGACATACGATACGCGACTGACAGCGTCGACGTCTCACTACTTCGATGCTTGCTGGTCTGAAACAAACTGGGAATCACGACAACTACGTTCTTGATGAGCATGCGGAGTCTTGGAGTTGCCAGCAACCACTCGTGAGGACACGTAGACTTCTACGTGGCGATCCCCTCCGACGATCGACATAGGCTCTCGGCACACACTGCGGACCTGTCGACACTTTGTTTGCGCTGCGGAACCATGAGAACAGCACCGAGCAGTGGAAAGACTGATATTTCTGACAGGTCCAGTTTGCCCTGAGTTTTGTGCGGTGAGCACACCCTCCTTCTCGCACACGTGAGTTTTTACAGGCAGCGGACGGCTGTCTCGTGCCGCTTGTCACTGTTACACGCGTCCTGCTTCGTAGAACTGTCCACATCATGTCCACCGTTGTCTGTGCGGCGCTAGCATGGCAGCCTTTGCACTGGGTAGACTGAGCTCGCTCTCAGTTCCCCTGATCAAGTCCGAAATGACTTCTTGGAAGGTTCAAGCAATGGAACATCGGGGATGAAGACAAGTACAAGCATCCACAAGTGCTAAAGTGGCTGGTTTTTGGGTCCACTCGGAGAGACTCATATCATGTACTACACGTGATGTAGCTCTCCGCTGAAAATGAAGCAAATCCGGCGATTCATTTCAGAGACATCGCGTGTTGTCGGAAGCAACAGACTCAGTGTGCGGCAAGCGCGCATGCACGTGAACGCAACGGGGGTAGCTATGTGTAGCTTTACATGTACTTGAGTAGACGCTAGACCACTGTAGACAGCTACATCATATCAGTGCATGTAGCTACGTACGACTACATAGAGCTACGTACGTTCGTATACGTAGCTGTCGTAGCGGAGGGTTCTACGGGGCCACGCAGTGTTTCTTGACTTGGAGTCACGATCTCATCACCGTCCGCATTGCTGCATGCACTGCATGCGCTGATATGCACAAACTGACAAAGCCAAAGACAAGTCCAAGCTCGCATTGCACTCAGCCATGACTCAGGCTGTTGAGTATCGTGTACACGTACACTAGCACACTGACAGTGCACTAGTGTCTTGACCGTGTTGGAATTTTTGTGGATTATGCATGCCTTTTTCCTCTTCATCATCAGTCTGTCCATGCAGTGCATCATCATCATCGTCACGGCGGCACTGTTCGCAGATCGCCAGTCAGTCGGTGTGCAAGTAGCACCAGCACTGCTTCACTGAAGTCTAGCCACAGGTTGGTTGGGAGTTGCATGTGGCCTAGAAAAGTGTAGTTGGATCGACTCCTTCATTTCACGTCTTGACTTCAGTTCAGGGAGTCGTATGACTCCCTGCTTCAGTTCAGTCGAGACAGCTTCGACAGAAGCAGTGCTTGGCTGTAGCCTGGAGTGAGTGCAGCTGGAGAGTCCAAGTAGTATTTTATGCTCATGTCTCCGATGGATTTGTCGAATCCTGTCAGCTCTGAGCCTTCTGTTGCTACCATGAGGAAGACTGAAGGCGAGACAACTGCCGAGCCAGTGATCTGCACGGCATTGTATGATTATAATGCTGTTGAGAAAGACGAACTGTCGTTCTCTGCTGGTGACGAAATTGTCGTTTTATCTCCTGAGGAGGCGAATTTGGATGATCCAGGATGGCGCCTTGGACGTCGTGTTGGCGATCCTGACAAGAAAGTTGGCATGTTCCCAGCAAATTTTGTAACTGTTGGTACGGTACGAGATGCTGTGGAAAGGCAATTGTCAAAACCGATCATCATCAAAGTGGAAGAGGTGACTTTCAATGATGTTATTGGTGCAGGTGGTTTCGGGAAAGTATACAGAGCCTTGTGGAGAGGGGAGGAGGTGGCTGTGAAGTCTGCACGCTTCGAAGGGCCACTGGATGATGATGAAGAAAATGGGCCTGAAAAAGAAGTTTTACGTGAGGCCAGATTGTTCTCATTGCTTCGACATCCCAATATCGTGGAATTGTTTGGTGTCTGCCTGGAGGCTCCTAACTTCTGTTTGGTTATGGAGTTGTGTCGTGGTGGTGCCTTGTCTCGATTGCTGGAGAAGACAAAGCTTCCGGCGAATGTGGTTATCGACTGGGCTCAGCAAATAGCTCAGGGAATGTTATATCTTCATAACGATCTGGGAACGGCAATAATTCATCGAGATCTCAAGTCAAGTAATGGTGAGTGATTCTCGTTGTCTCAATAATTCGTTATTTATTTTCTCACTGATTTTGTTTTGTAAATAAATAATGTAATTATTGTGTCCTTTGTATCCTGCGTGCGTTTGTTGTTGATTTGTGGAAGTCTCATTCAGTCTGTCAATACGTCGAATCTAGAAGATGTGGCCATGGTGTTTTGTTATTTCTGTACTTTGGTACACGTCGTTTCGTTTCGTTTTGTGTCGGTGGTGGGAATACACAAAGCGTCTTCGGTCATTGAACACTAGCCGCTCCGTGCGTAGCTGGAGAACTTCGCCGGTGGTATCTTCCGCCTGATTGCTCATGGCGGTTTAGCTTAGGTGATAGATGTGCAGCTGTCTTCTTGGGACGTCCTGGCTCCCATCGCCACTCTAATCTATTGTCTCGAGTTTTTATTGTGGCCAGACAAGACTGCGTTCTGGACGCTGAACGACTGTGTTATGTCACAGAAGTAGCGTTGTGACAAGTCGGTTGTGGTAGGGCTTCACATCAGCTGCTGTGTACGTGTGACCAGCAGTACCACGCGACTGTGTACGTTGGAGTCTGGTAGATCTACATTCGTAGCGGGCCGTGATAGTTGTTGATACATCCTTCTCTTCACTTGTATTTTTGTGACAAGTCTTTCACAGTCAGTTTCCTCTGGCACTGCCTTGTGACGTCCTGAGTCCTGCCTGCACTGTACTGTAGACTGTAGTGTGTTACCCCTCTGAAGTGAAACAGATTGTCGCTATTTCCCCAGTGACTTGTCTGCTGGTGCAGATTCTGAGTGGATCTTGCTCAGCCAACAGCTATTGCCACACCGCAGGGTTGCTGAGTTGAAGAAAAAAAAACTAGCAGTACTTGTTACCGGCATGAGTAGTGGCTCATGAGTGTTGGCTTTATTTATTTAGATAATGTGTCTGGCCTCTAGAAAGTGGTGGCAAGCTGTGGTCCAGACAAAGGACAGCTTCTGTTGGATTATGTCTGAGTTATTACACTGGGTGCAGGGTGAAGTGAATGGGTAGCATTGGAGATAGGGGGAAGGCCCATCTGCAATACTGGTTGAAGTGAGACACTGTCACACATCATGCTTTTCTAAGTCTTCCTTTATGGTGCTTTGATGTACGTGCATGGTCAACTGCCAGACTGCAAGTTAGTAGGCAAACTCACTTGGAACTTGGGCCTGTCGTGGGCTCCCTGGAGCTTGCAGCCTTGTCTTGGTGGTCAGTGTTCCATTGATGGAACAATTCATGGCACCCGCCTACCCTTTCCCACCTGTGCTAAGTCTATCATTATCCTCCTAAGTAGGTGTGTATCAGACTTTAGTACTAAGTCTTCTAGTTTGTGTGTGGGTGTGTGGGACTGGGTGAAAATAAGCAAGAGTGACCTAATGGTTCTACTACAGACTTTCAGCTAGGACAAATGTGCACTCAGTTTGTTAAATATTAGCCTGGGACTGGTACCCCTGGAACGACGGCGTGATTGGTGCACAGGGCCAGGGGAAATTGCCAGTGACCTGCTGGCAGAGAGGGGACCTGTGCCAGGAAATGAGCTTCGGAAGAGCACATCACGGGGCAATTTACTTGCTGGTGACATGAAGTTATTGGAGAAGTCTGCCCATGCAGTGCGTTTGCCTGATATTGTCCTTAGTTGGAAGTGCATGATTTTGCGTGAAGGGCTGTGTACGGTACTTGAACAACCTTCCTTCTTCAGATTGGAGCATGTAAGCAACCGGAACTGGTGATTGTCTGCTTTCAAGGGCAGTTCTTTCATGTCACAAAGTTTAACCTACAGTGCTGCTGCTACTGCTGCTGTACTGAGATTTGTGCAGACTGGGTGCCAGCTCACATAGACTGCTGAATTGCTATTTCAGGTGAGCGGGTGACCTTGTGACCTCAGCCGCGACAGCGTCACAGTCACAGTCATGTAGCCGCCGCCGCAACCACCACCCCACCGCCACTGTGCTGCCAGCACCGTGTACCAGTGTCTGTGCCATGGCCATTGGACTGCTGTGCAGGCAGTGAGGAAACGTGACTGAGAGGCTATGACGCTATTGCTCTTGACCTTCTTGTGGATGGTGCTGCACAGACCACACTGATTGGGTTGCCCGGAGCAATGACTGCTCTCAAGCACCGCTAACGCTACGCTGGCTGTACACGTGTATCCAGTGCATCCCAAGCAAGGAGGCCGTGACTTTTAGTCTTAGGGCCATGCCTTTGGGTTTGACTGGCCTATTCTCAGGAGACCATGGGTAGCCACAGTGCTGGTATTTATGGGTTGGTGGCTGTACATGAAATTGCAGCATGCACACTGCTACATGTACTTCCTGATCCATCATACACTTGACTAGTACATATATGTGTAGCACCCCTTGATAGGCTGGTTAGGAGGTGGAAATGGTCCCAAGTGCTGTCTCATGTCATGAGCATCTGCGAATGTTGTGAATGTTGTGGTCCACATCCATTTCTTGCATTTAACCCAGTAACAGTGCTGCTGGGTTTGCATACAACATTTCCTGGGCGTGTAACTCCTGGTGTTGTCTCTGCAATGGGTGCCTTTGCCATGGCCTGGAGCTCCTTTTGCTGCCAGTTTTCATGTACTCTATTGCAGTAGTTTGTCTGCCATATGCATGGAATGTCTGGACTCCGCAGGGGTTCTTTGCATGGTGCTTGTAGCAGCTAAATGCCTTCTACAAGTTGTAGTTGTTCTCTTACTTTTGTTGGTAAGGGGGTGTGCACGTGGTTAGAGCCCAGAGCCAGACCTGTGCTGTGTGCAGGCAGACCTTGGCATGGGAAGTGGGTGCATGGCATGGGATCTGTTTTGCGCCTTGGCCCAGATAAGGAGTGCCGTGTTATGGCTTTCCAGGACTGATTGGCACTTGCGGCACTTTCTGTGGTGATTTCTCTGTTTCTGGGCATTGTTCGCATATCATGACACTCCTATGCTGGAGGTGCTGGTGACAATCATGAGGGTGTAATTATCAGTGTGAACTGCGGGGTGTGCCTTTGAGCTACTTGCTCTTCTCTTGGCTGCTTGCAGTGCTGCTGCTGCAGCAATGTACTAGTAACTGTATGTAAGTGAACAGCCACCTGGCAACGGACTGGAGTCTTTCCAGTGTGTCTTCTTAGTGTCTTGCAGTCCTGGTAGCATGTGACTGGTGATGTGCTCCTGCTCAAGTATTTATAGCTTTGTCTGTGGGTCGTGGGGAACTGAAGGATGCGTAGCTCCTTTCCTGGAGTGTTGTGTGCAAGACCTTTGCAGAGTTGCTGATGCTGCCTACTGTGTATGACTCTATGAGGTGTCAGTGTAATTGGCAGTCAGTGCTGCTAACTTCCTGACAGTGCGGCATGATTGCCTGCTAAGGGGGAATCCAGGGGGCCGGTTCTCCCGACACACTGCTGTCCCACTAACCGATTATGGTAGAGGCTTGCTAGCCTCTGGCCTGTCCCTTTACATCATGTGATGATAGCCAGTTACCACCTGTGGGTGGGTGTGTGATTTGCACAGTGTACGGCTGACTTATTTATCTGCAGTTTATCTATAGTTCCAATTATGCAGTATAATTGTTGTTTCCTGTGTTTTTTTTTGTAGTTAAAAGTTGACTCCAGTGCATATGTGCACAGGTAGTTTATTCGTAGCTGAAGTATATATTGTGATATGCCTCAGGGCAAGATTTGTGTCACATTGGCAGTGGGCATGTAAATTGATGTTTTTTTTGCATCTGATTCCGTTTTCCAGTACTGCTCACCAATGAGGTGCACACACACGATGTTTGCACAATGTCCGGAAACACTCTCAAGATCAGTGATTTTGGACTGGCGAGGCAAAGCAATCGCACTACCCACATGAGTGTTGCCGGCACGTATGCCTGGATGTCGCCCGAGGTGATCAAGAAATCAACCTTCTCCAAAGCCAGTGACGTCTGGAGGTATGTGTATATATTATCGCCTATAATTAATTATAATTAATGTTAATTGTATTCCACGGCACATGGCTTCAACATCCTGCACAGTTATTCCTGGTCGTCTTGAAATGGCTTGGTACATGCACTTTTGACCTGCCTTTGGATTTATTTTTGCTGTAAACGTTGTAGGAAGGCCATTGTCTGTAGTATAGATCTGAGATCGCCTTATCTCCAATGGGCAGGCTTTAGATGCTGCAGTTTGTCTAGTATGTACTTCGTGTTTCACTTGCTGGAGCTACTTATTTGGTCATTTGTGGCAGTCATCATTGTGTTGTTGGTGTGTATCAGATGGAGATAGCTGTCAATGTCAATGTTGCTCTTCTGTCAGCAACATGTAGTTTTGCTATGAGTATTCACTTTCTTGTTGTGCTCTCTCCTCTTCTCACTCCGTTCTGTCACAGTTTTGGCGTTGTCTTGTGGGAGTTACTAACTGGAGAGGTACCCTATCGGGGAATGGATGGGATGGCGGTGTTCTACGGCGTGGCGACGGGTCAGCATCGGTTACCAATTCCCTCAACGTGTCCCGAACCCCTCAAAGATTTGATGGAAGGTTAGTCTGTCTGTCTGTCTGTTTCTGCGTCTGTCTGTGTCTGCCTGTGGCTGCACGGGGAGGGTGTGTGTACAGTCATATGCGCACAAAAGGATACCACTGCTGTATACTACAGTCGTCGCCAAAAAAATCCGGCCAATGCCAAGTATACGCGTACATAGGTATGGTAGGTAGATCGATCTACGCGGTACTTCATCGCGGGTTCATGCACTGGAGAGTGGAGTGGCACATGCACTAGACTCTAGTCTAGTCTAGGCCATTGACATTGTACTGCCCCTGCCACTGGCACTGAACAGCACTGAACACAGTCTGCGCCGCACTCTGCCTGCTAGCTGCTGCAGTCGGGTTGAGCACTGCGCCGAGCCTGAGTCTGACTCTGACTCAGTGAGTTTAGTCGACGGTTTCAAATAGGGCATACCGGTAGGTTGCAAACCGGACCGGACTCAATATTCACTTTCTCTCTTGGTATTTTGATTAGAAAACTTATGTCACAGTGAGACTACGATGTGTTACACTTATACTCCGAGCCAAAATTTCATGGCTCTGCGATGACCAGAAGCGCCACACCAAGCAGGTGAGTTTTTGACGTGTTGCTTCACACTGCGACTTTCGAAAAATCAACTTCTTGTCGCAGGTAAACAGCGGCTCGCCTCTCGCCAATAAAGCACCGCATACCAATCAAAACTAATGGAGAAGCACACACAAGGCGTATTGTTACTCTGTACTGGCTGTCGTGGAGCGATAGCATTTACCTAATTTCAGACTAATAGAGTGAATTTGACGTGCACTCTAAAACCTTTCCGATTTGGAGCCACCTCTGATTTGAAGCGAAAAATTGGGCAACTTGGAGGCGGTCAACACAAAGGAGTGGCTCAGTTCGATTGACTCTGGCCTCAGAGCAAACTTCAACATGCCAGTTTCCTTCCACAAACATATTTCGAGTGAACAATCAACGCTGATGATAGGTTTGCATAGTTTGGGCCTATAAATTATTTGGCTGACCTGTCAAGCCGTTGTCGCCTCTACATGGTGTATGCGGGCCTAGCCTGTCAGCATGTGAACAGTGAAGTAACTGCAGACCCGGTCTACCAGTACCACTACCACTAAGTCTATGAAGTATGATACAGTGCATGCGGCCCAGTACAGCTACCGGTAGCTAGCATTGCATCTGGCCGGATTTTTTTGGCGACGACTGTACTTTCCACCGGCTGATTGGAAAGTAGATAATGATGCTGCCTTCTTTTTCCCGTCCACCCTCTTTCTCAAGGTATACAAGTCATGATGCAGCTTGTGTAGTGTGATCTGTGCACTCTTGAGCAGCTTCTGGTTAGATTGGGATGTGCCTCAGCTTGGTTCTCTGCAGTAATGGTCACCATTGCACCAGAGTGCCAAGCTAATCCAGACCTATACTTCTCTCTGTGTAAAATAAGAAATGCGTCATAACGCACCTTGCAGCAAAAAGGTTGACCTTAGTTAAATTTCTTTGCCACGATCTTATAAACCGTGCAACCCTTTACCGGCAGTCCCAAACTTAATTGTGCACCCAGAGAAGAAGATTTAGGGTATTGACTTTCTGCACGCCTGAGTCACGATAGCACTGAGCAGTATGCGCACAAACGTGCACAGCCTCCCAACAGCGTTTCTAGAGTGATGCTGCTCTCAGTGGTGTGTGAGAGAGAGAGAGGCACAGACACTGACGTCTGTGATGGCTATGGCGTTCCTTTCCTCCCCAAACTCGACTGTTCTGAGATAATCTTGCCCAGGTCAGAACCCTGTCAACCTACATGTGTCAACTTTCCATATTTGGACTTACTGACATTCATGCAAAATGCGAATGCCAATTGAGCAGCATATGTGTATAGCACCAGTATGTCAAACTACCGTTACCATGGTGAAGAAGTAGTGCACGGCTGTCAGGAAACCTGTGCCCACAAACTGTACCCATGCCCCATATTGTTTGTGTGTGTGTGTGTGTGTGTGTGTGTGTGTGTGTGTGTGTGTGTGTGTGTGTGTGTGTGTGTGTGTGTGTACTCTTCTAAATGCGATGGTTGTCATACTAGTATGCGAAGTGAACTGATTGGCAAAGGGCTTGGATCCTTGGGAACAAAAAGGCCTTCTCTTTCTCATCACATTTTCTTGTTCCCACCTTTGTTGTTATTCTCTGCAGCTTGCTGGGCTATGGATCCGAAGCAGCGGCCCCTCTTTGAGGATATTGTAATGGAGCTTAATTCCATTGCTGATTCAGCATTTGCCACAACCGACAATGACAGCTTCCTAGAAATGCAGAAAGTCTGGCAGGAGGAGATTCAGGCTCTGTTCCGCGACCTCAGCGAAAAGGAGCAGGTCAGTGAACCAACCAGGATAGAGTTACACAATGTACCTGGTTACTTTGATGCTGTATCACCACCATCAAATGTTATTCAGTACCTGGGTTTGGGCCTCTCTCTCTCTCTCTCTCTCTCTCTCTCTCTCTCTCTCTCTCTCTCTCTCTCTCTCTCTCTCTCTCTCTCTCTCTCTCTCTCTCTCTCACTCTCTCTCTCTCTGCTCGCTCTCTCTGCTCGCTCTCTCTGTGCTCTCTGCTCTCTGTGCTCTGCTCTACTATCTATTTATTTTTACCTTTCTATCTGTTGTAAATCAGACAAATTTAATGTTAGGCTAAATGAAAGCTTGCATGTCTACTTTTGTTCATGTACCAAATTCACCGTACACGGAGGATGCATCCGGTGTTCTGAAGTGCTCACGTGGCTTGGGGGTGGGGGCAGAGCGCAATGCAACAGTGGGCCAAGGTTATGCTTTTGCAACTCTAAGCTTCATGCTCAAAACGCAACGATCAGTACTGCATCTGATCTCTCTTCATTCATCGCTGATTGACTGAGTAAATAACCTATGCTTCATCGTTCAGAAAGCTATCTCACTCATCCTCCTTTCGCTTTATGGGTTTTGCATCCTCTTAGGAACTCCGAACGCGAGAAGATGCACTCCAGGAAGAGGCAGTTGTCCATGAGCTGCAGAAGGCGGATTTGAAGCGACGAGAGGAAGAACTTGCCAAGCGGGAATTTGATTTGCTACAGAGAGAAATCACCATGATCACATCAACAGTGGTCAAGAATCAGGTTGGTGTGTTGACTGTGTTATGTAACCGTGGGTTTTTTGCTCGACTGCCTTGCAGAGGACGTTTGTTAAATAACTCGCAGGGCGTGAAAAAAGTAGCGAGTATTGGTGTATGCATGGTCTGCACTGCAGTGAATACGTCGATCCGCTACCACTCATGCCTTGGGCCATCCCTGCCTGCAGACTGTGAGCAATGGATGCGTGTCCTTCTTTAGTAGCGCCAGGCCCAATATTTATAATACATGTGTGTTCGTTTGCTGGTATACAGTGATGCTCTTGAGCTTCCTCATGATGTTCTACTTTTGACTCCTCGTGTGTTTGCATACCCAGGAGAAGCATGCCCCTCCAGCACCCAATAAGCGGAAAAGCAAGAATGGACTGCGTGGCTTCATCAGCAAACTTGGTGGCCGGTCGGATAGCCAGCCGCAAATCAGTAAACCATCAGGTGCGTGTGTGCATAGGTGTGCATATATATATGTGTGTGTGTGTGTGTGTGTGTTTGTGTGTGTGTGTGTGTGTGTGTGTGTGTGTGTGTGTGTGTGTGTGTGTGTGTGTGTGTGTGTGTGTGTGTGTGTGTTTATGTGTGGTACATGGTGTGTGTGTGTGTGTTTATGTGTGGGTGTGTGTGTGTGTGTGTGTGTGGGTGTGGGTGTGGGTGTGGGTGTGTGTGGGTGTGTGTGTGTGTGTGTGGTACATGGTGTGTGTGTATGTGTGTGTGTGTATGAAGGTGTGTGTGTATGTGTGTGTGTGTATGAAGGTGTCAATACATGCTGGCATACTGTAGTCCGCTCAGATATACTTGAACTCGGGTCTCTTTCAAACCTGATTTTGGATCATCGAATTTGTATGTTTATCTGTGCGAAATCGAGCCAAAACGGTTTATTATCCATGCTTTTTAAGAGTACAGTACTGTCGGGCGCCGAAGAACTGGGGGGGGGTCAGGGTTCTAGCTTAACCCTTTATGTACGGTGTGTACGTGAATCGATCACATATGATCGATCCGTAAAACTTTCGTACCTCCATCATTTCTTGTACGAATTGAACAATCGAAGGGTCTATTTGGTAGCGGAAACTCTAAGCTTTCCAATGCAACAATCACTGAAGAGCTACGATGTACGAATCCAGAGATATCGCGCGCCGTATTCTTGTCTCGGCAAATTCAAAAAATTTATCGATCTCTTCGCCATTTTAGGGGCCGTCCGGGGTTACCGATTGTTTTTACAAAACGAAAAGTTTTAGTTTTTTCAGCCCCCACCCACCCACCCACCTTTTCTGCAGGTAAAACGAATTCCAATAAAATATTGATGTCAATTTTCGACACCCAGAAGTATACTGGGCATTCTCCATCAGCATTCAATAATTATTTTCAAAACGAAACTCCATCAAACCCACCCACAAACGAAAACATTTCGTTTTGAAAATATGATTAGTAACCTTGGACGGCCCCTTAGGGGAAAATCCCTTTTCGTGTGCTCTTTGACCAACTCAGCACATGATAGTGACGTAGTTGGCTGAAGTTTGAATCGTCTCGAAAAGATTTGAGCGTTCTGCGATAGAGGAGAGTGGAATGGCGTTGATGGGGAAATTTGCTCGCATATTGGGCTTGGAGACGACTTTGCTGTGTTCCTGCGCCTGATTTGTGGCAGCTAGTTGATGGAGCCTGGTATCCTGGCGTTGCTCTCGCCAGGAGCTTTCCAAAGAGCCCAACACTGTGGAAATGGAGCGAAGGAGGCCAAAGTTATAGCCTGTTGAAGGTGAAAATTGTGCTGAAAATTCAAATTCTGCTTCATTCTGTGCTGGAAATCAGTACATAAAGGGCTAGCCCGTTCTTATTTTTAGCGAACACAGCAGTTCCGTTCTTATTCGATGGTACCGTCTTAAATGTACATGTATCCGGAGTTATACGTCTGAGTTCACATTATAGTGTACATTTCGGTTCCTGTTCTTATCTGCAAAATAAATCCAGCCTAGACCGTTCTTCAAAATTGATGAAATTCTAGCCTGGCCGTTCTTCAGCGCCCAACAGTACTGTAGACCTCGAACCTATTTGATACTGAATGGCCAGCAGCGTTTCTGGAAAAGCTTAGCTTTTGTCCCTGGCTGCAGCTGTTTCATACAGATGCGTGTGCTTAGCTATGTGTGCACGACATTTTGAGACTCGCTGCCTCTGTGAGCTCTACTTGTAGCACTGCATGACCCAGCCTTTCTTGTTCTTGTCTTGTTCAGCTTTTCAGCACACGATGAGTGTGCAGCGGTCTCCGTCACCAGATCGTCGCGACATCAGCTTATCGAGCTCTAGACAGTCCTCTACATCACGTTCTCCGCCTGGCTCTCCAGACAACCACCAGACCCCTGCCATCCGTGCCATCACAATATCAAACTCCCTCTGTAAGTGTGCATTATTTTCTGCTTTGTGCCTAACTTACTGCCTGTTTGCTCACCAACGGTAGTTCAGCGAAATTGCCTTTGTGCATTCTACTGCCTCTGCTGCTATTGCGTTTGACTATATTCAATAAAGTCCGGTTTGAAGTACCCTCAAATTGTTCCTCTTTGCTGTCTGTACGAAGTCAGTTCCACTGTCGATCTGTATATTTGTTGCGTGTTGATGTGTGTGTGTGCACTGCTTTATCCGCTGTGGTCTTCTGTTTCTTGATATTCTCTCGTTTGGCTTATTTGCGTTTGTTGCCTTTTTCTCCTCTCTTCTGTAGTACGATCTGCCAAGTCCGAGATGGTTCTTGATCCAGCTGGAGCTGTCGATGCGGCTGTAGATGAGCACCTGAAGTCGTTTACAATGGACAGCAGCAATGATCCAACGATGCGCTTCAAGAGCCAGACTTTGCCGCGTAACACCAAATACTATTGTGACTCGGGTAGGTTTGTGTTGTGCTTGTTTCTTGGGTTCCCTTGATGGCTTGCTTTGCTAGTCCTGTGTGACTGTTGCATTCAATATCTTGACAAACTTCCTATTGAAGTGGTGAAGGTGCTGAGGGTGAGGATGCATGCCTTTTTTCAGGTGGCTTGCTTACGATAATCCCTTATGCCGGTGCATTGGCACGGTGGCTATGAGGATCACCGAGGTCTGCGTGCATGTTCGGGTGATCACTTGTTGCCAATGTGTATTAGAATATGTACGTGCGTAATTCCCATACTACAAGTAGTAGTAGGCCTGCTTTTGACTTGCAATTTGCCAATGTATGTTTGTTTCATCTCTCTCTCTCTCTCTCTCTCTCTCTCTCTCTCTCTCTCTCTCTCTCTCTCTCTCTCTCTCTCTCTCTCTCTCTCTCTCTCTGTTTTCACAGACTCGAATAGCTCTCAACGTACCCTGGTAAATCAGAACAGTGGTGGTGGTGGTGTATCGGGCTCGGCCAGTACCACAGCCTTGGTGACGACTAACATAGAGGTGGAGGAAATCAGAGCAAGCTCAGGGACGCCATCAGCCGGTGTCAAGATCAAGCGAGGAGCACTGGGCAGCTTAGCGAAACTCCGATCGGCCAGTCCTGCGAGTCGAACACATGTCCGCGATATCTTCTCGGCACCGAAGAAGGAGGAGAAGGAGCGTGAACGGGAGCGAAGAGATTCTCCAACTCCGAAACTGTCCCGAACTATTGTCCTGGATCCAGTGTCCTGTAGTTCAACGCCAAATGATTATTTATCGCCTGCGGTAAGCTCTTGGTCTAGTTCTGTGCAAGTGTTAGCTTTCACAGATTACACTTTGGCCATTGTCAGCTACACCCCGCAATACATGCACTAGGCACTTAATCAGGCCAGTACTGCTGTGTCTATTCTGGCTGTGAGATATACATCAAGCTTTGGCTGTGGACACTCATCTGCAATAGTAACTATACTACATGTACACTGAACACCCATTGGTACCTGTTCTGCAGCCAAGTTCATATGAACTGTTCGAGTAGTACACTAGTCATTTACTAGACAATGTCACCCTTTCGTTTGTCCTGACCAAACAGGTACATGATTGTACATGTACCTGGAGGCTACCACTACAGTGCGATCAGCTCGACACAAGCACACATAAGATCACATTTTTATTTGAACGAAAGAAAACTCGCCCGTCAATGCCGTCATACGTAACTAACAGATCTCGTGATGAATATATTTCCGTGAGCACGAAATTTTCTTATTGAACAAGGAAAACCTCACTAGTCTCCAGACACTCGTGCTCACTGGGTTCCTACGTATACTGGTGACTTAAAAAGCTGTGTTCACAAGTGGAGCGCGTACGCTGTGCGTTTGCGGTTCATGCGTGCCCAGACGTGCGTTCACACTTTCACAGGAAACGGCTTTTCGAGTCATATCCAGGTCATGCAATACCGTCGAGCGCTAATTTTTTGACTGCCGGTCAACGCGACTGACTAGCATGGGCGTCTGAAAAAACGCTAATAAATGTTTATGTTGCAAAATCCATTTCAGCATGTTTCCATAAGTACGGCGCCCCTAAAACCAGCGAAATACGTACAAACGCTTGGTTTCAGGCGTTCATGTTCCAGTTTTTAACAGAGCTTTACATGCAAGTTTGCAGTGTTTAGTGTCTGTGTAGTCATGTGCTCTTCTTGTTTTTCTGCTCCCATTTGCTGGTATTGCAGACGGACAGTGGTGAAGATGAAGGGAAGCTGCACAAATCTAGACACTCACTGCCACATCTATTCTCTGATTCTTCCTCCCCCACCGTGAAGCGAAGTGGTGGATTCCGCAATCCGGCGGCGATAGTGGGCATGTCGCCTGTTCAAGCCGGTCATAACGGCGAGTCTGCTGTGTCTCCCAGTACTCCGGGTAGCTGCAGTCCATCACCGTCCATTAGCCCCGCTCCGACTCCGTCAGCCATTGACAATCGCTCGTTACGACCGCAGCGTCACAGTACCGGCATGATGTCGATCAACAGCAATGCATCTGGTGGATCTCCGAACACTCCTCCTTCGCTCTCGACACCATCAAGCCACACGTCACCGCTCGCTGGTACTTCTCCGTCGCCATGTCCGAGCCCAACAGTACTCGATGCTTCTGGCAAGCCACAACGCTCGTCCATAGCAAGACCTCGTCCACGTGCCATTTCCACTGGCAATCTTCGAGGAGGCGCGTCCAGCATACCACCTCCGGCCAACAGATTACACGCGGCCAGCACAGCAGGTGCAGTGCAGGTGACCCCTGCCCACTCGCCGGCTATGCAACCTTTCCAGGCGCCGCAGTTCACGCCCTCGCATTTGACACCAACGCCGCCGATACTACACCAGCCGTCGCCGCAGCCGCAACAGCAGCAGCAGCAGGCGCAGCAGACGCCGACGTCTTCGCCGCCACCGTTGTACTCACCCAGTATGGTATCACCTCCGCATTCAACAACAACGTCAGCCACTGCTCTGCAGCGTCCATTGTCGGCTGGTCGACAACGGCAGATTTTAGAAGTGAACCTGATGGACATGCCTGCCGATGATGTTGACCCTCATGTTGCGTTAAAGCCACTGTCTGATCCAGTTCAGAAGGCGCCGCCAGCCTATCCGTCATATCGTCAATTGGAGAAGGAATTCCTAGGCTGACATAGTCTGCCTGGTGGAATTCCATGCCAATGGATGTGTGTGTGTGTATGTTGGAGTGGTAGGCCGAAGCTACTGCGGCTGGTGCTGCCACTGTTTGCGTTCTCTGCAGTAGTTTGTCAGAAACACTGTTGGGCTACTATCACTTACCTATTCACCCACTCAACTGATGTTTCTCTCTATCCCCAGCCATAACCACCATGAAACAGCTGTCAGAAAATTTTTCGCTCCAAAATCAACCGACGCATATTTTAGATGACCTGTTGTTTGTTATTAGGCCGTGTCCCCGTCGTTGTCCGCTACTGATTGTGATATCGTCGATTGTTGCTTCACCCATTGCGTATGTTATTCCAACGGATAGAGATAGAGATTTAGATGTGATGCGTGTGCTGTCACGTACTGTCGTTCTTTCTATTCCGTTATCAATTTTCGTCTTGCTGCCAGAACAATGCTCCGCTTTGTCTAAGTGTTCAGGTGTCTCGGTTTGGTTTTATGTGCTCTCTCTCTCTCTCTCTCTCTCTCTCTCTCTCTCTCTCTCTCTCTCTCTCTCTCTCTCTCTCTCTCTCTCTCTCTCTCTCTCTCTCTCTCTCTCTCTCTCTCTGTCTCTCTCTCTCTGTCTGTCTGTCTGTCTGTCTGTCTCTGCCTTCTTTGTTTCTGTTTGTTTGAGTGTCCGAGCTACGCTTCTTTTCGCTTACACCCTGTCAGAACCTATTGCACCCAGCTAAACGTTTATTATTTTCGGTTGTCGTTCCTTCCCATTCAGTGACTGACACTAGTACTACTGTTGAAAGGACTACTACATCAGGCTATTTTGACCTATGTCTGGCTCGGATATTCCACTTCACCCATTGACTTTGTTCACTCGGTGAATCATAAGGTCCAGTTGATGTTGTTTTGCGTCAAGATTTTTCGTCATCATTTCTTTCATTCCTATTTTCATTGTTTTCTTGACCGAGGATGCTTGGAGTGCTGTGCACTCTCTCTTTTTGCCGTGCAAATTGCCAAAGGAAGTAGTTTTTATCTGCCTGACCTATTCTCACTTGCCGCCGTGTGCTTACTTACACAACTGTGTGTGTGTGGGGGGGGGGGGGGGGGCGCGTGTGTGGTGTGTGCATGTTTGTGCACCCGTTTGCATGCGTGTGTGGTATGTGCGCCCGCGCACGTGCGCGCGCGTGTGTGTGTATGCATGCGTATGTGTCGGAGTGTGGATGAGTGCATACAGAAGCACATGATTGTGTTGCCACTCATGCTCAGTGGCAGACCTGCAACCACCATGAAGAAGTGTGAATACCCCATACACTGGCCAGGGTACAGAACAGTCTGCTACTGCTAGAAGCAAAAGTACATGTGTACATACATGTATGGTAGTTCATAATTTGTGCAATGACCATTAATATTATACTCTTGCTGCTACACAATACTCGACCAGTGCTGCACATGGTACAGTATCAAGAGTACTCTTGGGGGGATTACTATGACATATTGTACTCTTGGGGTTTTAATAATAATTACATGTATGTACTCTTGATGGTATGACTACATTGTAGTACATGTAGTCGACTACGATGCATGCAGCATCAGCAGTGGCACACCTGCTACATGTACAATTCAAAAATGATCAACAAGACAGTCTATTTCATGATTTTGTGAAACTACTTTAAAACTAAACTGTTACTTCACTTCTCAACTCCAAACTCCAAAACGGTCTCTTCACTGAAGTCAGTGAAGAGTTGAGAAGATCAAGAGTAAACCCGGCCCTGGCCCTACGTCATCATATCGCGTGCCGGCGCCACGTGGCCACACATTTTATAAATCAAACAATTATTGCAATCAAATCAAGAATTCAATAATAATATTTTTTGTGTTTGAAAAGTCTACAACATATTGCATATTCATGCAATGCAGTTCATGCCAGATATATACAGTAGTGAGATACAACAGTACAGACAATCGAGAGATGAAATGAAAGAATGATGGGTTAGACTAATATTCCCGTTTCAGAAACACGTTCCTCATTGGCATTTGGGGGTGGGTGCCTTCGATATGTTCGTACTCGTAGCAATGAAGGACCTTGTCGAGGTCAAGCCTTGGAAATTTGCTGAGGACCGAGTTGATACCGTCAGTTCAGAATTGAACAAAAAGCTAGCCAACAAGGTGAGTGCCATCAAGACAATGATGTATACTGCTCTATACGCCCGATGGGCTTTCCGTTATATTATCACGTTGTGTATTTCCTGGAATACCGTTTACATGACATAATTGTATTGAATTTGGAGATTCTAATGTGTGCGTGTGTGTGTGTGTGTGTGTGTGTGTGTATGTGTGTGTGTGTGTGTGTGTGTGTATGTGTGTGTGTGTGTGTGTGTGTGTGTGTGTGTGTGTGTGTGGTGTGTGTGTGTTGTGCATATACTACATGCCACAGGTCATTCACAATGTTGGTTTGTGTATTAGCCTGTACGATATCACAGTGCTTGGAGATGCTATGATCTACCCGGGTAAAGGATCCTGTCATGTCAAAGGTACGCATTACCTTGTGACCTTCCCTTCTGCTTTGATTCTCACGCACACTCTGAGGTGCAGGGACATGTCGGTGGATGGTTTTGTGCGTTGTAGTGATTCAACGATTAAAACTATGCCAGGGCTAGCAATGGTATTGTGCCAGGCTCATGCGTTGCAACCCCGCCTCTCCCATTCCTTATGTTCCAGCAGGACGTGATTGTGAAGAACACTGATTTTTAGCAGTAGATTTGAATCCTGTTGAGTCACCTCCACCATTACACTGCGCTCTTTAGCCGACTAGACCCTCCTTCACACAACCATCACCGATGCGAGGACACTTCCGTAGACGATATTGATAATTCCTTCAGACAGCTGTTTCGCTAATACATAGCTCATCAGTCGCACCCTGGAATGATTTGAATCCTGAGAAATATTTTCTAGTATTGGCTGGATTGTATAGACGTCACGGGTAATGCTGTAGCTGCCTTGTCTGTATCATGCCGTCTACTTGTTCTGTGTTTATGGACAGTCGAATTCCGTTTCATTGTCTTACGCCCGTTCGTTGATGAAGTCATCCTTGGCGAAGTACGCAGCTGCAGTCCTGAAGGCGTAAACGGTATGTGCTGCTGTGTGGGTGGTATGTGCTGTGTACTGTGGCGTAGAGGTGCTGTCTACTAGTAACGTTATTGCCTGAGATTGTATTCTAGTTAAGATGATCCAATAGAACTGTACCAATTGACGTGGTCCAAAAAATTGGCTCCTGGAATGCTGGAGCCCTTGCTGATGTATCCTTTCTGCCGCACTTTGTTTGTATATTCTTTATAGAACTTGGCGAAATACCACAGTACAAGCAATCTAAATACAGTGTAACTTCATTATACAATGTACCTGTACCTGCAAGTGCCGTATGATCTGTAGTTTAAAGCCAAGGTACTGCATATCCAAGGTTGAATGGTCGGGATAGACTATAGAGGTTGTGCGATTACTACCGTACTGGCAATATATATGGTCGCAGTGAGGCCATGAAGCGTTACATTGGTACATGTTTACCGCACGCAGGGCGTTACATGCAAAGTCGCACAGGAGCCGTTACACAGGTTTCTATATTGCCGCAGTCCTTTTTTTGCTATTGCAGGACTTCCTACTGCGTCCAGTTTTGAACTTTTCACCACGCGGTACACGTGCTTTCACAGTTTTCAGCCTTTTTTGCAATGAAAAGATCGCCGCAACCCGCCGGACGCGCGTTACGAACGCAACGAAAATTTGTCGCACTAGCCTGGTCGCGCGTTACGCCGCACCCCCTTGCGTTACGCGTTACGCGGCAACATATATTGCCAGTACGGTAGTATCAGTTGAGATGTTTTGGCAACATCGCTCCACAGCGATGCACTAGCGACTCACTGGCAACTCGCGCTGTGTACATAGCGCCCATATGCGGCTCCGCTGACTCCCGAAGCTAGCTGTATACTTTAGTGCCCAAAGCGGTTCCACTATTTCACCACCATTGCATCATTTGCATACCCTCTCTAGTATATTGCAGGGTCCTCGAAATAGTACTCGATAGCCCATAACGTTACTTTTATTAGTATGTTACATCCGAAAGTGGGGGGTTTGTCAACTGACGACCCCTCTATTCCATTATATTCAACTGCTGCTCGTTCCTTGAGTAGGTACTGAATAGAGCGGTGGTCAGTTGTAAAAGTGATGTTATACCTAATGTACTTTATACTGAAGTTTCACTCTACTTCGAAGTGTCCACTATCATGAAGTATTGTGGTATCCTTAGCTTGTTGGAAGTGTATTTTGGTTGTGATTGTAGTGTTGGTCTGTCTTTTTTTTGCTCAGTGTCGATGGGATTTGATAAGAAGGGATCTATGTTTGATGACATCTTCATCCCAGCAGATTATCTCCCCAACCCATCCAGATTGTATCCAACTGCTTCTACTGGCTGTGTACACGTGTGTGTATGTGTGTGTGTGTGTGTTATTAGATAAGCCTTGCTTGGTTGAAAACACGTTGTTTGCTTGACAGCATATTTTCGAACACACTGCGTCCTCCGCCTTGTAACATGCTGTCAACCAAACGATGTGTGTGTGTGTTGGTAGGAGAGCAGAGCCGTTCTTACTTTCCATGTACTACAGTCTGTGACTATGTGTAGTTGGGTCACTGCATACATCCTACAGTACCGGTATTCTGTACTTGTTTAATTTATGTGCATCAGGTGACATGTTCTGTCATCACTTGCTTTGGACACATATGTGTGCATGTAGATCAGATTCTCTGGTCACTGTATTGTTCCTTGACCATATACTCTTAGCAATCGTGAAGACAATGTTTGGGCATGGGAGTACCCAACTGAAGACGGGGCCAGTGCTGATTTATGCATCTACAACGGTGAGAAGATCCGATTCAGAGTCATTAGCGAAACATTCGTTGATTGTACACCGTCGACACCCGAGCTTGCCGGGGCTGCGGCAGCTGCAGCAGCATCTGGGACTCCAGTTCAGGAGGAGAGTCGCATCCCGTACTCGCTAACAGTAAGTGTATGTGTGTGGTGTGTGTGTCTGTGTGTGCATATGTATGTCCTCAGAAAGGGGCATCTGTGATCTCGGATGTACCCGTGCTTTTGTTATCCTGCAATCTACTTCAATCTCAATTTCATTCGTCAAGCCCTGCCTTTTTTGCCAGTTCAGTTATTCCTGCATGCTGTACAGCATCAGGAAAAAAGCCTCACCCCATGGCAATGGAAGCTGTACTCATGTCACCACGTGCAACTACTGAATTGTGCATTGACATGTCCAAGGCACCCTGCAAACACTGAACAGTACCGATGTGTCCTGTTTGTTTTCTCTCCTGCCACACAGGGTTCCATCAGTGAAGCTGGTCTGGGTCTTCTATCATGGTGGCAGTAGTATACTGTACACGCTTTTCTTCCAGGGTCCGCACAACCCTTGAAAACCCTAAAATATACTCTTTTTTTATAAGCTTCCAGTAAAGAATATACTGGAAAACCCAACATCTGGTGAAAATACAGTCATTGTCCTGAAAAAATCCTTGAAATTCAGTTTTTTCAGGCATTACGATATTCACTTGTCAGTACCCTGTGATGCACAGTCAGCATGGTCAGTGTCCTATCGTGTAGACTCCAAGCTTGTTACCAGTGGTAGAGTCTTCACTGCATGCATGCACTCTGGGATTGTGTACGTGGAGGATGATTTGGTGATCGGTTTGAAGTCCTCAAATTTAGTTTTTTTTCCCGAAATATACTTGAATTTCCAATGTATGCCTGTGTGCGGACCCTGTCTACCTGTGCTGGTGCTGACAGTGCACAGTAAATGTCAAGACTTACTTAGTGAAAGTAGATGCAGCAGCGTGGTGTACCACACGCAAGCTGTGCACGGGCTACAGCTTCTGCATAGCAGCTTCTGGACAGCAACTCAGGAGCTCCAAGTCAGGACACCAACCGGGCACATCTGGGCCAGTGTGTAATCATGCTATGCAAGTCAGCGGATTGCGTCAACACCAGTGGCACTCCATTCTGACGAGGAGATAAGATGACTACTCAGACCTATTGGTGATATTCTTACTGTCAAGCTGGATGTGAAACCATCTTTATTAAAATATGTGCCATGTGTCCACACGAGTAGCTATTCCACAACACTATAATAGGATCAGAAGCATTAAAAACACACATGTCTTTTTTTCTTAATCTTGAGTAATGAACAGAATAATGTTAATAAAGTGACTACGGAATGGGATCATTGACTGGTCTGCCCGCGAACGCAGGTGCTGCTCCTGCTCCAGGCTGTGGGACGGTGTAGTTTGCCAGGCTGGCTGTCATCCAGAACATGATGATAGGCTGCAAGATGGCGATCATCAGCAGGAGATAGTTGCGTCGCTTATTGCCATGCGCTATACCGTCGTCGCTGCCCGCCTGTGGCAAGATCAGCAGCCGCAGTGTTCGCACCTGAGAAGGAAATCAGCCAACAACAGACAACCAGTTACCTCAGCACACACCGTTATGTTCACTGCTATCATATTGATCCTTGCTGCATTTTGATCCTTGCTGTTGATGTGCCATTATGTCATGCATGTCAAGTACTGTATTTTCGCTGTACATTTAGAGGCTGCTTTGATACTGACTGAGTTACATATAGCAATGGCAATACCTAGTGTTGAAATGATTTGAAGGAGTGCTTGTAATGTTAGCTCGCGTGCCAAGAACTACAGTAACGTGTAAGCTTATTCAAGCCTTAAAACAATAATGTGCGCAATACAGCTACAGCACAGACCAGACACAGTCTTTCTCAAGGTGCGGACCGACCATCGCAGGGTGTTGGCACGTTATACTACGTAACTGCCAGTGGTTGCAGCAGCTACTTACAAGGAAATACGCCAGGCTCAGCTACTTACAAGGAAATACGCCAGGCTCAGGCTGCAGTAGGCAAACGAAATGTAATAGGCCATCGTGCCGAGGAATGTCCCACATAGCGTACAGATTATCATCCTGCCAGCACAAGAAGACACAAGTAGACAGATCACATGCCGTGGTCCAGAAATACCAACACACCGAGTGCATGGCACTACAAACATAATGACAGCTTGCAAAAGATTCTGAGAAGGAAATCGTATGTATACACCACACACGCTTCACCCTAAATACCAACACACCGAGTGCATGGCACTACAAACATAATGACAGCTTGCAAAAGATTCTGAGAAGGAAATCGTATGTATACACCACACACGCTTCACCCTAAATATACGAAAATGCAGAGAGTAGCTGTACGGGACCCAGCATGCAACCAAACAGGAGAGCTCACCCAACGTATTTGTACCCGCAAAACGCAACCAGATCGAACGTCGATGCTTCGGAGTTCACGCCAAACAAATACAGACAGAACATGTACACCAGAACCTCCATGATGAGCCAGACTAGTGTTGAGCTTGCCGCAACTCCCAGCTCCTCCGGTGAGAACCTGTGTGAGGACAACGCGAACATTCAGAAGTCCTGCAATGAGGCATGGCTGTTCCTGGCAATGGACGGTATGCTTCACTCCCAGTTGCAGCATTGAGCAAAGAAGAGGGGTTTCACAACGCGAACAGAGTATGTTACCAATTCACCGGTGAACAGAGACAGAGGGATCTGCAGCCACAACTGGACCATGGTCATGGCAATATGCTAGTTATATTCACATTCACATGAAATTAAGAAGCATGCAAACAGAATGCAGTCAAGCGAAAAAGCCCGGGATGTTTAAAATAGCAACAGGGCTACTTTGTCGTTTCTTCAAGTATTTATACAGTAAGTCGGTCGCCAGGCAGCGAAGTCTCACATTCAACACATGCACACATACACAGAACAATCCAGTGCATACAACTACAACAGACTTCCCTGACAAGGCCTGGGTTTGCTAACGCAGAACGGGCAGCAAGGATAACAAGTCAAATCTTAACGTACCGTTGCTGGGTTCCCAATACAAAACCGATCGTCAAAACAAATGTCACAAAGCTCATGCCTGAACAATACAAAGAAAGAGAGAGAGAGAGAGAGAGAGAGAGAGAGAGAGAGAGAGAGAGAGAGAGAGAGAGAGAGAGAGGATGTGGGTTATAGTGTCAAGTTTTTTTTGGAAGAATACATGTACATTTATACTTCAGTATTACGCATCTCCATACAAATCTGTACTTTCCTAGGAGGTAACTCGTATTCGAAGTGACTGCTATCACAATGCAGGGTCCGAACAAGTAGTACTAAAGCCCATAGTACGTTATATCCAGGGTACTGAATTTCCAGATCTACTAAAGCCTGGTGTATGTGCATGAGGTCAGCAGCGACATGAACTAAACAAGCCCTGAACACTGAAGGAAAGCAAAAACATATTCATGTAGAAGCTGTAAAAACTACTGTTGTCTTGTAGATGAGAAGGCACCTTTTCTCAGAACAGGTTTACAGCAAAAAAATGCCAACCAAGACGCATCAGTGTGGATCATACACTCGGAATAGTACGTTTTGTGGAAGACAGCTGACATGTCGAAGGTGACTCTGAGGCCAAAGTCAATCGAACTGAGCTACTCTTTCGCGTTGGTAAACTAGTTTCCTTTTCGCAGAGTTTAGGATCAAAATACCACGAGTCGACAGAAAGTGGATTATGAGCCCATTCAGATTTGTGGTCACCGTTCTGATAAGGCGCCACCTGCTCTACAGTCTACATACACTGAAGAGTACGTGATGCGCATGTCTTAGTCTATGACTGTACTCTTGGCTACATGCAGTGCTTCAATGGTATCTACAGTGCTGCTCAGTGAAATCTGATCGTGTGAGTCAAGTCTACGCCGTGCACCATTCCGCAGCCCAGTGTTCACAGGTCTAGGGCTGCGCATCGCCCGGCGCGTACTTGACTCACTCGATCGGATTTTCCCATTGAGCAGCACTGTACAATCATTCTGCTTCAGAGTGAGTGTATCGGCGGTCATGTGTTGCTGACTTACTTGGAATGTACAAGTCTGGTGCGTTGACATCAACACGCGGCGTTGCCCTCTCCGACTGACTGTAGTGCACTGACCAGTTCTACAGTACCAACAGAAGAAGAACAAACATAGAATGTAGTGGAGTGACACAAAGCCACCAAATGACCCGCTTCCAGGAGCTCATGAAAAGAGCAAGGCTAGCAAGGCATGGGAAATTACCATCAGCCATAAAGCAAGAGAGACGGTGGCGTTATCTTCTAAGATAAGACATCGGGCAGGTAGGAGATCAGAAGTAGAGAAGAAGAGACTTTGGCGGAGGTGGCACAATACAGCTGACACAGGATGCATGCAAGGGGAAAAGATCTGCGGGGAATCATGTGTGGGAGGTGGGAGCCTGACACATGTAATAACAGTCACTCGGGGTGCGATCAATGAAATATTTCCTGGGCACGTGTGCAGTACCAGTTCCGATACCGAGAAAGCCCGTATAACGCCCATCTAGCACATAACGCCCGCTGCCCGTGTACATGCCCATGTGCCGGGTGTCAACACTCTTGTTCCACTTTCTAGCCCAAGAGTAAATAACGCCCCAGGAGTGTCCAACTGCCTGCACAACCGCTATCCAATGCTGCGACAGCAGAACTTCACATCACGTGACATAGTTCAAAAGGTTAATTGGCAAACAGTGCAAAGTGACCACAAGAGAGTTGAACCCAAAGCAGGGTTGCATAAAACCCTGTATCTATCATGCGCATGGTGCAAATAATGTGCATGGGATTGTCACGTGATGGGAAGTTCTGTTGTCGCTAGGCAAAGCCTTATTTCGCAAGTGAAGCTTCAAAATTTTGCCACAAAATGTTGCTTTCAATACGATACCGTCGATATTTTGCTTGCATTTTGCCAGGCCGCAGACAGGCATAGTGGGATGGCCTAAGACCATGATTGAGAAACAGAGGGTACAGGTTCAAATCCTGCTTGGAAGCGGAAGGATATTCTCCAGCCGTGCTGCAACCCACAGTTAATTGGGAACTCGTGGCCTGGCACGAGGGAAACATGGATGCAGTGAATGGGATTTTCGGTCTTTGACCACTTTGTGGTGGGTCTGATCTACTCACCTCCCACCGCTTTAGGAGCTGCATCTGCGCCTTGATCCAAGAGGGTGGTGGCGTTCCTGCGGATGCGGAAAACTCGGCTTTCAGCCGAGTCTCACGCGGTCCGTGAGATTTTTTAATTTTTTTTGCCAGGCCACTCAACATTATTTTTGTGCCACACGCATGGGAAAAGCTGCCCGAAAGTGGGTCACATGTTGGAAAAAACGAGCAAAAGTGAGTCAGGTGTGGGCAAAATGTACGAAAATGAGTCACGTGCACCGTAATCTACACTTGTAAATTCTCCCATTTTCCAGTCAACACACCGATACTTTGCTCCGTTTCGCCAGCAAATTCTCTTTCAAAACTCCCCGACATTTTGCAAGCAGAATCGCTAACAAAATGGTGCTAATGTCTAGCCGTTGCAGACCTAAAACATTACACTGATCTGCTGACTCACCGTATGTGTGAATGGGAAGAGCAAGAGTGCCAACTTGCGTGTCACATAGTTCGTGTCAACTGAGAAGTAATACTTCAGCTTCTCGACGGAAAGCCAACGATTCAACTGCAGCAATTCACAAATGCACAAAGATATGTGGAATCGCGACACACACAAACACACACACACACACACACACGCATGCACAAACAATAATTATTACTTAGTATTCCATGCATAGAATGGCAGCATGTGCGTGTGTGTGTGTCGATTTGCGTGCTTCTCTTGCGACGGGCGTATACATGGTGGTGGTGGTGGTGATCGTGTGTCGTGGGGAGGTGTCCCATACTACAGTAAATGGCAAAAGTTCAGTACATGTACATGTACAAGTAAAACTGCCGACAACGCCAGCAATCTGGATTGATCAGAGCACAATATCATATCCTTCCCGTACATTTTTATCTACGTATTCCTTGCCAGAGTTGGCCAGTGAGCCACCATACTGCATTGCCATGTTCATGGCCACGGGGTTATCCAGCAGCTCCTGCCCGAACAAAGGCTGGCCAAACTGTTGCTGTGGCTGTTGGTGGTGCTGCTGCTGTTGTTGTGGTGGGTACTGCTGCGGTGCAGGGCCAGCGCCACTGGGATCTTCATAGCCCGGCTGCCCCTGGCCATATTGCTGCTGGCCATATTGCTGCTGGCCATACGGCATCTGTGGAGGAGCTGCAGCGGCCTGTTGGCGCTGATGCACTAGACAATCAACACAAGAACACAACCCAAAGAAGTCCAGAAAAGCTTGGGTCAGAAAGGCATCCGATAGACTAGATTTGCTAGCTGGAAAATGCACACACCATCCTGGTAAGGATCCGGGTAAGGTGGCTGTTGTGCCATTCCTCGTGAAGAATGTCCGCAAATGGTGGTCTGTTCTAAACCCTCAATGCCCGTTGACCTACTTCGAAATTAAATTTTCTCTTTTGTTTGTTTGAAATTCAGACAGTGGTTATTCAAACGCAATCTTTCTCATGATTAATTTTTTCTTTGTTTCGGGTACGACGTGAATATCACTATGACAACAATTCGCCACGTAAAAGCCATGTTGCACCGTTGGCATAAAAATTATGTATGTGACTGTGTAGCTGTGTACGTGTACCATGTGTACATGTCATGTAGCGTGTTTGTACGGCCGTTCCAGATCGCAAAAAAGTCTTTTGCAGTATTTCTTTCAGCCCGGATTCTTGTCTTGAATTAGTTGAATGAAAACGTGCATGCTTTCAGTCAGCAGGTTTTCTCAGCTGCATGTGTTAGATAACTTAGATTACTTTTTGTTCTGAATTGAGGCCCCCTGTAGTTTTACATTAATGGATTCCTCTGCTCTCCAAGCGGCTAAATGCCGGGCAGAGAAGGCGGAAAGGCTGGTTGCACAACTCCAACATCAACTAGAATACATCAAACTAAATGCTCGTGATGGTAAGACGCGCTGAATTCTGGTGTTCAAAATTGAAGTTTTTCATGAAATTTTATCTTTGTCGTGCTAGCATCAGGCACATAGACCAGAGTGTGCATCTCTTGGAGAAAGAACACACGGCAGAGTTTATTTGTTATGCTTAGGTGATACATGTATGTAGCAATATTACCCTGGCTCACATTGCTTATACTGTGTCACCAAGATATTTTACTGTTGCACTCTGAGTGCATATTGTGTGGGAAGGTGGAACATTTCACACGCATTTTCGTTCGGCCATGCAGGGTTTATTAAAAAATGAATGAACCTACAGTACCGTAATGTCGCGTGCATAAGCCGGATTTGTGCATAAGCCTGTCTCGTGTAGAAGCATGAAATCTGCAACAGCTTTTCGCGTACAAGCCTGTCGCATGCATAAGCCGGGCCAGTACACGAGACGCGCCACGTGTCGCGTGCGTAAGCCGGGCTACTACGCAAGACTGGTGAGCGCGCCTTTTACATGTTCATGTTTGCATGGTACCGTACACTTGCGAAAAAAAAGAAAAAAAATCCCGTTGGAAAATGTTGGTTTTGACGTCCAAAAGTCAGCAGTTTGCGCATACAAGCCTGGTCATTGAGTGGTGCTTGTCATATAAGCCTGTCTTGTGTACAAGCCTGACTCCATCACCGGCTTATAGGCATATAAGCCCCGGCTAATGCACGCGACATTACGGTATGCTGGAATGATCCACGTACGTAGGGCTAAATTAAGGTGGCCCTCTGAGCTTTACGGCACCCCGCCCGGAAAACTGCGTAACTTTGGTTACAATGCATATAATTGGTTCAAATTTTCAACACTAATTCCTGAGATCCCATAGTCTGATCTTCACCAGGAAAAATGGACCTCTTCACAAGCACTGTCGGTGTGGATGTGAATTTACGAAAATTGCCGTATATAGAACTCGTAACCAGCACTCAGAAATACCAATGTTTTTATCATAACATTTTTCACATGGAGTACATTCTTTACATCCAACTTGAGGTGCTAAAACAACAATATACAAAGAAAACCTCAGAAAAGGTTTCCAATATCGAAAACACAAAACCATAGTCCAAATGCGCAAAAGAACGACACATGTTGGAGATGCTCTTTACAGCCTATACTACCTGAGAACAGGCCACATTGAGTTTTAGCACCTAGCCAAAGGTCCACGGATTCAGAAAATATATACTTTTGGGGGTGTAGAAGCAACAACTGAAGCCACAGCCTGGTTACAAGGTCCGGCAATGGCTGAAAAAGAGAGAAAATTGGGTACCAAAATTTGATTTATGTAAATGTGTTTTACAGGGTAAATAGTGGTGTGAGAACGGTATGATCTTATTTGGATAGGTATGTCTGTCTGTGTGTTTGCCTCCCTCTGTGTGTGTGTGTGTGTGTGTGTGTGTGTGTGTGTGTGTGTGTGTGTGTGTGTGTGTGTGTGTGTGTGTGTGTGCGTTTGTGTGTATGTGTGTATGAAATTTTTAAACCAACTTGCAATTATTGGAATTTACTATTATTATTTCGAAATTTCACATGTATTCACCAATGTTCAGGCGGCTATATCTCCGGAACGGCTTTGAATATCGCCCTCAAATTTTTTTGTGTGTTCTTGGATGATATAGGAAGGATTTGACTGCACTTTGGGAGCAATCCAAGAAAGTCGGTTTTTTGACCCCCAAAGCTCAGAGGGCCACCTTAAACAACAGGCATCGCCGTGGACCTGCTTAACCTCTTTAGCACGACGCTACCTGAACGCGCCCCACGTCAACACCTGTAGAAGTCGCATCACCGTGCCTGCAGGGTACAACTTACTAGCCTGTTTGACCTTTTTTGGGTGCAGTCCTGTCACTCGAGTTGAACTTGAGTTGAACCTTGGTGTGAAAGTTGTCGCATGCTGGCGCAGTGACCAGGTGATTTGGGCACGCAGGAGCACACGACCGCTTGTTCAACCATGTTTGATTGGGAATAAAGGAGGAACGCTGCATCGCAGCCTTTTCGGACCAAAACCAGTCGACTCAGCGTCCAAAAGACTACAACATATGGGCCAATCGCGGTCTTTCGTGCTTTTATAAGAACGAAATGGCGCTTTTAGTGACATTTTGCATACAAATCCCCATCTAGTAGGGCGCAGTCACCCAGTTTCGGTGGAAGTGTGCGAGTTCGATTGGGAATAAAGGAGGAAGGGAGTGTCTCAGCTTCCTCGGACCAAGAGCATTCGACTCAGCACCCCGAAGACAACTGGTGAAAATTTGATTTTAGGCTTAACTTCCCCTTTAAAGCTGCACGCTTGTAGAGATACATGCTCTAGTTCGTGTACATGTGCTCTTGATAATTTGTGATGATGTACACTGTAGTCCATTCTTTTAAAACTGATTCCACCATCCTTTAGGCAAGATATTGTTGTCACCTTTATTTATTTGCGAAAAAGAGGTTGCAGTGGCTTCAGCAATACTTGAGGAATTGTGTGTTGCTCCCTATGCGGGAGCTCACGCTTTCCTGCCGACTTGAATTCTCAATTGACTCACGACAGCCAACCAGTTTAGTTGGCCTTTCCCACTTCGTTCTTTTCTCTTTCTTCTTTTACGCCATTGCACATTGTTTCTATTGGTTGTCGCATCTCGAATAAAGTAACCAAATGTCAATCCAGCTCATCCCCTTGATCTTGGTATTTTAATTATGTGTTGCGACTTTTATACAGCTATGTACTGTATGGCATGTTATTATATCGGATCTCAAATTTAACGACTGCCCAAAAATCCATAGGCTAGTATAACACATATGAGGCATTACAGCCTCAATAGAACTTATAATATAAACGAAGAAATGTAACCCCTTTAAAACAATTTACTTCCTCGTTAGATTTACATGCCAATACAGTATGTGAAATGGTGTCACTTGTATAGATTGCACTACCAGTATGTATAGTTGGTAAGTAGTACAGGCCGAATTAGGATATTATGTGACAATTCCGAAGTGTGACTACCTGTAAACGAGTCCTGGTGCTGCTGCATACTAGTAGATGGTTAATTCCGACCGTTTGGTCCCAGCCACATTTATATTGTATACGGTGTGCAGTGGGTTATGCAGTTTACATGTAGTGTTTTCTTGGCCCTACAGGTTTTGTATGATCCGAACTCAGGACTGTAGCTGCTGTTGGCTTTTACATAGTCAGAGCTCTGCTATAAGAGAATTCTCTCATGTGTACAGAGCCTTTAGTATTTCTGGCATGTACTGTATTGTTTATTTCCTTCATATTCATGCATGTGTGTCCGCAGAGAGTGGAGAAAAGGATCTCCTTCGAGCCAATGAGAAGCTGAGATCACGCCGTGATGAGCTGAAGAAACAGCTGGAAACTTTGGAGGTCCAACATGGAGGTACGGCCTGAGGAGCACTGCTTTATAATTCCATATGAACTTGGTCGGTAGATGGGTCAGGCAACGCAACATTGACCTGTTGACTGCCAATATACAGAACTGTTGACTGCCAGTATACAGTATAATGCATGGTTGTGTTAGTGAAGAAAGTCCTTCACTCATTGTTACTCTTCCCATTCTTTTGATGGGAGTTCCAGTATGCTGTGACGTGTCCACCATTGTGAGATGTGTCGTTCGTTCTTATCGCCGTGCAGTGAAAATCGTTCCACTGCCTGTCACCAAGACATCTGCACTACCATCGTCCGCCGTTCCCGGCAAGACACCTGGCACAGAGATCGTCGGCGCGCCGCCGACAAAGAAGCTGTGTGTATCCGAATTCGGCGATGCTGCCCCGGCACCCGGGGCTTCCTCTAGCACTGGCACGAGTGAAAGTGCACCTGCATCAATCACACCTGCTGCTGCTCCTGCTTCTGCCAAGCCCGCTGCTGCGAAGGCGGAAGCTGCTGCTGCCAAGCCGGAAGCTGCTGCTGCTGACAAGAAGAGCAAAAAGAAGGAGAAGGCGGCCAAGTCTGGTGGCGCCGAAGGTGGAAAGAAGCAACAAGAGGCCGCCGAGGTTGACTTCTCTCGACTCAACGTTCGTGTGGGGAAAATCATGTCTGTCCGCCGTCATCCCGATGCTGATGGTCTCTATGTTGAAGAAGGTATGTTGTTTGTTGTTTTTCAGGCTGTATGTACTACGGTTGGGATGTGTGAATTCTCACTACTGTACGCATTCACAGCCCCAAACCAACCTCAATGTTCTCGTGTACGTGTGTTAGACAGAGACAGGCAGGCAGGCAGATATAGGGCTCAAGACGTTTAGGTTGAGGTCTTCGCCGCTGCAAGTGCGCACCTGTCTTGACTTCACGTGTCCCTACTGTAACAATAGTTGATAATACAGTACATGTATGGTCACCATGAGGAAACAATGACCGCACAATGTAGAAAGGAGACACAAAGAGGAACCAGAATGATGTTCTGCTAAGAAGCTGAAAGTCTACCTGATGCCAGCCAGCTTCGTGCAGCCATGATGTGGCCATCGTATGACTGAACGTTATTTACAGCTGATGGTCACGGGCCAAGTCCAGATGATCCCCTACTCCCTAGCTATAAAGTGTGTGCATTGGATACGCATCCCCTGGGCATCCCCTGGATATAATTTCCGTACTGTTACATGTATAATTGAACAATCGTGCTTCATCTATGTTTCAGTTGATGTTGGTGGTGGTGAAACAAGGACCATTTGCAGTGGTTTGGTCAAGTTCTGTACACTGGAAGAGCTTCAGGTAACTATTTGTTTGGTCTCTTTGCTGCTGCTGCTGCTGCTACTGCATGTTCTCTAGTCTTCTTGGGGTCTGTTTGTTCTCCTTCTTTCTATCAAGCTCAGCCTGTTCTTTCACATGCTGTGCGTGTGTGCCTGCTTATCTTTCATTCCATCTATCCTTTCCTTGATTGGTGCTTTGACTGATCTTCATGTTGCTAGGTTCGATAAAATTCAGTACAGGTGGTAAATCGCCGACTGCCATGAAGGCAATGGGCGATAAAATAAAAGAGCTAATCTTGGTGTGAATAAAACTCACCCCAAATGCGCAATGGGAGTACAATATCAAGCACACCTTGACCTCAGCCAGCCATCTAATATTAAATCTTTGTGAGAATCTTCCCTCCATGGTGATTGTGGATTGCTGGTGTGTATCTGCTTGTGCTTAGGATCGAATTGCTATCTTCTGCATCAACCTAAAGCCAGCCGTGTAAGTTCCTGCGATATATGGGTTGCCTGGAGGAAGTGGTTTCTTTAAGAATTGCTTACGTGCCTCTATGTCTGTTATTCACCAGATGTGTACTGGCGTGATGTACCCTTGATGTCGCAATACATGTGTTCCTTTCACTGTGGCATCGTCCGTTGTGTCTGTTACAGTGTGTCTGCACTCATATGGATGTGTGCAAGTGTACAGTCAGACCTCGCTTAACCGCACACATCCGTTTTCCACACAACTATTCGGATAGGCAAGGGAACCGGATAACCGAACACCAGTTTTGTTGGGTGCACCACGTATGCTGTAAATCTGTAACCAGCTATTTTCTTCCGGATGGCGAGGGATCCGGATAAAAGAGGACCGGATAAGCGAGGTCTGACTGTATACTGTAAATCATATTATTTTAACGACCCGCAAAGTTAACGATTTTCTGATTTTCGAAGGTTAACGGTTTGAAAAGTTAACGATTTTCTCAGACAGATGCAATAATACTAGGAATGCTCGACAAGAACATTCATTGTTGTCCATCACAGTATACCTCGATGTCAGGAGAATAAAGGAAATGAAATTTATCCAGCGTAAGAGCGTAAATTATTCAAATTAACGATCTCCTGCGGCTTCGTCAAAAATCATCTGACAGACTTGGGAATTGTTTGGGCCGACTGCTGAGCGTCTCTGCTATCATCTAGATCTTTTGATTGCTGAATTCCATTGAGAATTGACTGAGTTACGATCCGTTGAACACGCGCTGCATGCCATAATGTGAAATGATTGATTTCAATCGTGCGAGGCCCAAATCATACGACTTTTGCTAACGAATTTGAAAATAACGATAAATCTTTGCTCGTTAACTCGTTAGATTTACTTGTTCGTTACATATTCATGATTTACAGTATTATGTGAATCCATGTGAGACTGAACACCTCTGGTGCCAAATGGGAATAATGTGTATCAGACATCCAATCCGTTCTTGACATTAGAGTACTTTTGTACTGTGGCATGGTCACTGCATGCTGCTCCTGCTGTAACTGCACACCGACCTTCCGCTGATTTGTGCATCACCATGTTCAGCTTTGCGGTCGCATTTTCCTGTACGCACTGTGTGTGTGTGTGTGTGTGTGTGTGTGTGTGTGTGTGTGTGTGTGTGTGTGTGTAGGTTCCGTGGCATCCCCTCGCAAGGAATGATACTGTGCGCGGAGAGAATCGTAGATGGCGTGTCCGAGGCATGTGAAGTGATCCGGCCACCAACGGGATCCGTGCCAGGTGATCGTGTCATCGTCAGCGAATACAATTCCGGTGAGCTCATGTTCTGGTTCTCTGTTGAAGCAGCAACGTGCCATTTCCTTGATGCCTTGATTGGCACTGGTGCAATCACACATTGTGTCAACTGTAATTGTATGCAGTGTGTTTTCAGCACTGCAGGGTATCAAGCATTATGAATGCAGGGTGCATGTGCATATCATGGGCAGGCACAGCTATGAAAAGACCCAAGTGAACTCATGTCGTGGACCTACTGTGCACCATAGATCTGCATGCCTGTCAAGATGTTCACTTGTGGCTGCTACATCAGTTGTCATCATCCAGCTTCTTTTGGGTTTGGCCTCCAGTATGTAATGTCTTCCTCTCCGTGCTATCTATTTCAACAGGTGAGCCAGACAAGCAGTTGAATCCGAAGAAAAAGGTGAGATTCGGTGCCTCCTTTTAGGATATGGTTTTGTTGAATGCCTACGGTGGGCACAAGTCAGTGAGACAACAAGCGGATGCAAACTTTGTATTGCTTCTGAATTTCTGTTTCTCTTCCGAAGTACATTGTGCTCATTGTTTGCTTTGTCTGATTGCTGTTCAGGTTTTCGAGCGCCTGAAGCCCGATCTACAGACGAGTGACGAATGCATCCCCTGCTACAAGGGCCACCCGTTCACAATCGAAGGCAAGGGTATATGCCGAGTTGAAAAGTTGGCCCGGTGCCAGATCAAGTAGATCAGTGTGTGGGTATGAATGCGTTTGTGTTGGTGGGATGCGAGCGTGATCATGTGCATGAGGGTGTATGTGTGAATGTGCATGCATTTGCGTAAGTCTGTGTATATGTGTGTATATGTGTGGGTGTGGGTGTGCTTTTGGGAGATTGCTTCGAGTCTAGAAATGATTAGGATCCTCTCTATTTCCTGTCATATTTTGATTTTTTATTGCCACCCTTCCCTTGAGGAGGTGAACCTGTGGCACGCTATTTGGCTGTGGCTGTTTTCTGCTATTTTTGTACGCATGGCTCATTCATTGCATGCAAGTGAACACACGTGTACTGGTAGTTACACATTATTCAACATGAGTGATTTGGTATTTTACTGGGTGTTGCTCTACTTGTGTGGGATGTGTGATAGCATGGGTGTCATCGATTGGCGAATCCGGATTGAGTGCGAGCAGGTGGTGTGGTCCAAGCAACGCTCGCCCAATCAAACAAAGCAAAGGTGTAGATATGCATATCGTACAGAGTTTCTGTGAAAGCTTTCAGAAAAGTCGTTTTAGTCCGTTTCCACTCCAGCCACTCCAGCCACTCCCAGTGGGGGGGGGGGGGGGGGGGGGAGACGGGGCTGTGTGGGTGGATTACACTTCAAGTGCACCTACTGCGGATTCGGCCAAACGATCATGCCCCAAGAGTTCAGTGGGCATGACATGGGGGTGCGCACTCTGTGCTTAATGATTATTGGTGTGGCCCCCGGCCGGGGTGCCCATTACCATGGTTACAGTCGACCTTAGGACAGTGCCTATTTATATTTTATTATCCATCGCATATGGCATTGCTTGTCTAGGTCGTGCTTGCGGTCAGCAGGTCAAGACCGCGATCACAAGCTGCATGGACCGCGGGTCACGTAGAACTTCCAAATCTGGGGCGGAAATCCGCATTGTGTTTTGAACAGTTCATACATGACTGTACATGTACAGTACTGATCGTGTGAGTAGATCTGTGACGTGGAGTCACACAAACCCGAGCTTGTACAACTCCCTGATGAACAGATCAGGGACATCGTTGGCTGAAATATAGAAAAACAGATCAGGGACATCGTTGGCCGAAATATAGAAAAACTGAACGGGGAAAACCGCGTACCTGTTGTCTGAAAAAAATTGAATAAAAATTACCGGAAAATGCGGTAAAAAAAGTTCAACATGGTATGCACACATAATTATAGTCATGTACATACATGGAAAAAGATGAATGAATAAAATTTGCCCGCCCACACCAATTTCACATGGGTCCTGCCCGGGGAATCTCGATTTTATTTTGTTCTCGCCTTATGATCTGATCAATTCTAATGTTGTCTTCCTAGGTGCGACGACTCTCTTGTGTACGGTCATTTTCTACATGGCTGTAGATTTTCCCTCGCTTATTCCGGGCACTACCAGCAACTTCCGGCATCTTACAACTAAATTTTGCATGCAGGTCAATGGTTACTGTTTTGAATATTGCTACTATTTTCACTCAGTCTAACTCAAAACCCTACTCCCTGATGTGATGAAGGCAGCGCGTCATAGGAAAGACACCACCGTACTTTTGGAGACAACAGCACCACCATTCAGTCAAAACATGTTAGCCTATCATGCAAGGTTTGCACATCCATGCACAGAATAATCCAGCCTCCTCTCTTCATTTTCAAGCTGGACACATCCCTGCACTCATGGGACAAAGTCTGAAAATGAGTTGTGACATCTAGATGCACACTCTGCAAAGATATAATGTACCGGTACAGCACATGCGCTCTTGCCATTTTCAGTAGTGTAATACCGGTACATGTCATGATGTCAAACAACCACATACTTTTCTTGGGCATCAGAGTCGATGACAACAATGAATTCAATGGTCAACTGGTAAACGACCATTTCCCAATGGGCTGTAACTGATAACTGGAGCCAAGGCGCCTGTACCAGTGAGTATTTTTGATTAGACTTACATTATAGTACTGGTTGGTAATCATGGTAATAGTTACCCTCCCTCTCTTGCGCTCCTTCCTGACTTCTTGTCAGGGAAGTGAAAATCCTCGTATGACTCTGTGAAGTGTGATGCCGTACCGCTCTGCAGACGCGTGCTTGACCCGGTTGAAAATGTACGCAGCAGTGCACACCCTCTTGACCAGGGATCGCACAAACCCTCGGTTTTGATGGGTCTGTACGACTCCCTGCTCATGACCTTTGGTCGGTGTACGAGACACAAGCACAGTTTTCATAGTGTGAGTACTTTTTCATATAGTACCGAATGCCGCAAGTAGGACTCGCCCCTCTGCCCCTCCTCACCTGGACCTACTCGAAGGGTGGCCTCTGCCCCTCCCCACCTGGACCTACTCGAAGGGTGGCGGAGGTAGGGGCGCTCTGGCGGGATTTCACGGTACAAGAAAGCAGCACCGAGTACATCAACACAAGAATACTGATTTGTTGTCAGGTGGACGAAAGTTCAAGTCAAGGTATTCTTCACATAACAGGGTAGGAGAGAGCCGAAAGATATCAATACAGTACTCAAAATGCTACCAGTTGTCAAACACAGTAAGAACAGAGATGATCGTTAGGGACATGAAGACAATTTACCTACTCAAGCGATTTCATGACACCGGGTGACGAAACACAGTGAGAGCAAAAACGACATCACAATAATTATGGCCGTGGGTGACTTGTGAATGGGATAGAGCAGAAGGGCTGAACTAGTCCGCACGATTGAATAGTTTTCGGATGAGTGGCAAAGTGATTTCAGGATGGGGGCGCTATACTTGGCTTAAGATACTACTCGACCAAACGCACTGGGCCAGCCCAAGCTTGGCGGAATGTATCCGGTCGGGGTTGCATGTGAAACAATAATAAATTCGCTGTCGCTATAACCGGAGGTCATGACTTTAGTTAAAAACTGTCCAGCAGCTGCAAAGGATAAAAGATAATACTAGCGCACACAACAGCACATTGTCATTGGATAGCAGTACTCCGAGACTACACTACCTAGTCTACATCCTCATCAGGTAACCGAGCACATGCTACAGGTCTAGCACTCTCAGTGACTGCCATATTGGACGTAAACGAACGCAGTATATCCTCTATGCCACCGCCACCAGACTTTGATTTAATATCAAAGATTTTCTCACCGATTCGATCAAGACTTTGCTCGTACGCGGAGTCCCGCTGTAGTGAAGGTTCGTATACCTGTCGTAATGCTTTGAAGCCGTCCACCATCTTTTTTTCTGAGGCGTCGAGCAAAAGCGACAAGAAGTTGAGCAGTGGCAAGGAAAATGGTGGACGTTCACACTTGATATCTGGGTGGGCGGCGAGGAATCGTTCAAACAGTAGCCTCGCCTGAGAGATCTTCTCCAGCACAAGTAGATGAAGAATGCTCTGTGCTATGTACAGATCTACTTCGTCTGGCTTGTCAGCAGCACTGGAGAACTCAACGAGCATCGCAGCGTATTCCTCTGCGTTGTCGGCATGCAGAAAGTGCCACCGTGCCTGTGCAAAGTCCTTGTACCGCCAACACACTAATGCTATCACCCGGTGCACACTTGGATCGCCGAACTTTGCATGCTCAGTACTACAGGATTTGCTCCACTCCACTGCAAGACGCACAAACGTCTGGCGATCATCACCACCAGGGCCTAGTAACTCTAGCAAAATCTTAAGCTTATCCAAACTACTGTCGCTCACAGGTAAATGACCATCAATGTGGGCTTGTACGAACATACACGCCAACTCTTTGCCGCTGCTGAACGATGCTATTGACGTTGATTGAGCTAAGAAATTAGACGCTCCATCGAAGACTAACTGAGCAGCATCCGTATGCTGATTGTGAGTTGAGTAGCGAAAGAATATAGTTTTGTAGAGTTGGTGGGATTCATATACATCCCCTTTGGCCAACAGGTCGTCCAGTTTTCGAACCAGCCGCCCAACGCGTGCTGCTTTTCTGTCCGAGGCCATTCCCTGCTCTATATATACGCGTCTCGAGAATTGAAAACACTTCTACGGATAATTTTACTTTCCAGTTTGCTGATGAAGGAAATAGAATTGCGAGTGGAAAGCTGAAGAATATTCAAGAAAAAATTGTTGTGTCTTTTGACAGACTTCGAGTTCAAGCGCGTGGCTTGCATGCCGATGTGTACTTGGAGATCTACGCACTATGCATTGTACACATAATAATAAGTGCACACCGTAGATCTACCGTACCACCAATGCCACCTACCCCATGAAGTGAGTACAAAATATACGGTACCGATCTTTGCGATCTGCATGCATACAGCAGTACAGCACTGCGCAGTGCCTGCATCAGATCATGCGGTAGTACAGACACCAGCTAGCTGACTTGTTTACCTTCCCCCATCCCCCCCCCCCCCCGGCCCCCCAGCATGATGTGAAAAAGATCAAACTCAAAGAGTTTGGATTCTCATTCCTCAATGAGATGGTAGTATTGGTACAGTATTGTTCAATGCCCAACACCAACGGACTTGCCAATCTTGGTACTACTACTAGTGCACTATAGTGGCAATAGACTACACTGAAGTGCACGACTAGATTGTACAGTGATCTCCGCACCGAAGGTTAGGAAAGCAAAAACGACATGGCTGCCTGGGATTCTCCCACACAAGAACATTACGGTTGCAGCCTGGACTGGCAAGAAGCAAGAACATGCCCGGCTTGTAGATAGGTTTACCCCATGTTGATCAGTACACGAGATCACTATACTGCACAAACGAGATGACAAATTCAGATACACAATTGCGGTGGTGGGAAATGGCTTCATTGCTTTCGGTGTGTGCTGCACCGAAAAGAAAGAAATATAAACGCTTGCTATGTTTCATGAGTGGCAAAAACAACCAGGTATCATCATGCTACTAATAAAGAAAAAACAATGGTGAAAATAGTGACACTACCGGTTAGAGCAGATTAGAATGGGCCCATTATAAATTTCAGTTCAGACTTCTCTACAATTGGTGAAATGATTTGCAGGTGCAGGCAAATTCCTAGAAACCCGCCAACGGCTACGTATCGCTACTACTACTATGTACTACGTACTACGCTACATACCGCTCAGGATGGATCCATTACATGATCAGTTGGACTATGTTTAGTGGCATACATGTCAGGGTATGACCTGTTGAATAGAGTCCTGTGTAGAGGTGATGTTGCCATTTGGGCCCACAGCATCAGCTAGTGAGCGTCCAGTAATCAACCAGCACTACAAGACAAGCAGTGTTGACTGCTGTCTGGTTGATGTGGTAGCATGGGCCGTGATCTACGCACTGTGTACGTGCAACTGAGAACCAGCCGTGGGTGGCGGCAGATGCCACTCACCTAACGTGCAATATGACTCGTCAGTTCCAGTGAGTCGCGAGGAGTAGTGCTAAATCCACTGTACGGACTATCATGTACCGATTCTGAGAACACACACAAAGCAGTATTGTGGAGCACTGTATTTGGTCTAGTCATCTTTCTTCGCCTGCGCATCCTTGGCTGCTGGTTCCTTAGCTGGTGGGTCAGCAGCATCTTCAGTAGCGCCAGGGAGTATTACTGCAGATACGGCACAGAACGGGTCTCTGTAGCCCAGCAAAACAATCGACAGACTCCCAGTGATCATAGCCAGAGCCAGGATGAGCATCAGCACACTCCGCGGGATGACAAGCCTATCGGCAAAAAGACCTTGATCGAGAGCGACCAGTGCACATGATGCAAAGAATGAGCACTTGGTGTGGCTGCAAGTAACAAACAGTGCAAAAGAAACAGAACAAATAAATGCAAAAGTGCATAGAACAGTGATGAAAAAAACATTGCCTAGGATGCATCCGTTATTTCTCTACTGTAGAAGTAGCTTGAACAGTTTGCATTCTTCTTCGGGAACCCCGTGGACAACGCACATGCTTGTGCGCATTCCATTCTCTACTCTCTTTTTTCTTAAATTGCCGCCGGCCATCACAGAACGAATGCCGCATTGTATGAGGAAAGAAGAACATGACCACTGATCATATACTAGGGGTGAAACGAGTATCTATTTTGACCAATCGATCACTCATTCATAATATTCGATCGAGTATCCGATTATTTTGAGTATTTTATTGAAATTCAAAAGCGCTAGATTTGTGAGTTCTCGACCAATTCAGAAGAAATTATCTGTGAGCGTAGCACAAAAGTCGCCAACGTCTTGTACAGAGTGTAAAGTAACGATTTTCACCAGTACTTTCATTATCTCAAAACAAAATAACCTTACTTGCTGTGGTGATCGCATCGTCCAAGTCATAAAATACTGACTCAAAGGCACGAATAATGCATGCACACCAGTCGATGAGCAGTACAACAACAGAAGTTTTTGAAAAATAGAATGCCAGTACTAAAAAAAAAAAACAAACAAAAACGATAGAGTGCAAAATTTCGAATACTCGCTCGTTTGAGATTTTCGAACGAATACTCGAATATTCGAACTAATCGCTTCACCCCTATCATATACACACTCCAGCCTGTTCTCTCCCTCCCCCTCCCCCCCCCCTTGTTCCAAGCCTCTTTTCCGGGCAAAAATTAACACAACGGATTAAAATGCAATAAATCATACACTGGAGAAGAAATCAGAAAAATGCATGTGTAAGGTTATGGTAAAAATTATCTTTGATTCTCAAGTACGCGCGCACCGATTTTTGGCGGCGCACCGACGATTTATTTATTTTTATGCATGCATATGCGCGCATGAAAACGGTCAATGCGAAAGGCATGAATCAGGGAGTAGTAAAATACTGGTATTTTTCTACTCCCTGGCCTGAAATATGAACATGTGACCATGTACATATGTGTGACCCTATCTTCATGATCTTTGGAAATAAAAAAATTGTGGGAAATAAAATAAAAAATCGCTCGCTCACACCGATTTTCACAGGCTCATGACCTGAGAATCAACTTTATTTTTTACCATGGCCTAAAATAAAGATTTTCGAACCCAAACCAAAAAAACTTCAAATTAATTTTTTTATAATTTAAAACTCCACACTCCAGCCTTACTATGATGGCTTCAGAAATTCATGTTGGTTGGCTGTCTTGGCTCCTCGCATCAGTCTATCATTAGTCACCATTAGCGAACCTCCACTAGCTGTGAAGCAAAGAACAAAAGAAGTCGAAGATCTTCAATTCCAAGACAAGAACTCAAACTAGTACCAAGGTGCAAGCCAGTTGGGTGATTTGCATATATCTAATATGCAAGAGGAAATCTGAAATCAAGTTGGCCAAAATCGTCGGCAAAACTGCTTTCTCATGTAAATATCGAAATAGGCAACACACCTACAAACCTGATCGTACTTACACCTGGCTGTTCCTGCTAGGATTGCGAGTGCCCAGGCATTCGGGTGCAGTTTCGTCGCCACACGAATTCCAGTTGCAACCTGATGTAGTCGGCGGAGATCCTTGAAGACTACAATAACTGCCTACATGCAGGAGATGTTAAAAAGATGCATGCAGAGAGAGAGAGAGAGAGAGAGAGAAAGAGAGAGAAGGAGAGAGAGAGAGAGAGAGAGAGAGAGAGAGAGAGAGAGAGAGAGAGAGAGAGAAAGAGAGAGTGAGAGGCACATGTACAGTGGATTTCAGTTGTGATCATAACATTTTTAATGGTGCTATTTTCCACTATTCGAACCTCAATATCACGAGGAACAAATAGGGGATTCCCAAATTTTATCGCACATTCAGAACCAGCCTGATTCTGTTGTAAGTCCACCAAACATGAGCGAATTACATGATTTTTTTCCTGTGTCATCCTTAAACTTGCTTTAAAAGTGTGTTCCATTGCATGTTGTACATAAGGGACATGGTCTCAAAAATGGTTGACATTCAGAGTTCACAGACCAATCAAAAAGGTAATACATGTACCCCTAGACTACCAAGTTATTGCAGTGAAAGTTATCAACAATCCTGACATACAGAGTTAAGCTAGACTTACCTTAGGAAGTAGTGTCGACAAGAATCTGAATACAAAGTCACCAGGACAAAAGAACACCACAAACCTATGAGAGCAGAGTAGAAGAGAGAGAGAGAGAGAGAGAGAGAAGTTAGCAACAAAGACATGCCCCCCCCCCACCACACATACACACAAATGCACATACACACACGTACAAACACGCGCGCACACACACACACGCACGTACACACACCCTATATTCATTGCACATGTAGACTGTGATACAATAGTAATCCGGATGGCGGTTGGTACGGTAGTGAGTAAAACACAGAGTACAGCGTACGGAACCCCATTCACTTTCATGGTCCACATCAGAGTTTACTGATCTGCTTATAACGCTTCAATGTCTGTAATAGCACCGTGCCCTACAAGACAACATCAGTTCCTATACTTTCAAAGCATTGAATATGCATGACAATGCTCTAACCATATCATAGTCTCGATTGCTATACGGATTGGATTTAGCAGTGGTTCACCCAGCGGAAGGCCAAGCAAAAGATTGCACACTATGGTTCCGCCATTGACAAGCATTAGCGTACTGACACAGGATGATAATGGGTGCTTGATGGCAAATTCGCGTGCACCTGTGAACACGAAACACACCCGAAACCCGACATGAGGATCAAAGGTGACAGATGCAAATTTCAAGCTATGTTTGCATTGTCATCATGTGGAAATGAGGCCGACTGGGACAGTGAGTTTCAGAGGTGTTCATCAACTTTCATTACTTTTCTGACAAGCAAAACTGACTGGCTGACAACGTCTTGGCAAGACCAAAAAACCGCCAGAACAGAACGGAAAACAATTAGGTTGTATCCAGAAAGATAAGCACGAGAGATTCAAATAAATTCAAATAACAGCAGCCACGTGGTGCATACGATGCATCACACGGAAAAGGCATGCATAGTCCAAGTGTGTCGCGGCGTGCAAGGCACAGCGAGTAGTAAACTTATTAGTATGTAACATGCGATATATGGAATGCATCACGACGTCACAATCAGTGTGTCTCATCGGAAGACCTTCTGAACATCATGTGTGAAATAATAACAGGTTTGGCAAGTCAAGACTGATGTGCACAGCGAAACAAACCTTTAAAAAAAAAATTAACTATTGTATGGACGTGTGAGGTTTTTAGCACAGCGAATTATTGGCTCGGACTTCACAAGCCACGGCTGTAGCTGTAGCTACATGTATACGTTACACACACACACACACACACACACACGCTTGTCTAATTCTATTTTAGCGTGTACAGTATCTGCCCATCCTCTGTGAGAAAGCTCGAAGTGGGTCCCCCCCCCCCCCCCCCCAATTCCAATGATAAACCATAATAATAGTGATACTGTGATATACCAGTACGAGTCGTATGGATTCAATTTTACCGAGAATATTGACAACATGGCTATACCGGTGACAGGGGGGGGGGGGGGGGGGTTCGACACGCCACAGCCACAGAGGCGATGTAACCACTTTTCGCCAGACCCCGCAAACTAACCAATGATCCACGATGGCCTTGTCCGTAAACATAAACATATCGGGGGGGGGGGGGGGGGGGGGCTAAGGGGCAAATTGATCCGATGAATGACTGTGCCACCCAACATACCTTCCCTGGCCCTGGTGTCCTGCATGTACATTGTATTACACATTTTTAAAATTGTCATTGAATATTCTCGGACTCACAGTCGTTTGCAATGTAGACCTTCATGACACCATCCTATGGCCTACCCATTTTCATCCTGACATGTTCACCTCTAGCTCTTTCTTTCCTTGGCCAACTGGCTCCGCACCCAACATTTACACTACATGATTTTACTGCATTTGCAGTCAGTCAAATACATGTAGTTGTATGAACACGTACCAGGCTCCTGACGTGTGGTCATGGCTGATTTGAAATAATGGATGATTTCGAAAATCGGGAACATTGGCAAGGAGACAAAGGCATCTCCAGCGCCTTGCATTGAAGAGATGACGCCTTCCATTCTGCTCCACCAGCTAAACCAGCGACTCGATCGCGAAGCTTGTGTGTGAAGCGCGATTACATGCGCAGTACTACTGTGCTCAGTTCTGTTGTGACTTCCTCCGTCAGTCAAAAAAACGGAGTCGATGCCCTCGGTGGACACCTAAGTCCTTCCTGTGCGTGTGAAGTTTTGTTGAAGTCAAGCCAAGGTCAGGCCGTGTGACTTGAAAGATATATCCGGTGTTTCCCCTTTCACTTCTCAAGCTTTGCAAGGTCACGATTCGATCACGCCTTGACGTGTGGTATGGTTGCCAAGGAGAGGCAAAATGGCGTGAAAAGATCCACAATTTTGATCTCAAAATAATTCTGTACTGAAAATATTATTATTGTTCTTTGAAGTAAAAAGTTGCCTGTACAATTACGAGTAGTTCTCTCAAATACATTGTAATTGCATTTCGATTCGGGAATTCAATGTACTAGCACAGTCCACTCTCATGCTATGTTCTAGTACCAGTAGTGAAGGTCCAGAAGTGTTGATACTAGTAGTGTTGTCTCGATATAATGTGTGAACTACTCTGTCCAGTCTGAGTTAGAAGTGCAATGGCGTCTGGCAGCAAGGTTTTTGCTGCATTTCGTGCTCTTGGAATAGTCAGCAACGATGTTCCAATCTGTATTCAGACGAGTCACTCGAATTACTTTGTAACGTCGGCGATTGGCAGAGCGTTTCATGTTTACAATGTATGTTGCTCTTTCCTAATAATTCAAGTGGCTTGCAGGATCATGCAGGTGTGAGCTGTTCCCAAGTGTTGTGCTTTTCTTGTGTGGCATTGTCGTTTTGTTTATCAGGCCAATAAGCTGAACTTGCTGTTTGTAGGTAAGTGTTAGCCCCGAATAAATTTCAATATAGGTGCTTACTGTCCATCAGCGACTCTCTGAATTGTTACGGTGAAGTGCTGCAGTATGCACTGTAACTTGCACTTCCCCACAACATGGCTTGTTTGTTTATTACTGGTTTCTTTTTTCGTCCACCTGCCCGTTATATCTCGTTTAACGCCGATCAGGATAAACTTGGGTGGGCGAGGCTGCACGTGTCGTGGACAGATTGTTAAATCCCCCGACCACTGGCCAGTATAGTGAGCATTCTAAGCTAATTCACACAAGAGCTTGACACACGTGTGCGCGCACGCACACACACCTTCCTTCCTCCTTCCTTCTTCCACTGCCATGACTGGCTATGTGGCCCCATACGGGGCAGACCAGGAGACGTGTTGTCCACCGGGCGGGGAACGCCATACTCAGCGCGCGCGGGCCGCGCGAACAGCGTTACACTTGTGCCTCGCAATGTCCTGCGGCCGACGAAAACTGCGCGCACAAGTGCCACAGATGAGGGGCTTCGCCACAGGCTCCATGCGGGCCTGGACAATTGCGTCGACAGCATCACGGCAGGTGACTCGCCATCCCTGTCGATCTTGGACGATGTCACCAAGCTGCTCCAGAGGAACGCCAACAGCCATCAAGTCGCACTTCGCGGAGTCCTTCCAGCGCTTACGGGGTCCATGCGGTGGACGTTTGGAGGGTAATGCGCCGTACAGCAGCTGACGAGGGATCCAATCTGGCATGCGGGACACGTGGCCAAGCCATCGAAGTCGGCGGACTCTGACTTTATCCGCGATCTCCTCCATATCGCCCCACATCCTGCGAACCTGGAGAGAGGAGATGTGCTCCTCGATCTGCCGGCCACGATTTATCTTCAGGATGGAACGCACGCACTGCAGGTGAAAGGACTCCAGGCGACGGACATCACGCTGCCTGACGGTCCAACTCTCAGATCCATAAAGAAGGACCGCCAGGACAGTCACTCCATACACGATGCGCTTGATGGCGATGCTTAAGTCATCACTGGCGAAAACCGACTCCCGCAGTGTACAGAACGCACCCGATGCAGCAGCAACTCGCCGAGACACATCAAATGAGCTCCGGGCGTCTGGCGTAACATGACAACCGAGATAGCGAAAGGCCTCAACGTGGTCAACAACACCATCCAAAGGGGTCTGCATCCACAATACCAGCCCCAGCCGCCATGAATTTGGTCTTGGACATATTGACACTAAGGCCAAACGCACCAGCTACATCCCTGAACGAGGATAGAGCCCTCTCAGCACCAGCATGCGTAACTGCGAGCAAGGCTGAATCATCCGCAAACTGACACTCCGTCAGCCGCACTCTGCGATACTCTGCCAATCTGGTGTTGAAAAGCCGCTCCCTCCAAAACTGGACGAGTGGGATCCCCAGCTCACCATCATCAGCAATCACGCCACGCCATCTCTCGAAGACTGCACACATGTATAGGTTAAACAAAACCGGGGCCATAGTACAACCCTGCCGCAAGCCATTCTCAACCCGAATCGGTGCAAGCAGGTCTCCACCCACACGAATACTGGCAGTCATGTCGCTATGGAAGGAACTGATGATGGTGATCAGATTCCCTGGGACGCCAAGTCTAGCCAACACTCTCCACATAGCACTCCGCGGAACCGAGTCGTACGCTTTCTTCAGATCGATAAATACAGCGAAACCTTTCGTGGCATGTTCGTGCAACTTTTCCAGGATCTGCCGCACAGCAAACACCATATCCGAACAACCACGGCCCCTGCGGAAACCACACTGCGAGTCAGGCAAGCACCTTTCTCCGAGAACCTGCAGACGATTGGCAATCATGCGAGCAACTAGCTTTCCAGCCACATCCAGTAACGATATCCCACGCCAGTTGTCGCAAGACCCCAGGTCACCCTTCTTGGGGATGGGGACGAGGATAGCATCAGACCAATCCTGTGGAACGCTGCCAGTCTCCCACACCACCCGTATCAGTTCATGCAACCTCGCAATCAGGGTAGGGCCACCGTACTTCAGCATCTCCACAGATATCTCGGATCCGCCGCATGCCTTGCCACACTTCATCCCTCGCAATGCACGCCAAATCTCATCACACTCAGGCACGACACCAAGCTCCGTCATAACCGGCCGCTGCTCGATCGAATCCACTACCTCCAAGTCGTAAGCACTGGCAATGTTCAGGAGGCCATCGAAATGTTCACGCCACCTTCCACCGGTGGCCTCTGCCGTGTCACAGATCTCTCCTTGCTTGTTTCTGATAGCAGTTGCTGCACGGGGACGCATACCACCCAAGGTGGTCTTAATGTTACCGATACACTCCCAACCGCTCTTCGCCGTCAAGCCAAACCATTCACAATCCTTTGCCTGTCTCAGCAGCCAGTCTCGCTTCAGCCTCCGCATGGTGCACCGCGCCGCACTACGAGATTTCTTGTACAAATCCAGATCACTGGCCTTCCGCGTTGACATCCAGGTTGAGTAACAACTGTCCCGATCACGGAGTACCGACTCGATCTCAGTGCGCTTGTCTGTAAACCATTCTGGCTGTCGGCGCCTCTCTCGACCCAGGCAGTCGCTGGCAACGTTGATGGTGGTCGTCCTGAGGGTACTCCACCACTCTTCGATGGACGGATTCGGGGTCCAAACTTTCTCCAGCTCAGCATCCATGCCCTTGGAGAATCTCTCACGCGCAACCTCCATATCCTCCGGAGCACCACTACGCAGGCGCGACACAGCAATGGGTTTCGATCGCCCAACACCATTGCGGGAGACATGTGAACTGGGCAAGGCACCTAGACGATGTTTCATGCCTAGAAACTTATGGTCAGTGTCGCATTCCGCATTACGTATTACTTGGCAGTCCAAACACTGCGACCGATGTGCTTGTGGGATGATGCAATAATCAATACAGTGAGGGTGCTTGTAGCGTGGATGAAACCAGGTATGTTTATGGATTTCCTTCTTCTTGAATAATGTGTTGCATACAACAGCTCCATTTCGTGCCAAGAAATTGAGCAGCTCCTCTCCTGCTGAGTTCATACGACCAAAACCATGCTGCCCCCGCACGTCACTCCACTCATCATCCACCTCGCCAACTCCAACTCTAGCATTGAAGTCACCAAGAAGGCAATACTGGTCTGACTTTGGAACGCTGTCAATGAAGGCCTGCAAGCTGTCATAAAACGCAGTTTTTTCAGCGCGCGGTCTGGCGAACGTCGGTGCATATCCGACGGCGATGTGAATACACAACGGCGAACGGTTCCGTCCACACTCGAACTTGACCCTGGCGGAAACCAATCTCGAGCTGTGCCCCTTCCACTGCGAGCCACCGCGAACAAATGCGTCCCTGCAACGACCGCGCAATACAATTGCAACTCCTTCACCCCGCCGCGCCGACTCCCCATCAGACGGAGTCGGACGGCCACTCGCCAAGACGAGACAGTCGTCGACTTGGTAGGAATTAGTTCCAAACCAGAGGGTCTCCTGAAGTGCAACGACGTCCATACTGTAGCGCTGCAGCTGCCGGCAAACAAGATCGATTTTTCTCTCCTCGCGGAGTTGTCTTTTTGAATTTTTGATATTTTTTGAGGCAGTGTTCAAATCGCCGTCCACGTTCACCAAAGTTCTGACGTTCCACGTCCCCATGGACAACACAAATCTCCTTGCTGCTGGTGCACGTTGCGAGCCGAACTCTAAGCGGGGGTTTGCAGAGCCTCCGCGCTCAGGCGGACGAGGTTCAGTACGAGTGGTCACATCGGAAGTGACCATGGTGTCGACACTGATTTATTTCCTCGCCCGCGACGACAAGATGTACGTCGTCTTGTTCAGCGCACACACACACACACACACACACACACACACACACACACACACACACACACACACACACACACACACACACCTTGAACCTTGAACCTTGAACGTGCCCATTGCCGATGGCAATGATAGCGAAGGGACTATCTACTAGCTTTGCAGTACGGAGCGTGGCGCTTGAGATCCCTGGGACGACGGCAGACCTTTCCACATGCGCAGCGGAAGCCAGAGTCAGGATCAGAGGGAGCACGGGCGGGAGGACGACGATGAGCAATCTGCCTCCAGGCAGAGCGATCCTGGGCAGCATCAAACCAGCAGTCAGAAGGCACAGGGGGGGGGGGGGCTGATGGAGCGGAGATCATCCACGATGACGTCACGCCACCGCTTGCGTGGACCATGGCGAGGGCGCATCGCAGGTAGCTCCCCAAACAAAACTCGCTTCGGCATACGGTCGTCGTTCATCCGGCCAACATGGCCAAGCCAACGCAGTCGATATTCCCGGATGATGTCCGCGATGTCACAGTCAATGCCGAGGGTTCTGGCCATGGTGATGGAGGACACACACACACACACACACACACACACACTAGGGATAGAAAAGAGTTGGCTCGAAGAGTGATCAGCTACCAGCATCAATAATGATCAGTGGAATGAGGGATGATTGAGAGACAAATAGAATTTCTGGAATACCGACAGAGTCACAAGAATGGGACTAGCTGACCTATTGCAAAGCATCCTCTGCCAAGACCAAGCAATTGAAATCACTGGACACGTGGAAATTTGAGAAACATCGAAGCAGCCTGTCTATTCTTCTAAAGCTTCATTTTGAAGTTAGCAACACAAGTCATAATGATGCAGCTCGAGGGTATTTATTTAATTTTTCGGTTTTTGTCAGTGACACTAGTGATGTCTTGTCTCTGAATGACTATGTGGCCGCCACCGCCAGCACTGCACTGCGTATGTTGTGTGATGTGCAGGTACTACGCAAGAGGAGAACATTACTTGTGTGTGCTGTCACGGGCCGGTTGCATTCACTGCCGCTGGTCATCGCATTAGATCATGGAGGCGTGGAAAGGAGGTGAGCAGATCGCATTCATCATTCCTGAGATTTGCTAAGCGTGGAACGCCCAGCGAAACCAGGGTCTAGTGGCCATCATTGCATACATGTATGTCTGCATGGGCCGTGCTGACTGTAGTTTTGCATGTCCCACACGAGCAAAAGGATCACGGATGAGTGGCAGGCGTGTGCATCTATCCTGTGAGTGGCTGCAATGCATGGTTGAGTCAGGCCTGTCGCAAACCCCTTGTGCAATGTGTGGGTTGGGCTAGTCAAGTTTCTTCTTGTTAATGTCATAAATTTGTAAGGTGGATGTGCTCATAGCTGTATGACACACTCGCCTCATCTCGTTGCTCTCTCTCTCTCTCTCTCTCTCTCTCTCTCTCTCCCTCCCTCCCTCCCTCCCTCCCTCCCTCTCTCTCTCTCTCTCTCTCTCTCTCTCTCTCTCTCTCTCTCTCTCCCTCCCTCTCTCTCTCTCCCTCTCCCCTGCGTCTTCTTACTTTGTGTACAGGTGCGGAGTTATGTAGGGCATGCTGCCAATGTTCATCTGCTTCTGCCATTTGCCGGTCACCTGATCTCTGTGGATGTAGATGGGCATCTGAAGGTGTGGACAATCGCCACAGGAGGTGAGTGTCACTATCGATAGTTCTAGGACAACATAGCCACAGTGCCAGTATCATCAGCGTCCCGGCGTACTGGCATCACATTTCCATATCAATGTTTGGAGATGAATCCAAGGCGCTCGTTTACAGCACAGTATGCTGGGAGGAGTGTGTAGATGTATACAGTATTGGGAAGGTTTGGGTGTTCGTGGTTGCAGTACAGGTGAAATCATGATAATTCAAATATGGCTTAATTAGAACATACTGCTTAATTAGAAGTTTCTTCCGGGACCGATTTCTGTCAATACATAACAATATCTGATACAGTCAACTTCGCTAATAGCGACTGCGGATATAACGACAATTCGTGAATAACGACAGAATTTCCATGCCCAGAGCAAAGTCACATCCAACTGTAATACATATAATGGGACTTCGGGTATAACGACACTTCGCGAATAAGGACACTTTTCTGATGCCCCGCCGAGTGTCGTTATACGCGAAGTTGACTGTAATTTGAACCTCGAACTGGGTATGTCCGGTTAATTAGAAGTCCCACGGAATCCACTTACATAGAAAATGTGTGGGATTTGTGCTGATAATTCAAAGTTAGCAAACCATAATTAGAAGTTCACTATATTTTCTGCAAATCAGTCTGGTTTGCATGCACAGGCAGTTCAGTGTCCACTGAATTTGTGTCTAAGGTGTGTAGTGCAATTCTGCGTGTCAATGCGAACATAAAGTAAGAAGTTAGGATGATACGTCATTAAAAAGAACATAACTGCTCGACGTAAACAGGAAAGTTAATAATAGTAACCGAAAACAGATTGCTCAAACTTGAACTGGAAACTGTATTGCTTGAATCAAAAAGCACAATAAAAGGCCCAAATTCTACAACTACAGAGGATGTGATGACTCATAACACAAACTTTGATGTATGTATGATTGTATCAAGAGTACATGGTTAGGTACTCTTGATTGTATGTATGAATGTACATAACAGATTCAGCGTTCTAAGCTCTCTCTGCAGCTCGGGTTCAATGGATTATTATTGTACAACAATGCCTCGAGCATGCAACACATGCGTGCATGTATGTATGTACATGTATGTATGAGAGAAAGACACACACACACACACAGATAGAGCGATAAAGACCAAAGCGCAGAAAGAGAGAAATATCAAGAGAAAATTGATGCGTCCCGTCTTTGATGTTGGCGAACCAGGTACCGTATTTTACCGGTTGTAAGTCGACCCCGGTTATAGGTCGACCACCGTATTCGGAGGTCTCGATTCTGGTTTTTAAAGTGTTCACCCAACGAAGCACTACTAACCACTCCCTGCTACTTACACATCAACAGATCATGTAAACATTTCTTATTGGAGGGTATAACGTCCCAATCCTTGAAAAAAAAAAAAAAGGCTAATAAACTGGCAAAAATGTGTACACATGGTGCACTCGTGCATGCAGTGCAGGTCATTTTTGTAAGATACTGATAGTTCCCGGTTATAAGTCGAATTCCGGTTGTAAGTCGACCCCCACCCTTTCTCCTTCTATTTTTAGTTGTAAAAGGTCGACTTACAACCGGAAAAATACGGTACATGTAGGTCGAGGTCGGCCATGGGGTCTTGATCCAAACACGAATTCGTCTAATAAATTGATAAAATTGTAAAGGCAAAAAACAACACATCTAAATGGGAAATTCGTCTCAACAACAATGCCTCGAGCATGCATCACATGTATTTTGTCAAACTTCACCTCTATAGCCTTTAGGCTTTACACATATTTTGACGTTCTACCTAGCCTGGTATCGTTGTTGAGACTAATTTCTCCAGATATTGTCTCAAGGAAATTGATTATGGAACAAACACATTCAGTAATCATGTTATATTGTTTTTGTTGTTTTTCAACATTCGATGTCCTCTTCCGCTTCCTCAGTGTAGTAAACAAAGACCTAGCACATCTTCACCCACCTTTCAAGGAGATTCCTCAGCTGCTTAGCTTGGGCTGGTTGATTGTGCGATTGGGTTCCTTGGTGTTCGAGGTATTGGGCGGGAAGGGTGCTGTTGGCGACTCAACCATGGGGAATGTGGACCACCAGGAGCAGCTGTTGTCGGTGTTGCAGGACAACTCGCTGCTGGGGCAAATGCTGAGCTGCGCGTCTGATTGTAATTAATGGAGGAAGCTGCAGCGGTGGGCTGGGACTGCCAACTGTGCTGGGTGCGCGGCTGTTGCCATTGCGGGTGCTGGGTTCTGCCAGTGAGGTGGGTGGCTGGAATTGCTGGCCAGACAGTGCCATTGCAATAAGGAAAAGCCCACTCCCCAAGGCATCACCGATTGACTTCATTGAGGCTCCAACGCCCTCGATTGCCTGGCTAATGGAGTGGTTCTTCTCCCGGAGAGAATCAAGAAGCCTTTCCTTGGACTCCCTGTCCTTCTGAACCATATCAAGGAACACCCGATCTCTTTCATGGGCTGGCAATGCTTTTTGCAACTTAGTCCGCTTATTTGATTTCTTGGTCGGTGGACAAGAACCAATTGTCGATGTCGATTGGCTGGCAGCACCTGGCGATGTGGGCCGCAGTTCAACAACCTCATCGTCCTCGCTGTCCACATTGTCTACCTGTATATCCTGGTCTGGGCTGACACTGCTGGATGAGGCGATGCTGCCAGATATAGTCGCTACTGCTGGAGAGCCACTCCAAATGAGCTTCATCTTATCCCAGTTCTCGTCAACAACAGATCTTGCCACTTCCAGATCTCTTGTTCTCTATGATCGCAGTTGCTGTCGTGTTTTCTTGGGTTTCTGCCACTGTAGGTAAAAGGATTTTAATCCTTTTACCTACAGTGGCAGAAACCCAAGAAAACACGACAGTAATTGACATTCAATTATATGACAACCTGTGAAGAGAATTGGAGGCGTATCCTATTTCGAACGTGTGTCAGAACATGTGTCAGATCAACTGGCCCAAACATGCTCTACTCGTGGTATTTGCCTGCCATCCTCTTTCTCAACTCACCATAAAACGTTACCAGGTCAGACTCCATGTCCTTACACTCAGCATCTTGCTCAACCTTGAAATCTAGTACAGTATTGTCGTTACCAGATCGTTTTCCATGCGCGATGTCCACCTAAATCTACACACTGGGGTGCCCCTCTTCCTATTCTTGGCTTGCGCCGGGACACTCGCAGTCTCCGGTAGTGGCTGGGAAACGTCTCCGAAACTTTGAGACATATCTAAGGTCGTATCAAACGAAATCAACTACGACGTACAAGTAAATGAACAAACAGAAAGTAAACTGCACTACACTTGTCAAGAAGGATCAGGAAAAGAAAGGGAAAGGGTTTGCCAACTTGAAGGCGAGATGAAGGTCAACGGCCACAGGCAAAAGAGAGGGAATTCGCTCTCCAACGATCCTGGGCTTTGACCTTCGATCTAGCCAAGCGTGACCTGTGTGTGAATTGAAAAGACAACCGGGCACACCGGGCGCAGAGAAATCCTCTCCGATTCACGAGGCAAACTGGAAAACACGGGAAAACTCGCTTATAAGCCCAGGGCTTATTTTCTTGACCGTTTACATGAGAAAATAACTTACTATAAGCCCTGGGGGTTGGATAAGCTCGGGGTCAAGGGTAGGGCTAGTTCAACTCGGGGCGAGCTGAATAAGCCCGCCACACCATGTAAACGCGCACTCTATAATGACTGGGTGACAGATCAAGACGGGCTTATTTTTCTCATGTTAACGGCCCCTAGCTTGATTAGCGAGAAAGAAGTCTCTAGTCCCCTTGATTTTGCAGGGTGTTGGTGAGTTCTTGCTACGCTGTGGTCCTATCTTGTGGAGAAATGTGTTTTCGTGTTTTGTTTCTGTTCTGTTTTCCCTGTCAGAATTGTACACTGAAATTGACTTCGAGCCATCACTTTTCGACGTCTCGGCAATCATGCACCCCAGCACGTATATGAACAAAATACTGGTGGGTAGTCACCAGGGCGAGCTGCAGTTATGGAACCTTCGGACAAAGTAAGACCTGGTCAACTGCTGCTCCGCTGTCCAACTTCAAAAAGATGTCCTTGGGCAGCGGTCTGTACTCTTGAAGTGTAATATGGCATGGAGCATCCCCATCGGCCACTGTATAGTTTATATGTACCGTATTTCTGGTTCGGCGCAAGCTACTGTGATTCTTCTGTGGTGATAGCCCTTTGCAGGAGAAATGTGATTGGCTTCTTTTTCATTTTTAAGTACATCCTGGAGGCATAGGAACTGGCAACTGATATGTTTGCCCTGCTGTGATGTTTGTTCCCCATTGTTGTCTCGATGTAACAGTAAGATGGTGTACTCTTTCCCTGGATGGAGATCTGCCGTCACAGCCATCGTGCAGGTAAGCGTAGTCGCACCACGGCATGCTACCAGTGGCCTACGGATGTGTGTGGTGTACATTCCACCTGCTTTTAAAAAGGCATGTGCGTGGTCTCTGTAAGAAATTTGCGTAAGATCACCGGGAACCCACTATATGTGTTGCGTGTGGATTGTACTAATGTCTGGTTTGAAAGTAGACTAGTCTTGGACATGCATTGCATGCTGTTGCAATTGAACTTTGCCAGTCTCTGTTGAACCCAATCTTCACTGCTGCTCTATTACAATGCTGCAATCTGTCAGCCCCAGCAGCCGATTGCTTTTTTCTTTTCTTCTGAGCACATATTGTATGCGTTCTGCGACAGATAGCTCTAGATGCTATCTCCAAGTTATCTGCAGAGAAACAATAATTTACTTTTATAACCGGAAATGAGTATGTCCAATGTTACTCGTACTTGCGGAACATGTAGATATGCAAGACTGGGAATGGTATGCTGATAACAATAGTACAATAACGTGATTGTTTCTGGTGTTGTGGTGTTGCTATGCAGGCTCCAGCACTCGACACCGTAGCCATCGGTCTACAGGATGGCAGCATTATTGTTCACAACATCAAAGCCGACCGGACGCTGATGCGATTTCAGCAGGACTGGGGACCGGTCATGTGCATGTCATTCCGAACCGGTGAGAGAAATAGGTCATCATGTTGAGAATATGCCCTGCACTCTGCTGCACTGCAACTGCAGTACTGTTGGGTGCTGAAGAACTAGGGGGCTAGCATCGTAGCCTGGACAATTCTTATTTTCATGTACAGCACTCTATGCACAGTAGAGTCACCATGCATGTATCGCTATGCTAGCCTGTCCGTTCTTCGGCACCCAACGGTACTGTATCCAACACTCGGTCATCCAATCCTGTGCTTTGTCTTGGCTGGACTCCATAGCATACAGTCATGTGTGCACTTTAGTAGATCCAAAGTAAGCATACGGTTAGTAATGCGTATAGCAATGGCCATACACATATACCGAGGGCTGACATGTCTACAGTGGTGGCAAATAAAATCTGGACTGCTGCTCTCTTCCAACGCTGCGGGCCAATTTTGATAACGTCGCCTATAGGTGTGTGACCATGTCGCCTTTGGTGCTGCAAGGATAAGTGGACATCAGTCCTGCTTTAGTGGCCACAACTGTACGTATGGTATCCAACCTAGTGCTTTTACTGCATTGGAGTACCCTGCTTACCCAAGTGGTCAGGTCAACAAGGTTGCTCTGGACATTTTCTCATCTCTCATCTCTCTCTCTCTCTCTCTCTCTCTCTCTCTCTCTCTCTCTCTCTCTCTCTCTCTCTCTCTCTCTCTCTCTCCCTCTCTCTCTGTTGTGTGTTCAGATGGTGAACCGATGCTGGCGACGGGCAGTTCAGTTGGCCACATTGCACTGTGGAACTTGGAGAAGCGCCAGCTGTCCACCATCATGCTGGATGCACACGGTGGCAGTGTGGCCGGCATGCACTTCCTGCAGAACCAGCCAATGATGGTAACCAACAGCGCCGACAACTCTATCAAGGTGAGCACTCAGTAGTTGAGCTTTAACTTCTGAATAGGTGGCAGCTGCATTTTCAACATGGTGGGCTTGCACGTATGTTTTGTCCTCCGCAGTCTTGCATACGGATCACAGTTGGTGGCACATGCGTACTTTTCTCTACTCTTGACTCTTGATGATGAGTGTTGATTGGAGCACAGTGCCTTGCTTTGCAATGATGTGCACTGCAGTACTGGGCAATGAAATACGGGATTGTCCTCGGCTACAGCGCCGTTCAAGGACAATTTTATCCGTGGTTCATTGGCTAGTAGATCTGCTGTACTTCCATTCCAACTGCAGTCCTGCTCAATGAATGCCAGGCTCATGAATAAGTTAGCACCATACGCCAATGAACACTGCGCCCGGTGCTAGCTGACTCATGATTCCGATTTTCATGGCGCAGCACTGCAGTAGCAGTCTGTGTAGAGTGTTTTTTTGTGTCTCCTGTTGTTGTGATCATGCTAGGTGTGGGTATTTGACCAGACTGATGGCTCGGCACGACTGCTGAGATCACGTAGTGGCCACAGCGCTCCGCCCGTCTTTGCACAATACCATGGTCCCACGGGTCATATGATACTCTCGGCAGGTATGCCATTGTAGTTACGTGTGTGTGTGTGTGTGTGTGTGTGTGTGTGTGTGTTCATTTGTGTGTTTATTTGTGTGAGAATTTTCTCGCCAAGAGCAATTTTGGTATTTTTGTTTCACTCATTATTGAAGTTCTTTTACCTATCCGGCCGGTTTCTTGCGGTCCATTAACCGGATGGTGTTGACCTGATGGTTCTGTGTTCACCTTCTACCAAACAGGTATGGACAGGTCGGTGAGGATCCTGTCAGTCATCCGTGATTCGATGAACCGGGAGTTGTCACAGGGCTCAATCGAGCGACACGCCAAGAAAGCTAAGCTCTCGAAAGAAGACCTCAAGCTGATGCCCGTGACTGGCCTGGCTTCCGAGCTCTGCAAGGAAGGCGACTGGGACAATGCCTTGACTTGTCACTCGGGCAGTCGAGTCGTGCGAACATGGAACGTTCAGAATCGTGTCATCGGCAAGCATAAGCTGGTGGCGCCGTCGGTGCCCCGTGATGCCTCGGCGACGGTGAGGACCACCATAGCCTAGGCTGGATTCAGTATAGGTGGAACCCATTCCTGTAGCTTGCAATCACGCGGTGATCACCCAGACAAGCAGCATGTTAGAGTTTTAGAGCTCATCTTAGCTCAGTGTACTTTGCCGGTATGTGGTACTCGGCCAGAAAAGCATGACTGGCCTGTCCTACTAATCATGCTGATGTGTCATGGGCGACTTGCAGGTATTTTGTGATCTATGGCAGGGGAGTCGCCAGTTTCTAATGGCATGCACTCTGCACTAATCCACCTTCTGGGATGTTTGGTGCAACTTGACTCCTAAACGAATGAACACAAGTTTGGTTTGGTTTGATCCTGCTCTTGTAAGTATTGGCTGTACAGTGTACCGAGGCTACTTGTTTCAAAATGTTTGTTCAACACAACACAGCACTGGTATATTTATGTATTTACTGTCTGCACTTCATGGCACATAATGAAAATAGCCAATACAAGGAAGTGAGAGTGAAACCAATCACGGACGGGACTATATGGCCTGCAGCGAATCTTAGTGGCACTTTGTAATTATATTATGTGTGTATGGTTGCATGCATGTGGGTTCGCGGGTTTTTGTGTGCAGTGTGTTAGCGTCACCAACTGCGGCAACTTTGGCTTGGCTGGATTCAGTACTGGTGCGGTGCACATGTTCAACATGCAGTCTGGCCTGTACCGTGGCTCGTTCGGTGACCCATCAGGTAAGTGTGACGATGGAGAGCAGCAACACACATGCACACACACACACTTAACTACAATGTAGTGCATTGGTTGGCGTACGTACGGTGTTTGCTAATGAAAGCTGGACGCGGAGAGCTTTGTTCATTGCCGGCTTTGACCATGTAAAGGCTATTTTGTCAGCATGTTGCAATTTGTGTCGTTTCTGATGGGTTGCTATTGTGTTTGCTACTGATGGTAGTTGTGAAGTGATATGATTGATCTCGTTTGTTGTATGCCGGGTTTTCCCCCTGGTCATGTAGCTCATGATCGCTCCGTGTGTGGTGTGGACGTGGACAATGTCAACCAGCGTGTGATGACATTAGCGGTGGACGGCTGTCTAAAGGTACGGGTTTGCATCCACTTTTATCGTGACTACTGTACATGCGTGTACCAAGATAGCAGTGATCTACTTGGTCCGGCTCATCGCAATTGTCGTTTATCTCCCACGCACTTTTTGACAGGTAAAACCCAGTCCAATCACGATATCTAACTTACTTTTGCTTGGGAGGTTGTGATGGCAAGATCAAATGAGGCACGAAAGAAAAATGATCGCGACTAGCGCTTTGAATCGCGATGTGTTCGACTTTTTTGGGAAGTGGATATCTGGCCATTCACTGTCTGTGTTGCCAAAAGCCAAGCGCAGCGACCTGAAGACCGGAACTGTAGCAGGGGCAACTGACATCCTAGCCTGGAGAGCGTGACAGGCACACGTGCACGGCAGAGGAGTATGAGCATCATGCTGAAGAAGAAAGGTGTTTTCGATGTGCGATGCGCGCATGCCAGGGACGTTTTGGTTGTTCCTTCGTGGACCTGGCAGCAGCATTACATTAGTCGTGGTCAGCGTATCCAGCCGAGCATATGACAGCTGTCTGCAGAGGCCTGTATGCCTCTTTAGAGGCTCTGTTGAAACACACTGTGGCGAGACACAGGTCACACTGCCCACGGTTCCTTCAAGCACCGAAGTGACAGCCACAACTGTTCCTTTCCCATTGCTGCCATACGACAGGCTGAGAAAGCAAGAGATACTCTACCAGTCTACGCCAGCAGCTAGACACCAGCAATTATTTTTAATATCAGCTCATGTAACGGCGGCAGCTCGAGTGATGGAGAGTTGAATGAACTCTGGACCTGTCAGAGTGTGAGTTCAAGAACGCGCTCCTTCGCTGATTTATTTCGTGCATTTTGCTTACCTAGCTTCCCTTCTATGACTCGCTTCACCTGATTCCATGGCTGAATTTTTTTTCTTGTGGCGGAGAGTATTCATGTATCATGCTTCCTCGCTATGCCTATTGAAAATTTCGCAGAGCGGCAACAAAACTCCTGTTCTTAGTGGCGATAGATAAGCGACAATTGCGATGAGCCGGACCAAGTACATGTAGAAAGTGCTGTACTTGGTGCACATTGACCCTATTGGTGTATCTAGCAATTGGCGTTTCCGATCTTAGTTTCACATGATAGCTTCATAACCTCCCCGTCATGGTGACTCTTCCGCAGCAACTACAATAGTATTCATGTTTGTGTGCTTGGACATGTTTTAGATTTGGTCGTTCCGTCGGCGGCAGCATCTTCACACGCTACAGCTGGAGGGCAATGTCTATGGTTTCAACTTCCACCGTGAAAGGTAGGAGTGTATGCGCTGGTGGGTGTGACATAATGAGTTATTGTAATGATTGGTAGCATGTTACTATCAAGACCAACATAGACCAAATCATTGAATAAAATGTTGTCAGTGGCCGATGCGGAGTGTGGTCAAGCGCTTTGCTATGCAGTGTCTTGTACTCTGCTCGATATTTTGCTTTTCTCTGCTTGTGTGTTCTCTACTCTGTTTTGCTGCTCAGCTCTTTGTTAGCTGTGAATGTGGCTGACGGGCAGTGCCATGTCGTCGACGTTGACATGCGGAGAGTAGTGCGGCGCTTCAACAAGCATACCAAGCGTATAACGGACATGGTAATGCTGATGTGCTGTAGGCACTCTTGATTTCACCGTATTCCCTAATCTCTGTGCAGCACAATCACGCTGTACTATGCACTGTGGCGTGAGTGAACGTGTACACGCACGGAACGTGCTGAAGAAAGGTGCATGTCAGATGTCGGACGAGAGATCAGTCTTCAGTGCGATTGTAGCATTTGTGAAGCTGTGAAAGTCTGGTGTCCTCTACATTGTAGTTGCATGTACTGACTGGTAACCAGTCACCTGTATGCTGGCACACTTTACTATCTGTTGCAGTTTTGTTGAGAAGTGACACGCCATCTCTGACCAACTGTGTACAGTGTATGTTCCGGCAGTGCTTGTGCGACGGCAATTCCGCTGGATTAGGGAGGGTGCTGGATTAACAAATCTGGTTTGCTGGTGTAGCGTGCATGGGTGGGACGTTTTGGTCCTGAACATATGCTGCTGTATCGAGGCCGCTGGCTTATACCGTATAAAGACTTTACTTAAATGTGCTGAAGTAACGAGGGACAGCTGTAGATATTTAAAAGAGATGTTTAGTGGTATTTTGAACTGATGTACTTGTGCGTGTACTCTCTTTTGGGGTGGCGAGTCAGCTTGAGGGGCTATGACTTCTGATGCTGGATTGGCTTGTTTATTATGCTCTCAACTGCAGTGTTTCAGTCCTGATGCCAGGTGGCTTGTTACCAGCTCTCTGGATCACACAGCTTGTGTGTGGGATGTGCCTGCGGCCAGGTAGGTGTGTGTACACACGTCACACAGGTCATGTATCTATGCCGACCGTACACTCGTAGGTGTGCTCAGCCACCATCACACTATGCACAGCCATGTTCTTTTAAGTAGGCACGCTTGCCACAAGCTCTGTTGTGATGAATGTACGCCACGGCAACAGCAGCTTCCTCGACTGAACCCCAGTGTATGTGTGGGATTCCTATTTTTTGCATGTAGTGTACCCTGTACTTCTGAGTCATTGGCTTGGGGTACACTCTGTATGCTTTACATCCAGATGCCATCATCTATGAGTTACTGTGTGTGTTTTTGATTTGTAGACTTATCGATCACTTCCAAGTGAAGTCTGCAATCACATCTGTCACGCTATCGCCGACTGGTGACTTCTTGGCAACCACGCATGCCGATGATCTCGGAATTTACCTCTGGTATGGTAGACCTGAGTGGTTGTGTGTGTGTGTGTGCGCGTGTGTGCGTGTGTGTGTGAGTAAATGTGTATGTACAGTTGAACATCGATTATCCGCACATCGACTATCCGACCATTCGATTATCCGTAACAGTTTTTTTGGGCGCACGTGCCATAGAGTACGCACTGTGCATGTAGTGAGCCATTCAAAAAATACGAAAATTTTGAAAAGTAAAAAGGTCGTGCGGCTAGTAATAACCACTGAAAGTGTGTGAGTGACAGTTTTTTCTTATCCGGAACATTTGCCTTATCTGAACACCGCCTGACAGTTGTCTGCCCAAAGGTGGTCGGATAATCGATGTTCAACTGTATGTCCTCTTTACAAGGGCTCTCTCTCTCTCTCTCTCTCTCTCTCTCTCTCTCTTTCTTTCTTTGTATTTTTACACACACCATTCTGATTGTTGGGCTTGTGATAAATAAATTGAGTGCCCACAGCCGTGGCCAAGTATGACACTGCGGGTCAATTTCATTGTGCACAAATCTGTTTCCAACCTCGAAGGGGCTCTTCTTGGACAAGGAACGTGACTGGGTTGTGGAAGTAGAAAGGATAAGATGATGAAAAACGCTGCCTTAACTTTGTGTGGAGGTCAATGAAACCAAACGTCCAGTTGACTGTGGTTAAGCAAAATATACATCCACTTGTGCCTTTGTCTCGTGCACTGCGTCCTGGAAATGACTGGATGTTTTTTTTTGTTAGCTACTTTTACAATGGACTGCGGTGAATTTTGTTTTGCAATATGACATGTGTTGTGTTTGCTCAGGTCCAACAAGACGCTGTACAGTCAGGTTTCGTTACGTCCTCTACCAGCCGACTACACTCCCCTGTGCATTGACATGCCCACCACTACAGTCATAGGTGAGACTGTGTGGCCTAACTCTACGCTATGTGTGTGCACCTGGGATATGTTCTCGTGCCAAAGGTGTTTGACTTAGCAGCGTGACTTTTGTACAGGCATTGTTCGCGAGTGGTTACTGGTTTGAACGATAATGTACTTGAAAGTACTCAACATGGTACTCTTGCCACTAGTATGTATCTCTGTTCCTTGATCAACCAATGCCTACATTGAAACACAAGCCAAGTCAGCGAGATAACCCAAGCTCCTATATAGGGAACAGCCTACAATTCCTCAAGTATTGCCGACGTCGCTACAGTCAGACTTGGATAATGCAATGCTTGTACTTGTAAGACCAGCCACACGACCCTTTCCGTAGAATACCAGTATTCACTCACTCCGTGTTATCAATTTTTTCATTTTATTTCTTGCTCTACATATAGATGAGGAGAGCAGTGATCGTCATGCAGTTGCCGATGGTGTGGATACACCAATGGAGGAGAGTGACAGCAATAGTGCAGCAGATGCAGATGATTCCCATTGGAAGTCTCCCGATCAGCTGGCCAATGAGTTGATCACTCTGTCAACATTGCCACGTTCCAGATGGCACAATCTCGCTAACCTTGATATTATCCGGGTAAGGGACCATGGCCTTTCTTTTTTGTTTTTGTTTTTTTTCAAATCTTTATTCTCACGATAGCCAGTGGCCAATAGGAGATAATAGTGTAAGAAAGGAGAAAGAGTGAGGAAGAATTGGGTGGGCAGAGCCTAGGGATTAATGACTACTTAAGTGTACGGGCAGGGGTGGTCGCTACACGAGCATACAGAGTTGTGCAACAGCAGGGATATCTGGGATTTGAAGAGAGTACGAGAAGGGATTTCGCGAAGCTGGGTGGGCAAGCAATTAAAGTAATGAAGGGCCTTGTACAGGGGAGAATGGAGACAGCGATCAATCCGCGGAGTTGGCAAGTGCCAAGTACGAGAACGACGTAAACTATACGAAGGTTGCTCGCTGCTAGCAGTATGCAGCGAGAGTATATGTGGTGGGGCATAATTGTGGCGCTGAGAATGTGCGAAGAGTATATGTTTAACTTTTATAGCGTTAAAATAATGTTGGCCATTTGATGCGATGCAAAAGGTGGGAGTGTTCTAAGTGTGTGTAATGGGGAAGGTGGAGACATATTCTGGCGGCTTTTGTTGTTGTTGTTGTTGTTGTTGTTGTTGTTGTTGTTGTTGTTGTTGTTGTTGTTGTTGTTGTCGTCATTGTTGTTGTAAATGGTCCTTGCACACAGCAAATAAGTATAGAATTATTTTGAAGTAAATATATGGCACCACTGGAACGGAGATATCTGACTAAAATGCCTCGAAGTCTGCTGACTTGGGTTAGACATACTTGTGTCATTCGATGTGAGTGCTGTGAACAGGCAATGCATTTTTGTAGCTTCTGGTAAAATAGCACTGCAGCTTGTTCAAACAATGGTTAGAATTGTGGTCATCGACTCTTAGTAATAACATGCTGTGTACAGACAATCTTTGGGAGTTTCTTTTTGTCATGTCATTTGTTTTGATTAGTGTCCCAGTTCTGTACTCATCTGCTCTTTCCTGGTTGCAATGCACGTGTGGTAGTGGCAGTGATGGTGACTTAGTGGTGGTAGTGGCAGTGGGGCTGGGAAATACTGGTAAAGAGCAGTAGGCATACGAGCTTAAGGTTCATGCTCTTTCCTTTTGCACTTCATAGCATTGCCTGTTTTTTTTGCCAACGCTGCCTCTGTCTGGTCTGAAATTCGCTTTGTTTTCTATTTTTATCTACAGCGGCGTAACAAGCCAAAAGAGCCACCCAAGAAACCGGAGGCAGCGCCATTCTTCTTGCCAACTGTTTCCGGCTTGGAAACCACGTTTGACCTGTCAGCTGTGCAGGCCCGAGAGGATGAGGTATGTTTGTAGTCTGCTCTCCTCTGCTCTGTTGGTTCTGTCTCACTGTGATATCGTGACGCTCTGTTCGCAGTGTGCTGTGTTGGAATTTAGTCTGACCTATTGTGATATCCACTGGTATGGGAAGGAAGCGCTTTCACCTCAATGGTATCGTGACTCTCAGTATTTGTCTCGTTCTGAATACAAGACATCTCGTGAATCACAGTGATATTCAAGTACTAGTACAGTGCTGCTCAATGAAATTCAGTCGCGTCACTCAAAACTAAGATGTGGTTTGGCCATGTTACGAGACATGACGTGTTCTCCAAGCCCTTCCTGCAAGGATCAACTCCTGGATCTCGACCGAGAGGAAGGCCCGCGACATCATGGAATTCTAACATTAAAAGTTGGACGGGTCTTCCCTTGCATGCTCTCTCTCATGCAGCACACACTAGAGTTGGATTCAGAGACATCATTCACAATTCTCTCGCTGATTAATGCCTCTACGATCACCTTGTGATTATGAGTTACCGTTACTCAAGTACGCGTTGCGCAGCCCTAGACCTGCGAACACTGGGCTGCGAAATGATGCAAGGCGCAAACTGGAGCGAAGGGACTGGATTTCATTGAGCAGGACTGTACTTCAAGTACAGTGTAGGTGTGTAATATCGTATTTAAAGGTTGTTTGTCGTCGATGATGCGATTATTTATTCTGTCTGTGTTCCTTTCTGACTCAAGGAGTCATCGCGTGTTATCAGCTTTACTGGCCTTCAGCCGACGACGCCCTTCCAAGAAGCGCTCAAGACTGGCACGGAAAGTGGAAACTGTGAGGGCATCAGGCTGCTGGACTCTGTTCTTACTGCCGATGTGTGTGTGTGTGTGTGTGCGCGCGCGCGCGCATGTGCATGTGTGTTTGTAGGCATGGTGGTGCATGCATGTGTGCATGTATATCTGAGTTAGCATGATAGTGTTTGAACTTATGATACTATGTTATGCGTGCTACTTCATTGTTAATTATTGCCAGTGAAGTGTTGACTCTGCGAACAGATTTGTTTTCATCTGGGATGACCTGTACGATCACTATAGCCGGTATATTAGTATAGCCGCCAACCGTATAGGCGATACGGACTGTACAAGGTGAAGACAAACTCTAACGTCTATCTGCCACCATTCATACATATACTGCACCTATGCAAGTTTATCTCCTTGTTCTAGGAAGCCAGCATCCAACTAGAACACTGCACGTATTCACAGCCCATTTGTTTGTGTTTATCCCTTGTTGTCAGACCAACCGGCTCTTGATTTGCTCATGGGCATGGGCCCATCTGCAACGGACACTGAATTCCGGAAACTGGACCTTTTCGGAGGCGATGCAGAAAGCGAGCCGCTTCTTGCTGCGATGTTCACTTTTTTCTGTTCGGTGCTGAAGTCACGGCAGTCATTCGAGGTGGTGCAAGCATACATTGCACTCTTCTTGAAGGTAAGATGGACACCATCTATGTAGTATCTATAGTAAGATCGAATCCTACCATAGCTACACGCTAGTAGGGAAAGGTGGAAAGCCTAGACCGTTCTTATTTTCATGTACAGTCAACTTCGCTTATAACGACACTCGGCGGGGCATCAGAAAAGTGTCCTTATTCGCGAAGTGTCGTTATACCCGAAGTCTCATTATATGTATTACAGTGGGATGGGACTTTGCTCTGGGCATGGAAATTCTGTCGTTATTCGCGAATTGTCGTTATATCCGCAGTCGTTATTAGCGAAGTTGACTGTATTACAGTCTATGCGCAGTTGAGTCACCGTGTATACATTGGTATGCTGTGCTTGGTGAAATTCTAGCCTGGTCGTTCTTCGGCGTCCGACAGTACAGTATAGTGCTCTATTGTGTTTGAGGATTGGCATTAGCAGAGGCCTTCTTCCTATTTCAAAGTAACATACTGACTTCTTCTGTTTTGTCTCTGGCAGCTTCATGGCGATACCATCTCCAGTAATCCGCGACTGTGCACGGTCATGCAAGACCTGGAGAAACTGCAGAGCTCGACATGGCAAGATCTGCAGCGTGTCTTCCACCAGAACCTGGCCATGATTGGCTACATGAAGAGTGCAACAGTCTAAGTGACACCTCTGGCCATGCCAAACACGTAACTGTTAACCAGACAGAATCAAGACCAGAGACATCCAGTGCCATAAACGGATGCAGACTGCTCTGAGCTTCTTGTACAGTGCAGTTCATATTTTACTTTCAGACTTGAACTCATTGAAGCCGTCAGCATGAGACGACTCACTGTGTCTTCCTTTTTTCAATAATAATTGCTTTTGGTTTTACATAACACATGCTGATTTAACCGTAGCTATGCTGATGGCGGAGTCAATAATGAAATTCAAATGAAGATGAATAAAAAGCATGACTAGACGATACAATATGAGAAGCGATTGCTAGACGTACGGTGTTTAAGTCAGGCCTTAGACTTGTTACCACCACCGATTTAGAAGTCATTGCATGGATTTCTGTTTAAATCAGGGTGTAAAAAGAGCAATATGCAGTGTAGAATTTGTAAATATTATGACTGTCTGCCTATGCCACTGGGTACAGTACCACACTAGAAGAACGACCAGTGCTGAATGCCAGATAATGAGTAAAAGGCGCGAAAGCACAGCAAAGAGCACCTACATGTACATGACACACAAAGCCAGCTGTGACACTGTTACTGTTCTAGTCTGCGAGGTAGTACTAGCAGTAGTAGGAATTCTCTGATTGGCTGCATGTGAACACTCAGTGCATTCACTGATGCACATCTATGCTGACTGTGCCATAGTCCTCAGTAGCTCACAATCAGAAGTTTTGACTATCCACCTGAAATCTGAATGGCACTATTGCACGTTTGCACTATGGAGCCACACACTGTATGGCTCATACCTGCACAATTCTTACGTCTGCACCACTTTCACTCATGCCATCGCTCCCATTCTTGTCCTCGCTCATATTATCTGCGTAGAGGTCGTGCGCCCATTTGTCAGGGCTGGAGGAACGCTTGACGGGAGATGACCGACCCCAGGAGTCACGCCGTCTGTTGCTCACTCCCCGGTCATCATGCTGTGCATAGGATGTTGACACACAGAAAGTTACGGAACTGCAATCTTATTCTCTATGTGGAGTCCTGATGTCAAGGGGAAACTGAAGACCCTTTGACAATAAAATGACTCAAGAATCAAGCGGAACAACGTTCGCATGCTGAGCAAGGGCTAAGCAAAACAGGCAAACGTTTTGAGGGCCCATGAAAGATACATGGTTAGGTGCGATGTGTTGAGTGGGGGAAACTAACTTGAGCAATATACCGTAAAATCGTGTATAAAAGCCGCGGCTTCTATGACTTTCTTGGTGAAATTTAGCAGGCTTCTATACAAGACAGGTATTTCTATGTATGTCAACACTAAAACCAGGCTTATGTGTGATTTGATGGGCCCAAAATTGCAGCTTCTATTCAAGTGCGGCTTTTGTACGGTGTGGCAAACCAGTGCGGGCTGTGTATGTACTCTTGTTGAAACTTGGTCAAGCCGCCACCAGGTTTCACCAACTGTCCTCTCCATATGGCCAGTTTCGGCACCGCATGTATAGAATGTGTGACAATCATCCTGGTTCCGTACAACCATGTACAGTAACACCTATCTAAGCCGACCGCTCACGTGACCCAAGAATGTGGTCCCGGTGTACAGGTGCAGCTAGGTGGTCCCCTTATCCAGGGTCGCATGAGTGGAAATGATACCCATTGCCTTTGGCCCTGGTTGTAGTGGTCATCTAGGACAGGTGGTCGCCTTATCAGAGTGGTCACCATGACAGGTTCTACTGTAGTTCGAAGTCTAGTTTACACTACAGGCAATACCACCAGTGCACGACTACTACCCCTTAGTAAAACTGTACCGAGAAAGTCGAACAATAACTCGCTGTCGATAGGTTGTTATGCTCCTTTGCCTGGTCTTTCGTTGAGCACTTTTTCCAGTTTGGGTCAATGACTCAAAAGTCAAAACTCCTTGTGCAGAGCTTGCCGTAGCTATGGCAGTTACAGGCTTACAGCACTTTGATGCTTTGTTCACTAGACATTATTGCGATCAGTTCGGCCAGTCACTCTGAGCTCCGATGAGTTTGGAGATTGAGTAATACCAAGAGTACATAAACCAGAGTGTGCAACTCGGGATGGTTCCTGTGGGAGCGTAATTCGTGCACTACGTCATTTCTGACGGCATGGTAAGCCACAGGTACGGTGAAAAGTTGCGTAACCAGTCGCGGTGGTGCAGTTCACTGAGTTTGTCCTGATTTCGGTTTTTTGAGACGGATAGCCTGGTGACTTTACTTGTCGGTGGATGTACGCAGCGTACACAGTCACACAAAACACCGAAATCCTGAAACAGGACGTCTAAAATCAAGCAAACTTGGCTGATTTCCGGGCTATGAAACATGAAAATTTGAGCTGTACGCAAGTCGCGGCTTGGCTGATCTCATCAGGGTGACGTAGTGCACGAACTGCGCTGTTTCAGATCTGATATGCACAGTTGCACACTCTGGTTTATGTACTCTTGGTAATACAATGGTACTTAGCACTTAGTACGTACTCTCCTAAGACATTTTGCTCTTGCTTAGTATGGACATTGTCCGGAGCACGGGTGTCTTGATCAATACTGAAGTGAGTTAGGATAAGAATCACCTCAGATACGAAGTACTAGTACACTTCACTGCTGCCCATGTGGGTACGTCTTATTAGAGTTCTACTGGACCTATACATGTAGTGTAGTACATGTACTTGACTAAAAATAGATAATCACATGCCATAAGTTAACATACACACACCACACGTCATCCCCTACACCCACACACATGTGCACACACACGCACGAACACACACACACACACACGGGCGTACACTGTGGACATGTCTGGGCACACATTGATGAGCACCTTACCAAGAAATTACGGGGAACATCCTGTGGTCGTGGGCTTTGCAATGTCAAGCGTGGTTGCCGTGACTGCCACCGAGAATCTTGCTCTTGCCGGTCATAGCTTCCCCTGTTCCGACGGCGATCTTCACTTGAGCGTTGACGATGGTCTCGCTCATCATCTCTCTCTGCTCTACTAGTACGTTGATCATCAGGTCTGCGTCTGTCTGTGGACTGCACCATGGGTTCAGAGCTGAGCTTGACAAGTCTGCTGCTAATGCCGCCGCCGCCACTACTTCCACTGGTACTGCTTCTGTTCGCAGTAGTGGACGTAGGTGATTTGGTACTCCTTTCATGCGTATTGGTCTTATCCATATCATCCTCTATCTTTATAAGCTCAACAGCTGAGCTACGTGCATGACTCTGGCTATCACTGGACGTTCTACCCCTCGAACGTGCCTCGCCATCACGATTACTGTTACCATCACGACTATTTGCTGAGGATTTCGAGACACTAGATAAAACGACGTCTCGGCGACGCTCTCTTCTTGGGCTTGATCGACTTCTGGATCTGGACCTTTTACGACGATACGATGGCGATACCGAGCGACGTCTCCGCCTTGGGGAGCGTGATCTGGATAATCTACGACTGGTTCTCGATGAAGCTCCATTTGAGCGTCGTCGCCGAGTATCACTGGGGGAATCAGAACTATCTCTGCGACGTCCTTTGCTGTCGTTGCCACGTTTTACAGGAGACCGGGACCTGCTTCTTCTAGAACGAAGTTTGTCCTCTCGTCCATGCCTAACAGGCGACCGGGAGCTTGAGGATGATGAACTACGTCGTGGCATTCTCCCTCTCGGGAACTGTTCAAATATTCGACGACTGATAAGAATTATTTATTATAGAGTTTCGGACAAAGCAATTTGGAAGTTCCAAACAAGTTCGCTCAACTGGCTACAGAAAGTTTGCTGCGGGAGCCTGCATCTTATCTAGATATCTAGTGTTTGTCGGGTGATACGACAAATAAACTAACAACAGTGTATATGACTGTATCTTCAAGGAGAAGAAAGTAATCTGAAGGAAAAGACTTCAAGTTCAAAAATTGATTGAGCGTGTGAGCAGAAAATGTAACATTTTTGTGTTCATCACTCATGTACTCAGCACGATCACATCATGCATCAGCTGGCATGCATGGCTAGCTCATGATGACGTGGCCAGTCTTCCACTTCATTTCGACAATCATCTGCAATTTTCATTCATTTTGAATTTTTCAAAAACAAAAAAAGTCACCACCATTGCTTCCCACTACTTTCTGTAATTGCTCGAAGCATCTCCAAAGTCTCTTTGTTGCTTCTTGTTGTCGCCTAATGTACACTGTAGAAGTGTAGTAGTGGAGTGTATTCGCATCTTTTGTGATAGATAGTTGCTGATACTACAAAGTGTAGACTAGAATCTGCTCCAGACTTCTCAGGAGCGTAAATTCATTCGATCGTTTATTGGAGTTGTCTTCAATAAATTGGGAGTATGTCGGTGTTTCACGACGAAGTGGAAATCGAGGACTTTGAGTATGATGAAGAATTGGAGACCTATTTCTTCCCATGTCCGTGCGGCGATCAGTTTCAGATCACAAAGGTACGTATTTTTTCCTGAACTTAATAGCTGTGTCTTGAATATCTCACATGTGCCATGTATTGCTCAATCAAGTTGAGAATCTGTGATGAAATACAGTTAAGGTCAGTTCCTTCCTTGCAAGTGAAGTTATAGTAATTGCACCCAACAACAGCGGACGGAAGAGAAGCGTTGGAAGACAAGGTCCGCTTATGAGACTCTCGCTGCTGTGCAGAGCACTCTTGCACGCTCTCCAGTGTTTCTTCCCCGTGCAGTCTTTGCCGCAGTTGCGCGGGTAGGCCAGCCGGGTTGATCTTTTCAGGTACATGCTGCCATTGCAGAAGTGATGTGGAAACTGGATTTCTGCGATTACGCCGGTATCTGTACTGAACTGCCGACTTTGTGATTTCAGCAAGTATAACACGCTGAGGCTGTCAGTCCAGAACCCGTGCTCTGCCAATGGGATCCTTAGCACCGCCTCCTGTTCTTTGCTCGGCTGCACTTCCAGTACTGCTCCTTTCAGCTCGAGCTTTGGTATGCTCATTTTCTTGAGAGAGAGAGAGGGGGGGGGGGGGGGACTAGCCGTGACTTGGAGAATGCTAGTGTTACGTTCACACGTCCGTCTGGATTGGATGTTTTGAACATTGGAGCTCGTGCTTCCTGCCGAATGACTCACAACCACCATCTGGCGCACACGAGAAGCATGTTGAACCTTCCACTCAGCAAACATGCAAAAAAGCATCACTCCCTGCTCAATACACAGTGTTTCGGGGAATTCACCCCTCATCAGTTATCATCATTATTTATTAAATTTTGAATAGGGCATTCCCACAGCTACAGGCCTAAGTTGAGCTTTTAAAAGTAGGCTGTACAGTTTATATCCAGGACGCTGGTTATGGTGCAGAGGTGGTGCAAAGCCACTCCGTTTTATGTATGTCTATCAGCACTGCTTGTACTGTTGTGCATTATCATACTACTACGCATTCGCTCCTCGTGTTGTATTCACGTCAGCTGACGTCTGATGCGCGTAGTCGCGTACACTGCTTTCGTTCCTCATGTTGTATTCACTTCAGCTGGCGTCTGATGCGCGTAATCGCGTACACTGCTTTCACGCGACCTTATGATTTGAATGTTTTTGAATCTCCACTTCTGCTTCGAGAGAAGCAGAACACCCTTTGTACTGCGAGATGATTTCGATTAGAGTCAGAGTAAAACATTATAATACATGAACAGTCTTCTAGAACAAAAAGGTCGTGTGCTATCCGGAGGCATGTTCGAGTAAGAACATAATCATCAGTTGAGCTTAAGGGCGCGTTCGAATTGTCACTCTTTGACGTTTTTCTGAAGAGGTTGCCTTATTGGCCTCTTCAGAAAAACGAAGCTCCTCGAAACTCCACAACCTCACCCGATGGGAGAGGTGGATTAGTTCCGAAGAGTTTAGAATAGCTACGTCACGTAGTACGTAGAGATTGTCGATCTGATCGGACGTCATCATCGCCATGACAATTCCACTGAAAGATTCTAAAAATGATAGAAACCGTTCTAATGGGACACGTCAACTAATCTCTTTAAAAATTTGTTTGAACAGTTGATGAAGACCATTCGAACGCGCCCTACAGTCCATTTCGAAACTATAGACGCGTAGGGTTTTTGACATATTCAAATTTGGCTGGAACTTTTTGAGAATAGTTTTCGGAATATTGCTCATGTCCGCTCCACAATTACTCTCATATAGTTTCTAAACGATTGGATAACAGACGCCCAATTTGGAAAAAATTATGCACAAAGTGATCGCAGATTTTATGTGGTATAGATGCTGGCATACCGGTTTTTGCCTAGGTACGCATCTATAGTTTTGAAATGGACTGTAAGTAGGCTAATGTAAGTTGTACTCCAAGAGCACTGCATTATGTAATGCTCTCCGAGCCAATACATCACTATGAATGACAATTAGTCCAAGATGTGTCTTCAATCCCATATGGATAGCTGGTTGCCACGGCAAGTTTTACATGTTGGCTGAACATTTTCGTCATTCTTGCCATCCCTTTCCACCTGTGCTCTCTTTCTGCAGACTTTGTTGGAAATTGCACCTATTCTCATGTATATTGGTCACTGCTTTTGCTGTTACTTGTGTGTAGGAGGAGCTGGTGGCAGGTGAAGATGTGGCGACATGTCCTAGCTGTTCTTTGATCGTTCGTGTCATCTATGATGCTGTAAGTGACTGCAGCTCTGTACTGATGTCATCCTTTGTAGGGCAGGAGAAAAGGCATGCTTGCTTACTAGGTGGAGGCAAATCAGGCTCTTGTTGCTGGAGACTGCTGGGATCCATATTTTCAGTGACTAGGTGACAAGCCAGTCGGTAATCGCTTCGCGTTAACCAATCGCCTTTTAGTTTCTCCACACTCTTGGTCTGCTAGTTGTCAAGGCATTGCAGTTGAGAATGGATGGTGATGGCTTCATCATGGAGTTCTTTGATGTTGCCGGCCTGCTGCTAAAGAAGGTGGCAAGACATGTGTTCATTGAACCCTTTTGAACCTGCATATGGCTTGTCCCGTCTTCTTTGTGTAGTCTGTTGGGTCGTGTATGTTTCGTCAAGTAGTCCGTATCGGCTTGGCCCGCGGGCGAGGAGAACGTGTTTTGCGCCATTGCATTGTAGTTCTTATGCGTCGGCAATGTCTTTGCTGAACAATTTCCTTCGTGCACCTGTCCCTTTCAACCAAGTGCGTACGACAGTGGTGAAAGCTGTGCATGTGTGTAAAAAAAAGTTTCCCCAGAACATGGGCGGTGTTGCTGTTGAATAGAAGTTCTAAAATGATTTGTTGTTTTTGGTTGTGTATTTTGTATGTATGCAGGAAGATTTTGCAGCCGCTTCAGAAGCTGTTGAAAGCACATCCAGGGATCAAGCTCGTGCAGCGTGTACGTAAAGGGGGTGCCAAGCACACATTGCTGCTTAGTTCCATCAATGATACTCTACGCTTTATAGGTTTTTTAAATATATATTGCACATGAAGTGTGCTGCTCACCGGAATTATTCACAGAAAACCCTAACATGAAAGCTATAATATATTGAGGCTGGCATCCCACTGCTGTTGAGACATCACATCATCGGGAAGGCTTTAGTTGACTCGCCATTACTTCTTCTTTTTTCTTCTTCTATTTTTAACAATGCTATCTGCATGTTTTGCTATTCGCTCTTGATGTGCATTGCTGTGCTATTTATCTGTAGTCTGTAGATGCCTAGGTGTGGCTGGTAGATGCCTAGGTGTGCCTGGTTGTGGCCTTGACTGTGTTCATGGCTAAGTGTGCTTGGCCGTAGTCTCAACCATTTTGATTCTGCTGTTAGTTTTTTTAGTGCTGATTGCTGACTCCGTTCTGCAGCTCCTTAGTGAGTCAAGACCAGTGTTATTTTGGAGCAAAGATATGGTGACTGGTCGTTTATTAGGATATTGTGCATGACTGTCCGATGATCTCTTGAGTTCACAATCAGCCGCTTGCAATGTCGTTGTAATTGTAGTCTGGATTTTTGGATTCTACAAAGAGTACGTAACCCCGAGCACATGTGCTGTGCAGTGCATGTGCAGTGCAGTGCATGTGCAGTGCAGTGCAGTGCTGCTCAATGAAATGCGACCCAGTGAGTCAAGTACATGCATGGCCCAGCGGGCACTGTGCTGTGTGCAGCCCTTGACCTATATTGGCTATGTACTCCTTGTGCTACCAAAAGTCCTTCGCTTATGGATCACCGGAGTATTCGTTTCTGGGTCTCTTGCCGTCTTGGTCCGGCCAGGCTGTCGCATAACTCACACCGGCAACCCTGGACTGGTCCAACACAAGCCTAAGTCAAGCGTATTTGGAAAGCAACCTGAGGGTCATGGTGATCACCCATTATCATTCAGAGCACCATAGCCTTTTGAATAAGTAAAATACTGTAGTTGGGGAGGGCAATGATTTGCGCACAACCAGATCCAGGTTGATGACCAGGGAGTCGTAAAATACCAGGTATTTTACGACTCCCTGTTGATGACCATGCCGCGCCATGGCGCCAGCATAGCAAGCGCTTGGCAATAGGCCTAGCCCAAATTTGCCGGCAATTCTTCCGGCAAAATATCGAAATTTCCCACGAAAAGAAATTGCTGGCAAATTCCGAGCAAAATATCGAATTTTCAGAGGATCCGGGTGTATTTTGGCAATTTTATTCAAATTTCTTTGGTTTCATTGGGCCAACTTCGTGCTGAAATAGCTCGTGCAGGTTGTCAGGGGTACATAAATAATAATTTGAAATCATGCTACAAAATCCGGAATACTGACACCGTTATAAGTTTTGCTTTCCTCATCAGAGTCACCAATCACCATCCACTTTTACCAAAGTAGACGGTTCATTCGAAGCCATTTTGCCACAAAGCAGGAGCAAAATGGAGCAAAATATCGGAAACGAAAGGCAATGCCAAGCAAAATACGGAAAGTGCTCGGGCAAAATTTGCCGGCAAAATATCGAAGCGCCCCGAGCAAATTTGGGCTAGGCCTACTTGGCAAGCAAGGCAGCAGAACAATGATTATGTGACGTGAAAAAATATTCCGGGAAATTAATTATATCCCATTTCCGCGCGAAAATTCCAAAAAGACATGTGGCCTGTATCTGTGGATTTCCATCACAACAACAAGTAGATTCTACTCTTGCTGCGCTTGACAATAATTTCGATATGCTGTGCTGGGAGTCGTGAATTGAGTCGACTCCCGACACCTTGCTGTATTCAACTACGGACTCAGTACATGGAGCTCACGGCGTGCATGTGGTAGAGTTCTTTGGAGCCATGGCTCATCTAAACGACGCTGTAAAATCCTACTTGAGATCGTCACAGAAGTTTTGTTTTCACGATCAGTGGCTGGAGGACTGTATCGACTGGGCCAAAGAAAGTTTTGGCGAGCAGGTGAGTGTCTACAGTTATCAGCCTCACTTTACCTACTTGTATTAGTTCGTCGTCATCACCTCTAGATCAATGATAAACCCAGCAGTGGATGAAATGGTGCACCAAAGGAAATCACAGTCTTGTTTGAACGGTCCTGTCCCTAGTTATGATAACATTTCCTCAACGTGTACATCATGATGTACAAGCCTAGCATGCACACTATGAGTTGTTTCTGGTATTTACGCTTTACGTATTGTTGTATCGTGAATTTTTTTCAGTTCTTATTAAAACAACTATTAATTATTTTGGTACAAAATTAATGGTGTTGGTTATGTCTGTCGACATGTCATGCTAAACTTAGACTTGAGGTCAAATGCCGCCAATTCCAACAAATCCGGCACTCGGGTTCGGCTGCCCAGGGCCATGCAGCATACCAGACTTTTAACTAGCTTTTCAGAATGGCGATATTTCAGAGCGGTTCCTGGCTAACTTGAAGCCACTAAGTTGATTATAACCAACCCCAGCTCGATACGGTGGGCATTCTCGAATTATGGCGAGTTGAGGACAGAGTCTGTGACACATTGCACACAGGTACTACTTGCAGAATTATGCACACAGTGTCTCCACACATGCTTGCACTGTTTGTAGTGTTGCATGTCAAGCATTTCCACTCCAGTGTACCGCCACGTATATCCTCCCCCCCCCCCCCCACACACACACCTGCTCAGCGTGTGTGATGCACATGTTCATTAACATCTCTCTAATGTATAAGGTCACCTATATGCTAGCCCATGCCATGGAGTTCTTCAATACCGTATTTCCCCGTAAGCTAGTACGTACTAACTTTCGAACTTAGCAGCCACATGAGTACTAATTTTCGGGGGTGGTACTATCTTTCGGGGAGTATTTTTTTATCGGGGGTAAATGACACGCAGTGGGAAGCCTGCGCAACTCTAGTGTCCGTGCATATGATGTACATGTATGTACTGCACGGTGTCTGTACATGTAGGACGGGTACGAACTTACTATCTTTCGGGGGGAACTGTCTTTCGGGGTGATAACCTCGGCAGTGGAAAGTGTATTTATTATAGGGGGGTACTAAGTCATTGGGGAGAACTTACTTACGGGGAAATACGGTATGGTGTGTGGAATACAAGGTGCGGTGTGCAAGCACTGAAGACTTTCCATGCAGCGTATTGAACACACTTCATACTTTAAAAAAAAGGTTTTTTGGTGGTGCCATATGCGGTGTTTTGGTTGACCATAGCCAGCATTTATTAGAGCCCTCTTCCTTCCAGTACATGTACTCTTGTTCCACAATTGTAGCAGCAGCAGTCACATACATGTAGTTATGATAGGTGCATGGCCGGCTTGTGTAGTGCGGCGCTTAGTGCACGTGTACATGATGTCCTTGTCCAAACAAACAAACACAACAAATGATCAGTGCTTGGCGACGTCCTGTGTGAAACAATGTCCTCCCAGGCAAGGGTATCATTGTGTTCTAGTTCTCTCAATGCCGTACACTGCAGTCATTGTGCGTGTGTCTAGAATCTAGATAGCTTGTATTATCTGTACTTGACGTAGTGATGCTTATGAAGTTATGCATGACGTGCTCTTCCATTGATGCTTACTGCAGGCTTCATCTGCTCGGGGACTGCAGGACTTAGTGCGTGAGCAGTGGTTGTTGGGTGACCTGCGCGACATCTCACCAGGCTGCCTGCCAGCATGGCTGCCCCAGTCTCAAGTCGGTGTGTTGTCAGGAACATATGCACTTCAGGTGAGCGTGTATGGGGCTTGTGTGAACACTGCACGTAGAGTGTAAGCAGTTTAGCACTTCAGGTAAGCCTGTATGGGGTTTGTGTGAACGCTGCATGTAGAATGTTAGCAGTTCAGTTGCTAATAGATGGTGGGATAATTCACACTTTACGCTTTATTGCTGATGTTTCCATCTTGACTTCATGGTGTTTGGCAGTGGAGGTCTTTGAATCTGTCAGCCAAACATAGTACCTATGGTGTCTATGCCTCTTCTGCTGCTGCTGCTGTCGCTGCTGCTGGTGCAATTTTGAGCCTTATGTTGGTGACAGAATGAGGCGTGACATCTGCCACACTGCAGGATATATTTCCCGTCACGTTGGTACAGAGCACACATTTGATTCTGCCAGTCTGACAGACCTTCTCTCCAGACACTGCTGGGTAATAAATTCTCTTGTTTTCGTATGATTCCCTGTGCAGGTGAATCAGGCAGTTGATGTTGGTGCATCGGCATACTCTCAGCTGGAGAAGTTGAAAGGCAAGGAGATCATTGAGGAAGAGCAAAATGATAATAAGCCATCAAAGAAGGTATGTTCCTTGTTTTGGCGGAGTTCGCACATTTGCATTGTAACCTGCCCGTGTTGAGAAATACGACTAGCTTTGGAAGTTTCGCTTATGCCTGGCCCTCAGCATGCCTGATTTGTACCCAGTACTGGTGACAAATGCAGAGTTTGTAAATTCCTACAAGTGTTCATTTTTGTTATGCATTGGGCACAGGGTACTTTTTTGAACTGACACTCTTTCTCCAGAGTCACATGCATCCTTGTGTTTTCCTCAATACTAGCCATTTCCGTTGTTACCGGTCATCTCAAATTACTTCGTTCCCGGGCGAACCATTTTTTTCCAAGTTTGTTGAAGGTTCCAACTCACCCAACAATCTATCGTAGCATTGGGCACCGAAGAAACTCCAGGCTAGAAGGTCACCAAATCTAAAAGAACGTGCCAGACTGGAAGCAAGGATTTAGGAGCACCAGTGTGTGTTGTTCATGTAACACTGCGTGCACAGTGTACCTGCACTATGTGAATGAACTGCGCAGAATAAGAACGAAGACGTTTGAATCAAATCTCGAAAAAATAAGAACATCACTAGCCTGAAGCGGAGACCCCCTCCCGTTCTTCCGCACCCAATGTTGCTGTATATAGTTCAGGGGTGCTGTGCAGTTTACCAAATGAGTTCTTACATCTGTAGTGTTTGCCACACTGTGTTTGATTTCGTACCCATGTTCTGCCTATAACTGCCGGTATTATGTTTGCATGTGTTTGCTTTGGTTCCTTATCATGCTGTGGTGCATGCGGTGTGCTTCTTTGTCTAAAGCTGTGTTCACAACTGGCGCGTGGACGCGGTACGCTTGCGGTTCATGCGCCCCCAAACGCGCGCTCAGCCTTTCACAAAAAACAGCAATACGAGTCATATTTAGCGCGTGCGACACCTTCGAGTACTAATTTTTTGACCCCGCCAGTCAAAGTGACTGGCATGTACGCTGATACGCGCCTGATACGCGCTGAAAATTCCAACATGTTGGAAGTTCCATTTCGGCGCGTTTCCGTACGCATGGCGCCCCAAAAGCCAGCAAAAATATGCACAAACGCGTGGTTTCACGCGTACACGCGCCAGTTGTGAACACAGCTTTAGTGTTGGACTCTTTAGAAGGGAATTGGCAAACATGAGAATATCTTCCGACAGTCCTTTTAGTGACTGCTTTACTGCCAACATTTTCTTTACTGTTTTAAAAGTTTTCGACTTAACTTTTTCTTGCTGTTCCAGGGCTGGGAAGAGAAGCCGAAAGCCAGTCGACTGTTGATGCTGGAGCTGACTGATGGTATTCACACCGTGCGAGGTATGGAGCACCATCCGATCCCTTGTCTTTCCACAGCCATATCACCGGGATGCAAGGTATTGCCGTACGCACTCAGTCCACTGGCTGAGTTCTTTGACCATCTGATCATGTTGAAATCTTTCAGTTACAGTTCAAATGCCACTATAATACTACGGCTTGAAAGTGGTGACATCAGAAGTCAACGAAAGTCATTATTTTAATAATGACTTCTAGGTCAGATTGGATCCACTCTGACGATAGCGAAGTACAACATCTGGTTGGTAGGCCCCTCTTGTCACATTGTGGTGTGATTTTCTGTATGAGTATTAGATCCCCAGCCAGCTGGACCCAGTCCAGTCAGCATCGGCGGATGTATCACCCTACAGTGAAGGAAACTATCCAGACGTGTATAGATCCTTGCAAGAACTGGGTCCAAGTGGACCACCAAAAGTCGGCATTTGTAGTGACCCCTGACTCCGGCCCGGCTGTGACGTACCGTTTTCAAGCTCTATGTGATCTATGATTTTGCTGATAATCATAGCACATGGTTTCCATTTTTTCATAAGCATGTTTCTGTGTTCGAAGCTTTTGATAGCAGAATACGTAATTCCATAGACTGATCGGCATTGGCAGATTTGATTGCAGGCGGAAAGCCATTGTATGGCGTTTTCGTTTGTTTGCTGATGTGTCTGACCAGATCAGTATCTCGGGTACCGTACGTGTTCGCCAGGGCACCTTACTGCTACAGGGCAGCAACGTGTCCGTTCTCGGTGGACAGGTGGACGGCTTGGAGGAAGAGAGGGAGCAGAAGCGGGTCTTGGCTGGCATACTGTGAGTTGCCATGTCTTTAATATGAAAAAAACATGTATAGAATTGCAAACAGGTCATTGGTTGTCCTCATTCCTACTACAGTAGAACGTATCAAGAGTACATACCGTAAAGTCTTGTGTAAAAGCCGCGGCTTCTATGACTTTCTTGGTGAAAATTTGCAGGCTTCTATATGAGACAGGCTTCTATACAAGACGGGTATTTCTATGTATGTCAACACTAAAACCAGGCTTATATACTCTTGGTTTTGTATGGAGACGGGCCATGTCTTGCCCTGTAGTATGCCCCATAGCACGCAGTGTTGAGTTGAGACGGGCCATGTCTTGCCCTGTAGTATGCCCCATAGCACGCAGTGTTGAGTTGAGACGGGCCATGTCTTGCCCTGTAGTATGCCTCATAGCACGCAGTGTTGACTTGTGTAGAAAGAGTACATGTACCCTGTCTCTGAAGATCGGTAGTCAATGCGCTAAGCCCGGATCATCATGGCGGATGGTCGCTGAATTCGGTCTTTACTGCATATTAAATGTGCATGTAGTGAGGTACATTTTTAAAAGAGTTGTGTTCCCGACCTTATCCTAACTTACTCATGTGCTTGTTTGGAGATGAATATAGTCATGTAGACTGTCTCCTGGTGAAAATTAGTTGTAAGAAGAAGCTGCAAGGTGTATTGGCTGCTTGTAAGTTTGTTGACGAACTGTAGAGAGCATTTTGCGATTTGTACATGCACTCAGGCAATATTCCGCTTCTCTTTTGTTTCACTTTAGCGATGTGTGATGTTCATGTCTTTGCTTCTTGCTTTGCCTAATTTTAGAGGGTTAGATCCTGCACAACAGCAGCAGCAGCAACAGCAAAATGCAAGCAATGCCTTGCAACGCCAGGGTGCAGCGTCGAGTAGCACTGCACAGTCATCTACCGCCCAGCCCAGCCACGGCATCGGCCAGTCGGCGACGAATCAATCATCCACGCGTGGAAGCGGGGTTGGCGATGAGGACATTGATGCCGAGGATATGGAAGTACTGGAGCAACAGATTGCCGAAGAGCTTGATCAGATCACAGCCCGTGGCAGTAGCAGTAGCAGTGCCCGTGATCACGATACTTCCAGAGCAGTCACAGCCAGGGCATCTAGCCATGGACCCAGCACGTCGGGTGCCGCTAGAAATAGTACTGCTTTGGACAGGCAAGGCGCCCGCTCTGTTGGTCAGTCGACCGCTTCAGCGCCTTTGCCACTTGCCGACCGTTTGAGACATCCGAAAGCTGCTGTGGTTTCCAGTGCACAAAGTACTATTAGCAGCAGTAGCAACAGTAGACGCACAGCGTATAACCATGATACTGCGGTGGCATCATTGGACGATGAAGAAGCAGAGCTTGCTCTTGCAATGGCTGCTGAAGCTGACTTTGCCGCCAACCAGCCATCGCCACAACGAGCACTCTCTTCCACAACTCGATCACGGCTCACGGCAACAGCAGCGGGGGTGAAGCGAGAGTCACCGGCCTCTCACCAACAGAGGAAGGCAGTAAGTGCAAGTGCAAGCACAACACTGGGTCAATCGCCCTGGGCTACACCAGAGTCAAGCAGTGTATCTCGAAAGGTACCCTCGCCTATCACAAGTAAAGTAGTCAAGACAGAGGCACTGGCTTCATCGTTATCGTCATCGTCTACAGGGGCGAGCAAACACACGACCACGCCGTCAAGGCCCTCAACTGCTCTCAGTACTTCAAGCTCTGGCCTGAAGCGTTTCTCTAAATCAGGCATGTCTACTAGCACTCCGGCAGCTAAACGACCCTGCACCAGTGTTTCTCCAAGTGAGTTTTGTAATGGGTTGTCATATGTTCTGGCTTTGCATGTTAGTTAACGTTAGAACCAGTGACTGCCTTATTGGCCAATCTCACTTCAATCTCCTTGGATAATAATTAATAAAAGAGGGAGAGCAGATTTATGATTTCATAAGGTTAATGGAATTGAAAAAGAAGATGGTTGTCTTAGTTGGAGCGAAATGTCGCGAATGCAGCCAGCAAATGTTGGCGTGAGTGCTGTCTTTTCAGTTTTCACGCCTTGAAATTAATTGAGTAGCACAGTGCTGTGCTTCCCAGGTAAGACTCAGAATACACTACAAACGTACTGGTAATTTTTTTATAAAGTTTTTTAGAAGCCTCTTTTGCGGGCAAAAATTAACACAATGGATTAAAAATGCATATACATACAAGTACACTGGAGAAGAAATCAGGAAAATGCATGTAATCGTATGCAGTCGTACATGCAGGAGTAACATGAACTCCAGTACATCTACATGACTGGCTGTGCTGGTGTAGTGTCTTCACAGTGTGCTGCGCTGTCCTCACTGATGTGAAGAGCTGGACACGGCCGTAGACTACTATATGTAGTACTCATAGGGACATAGATGCACTGGTGTTTACGGACCCCAGCACTGCCATGTACATGTGCAGTCTGTACTCTGGTACGCACACTGCTCGTGTGAGTGAGATAGTGGTTCCCAGTGAGCCAATGCCGCAATAAATTCCCAATGCTTGCTCATACAGTCCAAAGATACGCTAGCCTGGAAAGAGGGCAGTGTTGCATCTACATGTATACTGCTGCCGTTGCACGTTCACTAAGTATACGTTTACTGGCTCCCGGGCATCCAGGCATCCATGAACCAACCCTCAACCCTGTTTACATTTCCGGTTCTGGTTGAAACTTTTGCTAGCGTCCTTTCACTCTGTCTTTCTCTCTTGTCTGCATTGTGCTCACTCTGGTTGAGTTTCTCATGATGTTTTCGACCGTTTTCTGCCATTGTGTGTGTGTGTGTGTGTGTGTGTGTGTGTGTGTGTGTGTGTGTGTGTGTGTGTGTGTGTGTGTGTGTGTGTACTGTCCTCTGTTCAGTGGACGAACATCCGTTCATCTACCTGAAAACGATCAATGACAACTTGCCAATGTTTGCCAACAAGTCAGTTTGGGTCAAGGTACGGTATTTACTCTTACCGTTCCTTCTGGCGCGAGCATGTTTGAGCACCTTCAGTACTTTAGTTTATTGCAATATGAGAGACTGAGAATGAGATTGTGCCTTTATGCACTATCAACTGTTCACTTGACCATTGTAGTATAAGCCACACTGACTTGTTTGGTGAATTAGAAGTGTTTAAAGTGCGGCTTATACTCCGGATAATACGGTAAATCGTACAACATTTGGGTATATTCCTCTTCTAATAATAATAATGGGGGAAGAGTGTGTTGCTCCCTACATGGGAGCTCGCGTTTTTTTTTAACAATAATAATAATACATACAGCTCGCATCTTCCCTGAACCTGTTAGACAGGACCAGGGTCGACGCATCTGTCAACAGTGTCAAGCCAAGTTGGTCTATCTCCTGCAGCTTGGAGAGCGCTCTCCACGGAGAGATCCGCTGCCTTCAGGTCGTGCCGAATCGTATCTATCCACCGCAATGGTGGATGGCCACGGTTTTTTTTATGTCGTTTGTGTTGATGGATAGCTCCAGTGCTTGGAATGAGGCGGATTCTGGACCCTCTCGCACCACATGGCCAAACCACAGCAGCCTGCGTCGCCGGCATATGGATCTGGAGATTGTTTTGTTTCTGTGTATAAGTTGTTATTGGTGATGCGTTGCGGGTGGACAAATCTGCAGTAGTACGCGTAGCTTCCTCCGTTGCCATTTGTCCAGTTTGTCGTTCAACAATTTGGACATAGTCCAAAATCCGCAATTGTACAGAAGGATTGGCATTATGAGGCAGTTTAACATACACAGTCGGGATTGAAAAGAATGGCGTCTCCAGGAAATCGAACCGAACGCCCTGTTTGCTTTTGAAATTCTCATGTCCACGTCTTCTGCAGAGCCCAATAGGGAACCCAGGAGTTTGATTGATCTCCATTCGTTGCTGTTTCTCGTTACATCAACATATTCAGTTTTCTGTGTATTGAGCTTGAGATTGAGATTGTCTTCGTTAAATATAGGTTCACACTCAGCATAAAGAGCCTTCGCCTCATCGTCATTTCGGTTATGCAAAGTAGTATCGTCAGCGTACTGCGTTGTCGACGCAGGCATTGGTGAGCGAATTGTGCATCTTTCCCTGATTTGTGTATTGTGCCTTCTGCATATGTTATGAACATGATTGGGGACATCGGGTCTCCCTGGACCACTCCGATGTTAGTTGGGAACGGTGGACTCCGGGAGCCACTCAGCTTGATCCTGGCTGTCGTGTTGGAAAGTAGAGACTTGATAGTTGTTGTGCTGATATCTGCTTCCTCTAACCTGTCAAGTACTGTGGTGCGAATTATAGTGTCAAAAGCACCAGAGAAATAGACCCTGTTAATTGGATTTTAGCCATCCTATCCTGGATCCATCTTCACATCACATCGAATGCACAGGAGATCACCTCGCACCTGCATTAGGCCATAAAGTCCTTGAGGAGTACCTTCAAGGGCGCCATGTCCTCAGCAATAACTGCAGCGCTCTTGTAGTAGCGATTGGAGACTTCCTTGGCTTCCAGGGCTGGGCTTCTCTCCTTCATGATAGTGCTTGTAGCTGGTGCGTCTTTCAAGGCAGTGACCACGGTGGGCTTCAAAGCAGCGTGGACATGGTTGCCATTGAATGCACCACCACGGTACATGTATACTAGTGTATACCCAACGCTTGATGCAGAGCTTCTGCAGAACGGGATCCAAGGAGCTCTTCACTGGACCATGCAACTCCTTGCCAATGACTTTCTGAACTTGAGATTTGAGTTTCTCCTGTTCTGTCGCAAGTTCCTCATGTTGGTTAGTCACGTATGTCAGTCCAGATTGCAACGGGTGTGCCATATGCTGCCATTGGGCACCGTCCGCACCTTGCTGCTGTGTCCAGAACACAGTTAGCTTCAGCTGATGCTCTAGTACTGTAGAGCTGGAACAACAGCATCAGCAGCCAGTACAGGCAAGCGGGTTGGCTGAATGGCATTAGTTTAGAAAGGTTCTTTGCTTGGCTCACTTTCGATCCCTCATCTATGAAGCATTGGTGCTAGCGTTTGAAGTGACCTGGGTACTTTGCCCTCCTCTGGCTGACAGCTAGGACTCTCTTCCATTGACTTTTTCAAGCAATGGCAATGTAGGCATGGCCTTCCACCACTTGGCTCTGACAAGCCGTAATTGTTACACTGGAACTCGTTATCCCCAAAGAGAAAGGCGCGCAGGTGCTTATACTGCCAGGCCGTGCCGATTTGCTCTTTGTACATGTCTAGCACTGCGCGGAGATTGCCGGCAGTATCCTTCTCATTCAAAATGCATGATGGGAACAGTGTTCTTGCCAGTGTTTGAGTACAGGATGTAGGCGATATGTGCACAACATTATACCGATGTACCTCTTGCAGTTGCCGCTGATTGTAATCTGCAATTCATGTAGTGCAATCAGGATATATAAATGATGCTGGTTGATACGAATGATAGATCCTTAGCTGGAAGCTGAGCTTAAATGTGCCACCGCCATGGTCACCGCCGACTTTTATCCATACGTCTGCCTCAGGTATACCGTTGCTCCCTATGAGGCTGTCTGCGTTATTTAGTTTGTCAAGAAAGAATGTGAGCACACTGAGATCAGGCAGATACACAATGGCAGCCATGACAAGGTCTCCATTTCGCTACATCATTGAAATGTGTTTCATGTTGTACTGTGGAACTTGTGTGGCTGTGAATGATCTCATCATTCTTCAGCCGGCTCGACAACCATAGACTTTCGTCATATGTGGAGCAGTTGGAATTTGCTGTACAATAGCTGAAGGTCAGCCTTGATGCGCAGAGCTATTTTGTCTTTGAATGATGCAGACTTATTTCTCTCAGCAAGCTCTCTTGCTCAGCTGATGAACAACACGTTATACCTGCGGCTTCCTGGGCTCACCGACCTGTCTCTCCACCGCAGATAGCCCGGCCCGCTGTGTCTATCTCCATGACCGCCACCATACTGTTGACCCTGATGCAGCATTGGATGAAATGCTGGTGATGGCGAATCTTTGGTATACTTCAGTCCTGGGATCTACTTCTGTAGCTGGTCTTGACTTCCAGCTAACCTTCGTGGATTTGCTTGTGGCCATCGCACCAATAAGCCGATCAGCGATGTCACTTCTTTTCTTTGATGGCGAGACATACAGGACGTCACCGGCCAGTGACGATGTGCTTATTGCTGGAGTGTGTGTTGTCGGAGTTGCAGGCTTGAATGGGCAGTCACCCGCGTGCTGTTGAAGGCTGCACGGTAGCACAGTGACAGGGTTTCCTACGAGGTGGTCCATGGTTATCGCAGTGTACAATGAAATCTTGCACGAACACACAGGCTATGCTGTTTGGCTGCAGTAACTCCGGCGCTAGCATGTGCGCATTGCATTTTGGGCAGGTAGCTTTCTGCTCCAGCCATTTGCGGATGCATGCACAGCAGAGCTTTGTCTCACAGCAAGCTGGAAACACTGCTCTCTCGACCTCATTGTGCCATAGTGGGCACTGTGCGTGTGCTGTTACAGTCGACCAACCCTTATAACGATATTTGCATCAGACCAAGAAATATTGTTATAAGGGTAACTGGTTCATTTCATACACATACGTCATAATGTATGGATTTTGTTTATTTTTTACACTCTTTAATATAGCATAAAAAACTGACGTACATGCCCATTATGTACACAGCAAGGTGCCCACTGGTGCCCCCATTGCATTTCGTCATGTCCCAGCGACTTATCAAGTGAAGTTTGCCCTACCTTGATGGTGGGCTCTACATATCCCTTGCTAGATATTGTTATAAAATGGAAAATGTCGATTGGTCAGCCCATTTTATATCGTTATATGGGTAATAATATCGTTATAGCAATATTGTTATAGTAAGGCATTGTATACACGAGTCAATGGAGTGATTTGGTTTGCCAGAAAAATATCGTTATAAGGGTAATATCGTTATAGAGGTTATCGTTACAAGGGTAGGTTGACTGTACGTTCCTATCCATGAGCTGTTCTAGCTGTAGTTGTTGACCAGCTTGGTATGCGGGTGTGGCATGCTGCTGAACATCAGACTCGATTCTGTTTATGCCGCTCACTGGTGTGGTGGAGCAAGGGTTCTGTTGGTGCTGCTGCTCTCAATGATGCGGTGTGCAAGTGTGTGTGCTTGCACACGATGGGGCTTTCTCCGATGGCACAAGAGTGTCTTGCATTTGTGCTTAACGTTTTAGATTCGTACCACGCTTGGAGGCTTGCGAATTGAAGAGTTGAACTGTGTGGTTCCCCTGTCTTTGAGCGGCCCACATCCACCTCCAGAGAATGTGAGGCCCTCAGTAGGAGCACTGAGATCCACGACCGATTTGCATGCGTAACGAACATGTTCACCCAAAGCCGGGGGAATTTTCCTTAGATGATGGTGAGGCCTTGAAAATGAATGTTGGTCCACCAACAAATTGCACATGCATCGACCAAGGAAACCGTACTCAGCACATGGAAACTCGGCTCCCAAGGCCAATCCAAGGTCAAAACTCTGTAGAATGGCCAGGCTACCCCATTGGTTTCCGTTTGCCTTTGCCATTTCACATGGGAGTCTAATGAAATTACCAACATAGGACGACGAGGCCATGCCGTGCAAAAAATAATAAAAGTGATTTAAATCTGGACGCCATATTTATTGTACGAAGTAGTGGTTGCGACTTCGGCGATGATTTGTAAGAAAGGGTTTGCTCCCCACACCGGAGCTCGCGCTATTCCGCCGACTTTACTTGACACTTGACTGACTCACGACTGCCATCCAGAGCACACGAGAAGTCCATCGAACCTTCGACTCGGCAAACCTGCAAGAAAGCACCACTCCCTGCTCAATACACAGTGTTTCGGGGAATTCGTCAAGTGTCAAGTAAAGTCGGCGGAATAGCGCGAGCTCCGGTGTGGGGAGCAAACCCTTTCTTCCATATTTATTGAATGCATGATGGATGCATGTAGCAACCGTGTGTGTGTGCGTGTGTGCGCGTGCATGTGCGTGTTCTTGATGCGCAGGCGTTTCTGGGGACACTGACATCGAAGCTACGCAATACGGATGGCTGGTGTGTGCGTGCCATTCTCAACGATGGCTCCTCCACGATGGAGGTAGAGTTTGGCAACGAGGTAAGCACTTCTGCTTTATTACTGTGCTGATGGATGGCAATGTATTTTCCTTGTGTTTTCCTCTTCTCGAGGTATCTATGGGTTGACGGTATGGTTAATTGTTTCCTTTGGTTTTCTTCACCTTGTGGTGTGGTGATTGTGTAGCATCATTGCGATGAAAACGCTAGCGTTAGGGAGGTTTCGCTCTACGGAATTACAGTGCGTATCAGTTATAGCGTGGTCGTGTAACAGAATTATACTGCCTACAAGAATGAACTCTCATGTTTTCATATTCATAACCATCGGTTTCAAGTGCACATTTATTCTTACAAACAATTTTATCGTATAGTAGAATATATCGGTCCTAAGAATGGACTTTGTGTAGCGAAACATGCCTGATTAGTACAAAGTGTATCGCCTGTAGTAACAATATCTGCCCGGTACTGTATCATACAGTTCTGATGTGACTCTCGTTGCCTCGTAGCGCTGCAGGTTCAACTGTTGTGGTCATGTAAGTCATGTTGCATAGCCACATGGTAGTCTAAGCCTGACCAGCCGCATGCACAGCAGCAGTCTGTTGCATGTACGATGATCGTCCCACCTCTGCACACATGCATATGATATGTGACACTTGAATATCGTGTGTAAGAAATATCGGAAATAAGAATAGAAAGTCGTTTTTAAAAACCCACGCTATAACCGATACCTGCTGTACGTATGAAAATAACGTAGGAACTGCACGTAATTTTCATACGTAAAAATCAGCGCTGTTGGGTTTTGCTGTACGTGATTTCTCCACGACTGCTAAGCATGCCTTGTTGCTTTGGAGACGCGTTGGCTGCATGGGCCCAGCGCATGCACCACGAACCAAAACCGCGTTTTCCATTTTGTTTTCCACGTGGTGTGTACCTAACGTCCTTGTGTTCCGTGCGGCTTGAACGTTGCCATGGATAAATCCGGAAAGTGCGAATAATATTTCAAAAGGTCCTACGAAATCTGTAGAGGGATTTACTTATAAAAGTTGCCCTCACTACCCGGCGCGTACGATCTACGGATTTTCATATGTAATTACGTTGAGCGAAACCCTCCCTATTGGCGTGTTGGGAGCCAATGGTACTGTCTACATAGCAGCAGCCTTCACGCACATGTGGTTTGATGTGTGAAAACAAGATGTCCTTGTCGGAGACCTGGGGTGCGTTTGGTTGGTACGATCTAGAACAGGATCGAACAGCTGGTGCACATGGAGCAGCCTCATGCCAACCAAACGGTACTCCAGAAACAGAGCACATTTTTGTGGAAAAATGTGCCAAACTTGGTGCATCCTTCAAAAATGTGTATGGTCACCATGGTCACTTTGTACGGTACAACGAGTCTAACCCAAAAGCGTATGCACGTGATCATTTGGGACCAAAATCGATGTTCCCGCCAGGTTTCACTGTGAAAAAGTGAAACTGCTCGGTCTGCTCCGGCCTCGAGGCCGGAGCAAGCAGAACATGTTCTGGCCGACCCAGAACAGGTGCAGTCCCAACCAAACGCGCTGTTCTGGTGAATCCTGTTCTAGTTCGTACCAACCAAACGCGCCCCTGGTCGAGTCATTCACGCGGTACAAGTGCAATTGCTGCTAGTTGGATTTTAGTTTCACATGTACATGTACTTGCTTCAGACGTACGCATACCGTATTTCCGCAAATAAAAGACCGTCCTCGTATACAACACCTTCCATCGAATACAAGGCCGGGGCAGGGGCGATTGAAAAAAATACAAGACCGTCTCCGATTAGAAGACCGGGCCTACTAAATGAGTCTAGAAGACCGTGCTCAAACTGTGCATAAAAAATGGAAGAACGGGGGTAAAACTGTGTGGCAAAAAAATAGAAGACCGGGGTCAAGCTGGGTTGAAAGAATAAAAGACCGTCCTCAATTATAAGGCGGGGGTAGGACGAGTTCGAAAAAATAGTAGACCGGCCTACTATTTGCGGAAATACGGTACTTATTTTCTAAAAGCGGTATAAATGTCGATGGGACACTTTAGTACCATAGCTATTATCTCTCTCCCATTCTTCACCTATATAGCTCGAATTGTGGTGCTACTAGATAGTGCAAGTGCTGTTTCCGAAGCTGGTTTGTAAATACAAACCAGTTTTGAACCGGTTCAGCCAGGTAGCAAAGTTATGTGCATGTACTTCGAAGTAGAGCGAGATGACTCTCTTTACTTGGCTTTTATTGTAGTGATATTTATGGTTTGGAGCAACTATCATCACGCCTGTCATGTGTTGCTTTTTTTTGCTGCCTATTTTACACTTTACCTGTGTGCAGATCTTAGTCAAGCTCATTGGCTTCACCACCGTGGAACAAAAGGTTAGTGTCCGCTGTGCACCTCCACTAGCATACAGTTCTGTCGGGTGCCAAAGAACGGAGTGCCGAAGAACGAACAGGCTAGGATTTCACCAAGCACAGCATACTGATAAGCACAGCATACGGATGTATGAGGCATGGGAAACAGTTATACCGTAACCCATTTTTCCACTTTCCAAAATTGTCTTGCCATGCAAAATGCAGCGTACGGGGCAGTCTCCCGACTTCACCCCTGACAAATGTTCCTTTATGACTATCGACTGTATTTTCGTTGAATTGCATGAAAAAGCACAAAAATCGACAAATGAGGAGGGGGGGGGGGGGCACTTTTTCACAGGGAGGTGTGGGGGGGGGGGGGGCTCACATGATCAGAGTAGGCTCACAGTGCCCTGTGTCCAGCTGACTCGGGACGCTGGATTTCTTCAAGCAGTTGTAGTATAATATAATATGTATAATAACAGCAGCACTGTACGTGTTTCTGGTCTGTAGCTGTATCTGTGATCTGTTGCTGTGTCCACCACCCCACACAGGCTCTGTATGCCCAAGCCAAGCAGATGAAAAGCCCAGCCATCAAGTCCAGAGTACTAGAGGTCAGTAACTAGAGAAGAGATGGGGGGGGGGGGGGAGAGAATCTATTTGAATGCGTTACGTTTTCAAGAAAAATGCTACTTGTGAAATTCTCCCTTCGTCAGCAGTACAAAGGCAGTGGACAACAAGGGTGAATACCGTATATTCTCTATTATAAGCGCCGTGCTTATATTTTTTCAACACCCCTTTACCCCGCGCTTATATTGGAGACTGCGCTTATATTTTTTCAACCAATACATCCATACAAAGCAAGAAGAAATACATGCTAGATATTATGCATGCCGCATTGATTTCCACCAGGACCGTGCTAATAATAGAGACTGTGCTTATAATGTTTCGAAAGGTGCTCACAGTGTGCTAGTATTAGAGACTGTGCTAGTAATGGAGACCTGTGCTTATACATGTAATAGAGAATATACGGTATGTATAAAGATTACTGGCATAACTTATTGTTTCCCTGAACCAACTGGATTTTACAAATTAAGTTGTTTTGTTGGTTATCCGGCATCCCTGGACAACTCGTACTACACTGTCACATGACCTGTGTGTCGTCTCACCTGCTCCCTCAACCTTGTTCGCAGGGCATTCAGCGGTGTCAGAGAGTGCTGGCATCACTCTCTTGTTTCCTGGAGATCAGCATTGCACTTGAGCGAGAATACCCACTCGTGACGCAGATGAGAGAGGCCAGTAGTCGGGATGCTGAAATACTTCTGGACAACATTCGTGCACGCTTACCAAACATGTAGTGCATAATAGTCCGTTGTTTGTTCTTTTAGTCATATTCTGCTTTATCACAATTTCCCACCGTTTCACAAAAAAACAGACCAACCATGTATGGAAGAGCAGTACATATTTACTCCACGCACCATTTTATTTCTGCCCGTCCCTTTCCCCGCATCTTAGTGCCACCCATGGAGTCCGCAAATGCAAGATTCTTACCAAGGAGATATGTTTGATATCTTTTAAACTCACGATGGCCTGTGGCCAATAAGATAAATGTTGTTGCTGTTTGTTGTTGTTGCTGTTTGTTGTTGTTGCTGTTTGTTGTTGTTGCTGTTTGTTGTTGTTGCTGTTTGTTGTTGTTTGCTGTTGTTGTTGCTGTATTCTTACTTACTCTTCTCAGCAGGCCTAAGAAGTGGTGGCACTCCTTAGACCGAAATATATCCTTAACATTATGTTCGAATATTTTTATGAGTGTGCTACTGTTATTAGGATGTGGGGTGAGACTTTTTACGCGTGGTGAACGGTCAACTGGGTACTCACAGCTCGAGGTGAGGATAACAAGAATGCAGTTTACAGGGTTATGGGTCCGATTGGTTGAGAGACTCGCCTCCTCTCCCCCGACTCACTTGTGGGGTCTGCATTCGACACTAAGTCTAAGGTGAACAGGCACAGTGGCGGCCTGCGGATGCGAAGGCTGTAAGTTTGTGTGTTTCTGAACATTCAAACCAACGTGGATCCCGCAAATATTATTCAGTATGTGGGGTTAGCAATGTGTGGGTGACACGATTGTGGATCTGCTCAGGTTGGGGCTGGGGTGCCGTGAGGTTGTCTCTGCTTTCACCTGCGGGCCTAGTTAGAACACAACAAATTGATGAGGTTATTCTCTCCCCACAGAATAACGCCGACGAAATCCTATTATGCGCATAATCGTGTGGGCGAAAACAGGCCAATATGCGGGATTATGCGGCAAATATGCGTTATAAATTATACTTAAGTACGGTCACCAGCTGGTCATTTTGCACGAGTTATCTATCGTTGGTACACATTTAGCGTACAATTTCATGCATGTGTACAACTTTGTCGTACAAACTCATGGGCGTGTACGACTTTGTAGTACATTTGCAACATCACTGTTTTCTTGTACATTCCCATGGATAACGTGGGTTTTATGCAAAATTTCTCAAAAACGTGGATGAAAGCCAACAACGCGGAAAATTGTGCGTCCGCGGAATCGCTGCATCCTGTGGGGACAGGTTCTTTTTAAACTGTCAACAGTTTGTTCTTTACTGTAGAACGGCTCATTTTTAGCGGGTACAATGGACCTTATGCCATTATGATTTGTACAGATCCACGCAATCCCGTATTCTCTGTCCACCCTGCACTCACTCGTTGCGCACACATCCGCACACTCACTCATACGTGTACACCACTATTGAACACGTGAACACTGCCAGTGGGGGCCACCACACAGCAGCAAAGCATAGCCAGGGGCCTCTAATCTAGTGCCAGCTAACGGCACTAGATGGCAAGAGCATATTGTCCAGACTCTCTTTGATGTAGGAGTTGACTGCTTCACTGTGCCAGCCACCATGCCGTTTCAACAGTCGCTGTGGAACCTTGGCTGCGGCCGCTGCCGTCGTACCCCCCGATTGGAGGCTGTGCAGGCCGAACATCTCTGCCTGTAGGCCTGCTACTGCCACTGCCTCTAGGAACAGCTCTCTTGCTCTGGAGTACTGGAGTGACCCTTTCTTCGTCTTCCAGCCAGACTTCGCTTTCACCAAGTTACTCAGCAAATGATCATCAGCTTGAAGGTTCGTTTCTTCGATCAGCCTCTGCGTCAGAGCTACCGCTCCCAGCTCACCAGGCTGCGTGCTTATGAGGACCAAGCTGCCTTCTCTGAGCTGGTCATTCTTGTGCTTATCCAAACGAACCTCCATGTAGTCTCGACGGAACACAATGTCCCGCACCCGGATTCTCGCCAAATCGTCCCACCTCATGAAGCCAGCAAATCCAATGGCAAACATAACCGCTGTCCGCAGCTTCAGACAATCGTCGCTCCCGGCAAGTTGACCCACGATCGTAGCCACCTGCTTCTTGTTGAGGGGCTCTTTCCGCCTGGGGGTGCAAGCTAACCTCCTTTTTGCCGCTGCTGCAATCTGCTCCACCATGGCATTGACAGGAAGCTGTACGCATGCCTTCTGATGAGCCCATTTGATTGCGGACAGAGCTGCAGAAATTGGGCTTGCGGATGCGCTCGTCTCTACGAGGTGGATCAGGTACAAACCGACTGCCACCGGTGTAGCGGGTATCGCCACAAACCCATGCTCCATAGCCCAGCTTTTCCAACGCGAAAATGCCGACTTGTAGGTCTTCACCGTAGATGACGCATGTGTCTCCATCACCAAGTCCTTGGCTCGTTCCGACAAACTCACTAGGCCCTCGCCTTCAGCTACTTCCTGTAGCTCCTTCCAGCACCCCTGGTCCCAGATCTCTAAAAAATTTAGCAAGCACATGGAAAGAACCACAATATAAGCCTCGTTATTCAGACCGCACAAGCTTGTGCTCCAGCTACAAGCCTCCTCCTATGCCATGTTACATAATAATGGCTAACATGCACCAGCCATACACAACCACATGACCTGCCAAAAAATACAGCTAACAACATTAATAATAATAATAATAATAATAATAAGCAAGAACCAAAACAAGACTTCCCTGTGTTGATATGTTGACAGCTCCATGGTGCAAGATCCACCTACACATTCCCTCCGGACCCTCCAGCCTGCCTCAGGCTATGCACCCTGTGCGTCTTACAGAACTAGCCTCTAGATTCTGCAGCCAATCAACAACACATAGCAGAACACAGAACCTTCTGCAGATACCTAGACATCATGTCCCACCGCGCTGACACCCCATGATACTACTGGACCTGGTTGCCATGACTTCACACCTTGGAACATGCAAAACACAGCTAATAATAATACAAGGCAAGTACCAAACCAGACTTCCCTCTGTTGGTATGTTGGCAGCTCCTTGGCGCTGGATCCACCAGCACAGCCCCCAGGACCGTCCAGCCTGCCTCAGGCTATGCACCATGTGCGTCTTGCAGAACTAGCCTCTAGAATCTGCAGCCAATCAACAACCAACACACAGCAAAACACAGAACCATCTGCAGACACCTTGTCTTTAAGTTCAATATCATTCCCGACATTCTGTCTCACAGCACCGACAGCCCATGATACTACAGAACCTGATTGCCATGACTTCACACCTTGGCACCTTCCCATCAAACCAATTCCATTGGCAAGAGCCACTGTCAAACAGACCTGATATTCTAGGCAGGAAAATAAAACTCCTCACCAACGTGGAGCTTTCAGTACCTTTGAATAAGTATGGCCACCACCATGCAGATGTCCATTTTGGGACAACCAATGTCCCATGACTGACAATCACTGAAATTCTGCTAATAACGTCTCCAATAAGGTAAATGGGGGGGGGGGGCACAACCATAAGTTCTCCCCTTCCCAGCACATCGTGAAAGCATCCACGGCCAAACATCCTGGATTCCACCAACGTGAGCAGAAACGAGGCAACTGTGCCGACTCTGCACTGGCAAAGCAGTCAACAGTGTGCGGGCCCCACAAACCGTTTATCTCGTCGAATACCTCAGACGACAATTTCCAGTCATCAGTATCCACTACCTTGGATAAAAAATCTGCCAGAACATTCTCCTCCCTTGGAACCCATTCTGGCACAAGTCGAATGCAATTTTGCCTGCAAAACCTGAAAATCCGACATGCAATCTCCTGCAGTTCTGGAACTTTGCTGCCCACCTGCAGAATACGAGCTGCCGCCGGATTATCCGTCCGGTGCCTACATTCCTTGCCTGCCAATTCTTGGACCACCGATTGCAGCACCAACTCGGTAGCCCTCAATTCCCTCCACGTAGAACTCTTCTGAGCCTCTAACACCTCTTCTGGCCAATTCCCTCTTGCAATCGTTTCCCCGCAGGACACCGCAAAACCTCCCCAGGCTACATCGCTAGCATCTGACCACGTGACGGTCTACAACTGCTGTTATCTTGGGATCACCCACAACCAATCTTCCATGAAACTCATTGAAACAATACCACCAGAAGCTCACTTCTGCATAAGCCTCATCAGACCACTCCTGTCTATGAAACCAGCCTTTCCTCCTGAGAATCATGTCATACAATGCCCTGGTTCTCAACCTTGCAACTGGCCCAATGGCGAAAGACATTGAAATGATGAACCCAGCCAGCCTAGCACACTCTTTGGCATTCGGTCTCCTCTTGCTATGCAAAACCCTCAAATGCTCCAAAAACCTCAGAACTCTTGCCTCCGCCACGCTTACTCTCCCGTGAACCAGGTCCAACACAAAACCCAGAATGGTAGGCTTCTGAGAAGGCACAAGACACGATTTCTCCACATTGACCTTCCAACCCGCTCTTTCCAACGTTTCCGTGAGCACACCTGCTACCCTCACTGTCTCTTCCACAGTGCCCGCTCCTGCAGAGCCATCGTCAAAGAACATCATGCACTTAATGCCCTGAGCCCTCCAGGAACGAACCATCACACGGACCAGTTTGTTAAAAAGATACGGAGCAGTGGAGAGCCCAAACGGCAATGACTTGAAACAATAAAATTCACCTCCCCATGAGAAACCCAAATATTTCCAATGGTCCCTTGCCATATCAACATGGTGATAACCACTCTTCAAATCGAATGTTACAACAAAGTCGTCTTTCTGAAAAAGCTTCACTGCCATCCTGATATCATCCAATTTAAACCTGAATTTTGCCAAACATTCATTCACTTGCCTCAAGTCTAAAATCAGTCTCAGCTTCCTAGCACCTTCCACCACTCCCAGCGGGCTAACACAATTTAACTCAGATTCGTTTACTTTCATCGCACTCCCGCAGTCTACCAGCCCCTTCACTGCCTCATCAACAAATTGTACATGCTTCCAACAGCTTTTCTGATTCCTTAAAAAACCAGACGGAGGGTCTGTCACAAACGGCAACGCATAACCGACCTCCAAAATACTAATAATCCAAGATGAAGCCCCCATCTCCCTCCAAAACGGTATGCACCGCTTCAATCTCCCATGCATCACAGTTTCACCCTCTGCCCAGATTTCCCCTTCCCCTTCCCCTTCCGCACCATATCCGCTTTCAACCACAACATCTGAATAAGTTTGAACACTCTTTTCATCATCCTCATCCTCATCATCATCATCAACATGCACATCAAACTTATCTTGTTCATCGTGGCTGCTGTTGCTGTTGCATCGGGAATGACCTGGCAGGTGCTGGGCCTGGGGCAGGCTGCGTGCAGTCCCTCTGCACGTGCCCCTTCCCTCCGCACCGCCAACAGGCCAGCTCCTTGAACGGGGCGCCGAATCCGGGTGGCTTCGGTGCGGCCGGCATGGTCTGAGCTCGAGCAGCCGCTCCAAGCCCGACCCCGGCTGGGCGGCCTCCTGGAAAGGGCTTGCCACTGCTCCTCTTCCCCTCCTTGGCCTCCGCCCTGGCCCTCCTCATCCTCCGCTCATCGTCCGTATCGGACCCGCACTCCATTTTACCATCATAAATGTTTGCGGCCGACCACCCTTCGGCGTCCGCAAACAGCAATAACTTGACTCGCCGCTGGAGGACGCTCTCACCTTCCTCTATGTTTCTGGCGATGTCCTTCTCGCCTCGACGCTCCGCCTTCTGCCTTGCCTTGGCTAGAGGCTCCAACGCCTTACTTATCACGCAGAACTGCTCCTCGTGAGCCTTGGCCTTCCAACTTCTCTTTCTTGCCGCCGCCATCCTCTCGTCCTGTCTCTCCCTCTTCACCTGCTTACTTTCCTTGCTCCTCTTGCTCTTCTTGCTGTTTCTCCTCTTGCTACTTCTACTCCTGCCACTTCTCCTGCTCCTCTCTGACTCACTCTCACTCTCACTGTCACTCCTATCCTCTCTTTTCCTCTTACGACTAGACTTCTCCAACTTCCTCTCCAACGTCTCCAATCTCGCAGCCATCTCTCTCATCCTCCTACTCTCCTCAACATACCCTTCACTCTCACTACCACTACCACTCGGCGACACACTTCTCGACATTCTTTTCACAAACCAAAACTTTCAAATTAAATAATTCACAAACTCTCACTCAACTCTCCGCACAAAGACAAAAGAGGCCGACCCTGCACTCGTCACCTCCTTTTATCCCACACCGTGCTCCCTCGTACCCGTTCCCGGGTGGACAGAGAACACTACTTCTCTGCTAATTCTTATACTGTGACGTCAACCGCAGAGAAGTGACATGACCCCGTAGGGTGTTGAATGTGCAGGACCCTATTGTGTTTTCTGCTATTTCCACTAAGAAACGGGGCCTGAAGGCATTTCATACGAAAACCTTTTTCTGACAAAGATCTAGCTAGTCATTAGTTCTAACTAAAGTAAAGAAGTTGGAAAGCGATTGCTAGTCATTGAATTATGACGCTAAAACGGTCAAATGCGCATGCATAGCACACAATGAACACCCTACCGGGTCTACGGGATTCTACGGGATTTCGTGGATCTGTACAAATGGCATAAGGTCCATTGTCAGCATATTCTGAATCTGGACCAATTCGCGGTGAAATAATTTAGTGATCCGAGTTTCAGAGTTGTTAAAAAATGACTCCAAGTACTGTACTGTACATACTGTACATGTCGGTTGGTGCGGCAAAACTTTAGCGAAAACACTCATTTCGCTAAAATTGCCAACTGAATATCGCCGGCGCTAAAATTGGCCGTTTTACGGTAGCCTGTATTGCTCGAAAATGTATGCATTTTCCAGCCTATGTGTTCTACGAATCTACGGCACCCAATCTTGCTATGTACAATAGAAATGCCGATTTTCCCATGTGCCTGTTTACACAGAATCGATGGGGAAAAAGAGTTTTTGCTGATTTTCCCCACCCAAAGTACCTTTGCAATGGTGCACAGGATGTAAGGCAACAGGTTGGCATCAAAATGTATCCCCGTGCCGTTCTCTCTTATCGGAATCTCCCTGCCGACAGCTCCTTGCCCGGAAGACTGAAAGAGCGTGGGTAACTGGCGCTCTTCTGTACTGTCACCCTGGTATTTGAATGCCCACGCTGCCTGGACAAAAAGGAAAGAACATGCCTGAAATGCACTATGCACCATGCACCATGTGTAACAGATCAACCAATAGCACCCAAAGGCCATGCTTTGTCAATTCCTAATCACAGAACGCAGCTGAAATTTCCAGGTCATTTTCTTCCGATTAAATTCTAAGTATATGAGCAGAAATAAAGCAAAGATCAGCACAATGGCATCAAGGAACTTCCTGACCGGTATTTTGAACCTGGAAATGCGCTTTTTTAAGCAGAAACGTTGGTACATCCAGGGTAGGCCTCGACCAAATATGCTTGCGCATATTTCCGCATATTTTGTGAGACAGTTCATATATGGCATATTGAGCAACAAAGGGAATATTGGAATGAAGCCAGCAAATAATTCAAATATTCTGAAGAAAATGAGGACAAAACATTCATATTATGGACAAAATGCGTTCAGAAATGCCTTTTATGGATGAATTTGGAATGGTTGAGGCGTTTGCTACATTTCCCCATGGATGAACACTATCACTACGGTTGCTGGGGACACACCCCAGCCATACTTTTTCTTGTACGTTTTGAAGTGCGGTTGGCAATTTTTGGGCTCCGCCTGTAGAAAGGATTTTAGCTTCAGTACCCGTGTTGAAGATCAGTTCTAACTGCATTAATGAAACCATGTCTCAAGTTCATAGAACTAGCTTATCGAGCAGAGCCAAAGGTTCCTCTACCAGGCCAAGCACGAAATCTAAACCCTGTAGTTTGCCTGGAGAGAGCCGACAGTCAGGATCCCGACTATCAGACGGTATGAACCCTCCTGCAGCCAACAATGATGAGGGTGAGTCACTGGATGGCATTGTGTCGATAGAAGTGCTAGTGAGTGAATTCCGTTCCACAATGTCGGAGCTTCTAGATGAGCGAATGGCTACAATCATTGCCCAGACGACAGAAATAAAACAAGCATGCAAGGATTTGGAGGCAAGAGTGAGCCAATTCGAAAATCAAATCAGAGATGAATTTGAAGTCAGAACAGCTACCCTGTTAAGTAGAGTCGATCACATTGACACCAAATTGCAAGCCGTTGATCCCATGGTAGAAAGCCTCCTTGACACGGTAGACAAGGCCAAGCGAGAAACGGCAACCTCCTTCATCATCCAGGGCCTTGGGGAAGGGGAACAAGAGCTGGCCTCCAGTTCAAACGATACGGGTACGGCAACCATAGACGCAGTTGTGACCCTTGTACGGGACACACTAGGCTTCCCACTGCAACAAACTGACATTGTTGCTGCACAGCGACTTGGTGTCACGCGTACGTCAGTACAACAACCGCCACTCAAACCGCGTCCCATCCTGGTCCGCACTGCAACGCCAGATGCCTGCAAGCGCATGCTCCAGCTACGGAGCAGACTCCGGACAACCAACGAGACCAGGGAAAAGGTGTACTTTTCTGAAAATCTGACCAGGGAGGAACGCCAATTTCAACAGAAGCTGCGACCAGCTTTCCAGGCAATGAGAAAGGCCGGAAAGATCTGCTATCTGCGCACCACTCACATCGAAGTTGTTGCGACGAAGGATTCGCCCAGAGTAATCCTTCATTCGCAGGTCCTTGCAGAAGAGTATATGCGAGCACACAACATTGACCCGCTGGCAACAACACGAAGCAAAGCAGCACAACTACACCCAAGAGCTGGTGCACATGGGAGCTCAAACCGGCAACAATAGGAACCTCCGGGGCTCCGAGTTGCACACCTCAATTGCCAAAGTGCAATTAGAAAACTCTCTATTTTAGAAGCATTCATTAAATCAAGTGTCAAGTAAAGTCGGCGGAATAGCGCGAGCTCCGGTGTGGGGAGCAAACCATTTCTTATTCATTAAATATCACGATAATTATAGATATTCTTTTTCTCACTGAGACTTGGTTTTTTCTATCCCTCCCCGACCACAGTGTAAATATCCCTAACTATGTAGTATTCAGACGTGACCGAAAGACAGCCATACTAGGCAGCACAGGAGGAGGTATAGCAGTGTATGTCAAATCCAGTTTTTCCCACAGGATTACTAGGCTGCCACAAATGGAGGGCCCGGACATAGAACATCTCTGCCTTCAAGTAAGCATCACTCAACAGCTTCCAATGGCCTTTCATGTCTTCTACCACCCGCCACATCGTACCGTAGACGAGCGCAACCAATTTTTCACTTCCTTCAGGCGTTCCTTTGAACAGAACCAGCCACACTTGCCCACAATCTTAGTGGGTGACTTCAACGCTAAACTACGTACATGGAACTCTACAGACCCGTCTACAGCAGAAGGCAAGCTTCTACTCAAAGCATTAGACCAGTTTGGATTCATCCAACTTGTCCACAACACCCCAACTAGATATTCTGCCACTGGCCGCCAGGGTCCATCGCTCCTTGATTTTGTCATCACAAACACA